CCGCTGATACACATCTCAAGAATTGTGCATGCGGCTGATACACATCTCGGGAATTGTGCATGCTGGCTGATACACATCTCAAGGAATCGCGCATGCCGCTGATACACATCTCAAGAATTGTGCATGCGGCTGATACACATCTCGGGAATTGTGTATGCTGGCTGATACACATCTCAAGGAATCGCGCATGCTGGCTGATACACATCTCAAGGAATCGCGCATGCCGCTGATACACATCTCAAGGAATCGTGCATGCCGCTGATACACATCTCAAGAATTGTGCATGCTGGCTGATACACATCTCGGGAATTGTGCATGCTGGCTGATACACATCTCGGGAATTGTGCATGCTGGCTGATACACATCTCAAGAATTGTGCATGCTGGCTGATACACATCTCGGGAATTGTGCATGCTGGCTGATACACATCTCGGGAATTGTGCATGCTGGCTGATACACATCTCAAGGAATCGCGCATGCCGCTGATACACATCTCAAGAATTGTGCATGCTGGCTGATACACATCTCAAGAATTGTGCATGCTGGCTGATACACATCTCGGGAATTGTGCATGCTGGCTGATACACATCTCAAGGAATTGTGCATGCTGGCTGATACACATCTCAAGGAATCGCGCATGCCGCTGATACACATCTCAAGGAATCGTGCATGCCGCTGATACACATCTCAAGAATTGTGCATGCTGGCTGATACAAATCTCGGGAATTGTGCATGCTGGCTGATACACATCTCGGGAATTGTGCATGCTGGCTGATACACATCTCAAGAATTGTGCATGCGGCTGATACACATCTCGGGAATTGTGCATGCTGGCTGATACACATCTCGGGAATTGTGCATGCTGGCTGATACACATCTCGGGAATTGTGCATGCTGGCTGATACACATCTCAAGGAATTGTGCATGCTGGCTGATACACATCTCGGGAATGTGCATGCTGGCTGATACACATCTCAAGGAAATGTGCATGCTGGCTGATACACATCTCAAGGAAATGTGCATGCTGGCTGATACACATCTCAAGGAATCGTGCATGCCGCTGATACACATCTTAAGAATTGTGCATGCCGCTGATACACGCATCTCAAGGTCTTGCGCCATGCTGATGCAGAAAGTCCCTGCGCAATCTACATAATTTAAAAATCTTTGGGAAATTAGCGATTTGTAAATCACATGATCTACACTAATTATCAGGACCTGTTAAACCTTTTTTTTTTTATCTTTCAACCATGCCTCGCTGCCCACTTCCACGGTAATAGGCGAAATAATCAGCAGCAAGATGCCGTTTGCGCCAGTTGTGGTCAAACAGAGCATCGTCGTCTTTCGAATAACAATGTGAGTAGAGCTCTTTTTGAAGGAAGGTGGTTGATGATACGACTGGCGTCTTTGTGGCATCATTTAATTTGGATTTTCTTTCAGTTATACTGTCATTTATACCTTTCATTCTCTTTCAATTTTCAATGAATCGGATAATACATAACCAGACGTACTTCGATCTACGAATTCATGCATCAGTAGGGTGACTATTGTTTGATCCATGGGAAATCATATATTTTTGTCTTCAGTTTTATCTTTTCTTTGATTTCTCTCTCTCTCTTTCTGTTTGCTTGATAAACCCTCACTATCATTGTACCAAGATCCCATCCGCATCCATCATCCAGACCATTCTTATCCCGTGTATCTAACTTGGTTAAATCGACTCCCATCCTCAAAAAGGTAAGCGTCGAGTGGTCCACCATCGATTTTGCTCCGGCAAAATAGACTTACCTCGCTTTTTTTTTCCATCCTTCTTTTAGCTTTCGGTGTTCTCCGTTTTCTTTTCGCCTGACAAGTTCTGGATACTACAAGTTGACTTTCACTCGCCATCCATCAATCCATCTGGCGAAACAGGATGACGTCAAAGGCCAGCGTCGGTGGTGTAATTCTCTTTTTCATCGGAAAACGCTTACGCGTCGTCCTCTTCATGTTCCTCTCCTTTGGATTGCTTCTCTTGATATGGTATTCGAGATGTCTTCCCGATTATTGTATTTTATATTTCATGTACATATTCTTTTCGCAGTCTTTTCATCTTTTTCCCCATAGGGCTTTTTAGGAGGTTTTTACTGACGGGACCATTGTTTTTTTTTTATCATCATGTACTTTTTTTCGTTTCCTTTATTTTTATTCGGGAAACTCTCGATATCTGGAATCCAGCTCGAAATTACCGTCACTTCTGGCGACGTCAATATTTTCTTGACTGCTCAAGCTTGACACCACCGATTCATCGCTTAACTGTCCCTGGAAGCAATTTTATTTTCCGCATCGAAGAAGCTTACCTGTGGTCCGTATTCATCTTTTTTTTTCCGGGACACCATTTGGTTCAAAGGCAAGTCCAGTTTCTTTTCCTTTGCTATGATGTAATGAACGTATATAATTCAAAATTTTTTCAATGTCATATAATCCAAGTCAGGTCAAGCGATCAATGGCTATTGCAAACTCAAATAACAAAGGTAAAATATCTTGACGAAAATTTGAATCAATCAAAGAGCTTACTAACTCATTTTTTTAAATACCCAACATTCCCACACATCTTTCTAAATCTATCATAGCCTGGGCGGGATGGAACTGAAGGGGGGGGGGGGAGGGGAACCAGTGCTGCCCTGCGCGTGTTCAGAAACAACTCACGTTGCAACGTATGCCATAAGGTTGTCATTAATATACCAAAGTCCGTCAAGAGTTCTTGCCCAGGTTATGCCGTATATGCATTAGGCTTTTTTGTCTGACGAAAAGTCGTTCAATGTAAGAGGGCGACCTCCGGTGGCAGGCGGCACCCATTGCACAGCGGGTGTACGGCTTGTTATATTATACAAATATACAAATGAAGGGGATTATGAATGTATTTGATATTGAAGCACACAAGAAAATTGTTGACGAAGCACAAAAAGATCCCTCGTTTCTCTTCTAAAGGCACGCTTCACTTTCTTTTTTTAAATTAATAAAAGGTAACTAAATTATCCTTCGTGCCTAATATAATACTGAACTGGCGAAACGGAGACGGGAAGTAGGATACAAGCTCTCAGAGGCACGCTTTACTTTACTTTTCTTTTTTAATAAATGGTATCATATCACGATAAGCCCAATGATTTGAAGGATGGGTATATGAATTCTGTCGAATTCTTTCTCCGGCATCATTGGTGTGGCTAGAGGTATAGTATTGAGATGGCAACTTGGCTGCCAGCACAGCCTCCGACTTGTCGTGGTAGTACTTCGTTTCCGTGACAGCATTAAATCGCAAACTCGCCTTTGCCAATGCCAAATGTTACCAACAATCAGGCGTAGATCCGGTCTGAGATCAAGTTCGGCGAGCTAAAATAGATAGAGGATTAATATACTGTATTAAAAACTACAAAAATAATATTACCTTGCTAAGCAGAATATACTGATAGTAGGAACCAGAAATTATGCTGCTTCCTACATTTTCCACCAGGGCCAACAAGCGATTTGCACCATGAGTCTACTAAGAAGGTGCTCCGTGGTCAAAGCAGCATCCAAAATCCCTACAGCTGATAAATAAAATGATCTAGTATATTTCAATAAGAAGAACCCATAATTAAACTTACACTGGAAAGCTTGGATGGTATCTGTTTTGCACTGGGCTTGATTGTTCTTGCAGCTTTCTGAAATAGTGTCAACCCTATTTAAAGAAATGTTTTCGCCACTGCATACTACTGGACCTTATTTGGATCCATGTCTTCACCATTGGAGAAATGCATCACTGTTCCTTGTCATGAAGCTTTTCAAAGAGTTAGCTCCAGTGCTTGAAAATCAGGAATTGCTGGAAGCAGAGATTCAGATAGTCGTCAGAGAACATCAACCCGTGAAAGGTGTGCTGATTTATTCTAAAGAACAAAGTTTGGAAACGCTTCATTAAGCCATTATTTGATTATATATACATATGGCTGTAGACTTTTTTGACAGCCCTCTCATCGGCGCCTGTTGCCTTGTATTCTTTCATGTTTTAACACAGCTTTTTTTGCGGAGGCTGCATAGGGTGCCTTATCGGGGCGCCGGTCACTGAAAACCGGGTTGGGTCTACATTTTTGAACTGGTAAACAGTCCGGGTCAGCCTCTGGCGCGACGTCTGATTGAGCTTGAAATGTGCAAAGTGCAAGGTGATATGCAGATAAGAAAAAAAGGATGCGAAATTGAAAATGTGTATTGCGGAATGAAAATAAAAACGAAAGAGGATGCATATAGATGTTCAGTGACAAATCGTCATAAAAAGAAGAAGCAAGAGACAATAGTGTTGAACACTATAAAAAAAGAGAACGAAGAAGTATGACATAATACAGTGCGAAATGTGGCTCAGAGAGACTTAAGTAAAAGGGAACAAAGAGAAAAGAACAATGAAAACAAAAGCCAACTGTAACCACAAATCGAGGAGACCGCATTGTTTCAAGGTCTCAGGCTGCATGCAAGTCCGACCTTCGAAAACAGCCGCTTGCAAAATATTGTAAGTGGCAGGTACATCTAGGCACTTGCACGTCATCTCCACAATCGGGAAAACCATATACTTGGCAATGACGCCAATACTCAATGGTTGTCTTGCTTCAATAACGCGAAAGTCATCTGCATTTTTTTCTTCGATGGCTCAGTTTTCTTTAGGGTGAAGCCATACTTTTTGGGCCATGTGGCGGGCGATCCCTTTCTGGCGGATACACGTGAATTTTTTGCACTAAATTGAAATGGTATCGGTCCACATTTATTTGAAAAGAGTGAATTAAATCTATGGTCTTAATGTCAAAGTAATCCATGAATGAGTAAAGCGTCATAAATATATAACATAGAGGACAGCACAGAAGCTAATAAAGGAATGTTCTGAGAAAGGGGGGGGGGGAGAAATGCCAGATAATTCGAAAAGAATGGTAATGAGGTCTTCCTTCACTTTCCGGTTGCTGTCGGAGAGCTTGCTTGAAGCCAATTTGAATAATCCTCCAAAATCATACAGCATCGCAACAAGGGAGAGGTGACAGATCATATTGCTGAGGACTTAAAGAATCCAAAAACGACGACAACGGTCTCTCAACTCTTGGGCACCCTTTTATTCGTGCCGTCATCACATCGGCGTCCTTAATTTGGCGAGCTTCTATTGCAGCTGAATCGGCCCCTCTGGATGTGGAAAAATCAGGTGTGGTGTCGTCCAATATATCAAGCGCCAAGTGCTGCAGAACACGAGACGCGAGCTTTTCGGCACTCAGCGCGGAAGAACCATAGCCTTGATTATGAGGTGTGTCGCAAAGTGTGAATATCGTCGTCGGCCTGGTGAATTCGGTATCCAGCTGCGGGACCACGGCGCGCCAGGGCGCAAGTGTGCTGGCATCCTCAAACGATGACGTTACTTGGCGAAGATGGTGAAGTCCTGGGGAAGGGAGGCGGTTATGAAATGTTGTTGAATACATTTAGAAAATGCTCGATATTGGCCCGAGGATAAACAATCCTTATGCTTTCAGGGCGAAGAGATGTGGCTAATGAATTAGGTGATGGCCCAATAAACAAAGACCTGTCTTCGTGCAATGACGCTCTTATCATGCATAGGATATTCATCGTTAAAGTACCAAACTTGAGCTTATTTTCCATTCCATGATCATCGGCTTCTTCAAAGATACCAGCGACAAACAAGGCATTGTATGGAGATTGGATAAGCTGGGGCAGAGTTTTGAAGAATGAACGTCTAGACTTTTTGCCCGACCGTATGCCTCCCCAGCGATGATAAAATGGACATCTTTGTTCACCACAATGGCTCCAGTGATAAGCACGCCACCGCCTGCAGCAGTTCTGGCCGGTGTCGGAAATCGTAATTCAATGCGTCCAGAAGCTCGGGCGTAGACCTCCGCGTAATGCCCCATCTTAGCTAACAGGTTTGGTAGCCACGATCTGCGGACAGTTCGGCTGATTTTCGGCGCGATGTCAGCTGAACTTGACTTGATAACGACGTCGGTACCAGATATCGGATCGGCGACAGCAGATGTGATGGAGGCCTTTCTGGTCGGCAATTGGAGGGCGCATGGCAAAGGCAATGAACTTGTTGGTGTGTTGAAAGGGAACGCTTGGCATACGCTGTGTAAGTCAACGATATTCGCAAGTGCCATCAGCCTCAGTGGCATGGTTCTTCCAGGGTAGGCTAAGTCCAGTGCGCCAGGATCGCATTCCAATGCGTTGGCCATGTTGGCGTTGCGGACGGATGAACCAAGTTTCAATGCTGCGTGGCAGCCATCGATCTTACGGAAAGCCACAGGATTTGCTTTCTGCCGCTTGCTGGGCTGTTCCTTTTCTTTATCAACTGCAACGGTGCCATTGGAGCCGGGGTGAATTCGAGCTGCATGTTGACGGAATGTCTCCAGATTTGCATAAGCCTTTTGGCAGTCTGCCAGTGGGCACCGAAACTTTTCTAATTCATAACAGATAGGCTGACTATGTATCACAAAACATCCAGTCAAGTATCTTATATATGCAAACCAGGTTTCTTATTACCGTTCCCAGCAAATTCTAGAATGAGCGTGGTTGCATGGTCATTGCTACGGTGCGCATGAAGAGAATTCGTGCTGTCAAAGCTCCGTTTGTAAGGTATGCACCGCAAAGAGACGACGTCAGCCGCCTTTTGGCTGCCTATTGGGAAGCTCAGATACAGTGAGAGTATTGGAGATTTGCAGTCAGATAATGAAAAAAAGAGTAATCCGATTGAAAAATTAAGATAAAATGTGAAGAAAAAAAGGGGCCTACAGCAAAGTGAAATACCTACAAAGCCCGTGGCCAATAGAAGTATGGCCACCAATCGAATTAGAAGCAGGGCAGCCAGCTAGCGATTTTTTTGGGCCAACTACCAGCGGCTTTTCATTGGCCACCATTGCCTACCAGCTAAATGAATCAGCAATGGAGATGATAAATCACAGCCTATGCCAATCATAAGAGCAGAGAAAATTAACTCGCAATTTCTTGTTTCTCATGAGATCGAGAACGAGCCTAACTTCCAGCCAATGAAGTTACATGAGCAAAACATGTGGCAATATCAAGTATGTATGAGGAGTAGCGAGAATTGAAGCAAGCTCCTATTGATGTTATTCCCTTAATATAATAAAAGTGTAGCTAAGTCTTTTTCCGATTTAAGAGTGTTTTTGGTCGAGGATGATAAATGATGCAAATATCGAATTTTGGAATATTTTACAGATTACACTATTGGAAAATTCCAAAAATTGATTCTTAAATCGAATGTTCCGAAATCGAGCGGTGACTGGTACTGTTCGATTACACTTACTGACCCAAGTTTCTATTGTATCTGACTTGCGGCATTTGCCAAAATCTCTTTTCAAGGATATTTTTTGGATCGACAGCACCGACGAACATTTGCTCATAGATATTTGGATCCGCGACAGGTTTGCTGAATGACATGGTATTCTTAAGATATTTCAATGCATCATCTTTACTGACTGTCACTACCGTATAACAAGTGTAAATAAGTACAAAAAATAAGAAGGAAAAATCATTTGAATCAGCGCGATGAATTTTATGATCAAGTAAAATCTCAAATAAAAGAAAAAAGAGCTTCTTTCGCTGACAGTCACCGGTCCTACAGTTGTCCAGCCCTGTTCTTAAAGGTTGTTTATCGTATAAAGAAGCCTTATCATATCACGCACTGAAAAAATCCGTTGAACCTGTTCTTTTCATTTTTCTTTCGTCCGATCGTACAGCCTTTTATTTCCGCAGCCAAGCAAATCCGTTCCATTCAGCAAGAAGGAGAAAAATAAATGTGACGCACGGGAAATGATGACGTACGCGACAAATGACGCTTCTTGAGAGGTAGAAGCTTGAAGAGATTTTTGGAATTTAGTTCCTTCTTCGGTATCGCATAATCTCTCTTTCCTTAATGAAAACATTCGTGTTTCTGTTACGCCTCACTTTCGCAACGCTGAGGTTTCTACAACGCTAGCGGGCCTTGTCGATCTCCGTGTACCGTGGCATTGTGATTCCGCACCTGGTTTAGGACGGAGATACTCTATGAAATTTTCCTGGACAAGTCCAGGTTGTGCCTTTGTTCTTCATGCACGATGCTTGCGCTTTGGAGGCGAGCATCCAAGCGCACCCAGAACAACCGTGGCGAACGAAGAAACGCTGCAGCAAGACACTGCATCGCAATCAGACAAACAACTTCAATTTCGCTGCGCCACTGACTACAGACCGCAATGGTTCGGTGTCCAGTCAGTCAACGTCATCTGGTGGTTTTTCCTTCGCTTCAAGTTCTGCTGAGGCAATCCCGGGCTTCATTCAAAATTACAAAGGTAAACTTGGGGTTTCCCTTCTCCTTTTCGTGCATATTTACGCCTGTTGAGTATCTCAAGGAAGTCATGTCACTCCCCAAACCGGTCCCAGATCATACATATATGAACAAGTGTTTGTGAATCCTGCGAAGCAAAAGGCTCTTTTAGAACAGAGATTTGGGCCTCTCGTGATCACGTCACGTCAAAGAGAAACGTGGGTCAGCAAGGGCAATGCTTGGGGCCCGCGGAAGTATAAGAAAAGGCGAAAATCTCGTCAGAGGCCGTCTCTTATGGGTAATATAAGAGAAATATTTAGGTAAGGATAAAAAGAAGGAGATATAATGCATTTACTCAGATTTGTATTTAGAACTGGTCGTCATCAAATGATCTCGTCAGATATAATACGCATGTTGAGACGTTACTACCAAGAAAGGGGGATGTGTTCATTCAGTGGTAAGAATTCGAAGGAATGGGTTCATAATTATTTATGAACTAAAATATGATTTCGAAATAGGGGCGATACCATCTCCAACAGCTGCAAAACCGCCAAACTCGATTTTGAGCTGGATCCCCGACTTATCGTTGGTAACACTTCTCCTTTGACATCGGCAACGGCGAATTCGCTGTCACTGAATCAAAGTACTACTATGACGACAGTCGGAGGCAGTGGTGACTGCAAAATGCCATCTGAACGGGCTCCTTGTTCATGGGCCCATGATGTCGCAAACCGAAATCGCTCGTCTATACGTCCGGTCGTTCGGATATTGGGCCTGAACTGTATTGTCTACACTCGGTGGGATGGAAGAGATCCTGTGAAGATTTCGTGGGCAAGCTTCCAGGTCGTGCCTTTGTCCTTCGTACAGGATGCCTGCGCTGTGGAGGCGAGCATCCAAGCGCACCCAGAGCAAACGTGAAAGCTGCGACAAGATACGGTGTCCCTAGAACCCTCAGACTTCTTAGGCAATTCCACTTCTTCTGAGAATTCTGACGATGAATCTTCCGATGAAGAATAGATCTCACTGGTGAGCACGGAGATCAACCCATTGGTCCGTCTCAGCCAGGCGAGCGATACATCCGTTTGGCATGCCAAGATCTACTTGCCTAACTGTGCGGCTGCATCGCCCGCTAACTATTTCCTTCGCTTCTTGCTGGTCAATTACTTTGAATCGGTTGTGGCGAATTCACCAGGATGAAGACCGCCACAGAGGCAAATACCATTACGACAGAAGCAACTGTGTTGGCAGCAAAGTGCCACTTGAACGAGCTCCTTCTCGTCACATCTCGGGCATTTTCTGGAAGTACTCGGTTCATCCGTCCGCAGCGCCAACATCACCAACGCATTGGAATGCGATCCTGGCGCACTGGACTTCACCACCCCTGGAAGAACCATGCCACTGAGGCTGATGGCAATTGCGAATACTGACGATTTACACAGCGTATGTCAAGCGGTCCCTTTCAGCACACCAAAAAATTCATTGCCTTTGTCATGCGTCCTCCAACTGCCGACCAGAAAGGCCTCCATCATATCTGCTGTCGCGATCCGATATCTGGTGCCGACGTCGTTATCAAGTCAAATTCAACAGACATCGCGGCAAAATTCGGCCGAACTGTCCACAGATGGTGGTTACCAATTAAACCATCTACATTATTCGACTCATGGTGATATCAACCAACGATCACTCGAAGGCCAATACTGACAAGGTTACCGTTCCTATTCGAAAGAAGATTACCGAATAAACTATAAGAAAGGGTCATCTACGCGTAAGCGACACCGGGATGCTCTTCGGTCTATTCTGTCCATAGTTGATAATATCACGGCATCGTGAAAGATTCACGGATATTCCGCGAGAAAGGAATCGCGTGCAGCGGTATCTGGAGCCACCTTGTCCAAAAAGACTGGCTTCGCCCCTAAAGAAAATCAAGCCAATCGAAGAAAAAATGCAATGATCCCCGCGTCATTGGCCAAGTATATGGTCTCCGAAATTGTCGACGATGACGCGCAAGTACCTCAGTGTCTCTGCCACTTACAACATCTTGCAAGCGGCTGTTTTCGAAGGCCAGAATTGTATGCAGCCTGAAATCTTGAAACAATGCGGTCTCCTTGATTTGTGGTTACAGTTGGCTTTTTTTTTTTCATTGTTCTCTTCTTTCTTCCCCTTTTTCTCCAATATTTTTGAACCACATACGCACTGTATCATGTGATATTTCTTTGTTTTTGTTTTTTGTTTTTCTTGTGTTCTTTGTTCAGCAATTCTTTCTTGCTTCTTCTTTTTATGACGATTGCCACTGAACAGCTATATGCGATCTCTTCCGCTTTCATTTTCATTTCGCAATACACTTTTCAGTTTCGCATCCTTTTTTTTTCCTTATCTGAATCACACATTTCATTTTGCACATTTCATGCTCAACCAGACGTCGCTTCAAGGGCTGTCCCAAACTGCCTACCAGTTCAAAAAAGGTAGAACCAACCCGGTTTTCAGTGACCGGCGACCCGATAAGGCACCCTACACAGCCTCCGCAAAAAAAGTGAACGAAAACATCAAAGATTACAAGACAACAGGCGCCGAGGAGACGGCTGTCAAAATCTATAGTCATATGTAGGTCTAATCAAAATAATACCTTATGAATCGTTTTTCTAAACTTTGTTCTTTAGAATCAATCAACATGCCTTTCACGGGTCGATGTTATTGGGCGACTATCTAAACCTATGCTCCGAACAGTCCCTGATTGTCAAGTTCTGGGGATATCTCTTCTTTGAAGCCTTCATGTCAAGAAACGGCGATGGGTTCCTGCAATGGTAAAGACACGGATGCAAATATGGTCCAGTAATATGCATTGGCTAAACTATGACTTCGAATAGGTGTGACCCTATTTCCGAAAGCTGCAAGAGCAATCAAACCCAATGCAAAATGGATACCATCCAAGCTTTGCAATGTAAGTTTAATTATGGGTTCTTATTGTTAAAATACACTAAATCATTTTTATTTATCAGCTGTAGGAATCTTGGATGCTGCTCTGACCAGAGAACACCTTCTTAGAAGACTCTGTGGTGCAAATCGCTTGTTGGTCATGGTGGAAAAAGTAGGTTTCAGCATAATTGCTAATTCCTACTATCAGTTTTATTCTACTTATCAAGGTAAGATATTAACGTCATTATTGGATACAGGTTTACTAATCTTTTATCTATTTTAGCTCGCAAACTTGATTTCAGGCCTGATCTACGGCTAATTATTGGTGGCTTCCCAACTTTTGACATCGGCGAGGGCGAATTCGCGAGGTGCAAGGCTGTCACCGAAACGTTGTACCACTACGTGGGCTGCGTTGGCGGCCAAATGCCATGTGAGCAGGCTCCCTGTTCATGCGCCCATGGTATCGCAAATCGAAATCGCCCGTGTATACGTTCCGGTCGTTCATATGGTGGGCTTAAACTGTCATGTCGACATTCGCTGGGATGGGAAAGGTCCTTGAAAGTTTCCTGGGATAGCTTCCAGGTCGTGCCTTTGTTCTCCGTACAGGATGCCTGTGCTGTGGAGGCGAGCGCTCAAGCGTACCCAGACGAATCGTGGCGAACGAAGGAAATGGTGCAACAATATACGGCATTCGTAGAATCCTCAGGCTTCTTGGACGATTTCTGACGATTATGACGATGAATTCTCCGACGAAGAAATAGACCTCACTTGTGAGCATGGACATCAATGGGTTGATGTCCGTCTCAGCCGGGCGAGCGATGCATCCGTTGGGCATGCCAAGGTCCACTTGCCTAACTGCGCAGCTGCATCGCCCGCCATGTATTTCCTTCGTTTCTGGTCGATGGACGGAATTCGAAGCCAGCAAGCCAAAAAAGCAACTATGTGTCTAGGTAAGTTTACACAGAAATCTTTATCCAATATCGTTTATTGACAGAGTGGCATCCCATAGCATGTCCAAAAATGGTGTGGTATATCCACTACTTGTCGTATTATACATCCTAGACTGGTGTTCCCAAACAGGAAAGATCGGGATCTAGACGTGTTTCCATTCTGAGTGAGCTTCTCCATTAGAACACCGATTGAGCCTCTTCATCCATAACATGGATCTGTCGGCGAGATCAATTCATACGGGTAACGCTGTCACATCACAGCATGTGGATCCTTTCTAATACACCTTATAACCGAGGACTGCTCCCTGATAATTATCAATTCGGACTCAAGATTAAAATACATAGGCAGATCACATTAATCGAAATAAAGATATCCAACAGTTTCAAAGGATCCTCATTGTCTCTTTTGTCCTAAATTCTCTCATATATCACAAATGGAATAATTGATGTCAGCGACGAACTTCCTGGTCTAGATTTCTGTTTTGGGCGCTCATGCTCGAAACCGTTTGCTGTCACGATATAGATACAATTCAAGCGAACATGTCGAAGATCTCAGTAATTCGACTCTGGCAAGCTCGTTTAAAAGGGTAATCTCCTCTTAGAGATAGTTCTCCACTTTGCTTTGTCTAACATTGCAAAGATCGGAATCAGAGCCACGATATAAAAAATTGTATGAAAGGATATATATTTTGGATGCTGCTTTGACCACGGAACACCTTTTTTGAAGACTCATGGTGCAAATCGCTTGTTGGCCGTGATGGGAAACGTAAGAAGCAGCATAATTTCCTGATTCCTACTATCAGTATATTCTGTAACAAGGTGATATTATTTTTGTAGTCTTTGGTGGATACGGTATATTGATCTTTTATCCATTTTAGCTTGCCGAACTTGATTTCAAACCGGATCTACGCCTGATTGTTGGTAATAACATTTGACATCGGCAACGGTGAGTTTGCAATTCGTTGTGACTTCAGGATCGAGACTGAGTATAATGCAAGCTGCTGCCACAGCGGTCATGGGCGGTGGTGACATGATTGTAAAAAGTGAAGAGCACAGGACCTAGTGTCTGAAGAGAAATTCCCTTTTATCCGGATGGGTTGTGGTCGGTCTCATTGCGGTGAATCAGTGTATTTTCGAGTGTGGTATCCAGCGTAAAATTCATTGCTTGGCGATGACCAGCAAACTCCACAAAGTTCCACAGCTACGATGAATAAATTGCTTTCTATGACTGCTCTCCCCCCCAAAAAAAAAACCAATGCCAAATTTGCATGGCTCTTTCCGGTCACTCTCAGTCGGGGACCCCTTCACCGATGGAGGTATATCCACTCAACCCTACGTTCTCAGCCTCTCACCACGCTACGACCGAATCGCAAGATCCTGTAATTGGCCTATTTGAACGATCAACCTATGCTAGGATCACCAAATCTGGTTCCGCGATACCAGCAACTCGAGCAAGGCACAACAAATATCTATCATCACCATGGAAACCTTCGATGCTAAAAGTAATAAATGGCTTTCCCAAACAATCATTCATCACGCTAGCACCTCCGAACACTATGGGTGATCGCCCGCCCCAGGCCCTCCACCACTTATAGCTTGAGTTTTAATCCGCCCGAACCAACGTTTCTCTTTTGGAGTGTGCATTGCGCCTTCTCGTTGAAAGATCGGAACGACATCCTGAGCGAAGTAGTCCTGACTTCTGCCGACTATTTGGTAGGCGCAGTTGGCCAACCTTTCATCCTTCGAGTTACGCATCAGTTACAGCCTTCCCCCTCGGTTAACACCAACCGCGCCTTGTTGCGCGTCAACTTGACAAAGATCCCGTTCATGCCTTTCCATGTTCTCAAGAAAACATTAATTGACAATTCGCCCTTTACGGCATAGTAAGAGATATAATTATCTACCTCGATGACGCCTCCAACACTGCCTTCACGACAATGGGTGTATTTACCTGAACGTCTAACTAAGGCTTTAAACACTAAATACGACAAACTCAAGTACAAAAGTTGACTTGGTAATGAGAATTTCTGCTGTGATGTGTAAGAAAATTTAAGAATAAAAGAGACGATGAGAATTGTGGGTCGTGCTTAGCACAATCCTTGTTGGCTTCACGCCGCCTTCCAATGGGGTACCATTTTCCGGAACCGAAAAAATTGTCTTCGTAATAGCGGTATTATTTTTCGAACGTGTTGCTCGTAAAGCTCCAGTTTGCGTGTTCCTTGACAGACCCGATCGAATGCCCCTGTTGAACGCTTTTGGTTTCGCCGCCGATCTAATTGCGAGTCCTTTGTACGTCGTCGTATGGATGCCCGCTTCGCTCATTTGATTCTTAATCCAGTTCGCTACTGTAACTGGCTTCACCCGATCGTGTTTTCGATACGTCTTCTATATACGCTAGAAATAGTGTGTGTTCTTCCGGGAGTCCGTTTCTCATGGGTGTTGATTTCTCAATGACGTTTTCGAGGGTGCTCACCGGGCACATGCTTTCCTCTGGGATTTTGCCTAACTTCAGTGTCTTGAGTTGCAATTCTTTGTTGTCTCAAAATTACATATAGGCGCCCACTACTGCCTGTTCTTCTTTGATGAGGTGCACGTCTCGAAATTGCAATCTTCCTATTTCCGATCTTGGCCTTCCCATGCTGCTGATGGCTAATGGTCTTCTCTTGTAATTTCTTCAAAGGTAGAGCATCCGTACTTGACATTATTGATCTAATATAATCTGTCAATATGTCCAAATCCCATGTTTCAGTTTGTTGTATGGATGGAATGCTTAGCCCGTTCTCTTCTTTTGGCCTTGAAAAATTTTGCGACCAAGGGCTGGTCAGCGATTGGAGTTTTGTTCGGGTGTAAATGTTTGTAAACTGAGGCCATGCAGAGGGCATGATGCTCAGACGATGGTATGAGTAGTTCGAATGTTGAATGAAAAATTCCACTAGGCGTTGAACCTCATACTCTTCAGGATCCCACTTTGGGTCTTTTCTTCTACACCAGGCCGACCATTTGTTCCACCCTTAATGATACGCGTTTTGTGTGTGGAGCCGATTTGCTTTCAACAAATACTTTTGAGTATCTTCGGTAAGGCCTCTTTCCTTGTGTGCTCTCCTGATAATAGCCAAGCGGACATTTTTCATCGGCCACCAGTGCCTACCAGCTAATTTATATGGGCCACCACCAGTGGGTTTTCACCATGATATCCAGCTGGTATCACAATGATCCAATACGATGTTGAATTTAGATGAATCAGCAATGGAGAATGATAAATCACAGCCTGTGCCAATTATAAGAGCAGAGAAAAATTAACTCACAATTTCTTGTTTCTCATGAGATCGAGAATGAGCTTAACTTCCAGCCAATGAAGTTCATGAGCAAAACATATGGCAATATCAAGTACGTATGAGGAGCAGCGAGTATTGAAGCAAGCGCCTATTGATGTTATTCCCTTAATATAATAAAAGTGTAGCTAAGTCTTTTTCCGATTTAAGAGTGTTTTTGGTCGAAGATGATAAATGATGCAAATATCGAATTTTGGAATATTTTACAGATTACACTGTTGGAAAAATCCAAAAAGTGATTCTTAAATCGAGTATTCCGAAATCGAGCGGTGACTGGTACTGTTCGATTACACTTACTGACCCAAGTTTCTATTGTATCTGACTTGCGGCATTTGCCAAAATCTCTTTTCAAGGATATTTTTTGGATCGACAGCATCGACGAACATTGCTCATAGATATTTGGATCCGCGACAGGTTTGCTGAATGACATGGTATTCTTAAGATATTTCAATGCATCATCTTTACTGACTGTCACTACCGTATAACAAGTGTAAATAAGTACAAAAAATAAGAAGGAAAAATTATTTGAATCAGCGCGACGAATTTTATGATCAAGTAAAATCGCAAATAAAAGAAAAAAGAGCTTCTTTCGCTGACAGTCACCGGTCCTACAGTTGTCCAGCCCTGTTCTTAAAGGTTGTTTATCGTATAAAGAAGCCTTATCATATCACGCACTGAAAAAATCCGTTGAACCTGTTCTTTTCATTTTTCTTTCGTCCGATCGTACAGCCTTTTATTACCGCAGCCAAGCAAATCCGTTCCATTCAGCAAGAAGGAGAGAAAAAATGTGACACGCGGGAAATGATGAATGACACTTCTTGAGAGGTAGAAGCTTGGAGAAATTTTTGGAATTTAGTTCCTTCCTCGATATCGCATAATCTCTCTTTCCTTACTGAAAACGTTCGTGTTTCTGTTACGCCTCACTTTCGCAACGCTGAGGTTTCTACAACGCTAGCGGGACTTGTCGATCTCCGTGTACCGTAGCATTGTGATTCCGCACCTGGTTTAGGACGGAGATACTCTATGAAATTTTCCTGGACAAACTTCCTGGTTGTGCCTTTGTTCTCCATGCAGGATGCTTGCGATTTGGAGACGTGCATCCAAGCGCACCCAGACCAACGTGGCGAACGAAGAAACGCTGCAACAAGACACTGCATCGCAATCAGACAAACAACTTCAATTTCTCTGCGCCACCGACTACAGACCGCAATAGATCGGTGTCCAGTCAGTCAACGTCATCTGGTGGTTTTTCCTTCGCTTCAAGCTCTGCTGAGACATTCCCGGGCTTCATTCAAAATTACAAAGGTAAACTTGGGGTTTCCCTTCTCCTTTTCGTGCATATTTACGCCTGTTATCCGATAGTGACAGTCTGCAAGAATGAAGCTCTCGAGTATCTCAAGGAAGTCATGTCACTCCCCAAACCGGTCGCAGATCATACATATATGAACAAGTATTTGTGAATCCTGCGAAGCAAAAGGCTCTTCTAGAACAGAGATTTGGGCCTCTCGTGATCACGTCACGTCAAAGAGAAATGTGGGTCAGCGAGGGCATGCTTGGGGCCCGCGGAAGTATAAGAAAAGGCGAAAACCCCCGTCAGAGGCCGTAACACAAGCGTAGTGCAGTGTTCCTTGACTGTGAGGGTGGTTAGAATGGCATGAGGGTGTGCCAATTCTAACGGCTAGGATATTTATGGGTAGTAAAAGAGAAATATTTAGGTAAGGATAAAAAGAAGTAGATAGAATGCATTTACTTAGATTCGTATTATATAGAAGCGGACGTCATGAAATAATCTCGTCAGATATAATACGCATGTCGAGACGTTCCTACCAAGAAAGGGGAATGTGTCCATCCAGTGGTAAGGTTTCGAAAGGAAATGGGTTCAGAATTATTTATGAACTAAAATATGCTTTCGAAATAGGGGCGATACCATCTTCAACGGCTGAAACCGTCAAACTGGACTTCAAATTGGATCTTCGACTGATCGTTGGCAACACTTCTCCATTTGATATCGGGAACGGCGACTTCACCAAGTTCAGTGCCACCAAAGAGTCAAATATTATTACGACAAGACGGAGACTGTGTTGGCCGCCAAGTGCCATTTGAACGAGCTCCTCGTTCATGCACCAATGATGGCACAACCCGAAATCGCCAAGATCTACATTCCAATCATCCAAATCATGGTCGTAAACTGCCATGTGTACACTCTCTCTTTAGTCGATAAAGGTGTCTATGTGCTGCGAAACGTCTACCAGATGTCGTACCCGCGGACAAGTCGAGAGATCCGAAATAAGGCCATTCAAATTTTGTCGATCGTTTAGCTCTCATCGAAGTAATTAGATTGAAAGAGTTCTTCAGTCTCAGCTATACTTAAACTTTCTCCATGATATATTCAGGAACGCCGAGGACGCCCGTAACGAATATAGCAGATCGATCATGGATGTGATGTCGAAGAAGATCTTGAAGAAACGAGTAAAGAAAGCGTGTAACATGGACGACTGAATCAGTCGAGTTGTGTGTCAGAGCGAGAGTCGGAGAGACTGCAGAGCCTACGGAAGACACTGAAGGCATTGAAGATTGAAAACTTTGAAGATACTCTCAGGCTTCTTGGGCGGTTTCTGAGGATTATGACGATGAATCATCCGAAGAAAAAATACACCTCACTTGTGAACATGGAGATCGACCCGTGGATGTCCGTCTCAGCCGGGCGAGCAATGCATCCGTTGGGCATGCCAAGGTCCACTTGCCTAACTGCGTAGCTGCATCGCCCGCTAAGTATTTCCTTCGTTTCTGGCCGATGGACGAAATTTGAAGCCAGCAAGCCAAAAAGCAAATATAGTCTAGGTAAGATTACACCGAAACCTTTATCCAATATCGTTTAATGACAGAGTGGCATCCCATAGCATGTCCAAAAATATAAAAGTTGACGTCAGCGACGACCTTCCTGGGTCACAGATTGCGCTTTTGGGGACTTACACTCAAAAACATTTCCTGTCACGATATAAATTTCATACGAGCGATGATCTTGATGTCAATGTTTCGACCCTGGAAAGCTCGTTTAAAAAGTATTCTCCGGAGATTGTCACCACTTTGATTCTTCTAAATGTTTGCAAAGGTCAAAAATACCGCTTCAGCAAAAAAAGGATCTAGGAAAAGATTGAAGAGTATAAAGCAACAGACGTCTATGAAAGAGCTGTCAAAAAAATATACAGCCATATGTAGGTATAATCAAATAATGGCTTATGAACCGTTCTACAATTGTTCTTAGATAAATTAGCACGACTTTTATGGGACAATGTTCTCGGACGAATACTTGAATCTGTGCTCGGAGCAGTCATTGATTGGTCAAGTTCTGGGGATTTCTTTTTGAAACCTTTATGCCAATGAATGGCGATGTGTTTCTTCAATGGTAAGATACGGATGCAAATGTGATTCCGAAGCGTTTTTTTGCTTAGAGTAGTAGTGACACATCATTTGTATATTTAAAATTCGATCCCCATCATTTGTTCTTAGATATCAGATGTAATAGGGATGATCCCTTTCGAGAATAAAACAGTCTCAACGTACTCAGCTCTCTACCAATCTATACAACAGCTCTAATTATTTACATCATTAAATACCGTATGTATCTCATCTTTTCATGCATATGCTGATTCTTTCTTTGGCCTTTTTTTCGTTAATTAGCTTGTTCATGCATGGAAGTGTCGTTTTCAGTAAGATCCCCCGACCTTTACCATGACTTGGAAGGCGAGGAGTACGGCTGGCATCACAGTATATCTCGAAATAACGCTACAAATGATTGCTGATAAACTGGATCATCACCGGTTACCCTAGGAAAGAATAAAACAAAAGTAATTTGTAATCGACATTGCATTGACTTACCAGTTAGAGCAGATATATTCCGATGGCTAGCACTGTAGTAACTCATGCATTTAGAAGGGTGGTATAGATCATAGGAAATATTCTCGGTGTAGTTGCACCCAAATTAAAGGAGACAAACGGAATACTAGATATCATCTGACCGTACTTGGCAAAGGCATACTGCAAAAGGTGAAAATTACAACTAAAAATCTACACAAGGATTGGATCATATTTACATTCATTCACATCACTACAACCGATATTTATTTATCATCAGTTTTCACATATATAGTACGCTTTGCTGCGGAAAGAAAAGAGAAGAAAAACATGTAAATTGCACGTATACATATCTGGAAGGTCTACAGTGAAGTATCGAACGAGTTTACAGGTAATTCTGCATTGAGCCATAGAAACCGGTTGAACTGTAGCGAGATATAGAATCTTCGGGAGGCGGACATCAGTGGCGTTATTCAGGTGCACTTTGCGCCCAACACAACCCTGGATCTGAGTGATTATTGCTTTCATAGAGAGCTCCGTCCAGGCAACTTCGCGTTGTCGATGCCTAACTTTCTTCGCATTGCCAATTGTTTATGTAAGGATCGACTCTCGAGTTCAGCCTTGGAACCTCCGATTTCGTATCATCTCTATTTGTAGTCATATATCAGCGAAAACGAGCATCCGACCTTAAAACTAGGTATGTATTATCTAAGAATTTATCTTAAGCCGCAAAAAGAAACGTTCTGGAGCCAGCCCATCAAGTAAACATGATGGTATCAGCTAGCGACTTAGTCCTGAACGCCTACCAACTCCTGGACTTCCGGCTCCATGAAATGCCAAAATCGCGTAGACGGCAAAATATAATAAAGCATTCAACCAGCAAAAGGTATCACGCAAGCCTAGCTCCTACGCCTGCAAAGCGAGCTACAGTGGCAGAATCGGAACACATGTTGTTGCTTCCACCTTGCCACATACACATTCGATTAAGTGCGTCAAAGCAGTGGACACTGTTGCAAATGAAGAGATTCTCAAATCTGCCATGCCACGATCGAACTTTGAGATCCCGCTATGAACCAAGGAAAGTTATGATGCCCACGCCAATTCTGAAATGCACTTTTGGGCCTTCCTCTTGCAAATATGAGTGCAGGAGGAGTAGTAAAAGTTATCCTTTATTGATTCGAATTGCTTTGCATCGTTTGAGCCACTAAGTTTCTGGGGCTCTTTCTCACACCGCCTTGTGGTCAAGAGACTTGTGGACCGTTAATATGGCAACATATTCCCAATATGTTGCAAGCTTATTAGTTGAGGTCGGTTGTTTTCTTTGTTACTCTGCATTTTCGACCATGATTGACATAGAAACTGGATCCAGTTTCCCGATTTGGCAGTTTCGTCTCCGTTTGCATCTTCCTTTTGTGGAAACTGTCTTGCAATTTTGTTATAGCGATGGTGTGACGCGAACCCAAGAAAAGTAATTTCAATGCAAGCTTTGCTGATTCAGCACTGTATTCTTCTTACAGTCCCATACGCGAAATATTTTACAGACTTCAAGATTGATATTATTTGCAGACCTTCATGATTGTTTGCCGCTATCTGCGTGAACCCGACTTTATGCTAAACCTGAAGATTAAATTTTTGAATTTGATAGTGTCCATCATTATCCCAATAGTCAATCAGCTTATCCCACTGATACGACTCTGACAGTGGTATATAGCGATCCTATGTTATTTTTAGCCACAGGTTTTTATGTAAAGTACAGGAAAGCGTGTTAAATGAATCATCGTATTACAATGGCGCTGTTTAATTTCTGCAAGTGCATTATCTATCGTCGCATCAAACCGTGCACAGCCACATAATGGATTATTTCGTAAGCATTATGCCGTGGCCCAAGCGAAAGCAGTTGCACAAGGCCGAATGCCGGTTCCAAAATCTTCTATATAAACCATGATCCGTGATGCCAAAAATATCCCACCATTATCTTGCCAATACGATGAAAGCCACTTTTGTACTTTTCCTCGTCGCCCTTCTCTTTTACACCTGCCAAGCCACCTACTCGTGCCACTGCAGCTCCAAGACCAGCGTTTCTATGAGCAGCAACGCTCTTACGAAGAAGGCATACAATCATGTTCATTTCAAGGTGGTCAACTGTCCCGGCGATAAGTGGAGAGAGAGAAATCCTTTGTTCAACAACATCTCAACCTATGATACCGATGGCAAGCCCTGTCGTGACGCATTCATCAAGGCTTGCAAATCTTTTGGAGCCAAGACTGGATGGTGCGCAAACCTTTAGATTATTCCTAGGCATAGATCAAACATGTCCAAATGTATTTTACAATTTTGCTTGTAACAATATCTAGTTGGGGCAAATTTTAATAAAGATGTGTATTTCATGTCAAGAAATACCGCGAAATGTGGAGAGAATATCGTGAGTGCAGTATATGAAAATGAAGATAAGAATTTTTACGTTATGAGAATATGTATAAGGGACATGAGTATGGTAGTAGATAGATAGCAAGGGGTACGAATGTATCGATTTCAGTATATGGTTCTTTTGAGATGGCCGATTTTGCAAGAGTTGACCTGTAAAAAATGTGAGCAGCCGCACCTGTATAAACCATTGGCATTAACTAATTACCTTGGTGGCAAATCGAAGTGAGCACAGAGTTTCTCCAAAATGTTCGCTCAAAGGAGAAAGGTTGACAAACATGAGTGTTTTGCTATTGCCGCCTATACCAATACATCAGTACCTTCCATCGTCTTTTGTATGAACTACTAGAATCCTCACCTAGGGAGTTTTGCAAAAGATAGGTCAACTTGGAATTTCGGTAAGGAATATGACTTCCTTCCTTTTTGTTGATCAATGCATGGATCACATCTCCAAGGCAACTCAAGCTTTTATTAATTGCTTGTGTCTCCTTCAGTCTCTCTCCTGTCGCACCTGACACCGATAGTCGCTCCGAACCGGCTAAATCGATCAAATTCAAGGTGCCTTCTGAATGCTCACCCGTGGTTACGTTGTGGCCAAAGATTTTCAAGATGAACACGCTGTGACTTCGAGAGGACCGTTCGTTCATATTGGTAGCACCCGTCGCACGATTTCGCTTCGCTCTAGCAAGCATGTAGCTAACCTTGGCCATCGAATCCAAAGGCACTACAGGCGCATGGCGATCCAACATCGTGGTTAATGACATATCCATCCCACTGCTGAGAATATCAATTACCTGTCGTTATATCTGTAATTATCGTTTTTCCATCTGGGTCATGCCGCACTTCGTGTTTAATTTTTCCATACTCCGTTGGATCGCCCAGGAGATCATGGATAGTTTCGTTGTAAATTTCCATGAATTGACCCTCCATATTGTATTCCCAGTTGTATTCTTGCAGTTTCTGCGCCATAGTATATATTTGCTCAACTGCACGAGGAATCATACCAGAGGGCTGGCTATTTCCGTCAGGTACGCCCTCCATTGTATAAGTCTACACCACTTGTTTAGTGATCAATCTTTTTCCCCCATTGTAATTTTACAAACCTTTCCACTGCCCGTTTGACCGTACCTAATCACATAGTTCTTAGCTTTGCAAAATGCATCGATACAGTATGAAGTTGCTACTTACGCAAAAATGCAGACATTATAGCCATCCAGCGCAGATTGGATTAACTGAGAGATTTCCAAGTAGCAATCTTCCTGAGTGCTTTCTGGAGCAAATACCTAACAAGAAAATGAAAGTCATTACAGAGAAGCAAGATATATTGTCTTCGCTTTCATGACCAGATGCTTACCTTGTCGAAAGAGAATGAATATGTTTTCTTGGACAATTTGCCAAGTGAACTGTATGTCTCTTCCAATAATTCAATATTTTCTCCATCTTCGCCCGATATATGGATGCTCGCCATGTTCACTCCTCGCTGCTTCTCATGTTCTACATACGAAAAAATTAGTGCTGACACATTGAAACTCTGACAGGTGGTAGTACCTAGTATCGGTCGAATTCGACAAAAGACGCGAATATTTCCTTTCAATTCCTGGATGGTGTTGTGTAGTTTGCGACGCATTTTTTCTTCTTCCCGTAACTGTTCCTCCATTTGCCGGACTTCCCATTTCATCGCTACGATTTGATCATCACAAGCCTCTATTTTCTTTTGCCGCTCAAGTAGAGTCCCGTCGGTTTGCTAGAACGATCGTTAGATGTGTACATGCTATGTTTGCTTTTTACTCACCTCAACTTTGGATTTTAACGAATGTAACTCGCTTTCGACGTCTGCAAAACCAGTGGAGGCTTCCGATATGTTGGTCTGTGAAGACGTCATGAGACAAAGATCGGGTAGATGAACGACAATTATCGTTATCGTTGCATTGAAAAGATTATGTAGAGCACATACCTTTAGAGTACTGTTCGCTTCAACTTCGCGACCGATCTGTTCCTGAATTTGAATTATCCTGTCTTGCAGACTGGTCAATTCGGTATTTAAATCATCTATACGTTTCCTCGAGAATTCATCGTCGTGTTCTAAATCCTTATTTAGGGTTGTGTACTGTAGTTTGAGATCGTCGATGGCTCGTTGTTGATCCTCAGCTAATGCCTTGTATGTGTGAGCTCGAAATCATTTATGCCGTAATTCCCCATCCTACCGTACCTGCTTTGTGCTTTCAAGTTCCGTAATACGCTGTAAAAGCTGTTGCTGCTGGTCATCTTTCTCTTGCAACTTCGTTTCATAATCGCGTTTCAGGTTTTCCAGATTGCTAACTTTTAGCCTTGTGAGTTATAGTACATTAGTATTAATCCGTAAAATCGTTTCATACCTTTAGCTAGCTCTTTCTCCAGTGTCTTCTCCATATTTTCCATTTTCCCCTATTTTCAATTTTTAGCGCGGATTTTTATCTTGCATGCTATAAGACATTACTCTGACGGGCAACGCTATTCTTTTCTCTGCTGTGGTTTTATTGGTATCGGTAACCCTCGCACGGGCAGGTAAGGAAAGTGATCGATCAATTATTCGATTGCGATTAGCCGTCATAAAAGAATTCGAGGCTGATGGTGATGACGTTTTCTTCGTAACCTTAACAACAGCCGATCGTAGTGTTGCGTTGTTTGCTGTATCGTTTTTGATGCGCGAACCGCGTTTGGCAAAATCATATTCTTCTGTTGCTTTTCTTTTCCCTAGGTGAGACACCTGAGTATCGAAGTTCGACTCTCGATTCAGGCCCAAGCGCACAATGTTGTCTTTCGACTTCAGCGGTGCTTTCATCGATGTGTTGATTAAACAAAAGTAATGCGGAGAGATTGATCAGGGAGCTTCAAATTACAGGAACTTGCAACATTCACCGACTTTCGCGATCCCGCGTCGGCCGTCCATGTGACTGTCCTGTCCCTGCTCGTCGAAAATTAAGGGCATGCTGCTCACCATCCAGTCAAAAGGGGGGATCTTTGATATCCTTTAAGAAAAAGCTGAACTTATACTGTACAATATGCGAGAGTTTAGTATATGCATACGCAGTAAGTGTTCTAGATTGTATCAAAAAACTAATACAATAGTTCGTTTTTGGAGCAAACTATCTGCAACAAGTCGTACGCCTAAATTTTGGGTGCCACCTGCCGACGGTTACATTAGGCACAGAAATGCCTGGAATAAAATTTAGAGCAATCACTGATCGTTGCCCGGAATTTGGCGACTTTAGTCACTACAGCTGGTGCAATACAAACTATCATGCCATTTCTATCTCAAATTCGACAGCACGAATAATACGCGTCAAGTTTCCGATATATACTTCGCTTGATTCTCCCTCAAGTTGCGAAAAAAAAAAACAGAACACCAGAGCCTCAGAAATTTCATTAGAAGGACGAGAATCCGGAAAGCGACGGCATTACAGCTTGTCTTCAACCTTTCAAAGCATCAGTAATTTTAAACGCCGCCTGCCAACATATTGACTGTCAGTTGGCTGGTAATTTTTGACAGTGCTTACTCCACAATGACCAGCAGGTGCGTATGATTCCAAGGGACAAGAGACTTTTGGCTAACTATGTGTTTTCAGCCTTTCTAATTTGGAAGATCTTACAGATGACGAAGCGTTGTTCGAGGAACTCGAGAAAGAAGAGGATAACGATCTGGCCATCATCCGAGAGCAGCGCATCAATGAAATCCAGCAAGAGTAAGTGCAATTTTTCATGTCGTTTTAAGGTCCTTCCATTAATAACATTAAAGATTGCAACGACGGCAAATGATGGAAGATAACAAACATGGTGTATACCTCGAAATCGAAAAAGAAAAGGAGTTGATGGACACTACGACGTCTGAAAAATACGTCGTCGCCCATTTTTTTCACTCAGATTTTCGACGTTGTAAAATCATGGATACCCATTTGGAGGTAAGATGTGATCCAGCAGACTTTGCAAACAGAAAAATGACTGATTCGATCTTTAGACTTTAGCCAAAAAATATTACCAAACTAGATTCTGCAAAATTGATGTTCAGAACGCGCCGTTCTTGGTAGAAAAACTTCAGATCCGTGTTTTACCATGCGTCATGGCTTGGATCGATGGTTACGCACAAATCAAGTATGGAGTGATAGAAATTTTTTATCATTCGGTAGTACTAATATGCCTGTTAGGATGGTTGGGTTTGATGAGCTCGGTAACACTGATAGCTTTTCAACCGGATCGCTGGAAATGAAGCTTATTGCAGCTGGTGAGTTTGCATGTGTATAATAGCATACCAGAAATTTTCATTGACTCGAGCGTCTGCTGTTTTATCATCTTAGGCGTTATAAGACGGAAGGAAAATCCAAATATGGAGGCTAAACAGAAGAGTATATTTCAGAGCACAGCAACAGGCTCGGATTCCGAGTTTGATGATTAGATATTTACGTGGCTGTAATCAGGATGCTAAATTCATGGCATTAAAAAAATGTATTTCTCCATTAAAAAATAAACTGCAGATCGACGACCATCACTAGTCATATTTTGAAGGACATCCAGTGGTGTATTCCGCGGTAGGTTACATAGAAGAGATTAATGTATGCGATCCTTCGCCTGCTTTAGGATAGATTCCGAGGCTGTCATCGGCTGGAGTTATTGGTGTGTCGGTGTCATGCTCTAAATTATCGTGCTGTGGGTATTGTCGTTGTACTTGTTTTTCATCCAATATTTGAAACAAATGTTCTTTTTCTTTTGCAATCGCTTCACTGCGCGCCATGCGTCCATTGAAGGCGAAGGCTAAGAGCATGTTCGCCCCAGCAACCACAGCTTGGAAAATGAGAGCATTGCGCATGTTGTTGAGCGGCGTTCCTTTGGTATCTCGTAGCATATCCATAATCAGGATCATGAGGAAACCCAAGATTTGCGCGCTCTGCCAAAGAAGCGAATTACTGGTAGCGTCGGCTACAGGATAGGAAGCTTTTATAAAATGAATGAATTAAGTTTTCCTCTCAAAATGTAGTCTGCCTGTTCCTTACTTTCACTGCCTAATTCGATCACCGTCGGCACCAGGAACGAAAGGAAAAATTGGTTCATGATCATCACAAAAAGGATCGCTGCATAAGAATCTTCTCGAACTATTACCCGAAGCGGAAAATAAAGAGTGTTGTCAGTAAAAATTCAACTTGCTACTGGCACGACTTAACTGATGAATACAAATCCTACGTCGGTGGCAAATACAAGAGGCGCAATAAGACGCAGGAACAGTTTATGTTGCTTTGTCGTATCAAGCACCGGTCCCGCTACGGCTGATCAATTTTATGTTAATCCATGTGGCAACGAATACGAATATATCAATCAGTCACTTACAACATCCAAGAGTACCGGCAAAAAAGGCAACCGCATTCATCTGACCCGCCTCGGCATCTGTATATCCATATGGTGCAATAATCTGTGTGAATATCGTGCCAAAAGCGACGCTGAGACCAACATTGAATCCATGAACAAGAAAGAGGATCCAGAAGTTATAGTTTTTGGCCAGTAATTTGAGACCTGCAAAAAAAGCAGGTTTCGGCTGCGTACTTGCAACCGATGGCGGGGTTGGAGGCTTTGCCGGCATAAAAAGTAGTGGTACGAAAGTGGCAGCGCACATGAGAGCAACAATCATTGTCTGTCCCACCAGATTAGGATATATACAATTGATACGAGCTCTGTAGGCTTACCGTGAACGACACATCTTTTGCCTCAGTAGCGATATTTGGAATCAAAAACATCCCCAGAATTGCACCGTAATTGGATGCTACCAGCAATGTTAATCAATCGGTAGTCTGTCAGTCAGTCATACAAATTCATTGCTATTACCAACAAACATTCCGGCAGTGGCTCGTAAGTTCTCTGTAAACCATATAGATGCAAACTATAAACCGCGATAAAATGGTTAGCTGCAATGACAGTGATATAGAATATATATATTGTACCATAGTCATGATGTTGAGTGCCAACGGAGCAGCCGCGGAACCTATGACCTGACCAACCATCACCAGGGCAAATGAGGATGGTTCGGTCTTTGTGGCGATGTATCGAATGGCAGCGCCCAAGGTACTAATAAGACCTGCCGTAATCAACTGTCCATTCATCAGCCGCTATATTACACAATCCGTCTTTTTTTGTTCTCTTACTGAACGCTTGACGCCGAGTCTTTCGAATATCCATCCTGTAAAGAAGCTCACAATAACGTAGATCATGCCTTGTATATTTAAGAGCCAATTGACGGCAGTCAAGGAGACGTTAAAAAACTGTCCAGTAATGCCTGGAATCACACTGTAGGTGAATTGAAAGACGGAAGTGGTGGTTCGTAAAAGTACAAGCAACAATAACGCAAGCCATGCTTGCGGATAAGTCCTGAACATTCGAGACTGCAGGTCTACCACAGTTCGCCCAGATTCTGAAACTTCTTCGTCTCCCGCCTTCGTATTCTGGTCCAAGGAATGCTTGGGTTCATTTTGTCCCAACGTACTATCAGTCGCCGTACGATGCTGCTGCGATTGAACCCTGTCCATGTAAATTCAAGATAGATCCGGTGGTTACGAATTGAAAAGTAAAAAGGGTCTTTTCAGCCCGCTTTTATACCAATGATCAGTAAAAAAAAATAGATCCTTAATTTTCACCGAATTTACGGCTTTCGACTATTCTCAGACATATGATATTTTCATGAGAACAAAGACTATCGAAGCTGAAATGATGTAAAAGCCATACTCTGCTTTCATACATGAGGTTACTTTGCGTCTCAGCAACTTTTTCTGATGGTATGATTGAATACCAATACTATATATTTCTGTTTTGTACAAACTATCTTCATGTGATTCGACAAATTGCCAGGGGTAAGGATAAATAAGTGATAGACATTTGACAGTAAATGATTCATGATAATATTAGAATCTCGTCCATGGAATAACCCTATAATCTAATTGAGGGAATTTTATTTCAATTCATATGGTTATCGACGTCATGTTAAAACCACTAACTGAAGGTATTTTCTCTCGGTTTAAAGTGATTGAATAGAGTAATAAATTTTACCGAACTTTGCAAAATATTTTGAAGATCTTCCGATTTGCGCTCTTTTTTTCATTTTGCGATGCTTACATTATCATGGTTTCACCCGATCTCTGATATTCTCCAGTCTCTAAATGCATGCATTGATGCGCATATTGTAACCGCCGTTACGCGTTTTCATCAGACAATGCACGGCGATCTATCTCGGTACATGTATGATGCGAGTATTTCGCGTAAAAGGGTCATTAGCGGTGAGATGATTATTACTTCCGTGTTGCGGTTAGGCATACATTACATAGCTGGTACAGTTCCGCTTACGATACTTGCTGCATATTAGTCTTTTTTTCATCGTTACGGCGACTTTTTATGACAGCATCTGTCGCCCCTGCATCTATGCCAAAGAATGAATAGCATCATGTTAGCGCTTTAGCAAGCATGCTTGAGTCATAAGGACGTCACTTAACTTGAAGAATCAATACATTTGCCTTCCTATGCATCATCTCGTTGGCCGGGTTTTCCAGTTTTATTTGTCATCCAGTATCTGCCCTGAGCATTCTTCTGCCCTTTGCAGGAGTCGTTCGCTGCTTTCAATGTATTGGCTGACGGTTCCATTACATCATTTCTATAGTATCGATGAGGGGCAGCAATATGAAGCGTAAAGCGTAAGTCATGATCTACGTACTCATCTTAATTAATACCAAACCATATTTAAAATCTAGAGCCATCATCTTTGTCATTTCGTAACCAGTGGAATACTGTATTTGTTGCCATCCAGTACGAATCTTCAGCATGATATTTCATGTTTTGCGATTGCAACAGTGGATGCATGACGACGTGGATGAAGTTTTCAAAACAGCAATAGCCGTCTCACTTTTTTTTTTGTGCTACTTTCTTATATTCTTACATTTGTGTGGTTATGGACATACTGGCGAACAAAGGTTGAATTCTATCTACTCACAATAATGCTGCGTCTCTTTATTATACCGTTCCAATGCCAATAGAGAGATCCTAAATGATACTACGTTCCACGTCATTTTATGGCGGTGATTATAGTAATTCATAGCCAATGTCCTGCATAGTCTACGAATCGGCTTCTTCTCTTGGAATATTTGTCCTTGAATTGGTAGCCGATTGCTGTGCCGTCTCGACAGGATTTCCAGCCATTCTGCCATTGAATAAGTTGCTGTTATTTTGGTTATTTTGGTTGTTCTGATTATTCTGGTCATTCTGGTTATCTTGATGGTTGCGATTGTTGCGATTGCCGAATCGGAACTGACGCACATAAACAAGCCAGCCTACGATGACACACAAGCCGAGAATCATTAAGCCCTCGATCAGCTCATCCTCTTCCCATTGGTCTTCCTCTTCATCGTCGGATTCTTCATAACTATCACTGTAATAATCGTCTTCTCTCTCGAGTTGCTTCATTTGTTTTCTGTATTTGCGTCTTAACTCTTCTTCCGAGTTATGCTGAGCTTGATCTGCATCGTCATGTTGCGTTTCAATTTTTTCACGTAAATGTATCGAATCACTGTCATCGTTTTTCCATAAGTCTGTCTTCTCCTTGCGATCAGATAACGGAAGGTCGTCGTCGCTGGCGGAACCCCAGAACCATTCCCAATAAGCTTTTGCATACAACTTGAGCAACGATAGCTTCACAGGCAGGTAAGCGTCGGGGTTCACTTCCAGGATATTATCATACGATCGCTTCGCCAGATGGAAATCTTTTGATACGCCGATACCGTTCTCCAACATCCAACCGAGGTTCCACATGGCGACTGGGGAGAGATCTTGTTGAGCAGCAGCGCGATAGCAAGCTGCAGCCTTTTCGTAATCTACGGACGTGCCGATTCCTTTGAAATAATAATCACCCATCTTCACACGAGCATCCACATTGTTTTGATTAGCGGAACGTGACCAATATATTAACGCTGTCTCCGATGCATTAATAACCGATCCAGGATTATACGGCAGTTTAGTTTGAATAGGTAGTTGGAGCAACTGCTTGTCTATTCACCAGGATAAATCAAATGGACACAGTTAAGCAAAAGAATATCATGTAAAGAGCGCCGAACCTAGCCTACCTGTATCGAGGATATACGCGACATTGGCTTGCGCAATCTCATAGCCCTTTTCTGCGGCTAGCATGTAATGAAGCAGAGCACTGTCAAGATCGCCATCCATATACGCGTCATACGCGGTTTCAATGTCTGGGGAAAGCCAGTCACCACGTTCAGCAATTGCTTTATAAAACTACACAAACGCCATTAATGCGGTATGAACGGGGCATCACGCTAGCTATACTTACAGATACTGCCATAGGGCACGAAGCCTTTAAACCTAAGCCGGCGTAATTCAGTTGAGCTAGATACCAGTACGCAAGTATATGCTTTGCTTCAGCAGCACTGGAAAATTGCTGGATAGCAAGGCCCAAAGTTTTTTCGTGTTTTAAATATTGAATGGCTAAATTGACTTGAGCATCCGGGTTCTTCATTTTTGCAGCGGCCTGGAAATATTCGATTGCCTTTTCACGATTCTATTGGAGGCATGAATTATTATTAGATAAACGTCATACAAGTTCCACAATGTCACTTACAGGAGGCATGCCGATGCCTTCCAATAGCATCACTCCTAGCCCGTTCAAGGACATGGGATCCTTGAACTGTTGGCCAATTGAAAACCATTCGCGTGCCATGCCAATATCCTGCTTTACGCCTTCGCCTCTCCAATACATTCGTCCCAAGTAACCAGCAGCTTGACCAACCGCTTTTCCTTTCTTGCTATTGATGAAAGCCTCTGTAAGCTTGCCGGGTGGAGCCAACTTTGTCACTCGTTGGAAATAGCCAAAAGCTTCGGCAAAATTTTGCTTTATGCTTCTTGACCCTTGATAGTAAGCTTGGGCTAACATAAGCTTCGGATTGTTTAGTTACATTTTGATCGACTATGGGCAGCGTTCGGAATGTGTTACCTGGGCATCATAGTCTGATTTGCTTTGTGCAAGATATTGCCAGTATTGAAGAACTTCTTCGATGCTGACAGATTTCTGTGATACAGCGTTATGGGAGCGAAGCCGTTTATCGATAGCTATACCAGTGCCGTAACCGTACACACCACCATACTCGTCCGACAATCGCACCTTTGTCGGTGGAGGAGAATGGCCGCCGGGAGGTCCCGAAAGGTAATAGTCAACCGCTACGTAGAGGATGAGACATATGTTCATGCGAACAAATATTGACTTTATCAGTTTACCTTTTCTTGCCGCGCTTTCATAGTAGTAAACAGCGTCCTCACATTTCTGTTCTGTGGCAATGCCTAACAAATGACGATAGCCTAGTGTCATTTCGGCAGATGTATCTCCGCCATGAGCAGCAAAGGTATGGTATATGCTGGCTTTGGCTTGATCGCGAGGAACGACGTGTCCAATCCCTGTGGCATAATAAAAGCCGAGCATTTGCTGGGCTGTGGTATTTCCTTTGGAGGCTAGTTGCTCGTAATATTTAAAGGCGGCATGATAATCGCGAGGATGTGAATAAGTGGCGAACTAGAATGAACACTTGAGAATCAGCGGTGAATTCTCGCTTGAACATGCATGAACAGCCTTACAAAATTCATTTCCGCCAAAACAAGCAAAGCGTCATTATTTCCGTAACCGTTAGCGGCTTCTTGAAGTTGGTGAACCGCTTTCTGCAAGGCAGGGATCATGATGTTCGAAGACTTGTGTTCAGATTCCGGCTCTTGCTCTTTACCGTGGATTTCAGAGGACATGATGTTTTTCCACGCTTTTGCAAAGAAATGTCGAAACCCTGACCCGGTTCCCGTCAACCCTTGTCCCACTTTCGAAGGCTTTCCATTTTTCGCTAGCCGTCGCTCTATAGCATCGAGATTCCGTCGCGCCTCTTGATATAAAAGTTGGCCTGCAGAATCTACCCATTAGCACAAAGTCCATTGGTACTACCGCAGCGTGCAGCGGGCACTGTACCAGTTTCTCTCGACTCCTTTGAATAGTAGGAATTTTCGCTAGATGTTGACGCGTATGTCATCTAATCAGATTATTAATAGAGTTCATCTGTGCTGTGGGTATAAAAAATTACCTCAGACAAACTAGCCTCCAGGGCAGTAGCCTTCATTATAAAGCACAGCAAGATGGCTACAGAATAATGAGTGATGAGCTTCAATGTGAAAAGCATAACGATAACGTACGTAATAGCAAAGCCCATCTTTGCTTCCAGTGTGAACCACCCTCTGCCATGAGGGAAAAATATAAGGAGACTTTTTATCAAAGGAAACGAACCAAGCAGTGCACCGGTCAATCGTAAGTCACAGAGATTATGCGGCGATCGGAGTCGATTCCAAAAAAGTCTTCGCACACTGACCATCGATGATGCAAAGAAATTTTTATATACAGCGCCAACCGGAACTGGCCTATCTTATGTTTGAATAAAGAATACGAATCATCCCTTTCGTAAAACGTCAGGCAGCACTTCCACTTGGTGCGATTATACCTTGCATGAGGCCTTTTTCAGTCCTATGAAGGCCCCTTATTAAGGGTCGTGGTACGATCATCTTCAAACCATCGATTTGTACTAACTACGTAGCATTGCCTTTTAACATCCTACATATAACCCTCCCTGTAATATTGCTCCGTAATTTGAGACAGTTCAATATTAGACAGTTGGGCTTTCGAATTCCTTATTAATGTTTTTCCCCATGAAGCAAAAGGAAATCAAAACGATAAAAGATGTTCCAGGAGGAGTGCAATTGGCCGTGTATTAACGAACCTAGCAACCGTAGCACGTATGCAGCCAGCAGATCGACCATACCTGGCATTTTTTGCCATACTGTTGTAGCATCGCATTAACAGCTTGGAAACACACGTGGGTCCCCAGCAACGTATGGAAGGGTAGGGTTCCGCGAATCTGCATTTCCATTATTCACATGCCCCAATCTTACGAGATATCCGTGCGCTTTTAAGAATAACAACCCATGATATACAGTACGTTGGATGTTCGATCTCATCGAATACGTACTGCATCGATGACAAATCAACCTACATGGCGTCACCTTTGCAAACTCCCGCAAGCCTACTGATATCCATCATACTTCGTTGATAAGATAAAATCCTACTTCCAACGGCGTTTAACTTAAAAACAAAAAACATATATAATAGATCGCAAGTAAAACGACTATCCGCCATCTCTTTGCATAGCCCTCAGGGTCTCCCCAACATTGGTGCCACCGCCACTCCGCAATGGTCCAAGTTCTGAGCGTGCTGTCTTCTGCGGCCACCGTCATACCAGCGTGTCTTTTAGTCCATCACCGCAAATTCGTAGCTCTCAAATTCCCACATAGTACAGATAACTCGTATGACCGATTTAGAAAGAATATCGTGGCGAGCTTGCGGAATATCTGATCTATCAACGTCAAAGGGCCAATAATTGCAGCCTCGACAAAGGGCCCCGGATATGTGTGAACAGTATATTCAGAGCTTCTCCATCGATGTCAATATGCTATTTACAGACATCAATTCTAATCCACAATGCGCAATGGGCACATTGAAGATCGAAATATTCTTATTTGGGCATCAGTCAAAGGAACAAAAAAAAAAAACTTTCTGTGGAAAATTCGGTTCACCTCACAAATTTTGACCTCCGAAAAAGGTAAAAAAAAATTTCGCAGATTCAAGCAAATGTTAGATTCCCGAAAGATTTTGTCATTCAAACAATGGATCAATTGCAGGAAGAGAATCACCGTCTTCGTCAACGAATTCAGGAACTTGAATCCCAGTTGGCCGAGCCAAAAGTGGAGACGGACAATGTACCTCCTTTTCAACAAGTGGACAAACTCAGCAATGCTGAGATTCGGCGCTTTGGAAGACAACTGATTCTTCCTCATTTTGGCAAAGCAGGTAGATTCTCGGTTGTCGATCGCTGTTACCTATGCAACTACTAACACACATAAACAGCTCAACTGAAATTAAGGAATACTTCCATTCTTGTCGTTGGAGCTGGTGGCCTGGGTTCACCAGCATGCTTATATCTCGGTGCAGGAGGTGTAGGCAGGCTTGGTATCGTGGATCATGACACTGTAGATATCAGCAACTTGCATCGGCAAGTCATTCATACACAAAATCGACGTGGAATGAATAAAGCTGTATCGGCGATGATGAGTGTTCATGCGTAAGTGTATCTGTGAAAATGCTCTACTATCGATGCTGTTGTACTCATCAATCTTCAGTATTTATCCCGACTGCGAAGTGATTCCATACACTTTTAGTTTGGATAGCTCAAACGCATTAGATATTATCAAACAGTGCGTGTTGACATGGGTTGAAAATTTATGCATTGCTAATATTATGCTAGGTATGACATTGTTGTTGATGCCACGGATAATGTTGCTACGCGATATCTGCTTAGCGATGCATGTGTGATTGCAAAGAAACCGCTTGTTTCAGGAAGTGCCCTGCGGTATGATGGACAGGTAGGCTTGTGACGGCTCATTTATTGTAGCTAGCTCATTAATGTGCTTTGGCATTAGCTTACGATCTATAACTACAATAATGGTCCTTGTTATCGGTGCCTGCATCCAGTTCCGCCGCCAGCAGACTCAGTTTCCAAGTGTTCGGATACCGGTGTTCTCGGTGTTGGTATGTATGCTAGAGGTTTTATCGTAATCTCTCTAACAAATCACTTCTAGTTCCGGGTGTGATTGGTACTTTGGAAGCACTGGAAGCTATAAAGATTGCCATCGGAGCAAATGGTGGGTAATGCGATTTTTGAGTATTGGCAATCGTTAACCTAAGAATGGTCATTATCAGAAAACGAGGCACCTAGTTTCCTTATTTTCAGCGCATTAAGTTCTCCTACATTCAGGACGATGAGACTGCGCAATAGGAAGAAGGATTGTGAAGCTTGCGGTGATACGCCAACGATAACGAAATTGATAGATTACGTTCAGTTTTGCGGCGCTTCTGCATCAGACCAAGTAAGTTGGCGATCAATTTTCTTTGACACACGAAGCAATTATTTGACCCACATTTGAACCAGAATTTGGCTACACGGCTTTTAAAACCGCATAAACGTGTCAGTTGCAAAGTGAGTCCTACCAAAAACTGCAAATTCAACGATCATTTCGGCTGACATGTGATAGGATTACAATGCTGTGTTGACTTCGGGCAAGCCGCATCTGTTGTTGGATGTCCGACCTGAGATTCAATACGATATTTGCGCTTTACCGAACAGCTGGAACATTCCTATCGACCAATTACAAAAGCAGATTGACAAAGTACAATCCAAGATGCAAGAAAACACAATTTCACCTGATGATGGTACGTGCAAATTTGTTTGCGTTTTCGTAACGAGAACAAGAGTCAAGTTATTAAAAAAAGCCAAAAAAAAACCAGTGTTTATAGTGTGTCGTTTGGGGAATGATTCACAGCTGGCTGTGCGTATGCTGGAGGACAGAGGCATTAAGGGATGCCGTGATATCATTGGAGGACTGTTTCAGTGGTCTACCGACGTTGATGCATCGTTCCCTGTGTATTAAAAAAATAAAATAAACAGCGCATTCATTTTCAGCAACTGTTCCGCGGCTTGATGATATCCCCTGTAGAAAGATGTTTTTATTCCCTGCCATTCGGACTTGTTTATTTTTATTTGATTTACCAGTCATTTAAGATGGCCTTGGTGTAAAAAGACTAGGTTCATCTGTTTATAAATTCATTACTGGGTGTCTTTTTTATGCCTTTTATCTGTTATTAATGCTTTGAATGAATTGTCTCGAGAGTAGAAATCCAACACCTTTGATATCATTTTGCTTCGCGGCAGATTATTCCGAAACGCTACTGACTGCCACCGGCTGTACTTTCAAGCCGTTGCTCCGTCTTTTTCCGCAAAAACGGTGTTAGTGACCAATCCCTGAGCAAGCAATCATCATTGTAAAGGGAGTATGTTGCCGCTGATCAGCTGCTAGTTTGCCTACAAATCAACATTTGTGCAAGGGAAATCGATTCTAGAAAATCGTCATATTTAGGGCCAAGTGGGTTGCTCAAAATAATGGTGAGAAAAATAAATAAATATGCTGAGTTTTGATTCATGGTACGGATTTTGAGGACCGAGAGCTGTCAAAAAATAAACCTTAAAAGCACACACAAGAGAAAAGCAGCGATTGGTCCACACGTGGGAAAAAACTGCCTTATTAGGAAGACGCGTCTCGAAATCCAAACACAGGCAGCGGTGGCCCTCCCCGGGATTGTGGAGAAAACTTGGAACGATCGCCGACCACGCCACGGAAAAGTGGACATTTTTTTTCTCCTCAGAATTTATATAAAACATTTCCCCACAGAATCCTTGATTCAATTTCTTTTTTCGCTTTTTCACACCTTTAAACTTATGTATCGATCGCTTTCCTTCGCCGCGGTCCACACAGTTCGTCCGTTATACCGACGGCAACTGGGTACCACCATTGCACGCTCTCTCTCCACCCAAACCGCACAAAATATCAAAACAAACACTAAGCCACGACGCCTCTTCAAAACCATCTCTGCCAGTGTCGCCCTTACCTCAGTGTCTTTGGGTTACTTATTATACCAACCTGGTTTTACAGGTTCTCATGTCGCAGCGGAAGCTGCTAATATTTCTGATTTCGGTGCCTCTTCCCCTTCCACTGTTGTTGCTGACCTGAAGAATGAGGAAAGCCGCATCGCCATTAGCGGACGACCCACCCAGGAACTCTTGTTAGCCCTTGGCGTCTATAAATTGTGTACTTTCCAATGGCTTGTCGAAGCTGCTCCCCACATTATCCATTTTGCCGAATCCGTGCATCTGCTTCAGCCTGTCCTTTGGTTTGTGAAGCATACCTTTTTCGAACAGTTTTGTGGTGGTGAAAACCCTGAAGAATGCGTGGAAACCATGGATAAGCTCTCGAAATCTGGTATCCACTGTATCCTGGATCTCAGCGTGGAAGCTGATCTCCATCTCGATGACTCGCATGTTACTCTGGACGACGGCCTTCATCAGCACAAATACTGGCGCGAGGAACAACGGGCTAATGTCCTCTTGGGTATGACCAAGAATTGCATTCGTACCGCTGCTCAAAGTGGAGCCAAGCTATCTGCTGCCAAGCCTTTTGCCGCCGTCAAGGTGACCGCTTTTGCCCCACCAGAGTTGCTGTTGCGCCTGAACAACGCTGTTGTTTCCCTCGAGAAGCTGTTTTACGATAATCAAGAAAACGGACTCATTTCTGTCTCTACCTTGGAGAGAGCCCTGCAGCAGTCGTTGCCTCCAGCCCAATCTCAAGATCAAGAAGCTCAGAGATCCGCCGTTTTGGGACAATTGAAAGAAAAGACACAACACTTGGATTACCTCACTTTCAGAAAATTGTTCAGCTTGGAAGGTCCCAACCGTGACATTTGGTGGAAGACTCAGGATCAAAAAACAGAGGATGATGTGTTGTTGACGAATTCGGAGATGGAAGCCTACGACCGAATGATGGACAGAGTGGATCAAGTGTGTGGTTTGGCTCATGATTTGAATGTTGGTATTATGATTGATGCCGAACAATCCTATTTCCAAGAAGCCATTGATCATGTCGCTATCCATTTCGAACGCAAATACAACAAATTTGATGCTCAAGGAAACCACTCAGTGACCGTTTTCAATACCTGTAAGTTAATGTTGTTGGTTTTTTTTCCATTACGCTGTTATACTAATGTATGCTACCCGTACACTAGATCAAATGTACACTAAAGCCTCCTCCAAGAAACTGCAAATGGACGTTGAATACTCCAAGCGCGAAAACTTTGCTTTTGCTGCCAAGCTGGTTCGTGGCGCTTACATGGTTTCTGAACGCAAAGTAAGTTTCAGACAAGTCTGTTTTGATAATTTTGACGAACAAACTGATTGACTCTTGCTTTTCTGTCAATAGCGTGCTATAGAGTTCAACTATCCCTCACCTATTCACGATTCTCATGAAGATACCAATACATGCTTCAATAATGGTGTGCGATACTTGCTTGGTGAACTGCATGACTTCCAAGAGAAATCCGGCAAGCCTTTGTCCGCATCTACCGCTCCCATTGTCTTCATGGTAGCCAGCCATAACCGTGAATCCGTTATTATGACAGTCGAGGAAATGGAACGCCGTAACATCTTACCTACCGCGGGTGTTGTGCACTTTGGTCAATTGTACGGTATGCAAGATCAGTTATCCTACACTTTGGGCAAGAACCACTATTCCATCTACAAATATCTTCCTTACGGCACCGTTGAAGAAGTGATACCCTATTTGTTGCGTCGTGCCCAGGAGAACTCGTCTGTGTTAGGAAGTGTTGGCAAGGAAAGAAGTTTGATGTGGGAGGAAGTGAAGGATCGTCTTGCTGGCTCTCTCCGTTCTCCAGCAAAAGGAAGCATCTCTGCCTCCGGAACCACCGCTAAATCAGCGTAAATTGCCGCCAACCCATACAGGATCATCACATTCGGATGCTTCCTATTGTTCCCCTATTTCTCTCTATTTTTGGTATAGACACTACATTAATTATATTCAACTTTGTGCATAGCATTCGATAATTAAACTTATCATTCTCATTTTACAATTCTCTGTTTTGGGGTGCGTCATACTATCTGCTGGCAAAGTTTTGTCCATGGCAACTAGTCTGCGGGGTTACTGTTCTGAAACTGGCATCGCTACCGACATTGTCCGCTTGAAACGTGAAATTTCGAACGGTTTGTTTCGATTCCATGTGACACATCGTTCCGCGGGCAAGTTTAGCGTTATTCATATTGTTTCGATTGACGTTCGAGAACCCTACGAGCAACTATTGGCAGCACCACCGTTCATTAGACCAAATGAAATAATAAGAGATTAATTGCAGACATACGAGGATTTCCCTGGTCCTGGATTTGGGTTTCTTAACAATCTTTCATTCAATATTGCGATCAATTTAATCTCATCATGAGAAACGAAATTCCATGGTTCGTTGTTCGGTTATTGTATGAAGCATGTTTTAAAAGCCGCAGTTAGAAACGTGGGGATGGGGCACTGCAGCCAATTCAGGAATGATTTTCCCTACTCGGTCATGGCCTGTAACGGTCTTGCAACGGTTCCTCCTAAAGTCCGATGACGTTCCATGGACATGGTGTCACGATGTCAGAATTAGGAAAGTTACGCACAGACCTGTCACATATGAATTATTATAATTTACTCAACAGTTACTGTATATACCCTAAAAAGATCCATTCCTGAAGGGTCGGTTGCGTTGACGTCGTTTGTGAAGAGCATATGATCCCTATGAATTTCGCGAATTGGCTCTAGTGGCTTCCGAGCTGATTAATTTATGATTAAAAAGGCGGGGGGTATGCATTGCCATAGTTCATATATGTTGGAACAGTTGAAAATATATCATTCACTTCAGTTGCTTCAACCATCCTATGAAGAAATTTGTTTAACATATGCCTGTTTTATTGGCAAATGGTGCTATCATCGTAGTTATAGTTTTGAGCAGCACCGCGCTCATTGCTAGCGTTTTCGAGATGTACGCTGCCGCTCGTTTCTTCCATGTGTTCTATGCAGGGCTTCTATATATGTGATGTCTAAAATATCACCGATGCCTTCGGCGTCGTTGTAAGGTACAATTTACGTAATTCGTTCGTCTAAATTACAATCTCTTTTCCTTCATTCCTTCATCGATCTTTTTACAAATCACATCCATGGTTGATCTGCTATATTCATTACGAGCATTCTCGGCGTTCCTGACAATGTCTTGAGGAGAGTTTAAGTATATTTGAGGTGGGGGAACTCTTTCAATCTACTTACCTCAATAGGAGCTAAACCACCTCCAAGACTTTGGATGGCCTTATTTCTGATCTCTCGACTAGTTCGCGGGTACGACATCTGGTAGGCGTTTTGCAGCACATAGACACCTTTATCGACCAGAGAGAGAGTGTACATATGGCAGTTTAGGCCCATGAATTGGATGATCGGAATGTACACCTTGTCGATTTCGCGTTGTAGCATCATTGGTCCATGAACGGAACTCGTTCAAATGGCACTTGGCGGCCAACACAGCCTTAGTTTTGTCGTAATGGTACATTGATTCATTGATAGCAGTGAACTTTGCGAACTCGCCTTTTCCCGAGGCCAAAAGTTGAAGTGTTGCCAGCAACCAGCCAAAGATGCCTGAAATTGAACTACTCTGCCTTGCCGCTCTGCGCGATCGCGCCGTCCCTATTAGTAGACATATTTTAGTAAATACTTATCTCCATTCGTATCAGAAACTTTACCAATGAATAAATATATCGTTTTCTCTCGACAAAAAACACCTCAAATAGATTTCCCCAGAATGTAACTACCAGTGATTGCACAGGGCATAAATTCAAGTATCTGTCCGAAAGCTTGAATAAGCTGTAAGCTTGTCGGTCGAGTCTACAGAGTAAAAGTTAGAATAGTTCATTTATCATTGTCTTATCACACCTACATTTGACTATAGATTCTTTTATGGCTTTTCCATCGGCATCTGTAGGATTGTGATTTTGAACGGCTTCGTAACGTTTCTTGCAGAGGCTAGATCTTTGAGCTTTGCAATTACTGAGAAGAAGTATGGGCAGCCGTTGTACTAAAATTACCTTGTGGAACTATTTGGTCAATACCGAGATGTTAAGATCTTTGATGTCTTCACTCTGCTTTGATTTGTAACGTATAACGGAAGAACAAATGGTTTGGAACAGGGCTACCCAGCAAGGCGATTTGATTCGGGAAGATAATTAGTGATATCGATGTGCCGTTTGGCACATACTGCAAGTCACGATTAGCCAAATAGAAACGGTTGCATAATAGATAGCACCGTCACTTACAGCGCGAAATAAGGATATATGCTTTTAGGACTTCTGATTTCGATTTGGTTTGCCAGGCGAAATAGCCTACTTCCCTGCGACATTGTTGTTGTCTTTCCGCATGACCTATGACCAATTTGTACGCTATATTAATATATAATTCAGAGCTTTTGCTCCATCTGCTTACCTTAGCGGTTTTTGTGTGTTTCCTTCTTGTGGCCTTTGTTGACCGTCCCTTTTTAAAAATCGACTGTCGTTATAATTTGATAATTTGAGTCAAAGGGAAAGGACACTGCGTCGATATATCTTGTGAAGACATCAGATTAGGATCCAACTTGACATTCATGCACACTGGCTAACATGATTTGTCGATGGTAGTAAATCAAATATCAAACGCAGCCCGCGCTGCGTTTCGTACCTCCAGATCCCAATATTGATCTATTACGGATACGTAATGCATACCTGACATAGGCTTTCAACCGTTACGAAGACGGATTGGAGCGAACCTCTGCCTACCGTCGAAACAAGAAGGAAGGCCGCTTTGGAACACATGGTCGCGTTAATACAACAAAAAACGCCAATCCTTCAACCTTATAGATCCTTTCGCCATTCATACGAAGTGAACGACACGGAGGCTGTCCTGCGTTATATGAAGAGGTAGTATTTTCCAAAACGGCTCAATTGGTCCAGAATATGCTGAATTAAGGTATGAAGATATTCTTAATTTGGTACTTGATGTTGACTTGGATTTAGACTGTATCCATTCCACATAGGATTTAACAGTTTGTAAGGAAGATTGATCTATATATTTAAGTGGAGGTTCACTCAGAGTATAAGCAAATTATATGTGGGTTTCGCTTGGCTTTGAAACACGTCGGTTCGATAAGGCGGAGAGAAGGCCAAAGCGAAAGCGACCCAAATCGATGCAGAAAGAGCCAAGGAATGATGGGAGTCCTTGAAGGTAGACTAATTGATAGTGCTGTTGTGATATATTAGAGAATTAGAACAAAAGAGACAATGAGAACCCTTTGATGCTGTTGGATATCTTTATTTCGATTAATGTGATCTGCTTATTTATACTTTAGTCTTGAGTCGGAATTAATAATTATCAGTGAGCAGTCCTCGATTATAAGGTTTATTAGGAAGCATCCATATACTGTGATCTGACAGCGTTACCCGTATGAATTTATCTCGGCGATAGATCCAAGTTACGGATGAAGAAGCTCAATCGGCGTTCTAATGGAGAAGCTCACTCAAATGGAAACACGTCTAAATCCCGATCTTTCCTGTTTGGGAACCCCAGTCAAGATAGTACGACAAGTAGTGCATATACCACAGCTGTCAAAACGGGTTTACTGACTATCATCTGAGCAGATGGAAAGAACATAAATGCAGTCTTGTTCAGTAAAGACGGCGTCTTTTATCCTATCTTGAACGAAAACGGGCTGGTAAGATGCAGTTGCCCCTTTGGAGAACCAAACGCTCCATTTTAAATTATGTATTTCTTGCAAAATGAGGGCCTAAACTTTCCTCCGTCCCCCCTCTCCTCCCCTTTGGGACCCTCACAGCAAATACCAGCCACGCAACCTTGAGAGATATTGGTGCTGCAACGGGGGCCATCTGATGTGGAGCACAATCTTAGTTGAATATCACAGAATAAGGGCTTCCTTCCCAACTCTAACGACGGAAATTTTGAATGCTTTCAAGAAGTAAGCTTACAGCGGCAGCTTGTAGGCTTCAGCTGATTTATGCTTGTGGCCACATACTTTCTTGATTGGGCAAATTTCGTGTTGCATTCTCCAATTAGAAATTTTGATGACGTACACTCGAATAAGTGTCTCCGTTGAAATATAGGGCGTGCAATTATGAGGCCGCGTTTTTCCTACTCCCTATCCAAACTGTGTGTGTGCGTGAGATAATTTTGAAAGCACCTATAAGAACTTTGCAGCTGCCAATGCAGAGCACCTTGTAGGCGTAAGAACTAGCCTTGCGTGAAAATCGGGTCAGATTGAAGGCTTTCAAACAATTATCGCATGCGCAATCCTGGTATTGCGTAGAGTCAGTGGCCTGAAGTTGGTAGACGTTTCAGGCATAAGTCGCTAGTTGATGACCTCTGTGTGTTTACGGTGGGCTGGCTCTTCTCGCATTACATCTGGCGCTGCTTGAATGCTGTTAAAGATAAGTGCATTAGTAAAGCAGACAGGCAGTTTAACCTGATAACTAATGATCTTTTTTTTTTCTTTTATTGGGTGTATAGATGCAATGGCCGTTTATTCCACGTCCTCTCAAATGTATATATATGTGTGTGTGTGTGTGTGATAATTTTGAAAGCACCTGTAAGAACTTTGCAGCTACCAATGCAGAGCACCTTGTAGGCGTAAGAACTAGCCTTGCGTGAAAATCGGGTCAGATTGAAGGCTTTCAAACAATTATCGCATGCGCAATCCTGGTATTTGCGTAGAGTCAGTGGCCTGAAGTTGGTAGACATTTCAGGCATAAGTCGCTAGTTGATGACCTCTGTGTGTTTACGGTGGGCTGGCTCTTCTCGCATTACATCTGGCATTGCTTGAATGCTGTTAAAGATAAGTGCATTAGTAAGCAGACAGGCAGTTTAACCTGATAACTAATGATCTTTTTTTTTCTTTTATTGGGTGTATAGGTGCAATGGCCGTTTATTCCACGTCCTCTCAAATGTATATATATGTGTGTGTGCGTGTGTGACAATTTTGAAAGCACCTGTAAGAACTTTGCAGCTACCAATGCAGAGCACCTTGTAGGCGTAAGAACTAGCCTTGCGTGAAAATCGGGTCAGATTGAAGGCTTTCAAACAATTATCGCATGCGCAATCCTGGTATTTGCGTAGAGTCAGTGGCCTGAAGTTGGTAGACGTTTCAGGCATAAGTCGCTAGTTGATGACCTCTGTGTGTTTACGGTGGGCTGGCTCTTCTCGCATTACATCTGGCATTGCTTGAATGCTGTTAAAGATAAGTGCATTAGTAAAGCAGACAGGCAGTTTAACCTGATATCTAATGATCTTTTTTTTTATTGGGTGTATAGATGCAATAGCCGTTTATTCCACGTCCTCTCAAATGTATATATATATATATATATATATATGTGTGTGTGTGAGATAATTTTGAAAGCACCTATAAGAACTTTGCAGCTACCAATGCAGAGCACCTTGTAGGCGTAAGAACTAGCCTTGCGTGAAAATCGGGTCAGATTGAAGGCTTTCAAACAATTATCGCATGCGCAATCCTGGTATTTGCGTAGAGTCAGTGGCCTGAAGTTGGTAGACATTTCAGGCATAAGTCGCTAGTTGATGACCTCTGTGTGTTTACGGTGGGCTGGCTCTTCTCGCATTACATCTGGCGCTGCTTGAATGCTGTTAAAGATAAGTGCATTAGTAAAGCAGACAGGCAATTTAACCTGATAACTAATGATCTTTTTTTTTTCTTTGGGTGTATAGATGCAATGGCCGTTTATTCCACGTCCTCTCAAATGTATATATATATATATGTGTGTGTGTGTGTGTGATAATTTTGAAAGCACCTATAAGAACTTTGCAGCTACCAATGCAGAGCACCTTGTAGGCGTAAGAACTAGCCTTGCGTGAAAATCGGGTCAGATTGAAGGCTTTCAAACAATTATCGCATGCGCAATCCTGGTATTGCGTAGAGTCAGTGGCCTGAAGTTGGTAGGCATTTCAGGCATAAGTCGCTAGTTGATGACCTCTGTGTGTTTACGGTGGGCTGGCTCTTCTCGCATTACATCTGGCGCTGCTTGAATGCTGTTAAAGATAAGTGCATTAGTAAAGCAGACAGGCAGTTTAACCTGATAACTAATGATCTTTTTTTTTTCGTTTATTAGGTGTATAGACGCATTGGCCGTTTATTCCGCGTCCTCTCAAATGTATATATATATATATATATATATATATGTGTGTGTGTGTGTGTGTGATAATTTTGAAAGCACCTATAAGAACTTTGCAGCTGCCAATGCAGAGCACCTTGTAGGCGTAAGAACTAGCCTTGCGTGAAAATCGGGTCAGATTGGAAGGCTTTCAAACAATTATCGCATGCGCAATCCTGGTATTGCGTAGAATCAGTGGCCTGAACATTTCAGGCATAAGTCGCTAGTTGATGACCTCTGTGTGTTTACGGTGGGCTGGTTCTTCTCACACTGCATGTGGCTTAAGCTGGATATTGTTGTAGGGTAAGTACCACCGCACGCCTAAATGTCAACTCGTTGACTGATGGGGGGTTCATCATAATATGTCCTAGACGCGTCGTCCGCTTATTCTATGCCTTCGTTGATCGTCCCCAGGTGTATGTGATGATATGGAAGTACCTACAGGGGGGGGGGTTGCGGCTGCCAATGTAGAGCAACTTGTAGGCGCAAGAACTAGCCTTATGGATAAATCAGTTCAGATTGAACGCTTCGAATTGTTGTCACAGAACGGTGTTAGCATTGCAGGGAATCAGTGGCCTGAAGTTTGATAGATTTTCCGGCATTAGTCGCTAATCTGATGACTGCTATGTTTGTACGATGGGCTTGCTCTGTCGCTCTGCCATTTGGTTACATAATTACATACTGACTGTATCTGGCCATTAATTTTCTTTCGTGTGTACGCTGATTCCTTTTTAACTTTCGTTTTTCGTCAACGTTGTTACTCATTTGATGTGAGTATGAGAGTATTATTTAATGCTTGGTTATTTGGGCAAGTTTCTGGTTGAGTTACACCGTTGGAAGCTTAAAAGCGACAAATACAACGTTTAGACTTTTAAACTTTGACTTACAGGTCAAAGCAATTTGAAAGCCTAACCTCTTTGGTTACGTCTTTCGGTATCCTAACTCGACGTCGTGGCAGATCTCTTGTGATTTCCTATTGGATAGCCCAAACTGCAGCTAAACAAATCGCTTGGATAGGCATTAGTAGCGTTACTTTGCGGTTGTTCTTCTTTTCTTCATTTGCGAGGCACATTTAATGCATGAGCTGGATTTTTTTATAAGACTATCAACTCGCTATACTGCAATCATGGCTAGCAAAACATTTATTTACATGTCGCTCTAGTGTGTTACACACTGACGTCTCACGATCTTTCGAGAATCGATTCTCTGATTTAGCCGTCGAACTATTGCCCTATCATAAAATAGAAATGGAGCACTCATAATAAAAAGCAGGCGTTTTTGGGGGTGAGAGATCGTCCCACCCTCCATTTTAGGACAACCAACTGACGTTAAACTTGATGAATGGAAGTTTGGAATATGAGGTATTCACATGTCTGCAAAAGAAAGCCCATCGAAAATTGTTGGTCTCAGAGCTTTCCGTGTAACATATCCTCGCGGCGATAGTGTAACATGGCGCATTTTGTGACACCCGAAAATGCATCTGACATGAGAGTGTCCTCACTTGACAACTGAACAAGGGAAAAATGAGAAATCTTGTCAAAAAAAAAGGTTCCATTTTCTATTTGATATCACAACTGACAGCTTGCTTGGTCTTCCTATCGAATACATCACCGCCGCGAACAGCCTCTGTGCCACCCCCACCCGCCTATGATAAGGGTCGGCTTGCAACGTCTCTTCCATTCACCCGCCATGTCGCTTTCTCCCTCAGAGAATGAGTCCTCGATATCTCAAGTGGCAGGAATCTTGTGATTGCTGAAATGAAGAATGAGCTGCAGTCTTTCAGAAAGGTAAAGTGTACTTGCTACTGCTTATGTAACACTTACTGACGCGTTTCCTTTGAATTATGCTTGGCAGGAAATCAGCAAGCAAGTATGCGTTTGGGCTTGGACCAGTGTCCTTTCCCTTTGACTCAAATTATCAAATTATAACGACAGTCGATTTTTAAAAAGGGACGGTCAACAAAGGCCACAAGAAGGAAACACACAAAAACCGCTAAGGTAAGCAGATGGAGCAAAAGCTCTGAATTATATATTAATATAGCGTACAAATTGGTCATAGGTCATGCGGAAAGACAACAACAATGTCGCAGGGAAGTAGGCTATTTCGCCTGGCAAACCAAATCGAAATCAGAAGTCCTAAAAGCATATATCCTTATTTCGCGCTGTAAGTGACGGTGCTATCTATTATGCAACCGTTTCTATTTGGCTAATCGTGACTTGCAGTATGTGCCAAACGGCACATCGATATCACTAATTATCTTCCCGAATCAAATCGCCTTGCTGGGTAGCCCTGTTCCAAACCATTTGTTCTTCCGTTATACGTTACAAATCAAAGCAGAGTGAAGACATCAAAGATCTTAACATCTCGGTATTGACCAAATAGTTCCACAAGGTAATTTTAGTACAACGGCTGCCCATACTTCTTCTCAGTAATTGCAAAGCTCAAAGATCTAGCCTCTGCAAGAAACGTTACGAAGCCGTTCAAAATCACAATCCTACAGATGCCGATGGAAAAGCCATAAAAGAATCTATAGTCAAATGTAGGTGTGATAAGACAATGATAAATGAACTATTCTAACTTTTACTCTGTAGACTCGACCGACAAGCTTACAGCTTATTCAAGCTTTCGGACAGATACTTGAATTTATGCCCTGTGCAATCACTGGTAGTTACATTCTGGGGAAATCTATTTGAGGTGTTTTTTGTCGAGAGAAAACGATATATTTATTCATTGGTAAAGTTTCTGATACGAATGGAGATAAGTATTTACTAAAATATGTCTACTAATAGGGACGGCGCGATCGCGCAGAGCGGCAAGGCAGAGTAGTTCAATTTCAGGCATCTTTGGCTGGTTGCTGGTAACACTTCAACTTTTGACCTCGGGAAAAGGCGAGTTCGCAAAGTTCACTGCTATCAATGAATCAATGTACCATTACGACAAGACTAAGGCTGTGTTGGCCGCCAAGTGCCATTTGAACGAGTTCCGTTCATGCACCAATGATGCTACAACGCGAAATCGCCAAGGTATACATTCCGATCATCTAATCCAAGGGCCTAAACTACCATATGTACACTCTCTCTTTGGTCGATAAAGGTGTCTATGTGCTGCAAAACGTCTACCAAATGTCGTACCCGCGAACAAGTCGAGAAATCCGCAATAAGGCCATTCAAAATCTTGTCAATGGTTTAGCTCTCATCGAAGTATGTGGATTGAGAGAGTTCCCAACGATATAAATGAGGGAGATTTTGCCATTTGCGGAGGAGGATGATTATGTAAGAATTATCGAATGGGGATATAGGAGATCATTAGAATGGCCTTGACCGAAAGAATACCAAGATAGATCCCAGAAAGCTTGCTTGTCACCAAAAATACGGGATCACAGCTCATAGACACCATTGAAGTTCAGGCGTGTCAATAATTCTTTTACGAATCCCCCGATGCCTGCCTTGGCTTCTGCTTGCTCGTGAATGTCGCCAAAGATACCTTGCTTGCTGTTATTCATCGAGTACATCATATTGCCCAATCGGCCGATACCCTTATCATCCAACAACTGCAATATCTTCACAAAGGTCTTGGCATGCTTCATAAAGCTGTCGAAAATAGTTTCGCATCGTTGCATCATTTTCTGCTCTTGCTCTTGCGCTTTAGGTCCCGTAGAGTTTGTTCGGTGATATTCTTCCACAGCCACTGAGAACGATAATATGTCCTTGAATACTGAATTTAGAACATGCAGGATTGACTGCTGGCTACGTTTGAGGAAGCATTGGAAAAGTATCCGATCAAGGATATAGTCGTGATATATACTGAGCGTGATTGGATCCATCATGTAGAAAAAGTCCAACGATGCCGTAGAATCTTGGTCGTTGTTGAAGGCTTTCATCTTGTCGAGGCGTTGCATAAATGTTGACCACGTAGCCTGAATAGCTATTTGAAAAATGTACTCGCACAATGACGTAATAAACTGCTCCATGCCAAATCGGAAGCGGTGTAAGGCTTGACCTGTAGCAGGTTGATACCATCGCCGTCCACGGAACATTTCGTATAATCGTTTTGTGGCAGTAGTAACTTTTGTAATACGTAGTAAAAATGAAAAAACCCGGTTGTACTTTTCCAGAACTTGTTCAGTAATAACGACGTTGAGTGGATAATTTGCTTCATACGACAGACACAAGAAATCAAGAGCTTCGATATCTGTAGAGATTAATGAGTCGTCAATTCTCTAGAGCCACTGGCACATGATTTACCATAGGGATTCATCCATCCATTTACGCCATTTTTTTCTCGTATTGAAAATGTTAAAATGTCTTCAATGTCGAGTGTCGGACGCTCTGATTGCACCGAAGAACATATTCGTCTTCTTTCAATTTCAGGGATCTGCGATACAGCGTCCAGAATGACAGCACGTAGAGACGTATTTAGTTGAGTTAATTTGGGTGGCCAAGTATCCTGGCGAGAAATGGGAAAACCGGTTTCCACGTTGTCGTCGTCCGAGCCAGTCGGTAGTAACACGTTGCATAAGCCAGCGACGAATAGGTCATCGCCGAAAAGAAAATATCGCTTGAGCAGCGATAAATGGTCCTCAAGGCCGAATTGATTCAGCAAGAGGCTCATCGCAGAATTATTCAAAAGCGGGCACCATATTTGCAGAGGCTGATGTAGGCTCTGCTCGATAATCGTATCCAACATCGGAATGGCATAATCGATTATATTATCCGCCGAGTCTTTTCGCGACATCGTATGGTATTTCATGATTTTTTCCAAAGTCCTTGAAAATTCGCTGCAGAACTCCTCTTGCGGTAGTGGGGAGAGAGAGGGGAGGTGCATTGTCTCGTTAATCTCCATGCTCCTCTCGTCTGTCGATCGGCTGCCTATCGACAAGTGGTCTGAAATCTGTTCGTCTCGGCTGTCGACACTGCAAACATCCATGTGCAATGGCAATTCATCGACACGCAATCGGTCACGCGAATAATGGCGCAGAATCTCGTAAAAACCATACAACTTCCTTAGGTGGCTAATCCAATTGTCAGCATATAATTCAAGACGAAAAAATTCAGAGTCAAAAAATTAGTATACCTGGTAGCTTCACCGTCGGTAAGTATCCACGATAATCGAAGATCATCAATTGAGTTTGATGAGCCTGTCTCTTGCAAGTAATGGGCATTAAGTAACGGATGATCCTTCTGGCACTGCTGTAGGAGTCGTAGAGAATTTCCAGCCCCCAAGATAGCAAAGGCTTGCTCTTTATTAACGAATCGGGGTAAGCAGTTTCCTTTTCGTATCTGGAAAATCAAAATGTTAGACCATAGTATAAACATTGTAATTCAGCCATATCCTCTTACACACCTGATAATGTCCGATATATTCCATATGACGTGGTATAGAAGGGGCGGATGATAATGCGCCAGCAAAAGGATGTATGGTATCTTCGATGAAAAATTCCTCGAAAGGATCAATGAGTGGCGAGTACTCAAGGCCACTAAGTAATCTATCTCCGGCTTGGTGATGTTCGAGGCCCAACCACTGGTTGAGCATTCTGAAGAACGGTACGCTGGTGTGACATAAGAGAGCGAGGCAAATTTCCTTGTAGAAGGAGGATGAACCAGAGCTGTCAAAGTCGAAGGTTTGAATCTCGTCGTACAGGAGGGATAATAAACTCATCCCAAATGGAAGTTCAAAGCCATGCATGTCTACATCCATAGTCATCGATGGAACGTCGACCTATAGCGGTCAGTTGGTTATTAAGTGAATAATAGCACATGTAAGTAATAACCCTACATTATAGCAGCTTCCAAACTTGCAAATAAGAGCTAGTCTCTCAAGAACATCAGCCTGATGATGTATGTAATGGTATATCCCAAGAATGGAAAGGCGATCGCAATTATGGAAAAGCTGTACGATGGATTGTCGAATGCAGGTGAGGAGATCCTCCAGGGCACACGCGAAAGCTACACCGGTTTGTCCATACCGGCTTTTTCAAAGTGAGCATTGGGTCAGAAGATCGATATGCCAAATACTTACATGGGGTTGCCCTTGCATGTATCGACGAGGTTATCGATATTTTTCATTCGGGTGGCGAATAACAGTAACTTGTCGATGACACTTTTAAGCAAAATCCACGGTCAATACACAAGTCCGACATTGCATGGCTGTAGGCTGTTACTCACGGTTGTAGAGCACCAATACTGATGCCCACTGTAAGGAATTTTACTGATCGCTGTTCAAATCTTCGCTTACGTCCATGCCAATGAAATAGCGCGGATGGGTTACCGATGAATGCCTGCCATATACACTGGATCAAAAAGAATGAGACCTGCCGGTAATCAAAAAGCGGGATCCATACACTCACCTCGATGATCTCGCTTTCCTTCACCGTCAGTGAATATCCCGTTTCTTTATTCATGCTGCATAAAATAACATTAGTACGATACACCGGAAACATATTTTCGAAAGTCATTGTACCATCGTTGGATGCTGTCATAGTATGACAAGGCGGATTCAGTGAGATAAGGAGAAGGGTTCGCGCTTTGCATTGTGACCGGTGGGTGTTTATTGTCCAAATTCTCCCAGCAAAGTCGAGCAATGTCAGCATCACTTTCGTTCGAATTACTGGAATCCGTCCACATGTCTTCAGTGCGTGAATCTGTGTTCATTCTTGTTGCAAGCTCTGCGGTTGATTCTTGATGCGAATCATGCTGCACCGAGTTTATTACTGGACCGGGATAAATTGCCGCATTAATCAAATCAAAGGGAGCATCGTCTTGTTGATTGAATTCAGGTAGACGCAATGATTCGCTTAGAGAAGAGTCGACTGAAAAGAGTGTTAGTATACGCGCAGAGTGTCATACGTGTTGAAAAGACTACGTACTTTGGGAGATATCTCTGATAACCTGGTAGCTTGCTGAAGCGAACGCCTCGTCACTCCATTTAGGAAGATCAAAGGCCTCCTTATCCAAACGTTGCAACATGTCAGTGCATAACCACAATCAAGGGGAAAAGAAAAAGAGGATCGATTGTCGGAAATCAAGCAATTGTGCTTGCTGGACTTTCATTTTGACTGCTTGTGCATTTCGCACAAAAATGTCGGGAACGGCGTTGGGATAATGACAAAGGTACAATACCTTTTCTCTAGGTTGTATAGTTGACTCCCATGAAAAGCACTCAATACGCCACTTTTTAAATGATATAACGAGATGTATACAGAAATTCAATAAAGTTTGATTATGTATTCATGAGTCTTTTTTTACAACTGTGAGATCGCGAATTGAATGCTAAGAAATTGTGTTAGAGACAAAGTAGGGTTTGACGTCTCTTATAAATAATCCAATAATACAACAAAATACAGTAATGTTACAGATTAGTAATGAAAATATTAGGAGGTATCCACATCCAGATTGTTTTTGGGCGGGGATGATGTTAAAGAGGGTTCTTGTAGGAAAAGCTTGGCCATATCTTTTCTCCAACGCTCATACTTCTCGCACATCTCGTTCCGTTCCTGAAGTTGTTGCGACAGATCCGTTTCTTTGGTGCTGGCAGCCTTTTGTTGCTCCTGCAGCTTTTTCTCCAATAGTGCAATATGGTCTTTGAGTTGTTGGATCTCCTTTTTCATCATCGGGACTTGGTGGCAGTTGGCGCAGAGAGTGGTAGAATCTTTTGATTCAGAGGATGAATCAAGATCGAGGGAAAATGATGGTTCGGAAACGGACGGACCAGCCGCTGCTTCGTTTGTTGATGTTTGATTATGGAATAATGAAGGTTGAGCAAAAGATGAATCCACGGCGGTGGTTTCCGAGTGAAGGGGTGGATGTTCTATTGATGAATCGTCTTCCGTTTCCACTGGGTTATCCAAGTTAAGCTCGTCCTCTGCGCTGTGAAAATCGGACATGATGCTGCCGTCAGGCGATCCTACAGAGGACGAAGCTAGTTCATCTTCTTCATCATCTTGATTCTCCCCAGGTGAGGCCGACGGTGAATTTGCCAATTGCACACTTCCGCTAGTGCTCTCAGCCTCCATTTGTTGTTCTTCATCGCTATTTGCCACTGCATCGCTTTCTTCCATATCATCGTCCATAGGGTGTTCCGACTCATCTTTCGCACTATGTTGCACTCGACGGACATTATCCATAAATCGCAAGTTTGAGGGATCCACTTCTCGTAAGCGTTTGCGGCTTCCCGCAAATACAATAGGGCCACGATGCTTTTCAAATTCGTGCGTTCGCGATGTCGCTGTATCACTGAATGTATTGTCGTCCTCATCGTCTACTATGGATTGAACTTCTTCCGTGGACAGTGACCTTCGCCGTCGTCTGTCGACAACCCGTCGACGTTTATTATGGGTTTCGCTATCTTCCGGCGGATGGACAGATTCGGCTTCATCAGCCGCGCGAGATCGGTCTAGTCGGCGTTTCTGATAGTTTCCCATCATGAGACAACCTGTGTATTTTTCATCGGCCGAGTGAAAATTGAATTCATTGCCAAGCAGATAATCAAAATAGCAGTCAATTTTGTATTTGTGCATCCACCGTTTGACTCGTTGCGCAAACTGTGGCCGACCTGCCATATCCGATAAGCCAAGTTGTCCCACTAACTGTGACCAGTTCTTGATCTATTTATACCAAACCATCATGAATAAGTTCGCCCGATGATTCCAATAGACCAAGCATCTACGAGAAACTTACCTCTTGATTGTGCAGTTTCTTCACCTGGACGAAGACATCCCAAGTGGAGTAAGAGAGATCGCCCGTCTTGGGAACTGAAGAGAATTTCCGTTTTACGTACATTAAGCTTTCGATGCCTTCGCCAATATACTGAGGATCGTGATGTAAAACGAACTGGATATATCCTTCTTCAATATTCGCGCTTGTGACTGTATCGCCTGTGATTGTCAAAGGCGGTCGTTTAATAGTCATCTTATTATTGGTACCGAGAATGGCCGAAATCGTATCCAATTCAGACGAATTCGATTCTTCATTGGCGTTGTTCTCGGTTGAGGAGCTGGACTTGGCGGTAAGAGTCGAGGTAGAGGATGGATTTTCATGAAAAGGAGGGAATAAATATCGACCGAGAGAAGAGGAGGAGGGATTCATGGGATTGGTTACAAGTTGGGTTGAAGGTTCTTTGAATGCATTTAGTGTTGGATGTGAGGAAATGGTGGATGATGGAGTATGCTCTGGGGTGAATAAAGCGCCACGATTAACTGTACTGGTGAAAATGGGTTCGCTGAGTATCGTGCGAAAAGGAGATGATGATGTTAGATTGTCGTCGTAGACATTGGAGTGATGGAAAATAGACTTGTTGGAAGAAGGGAGCCATACAGAATTTGAAAAGGACGGTATCTATGGGCAACAATGGAAGTCAGATGTTTATGCAAGCAGCAGACTACAAAAAGTGGAACCACAACAGTGTCCTAGTCTCACGCCTCTTTTTCTCTTTGGCCAAACCACAACACAAACCTTGGGAGAAGGACAAGGCGACAGGTGAGAGACATTCCGTTGTTCGTTAATAAACACTTCGGGCGAAGAGGCTGACATAACATCAGCTTTTGACGGCGTTGCATGGCTCAATTGCTGGTTATTCGGAGCATCGGAAGATGGCTGAAGTAACAAGCGGCCGGGCGGCAACAATTCGCTATCTCCTGCAGTGCGATGGACAAGATGAGACAGGTTCATGTAGCCTTTCTATGTGTTGCCGTATCCAGTGGAAAGGATATTTTTTTTAAACACCGGGAAGTTATATGAATTGAAGCTGTATGAGAGGAAACTAACTTTCGGTTGAACAATGGAAGGCAAAAGTGGAAGCGCTGTGACGTTTGTTTTCGCTTCCTCATAAACTGACTTCAAAAACAATATCCAATTGAAGCTGCATTGACCCAGCGGAATTTCTCATTTGTATTTCGGCAATTAGGTTCATGATTCACCGCAAGTTTTTCTGGCCCCGTATCAGATAAACCCATAGCACTTGCGCTTGTATTTATATTTGTCTATTTGATTTGCGAATTTCAAATATAGATGATGACCTCTTGTAATACAGTATAACCGTCTGATCTTTTAGGAAGTTCCAACACTGCAGCCAAGTTTCTTATTCTGAACAATGTGTAAAAACTATGATAAGAAGCCCCATCTAGTCATTTTTTATACACAGTGGCCTTGTTTATAATTGATCGAATAGGTGGTTTTACCTTGGCCTCGTTTACCGCTCATTATTTTGTTCAAAGGCTTTTCCTGATAAATGACACAATCATTTCGCCTCGTTGGGCGAGATTTGATAAAAGAAAAAGAAGAAACCCTTGCTTCATATTTTCACGCTAGCTGTGTCCGCCAAAATAGAGGCCACATTTGTATCAATAAAACAAGAGTATAATGATTTAAATGCTGTCTCATTTATACTCCAGCACATCGTTGAGCTGCGAGTCATGCAAAATTATCAAAGAAAGCTTGACACGGCGGAGATGGGGAACTCTCTCCGACTGAAAACAAAAGCATCATTGACGATCGCTCGCCATATTAAGAGAAATCGAAACTCTTAACATTTCTTGTGATATACAGGATGACTCGAATCTTACCTATTTTTGCTTTTGCCCCCCTTAAGCCATTTTTCTATGAGGCGCGGAGAATGGTGTGCAGTAAATTCCCAAATAGGGAAAAGCAAAAATACAGCAACTCTAATACAGAGCATGCAAATTTTGTTCAGCTATGCCATGCGGTAAAACGATGGTTCACCAATGTTATAAACAACGTTCATGAATGCAATGGGAAATAGAAAAAATATACGTATAAAGTTTCTTTGTGTAAGACCAAGGCGAAACAGGTACTGTAGTTGACCAAGTAAACTCGCATGAATATTTTCGGGACCCTCCTACTCGGTACTGAAGCCATCACTATAGTACATTACTTTTTGCTTCAAGCCGCCGAAAGCTATTGTATATACAAGTCTTTATTAAGTATGATGCTGTTGGTTTAGGTTGATTGGCATTTTGAGTGGCTCGGAAGAGCTAACAACGTATTTACTGTTGATTATCTGGCGTATTTGTTCGTGTAAGCAAGCCATGATCCGGGAGCGACTTGAGGCATGGCTTTACTGCGAGTGCTTCGACGTGGCACCTCTGCTCGAGTTGGATTTTGTTCCTTTGCACACAGTTAGTATAATATCGACATATAACTAGTCAATAGTAAACTTACTGTAGCCCGCTTTTTCATGCCGATGGTTAAGCTATGCACGTGCTTCTCCAATTCGCGCTTCAGCCTATACTCTCGGATACCTTTCGGATTTAACCAGTCTAATAACTTTTCCAGCTGATAGACGGTATTAGTAACCCTAGAAACGTATCCGAAACATCTTTTTACACTTACATCTTCGGGTTCACTGTAGAATTCCCACCAATCGGATGATGAGCTAAACAAAGGTCTTGCTTTCAACTCTTCGATCCGTCGCATTAAAAATTCACTCTCGTCCTCCAATCCTTGCTGTTTCATCAATCGGCACACAAAGTCGAGACCCCCATTTGTATTCGGTACACCGGTATCTAAAGCATCAACCGTTTTTGGCTCGTCACGTTCCATAAGCAGCAAAAGATCAATCTCACTGGGACTCTGAATGAAAAGCTTGCCAGTGCCGTGAGCACTGGCCCCTCCGATATTATCCATATAGTAGTAGCGATTATAGAATTTATCTCGACCGAGGGGCTTGATACGTAAAGTAGTATACTTGCGCATATCGCGTTCAACCTGCTCTTCCTGTACATATGTTCAAAGTAAGTAACGTAAGCGTGTATCAGAGAAAAACTGTAACCAACCTTCTTATGCAAGTGCCTCTCATCTTCATCTAATCTCCTTCGTGCTATTGCGCGCGCTTTAAGCTCCTGATTTCGTGCGCGTGCTTCTTCTCGTCGGCGGTGATGCATCTTTATCCGCTTCGCCTCCCGTTCATCTCTCTCTGCTTGCTTTCTTTTCAAAACCTCTTGCCGTGATTCGTGACGTGAGGCTTCTTCCACTTGACGCTGAGCTCGGTCGCTATACAAATCTCGTCAGCATGTGCAATGCCATATTGAAGCTAATATGAACTTACAGATCCACAGAGTCCGTGTCACTGACATCAAGATCGGCTTCGCTTTCACTTGCATGTGAATCGGGAGTGTTCTCTTCAGCCCGTTTCTCCAATTCTAATCGCTCTGCGAAGCTGAAATGAAAATATGGGTTAGATACGACAACCAGATCATGAAAACGTTCCATAAGAATATCAACTATGTGCATTTTTGTTCAATAAATGCATTACTTACATGCGTTTACGTTCACGACTCAGTTCAATCTTTAGTTTTCGTAACTCTGTCAGTTGCTCTTGACATTCTTCCATGTATTCTCTAGTAAAATCAGGAAAAATGTTAAGCAGGAGGCCTACTGGTAGTCTTGCACTGGTATCACGTACTTGATAGAGGCGCTTTCATTGACCTGATGTACCAGCAATTCGAATATCTGTATCTTGTCCTTGAGATTGAGGTTCAAATAGGCTTTCTGGCGTTCCTCCAAAGTAGAATTGCTGTGTGGCACTAGCTGACCCAAGATCCTTTTGAAGTCCACTCCAGATTCAAGAATCGCATACTATATAGTTTGCCAAGTCAGATATTTGCATGCATCCCTGAATGTGAAAATAAAAGAAGTTGCTTCAGATCCCTACCTCGTTGATGCAGCCAATCAATACATCCTCCCAACCGTCTCGATCATTTTTCATGGGAATCGCATTGTTGTCCCAACCTTGGGCGATCTCCAAAACATCTTCATTGCCGTAAACCGTGTCTGGCCCTTGCATTTGATTCGACGCTGTCCACGCTGATTTATCATCTTCATGTTCATCTTCGCTCGCATACTGACTGGGAGGTGCTGATTCATCGTGAGTGGCAGGAGTAGCGCTCCGCGATGGAGGATACATCAAGTTTGTGTGTGAGGTGCTAGCGATGGATGGGCCGCTCGTTTTCGATTTATGTCGTTGACTGATAATGGCGTTAAGCAAAGAGACATTGCTTTCAACTAGGATATGTGATTTAATATGCATCGAATTATGGCGCATAGCGCGTTCGAAATCGTCGAGATTGAATGGATAAAGATGAAGCGGTTTTGCAAAGGTACTGAGGAAACACCACACCATAAGAAAGGAACCGAAAAAATCTTTTGGTATGGTGCTGTCACGGCACGTTGGTGGTCGAGCAGGAATGAAACTGGAGCCTGAAGTTTTCGCATCATCCAACGTCGCTTGTTTCATTGCCGTTTTGTAAAATGGTAAATCGAGGTCTTCGATCGGATATTTTATCACCACCTCTACTGGCTTCACTTCTTCTGGAATGGTTCCTTTGGCAGGCTTCTGATCCGTTGCCATGGCTTTTCTCTTTCTTGATTTCGAATAGGCTAGATCTTTGGCTTCCTGCAAGGAGCTCGGCAGTGTTGTATCCAGATCAAATCTTTCCGCCACTTCCGGCTATCATTCCTCTTTGTCAGCCGTGAAATTCGCATATTTCGAAGACAAGAGCTTACCTTCAGCACCCAAGGAGCGCCATTATATGTGTCCTTGGTTGTGCATTCTCTGATGAATTTTTTTAGCAAATTCTTGGAAAAGGCTAGACGATCTCGCCTATGCATACAGACATCAGATGTGAAATTCCTTGTAGCACAGTTGGATCAAGCCTACTTCAATTCTGTCTTGGGCACGATCTTGATACAATCCTCAATGCCTTCAGAAAACTCGTCAATCAATTGAACGCGATAACGCCCTCCTACAGCAGACTCTTCTGTCTCGCCATCGTCTTCTTCCTTCACGACCGTTTCGTCGCTGCCTGGATATATGTCTAAAATCCTCGCTGTATAATTGATGCCATCGTCCCATAAGCAAGAAACAGTCTCTCCAGGTACGTATCGTTCTAGGAAATAATTATAGACATCATCGACCACCGCGTCCAGGCGCCCCGTTTCTGTAATGTCATATGAGTACGTCTTTTGATTGTAATGCCCCACCTCTCTCCTCCGATGGAACTTACGAAACTGCACACGCTCCAAGACGCGTTTCTGCAATTGTCCTGATAATTTGTCTTGGACGCGTTCTTTTTCTAATCGTTCACTTTCTAGGGCTTGCGCATAAGTGAGGTTCGATCGACCAGTCGATTCGCATTGCCATATAGGTCTTTTGTACAGAGAGTAACGTTGAAGATAAGTCCTGTTAAAAAACGAATGTTCAGGGTTAAGGCATACATAGATGAACAAAGGAAAAGCAAAAGATCCCCAAAGTAGAAGTGGGGTATTGGCACTGATCAGTGACACACCGATATCGTCATAGAAGAGTGTGTCAAATGAACAGCAGTCTTGTAAATTTAAAAAAGGATACGGATAGTCTGTGAAGACTTCGCTTGTGACTCTGCAATACCACGCTAGACGTTTCCTTGCCTCTTTCCTGTCTAAATCTAATGCGGGAGGTGGAAGAAGAGGGAACTGTTTACGTTTGAGCAGAGGCATGGCGTCAATCGAGGGATGGGATAGATCAAATAAGTGGCTTGTGCTGGTGTCTACGAACTCAAGGGATGGATGATCAGATGAAAAGATTGACAAGTTGATCTGTCAACTGATTACCTTTCGGAACTGACGTTGACAGTTCCGTCAATTAGTAAAGGAATGTATAATAAGACTTGGAGAAACAGTCGCAGACACACTTGACAATGAGTCTCAGAAAGATCCGCGAAAGGAGAAACGTTATGGCGTGGCGGACCAAGAGATTGTCGCAAAAAAATAAATAAAAAAAAACGAGACAAGTCCCAAATCCCATCATTTTTTCCCGCAAAGCGAGAAGTGCTCAAGTAACAGCTGTCTCTTCCATTAACCTCGATTTTCCATAATTGAGCGATTTTTCCATGTATGATAGACCTCTTGCCATATCTGCTTAGGCATACTATTGTATTGCTTAGCAATGCACAGTGATGAAAGATCATTTTTCCGCGCTGATCGGCTACATCACCAGAGTTCAACCTGCGAAATGACGATTGGGCATTGACGTGTCTTTGTTCTACTTTAACGTAAATGCATATGGCTAGTATAAATAGTTTTCATCCCAAAATACGCATATATTCCACAACTGTTGAATGCACGTCGTTCAACAATGGGAGGCATGCCAACACGGTTGCTATAATCAGCCGTCATTGCGTGAACCGTGCCGAGGTCTTTATCATGCATTGGATAAAAAGGAAAAGCTTTGCGGTAAAATTTGAAGAAAGCCAAAAACCATACATATACCTAAAATCATATCTAGCAATCGACAAAACGACTTTTGTTCAATAAGAGAAGCTTCGCTGCGGAAAAGAAGCTCATGGCATGCATGATGTTTGAAATGAAAACGGTGTCTTGATTCCGTAAAATTTTTGATTCAGCGAAATGTTTTGTAAAATCAATCAGACGCAAGAGCTGCAGCTGAGCGATCTTTTAGTAACATCGTACAAATGGTTTTAGGGTAGCAAATAGTTGCCCTTTAATCACTTACTTTATTACATTTTATTTAATTACAATACTCGCAGATCCCCTAGATTGTTACAAGAGAATGAAGCAATAGCCGTCAGCTGTACGGCTTGGAATCAGCCCCACTATAAGGCCACCTTTTCATAGTTCCAGGTAACGTGTGTAAATGCGTCATAAAAACCCCACCGTGAGGGTGCGCCCTTCAAAATAGTTTTCAGTGGCATGGAAGTTTTATTGCCTGAGTTATTTTCCATAGAAACGCATCATTACCGTTGCAACTCAATTAACTTGGCAATAAGAAATAACGGATTCTTTGCTTGCAGAACATGACAATGGAAGCCAGGAAAAAAAAGGTACTGTCAAATAATTTGTCATATATGGAGGATTCATATATATCTCTTTTTTTTTGTAGATAAAAGGTGTTAATTCAGTTCTAAAGAGGTCCAACTATTGCTCAAGCTCACATATCATCAATGGCTCCGCTTGCAAAAAAAAAAAATAAAAAAAAAATGCTGCGGTTCTCTCCATCTCAGCAAAATGACACGAAAAACGTAGTCACAACGCGTTTTTCGGTCCCCAACCCGAAAATGAAAATCGCGAATTTTCGTTTCTCGCTGCGACAGGACATGAGCGATCGAAAGCATGACATGTCATTAGAATCATTATTAGCATTACTCAAGCAACGCAACGATAATCCGCGGGATATCGAACTGGAAACTCGCTTTTACAACGATGTATTGGTTTTCCTACTGTCTGATGCAATCGATCACTGGTGGTGCTCGGAATCCGTCTTACCCATTGCCAAAGAATCTTTGTGGTTTTTTTCCTTGCCAGATGTCGAACATATTGTCCAATACAAGCAAAAACTCGATAATATACTGAAGAAATGTCTTCACTGCTCTCGGTTATATCATACGTCCAAGTCATCTCTAAGAGAAAGGTAAATACCGAGCATGAATTGCCCCCCCCCCAAAAAAAAGAGTGCTGCAACCCACAGACAATTGACTCCTTAATATATTATAGATATGCCGATGTTTTCACCAAGGAGAACGTTGATAATTTTTTTACATCACTAAGTCAATTCGACGAGCAACGCATTCTGTCCAGTCTTCAGCAAAGCATTCGACCCTCACCCTTTGTGCTGACAGACACTACTTTGTGTGCAATATCCGAAATTATTCTTGCCCCATGTCATCTTGCCAATCCTCACTGCGATCAATTACTTTGCGACGTATTTGTCAAGATTCAACATACTGGAATGTTTCCGACTTTCACCACCGATCATGTTACCGGCATCATCCTTATGGCCATCCATCATCATAAGATTGTTCGCTTTTGGGCGAGAAAGCTCCTGGATAAATTTTTGGCAGATGGCTATTCCTTGAATCAGGATGATTATTCTGATGTCAAACCATTCGTGCGAAATTTGATCCTGCAATTCTCACCGGACGCCCCAGCATGTATTGAAACCGACCCATTCCCTTTCGAAAAGGCGACAAAAGAACCCACCGAATTGTGGAAAGCGTTACGAGCAATTATCAGCATTATACCAGCAAATCTACTTTCAAATATCCTCGACGATTCTAATATCTCCATGCTACCATTGCTCCGTCACCAGTTATCACGCTGCACAAATAGTCTGCCGGAAATACTAAAAACAATGGCGATCCTACTGGTCAAGCTCGGACCAGCAATGTGGGGCCAGATCGAAGGTGACAACAAACCATACTACGACATTGTGAAGTCAATTTGCGATCATGTCGAATTCCACGAGGCCATGAAAATAGCCCAAAAAGGAAATAGCGGAAAGATCTTGCAACGAGATGGAAACCCGTATCCTGAGGATAAACTGGTGATCAAAATGAAATCAGTGTTGGAATGGATACATCCATTCTGGGCCACGTTGCGGATGTCGTCTGTAAGAGAGGAAATAACTAACAAGATATTGGATTTGGTGCTTGGGTATTTCCAAGAAGATATTTGGGCCACGATGTGCAAGGCATACTGCGCAGATATTGGATTCCGTATAATCGAACAGAGCGTCTTGGAGGACAACATCCCTGCGACCAAAATCAACGAGTATGCAAGCGTTATGATCACCTTTGCCGATTTTCGTAGCGATCAGTTACCGCCATCACTTTATGATGTCCCAGCAACAGCGTCAAACGTCATTCGCAGCTTGCTCGAAACCGATTCTCGTCACCTTGGTGATGTCTTTACGCTAATGTCAGATCAAGACGGTCAAAAGGAACTCAAATACGTCAAACTATGGCAAACGCTCAGATCATCAAGCCAATCGTGGATTACTCATCGCTCCGTCAGTTTCCTCGAGCCTGTACTTATCGCCTATGCGAACATCATGAGCTTGGATATACCTACCATGGAGACAGGCCAACATCCGCTTTTGTCGTCGACGCACGGAAAATCAGTGTTTGATTGTATTGCTGTCATTCACTCGTTGGTCGAGAAATGCTTGCGTTCAGCTGTTGCCGCCGGTTACGAGGCATGCAAATCGGTCGTTCTGAAACCCGAAATGTTGCGTCCCTGGTTATATGTGCTGTGTGCACCTCATCAAGACATTCGTGGCCTGGCGATGCAAGTCATTGTACCTTCGACTACTGCCGGTGGTCCCTCAGCATTCGAACAGTTTTTCAACCGGGATCCCCCCAAGTCGTTGGAAACATATTGCACTCTACTGGAAGAGTTCAACAGTACTTCCTTGGGAACATTGAATGCTTTCAGCATGGTCAACAGTATCAATCAGTCTCTGTCACAAATCTTGCAAGCATTGATTGGAAGCGAAGAGGGTTATCTACTGCGCAAAATAGTTAATGGAGAAGGGTATGTCAAAGATGAACATTTGCCTATGATGGCATTTTGGGAAAACAGCTGGCAGACCATCAGCTTACTGTTGGCCAGCGGGCTCACCTGGGCAGAAAGTTACAAACCAAAGGCGGTTGTGGACGTCATTCTCGTGGTATTGGACATCGCTTATCGTTTGACCGCTTCACGTCAGCTGTTTCAGAAGGCTATTCAAATCAGCGAAAACGATCAAGATATGGATTCATCCGATTTGGCACTCGGCTACGATTACATGAACGCAAGTGTGGATTCACTTTCTCATTGGATTTACGTCACTCGGCAGGAAGTGCTGCAACGATTGCTCCCTTTGCTCAGTGCCATCTTGAAACAGTTACGTCAAGCGCACTTGAAGATTTCCATTGAAGCATATGATCGTCTGATGACGGCTGCAACAGGGGTCAACGCCAGCCGATTAACAGCGGAGGAGAAGGAACACTTGTTCATGGAACTGAGCGCCCACGAACCGATGAATACGATCTTTATTGACGACAGTGATGATGAAAATATCGAGTGGCAAACCTTGGACATGTCTCCCAGACCGATACCTTCCTATTCAGCCCCCACTGTCGCAAGCACCTCCTCGTCGTCCAAAGCTAGGCAAATAACGTTGGATGAAGCATATGCTACTTCGTCTGCTATGTCCAGCCACACGCGTCAACCGGCTAGTCCACAAAGAGCGACTTCGAAAGCCAAAATCACCTCTTATTTCAACACCACCCCCACTACGACACAAACTGCGGAATTATCTGCAACAACGGAAGATGATGACAATATCCCGGATGAATTTTCTGACGTTGACTTTTCTCAGTTACCCGAAGAATGGTTCCAAGATGTCGATGAACCCAAACGCGTGGTGAGGGAATCAAAAGGCTTTGGAGTGTCACCGCGACCAGCATCTACGGTATCCGCTTCTCCCAGTCGTCAGGCACCACCCAAGCCGTCCAATGCAAACAACGTGCCGCCGCCTGTCTCCTCTTATGTACCGAAACCAAAAATCACCGTGCAGCGCGTATTCCCCAAAACTCAACAGCAAACATATGCCGTGACATCCACTGGTCGTAAATTGAAGCCGCCACCTATGGGATTTTCAAAGATGAAGGCCCTGAGAGATGAATTTCGTGCGGAACGAAAATTAAGTGCCACCGTTCGATCGCCATCCGCAGCTGCCTCTTTACGTCGACAGAGAGGAAACGACTCGCAAAGTTCAGATTCGGATTCAAGCTCCTCAGACGATGAAAACGATGCCTCAGGTCTTTTGAGTCTTGTACAAGATGTGGATCAAGCCAAGAACAAATCCGTGGAAGCCGAATCGTCCAGTATGAAGGCGCTCTTTGAGCAAAAGCCGAAACGAACCACGAAGCTGATTGATTCTCCCATGACAACGGTTTATTTGCAAAAACGAATGAAGATCAAGGAAGCAGAACAGCGACGACGCAAGATCACTCCTGATATCGATCGCATGTACAAGACCCTTCTTTCCTGGGACATCACTGACGAAGGTGACATGCCTCCAAATGTCCAGGAAAGTATGTATACCCATGTCAAAGACCGCTATACATCGTTTCGTGATTATGTCACGGTTTTCGAACCGTTATTGCTGCTGGAAGCGTGGATGCAGATTGTGCGAGCCAAAGAAGCACTGACGGATTCGGACGTGATTGATCGAGTTCTTCTAGAGAGTCGATGCCATGTGAACGACTTTGTGGATGTCACTTTTGCCGTACAACCCGGTGTCTCATCATCAATGATGCCCGACGATCTCATGTGCATAGCTAACCATTTTGGACCGGAATTCTTTGGCGCCAAGGGAACAGCTTCGGCGGTGGAACGCACATCGGGTTGGAAAGGGCGTGCATTCCTCGGAAAAGTAACCAATGTGGTACAAAAGAAGAATATGGCCATGGTGACCCTTCGATGCTACTTTACGCCCGATCGGATCACCTTGTTAAATTCACTATCACCAAAAACAACGTGGCGCGCTTTGCGATTAATGAGGTATGAATTCAAGAATATTTGTTGCATCAGGAGAAAAAGAAGCTTATCTATTTTTTTCGCAGTTTGACCACCGCTCAGCGTGAATATTCTGCTTTGCAAGGCTTGGAGTATTACGATTTAGCCCAGCATATTCTGAACCCTAAACCGACAGTGAAGCCGTCTGCGAATGCACGCATTATTCAGGAGTATATCCGTCGATTTGGCGTAAACGAACCACAAGCGGAAGCCATAGCAGGTGCCATTAATCGAAAGAAAGGCTTTACATTGATTCAAGGGTAAGACAAGTGAACCGAAATCACCCAACCTCTTCATGATACTAATACGACAAGAATTTGCTGTCATCTAGTCCTCCAGGAACGGGTGAGTTGGCTTTTGATGACGTGTCATCTTTAGAAGTTTCTTGGCAAGCTACTAACATCATCATGGTTTCCAGGTAAAACAAAGACGATTCTAGGATTAATTGCCTGTCTATTGGACGAACAGTCGAGTCGACAGTTCACTTATGGCAACGATACCAACGCCAAGCGAGGAAAGTTACTTGTGTGTGCTCCCAGTAATGCCGCCGTTGATGAAATTGCCAAACGTCTCAAAGACGGAATTGCTACGGCGGATGGTCTGAGAAAAATGAACGTTGTCCGTGTCGGTGTGATTGACTCGGTGAACGCAAGCGTCAAGGATTTGGTCCTGGAACGTCTCATTGAAAAAGAACTCGAACCGTCGATGAATGAAGAGCATTCTGGAAAGAAATGGGCTTTACGAAGGGATCGAATCAATGAAGATCTACGCAAAGTGCAGTTGGACCTTGAAGAAGTGGAACGTGAAATCGCCGAGGCGCAAAGCGATGTGGTCATGCTGGCGGCTTTACGGGACAAGCGAAAGGGTCTCTTTGCAAAGAAGGATAGATGTCGCATCATGTTGAAGAGCGTGTACGACGACCAGAGAGACTATAGCCGGGAGCAAGATATCTCTCGTATTCGAGCAAGACAAAAGATCCTTGGCAATGCAGATGTTGTATGTGCCACTCTCAGCGGTAGTGGCCACGAAATGCTTACCAGCTTGGGGCTAAATTTTGAGACCGTGGTGGTCGATGAAGCGGCCCAATCCATCGAGATCAGCTCCTTGATCCCACTCAAATATGACTGTCAGCGGTGTGTACTCGTAGGAGGTAAGAATGCGCGGATAATAGAATGATAATGTTGAAGAGCTTTCTGACCATTGTGATTGCGGTTAAAAAGATCCCAATCAGCTGCCGCCGACGGTTCTTTCGATTATGGCGGCCAAATATAGCTATGAACAAAGTTTGTTCATGCGTCTTCAGAAGAATTGTCCTGATGATGTATACTTGTTGAGGTATGTTATTTATTCCTTGCGTATCTAAAGAATTTTATCATTCAGGTTTACTCCTGTAGCATTCAATACCGTATGCATCCTCAGATCAGTGCTTTTCCAAGCAAATTATTCTACGACTCTCGTTTACTGGATGGGCCGGATATGGCAACCATTTCTTCTGCTGTATGGCATTCCAAAGGAGATTTTCCTCCCTATTGTTTCTACAACATAGTGGAAGGCCACGAAAAGAGTGGCTATGGAAAATCGATGTACAATGTGGAAGAAGCGGAAGCCGCGGTTGCCCTGGTGGACATGTTGGCTTCACAGTTGCCGGGCGTTAAGGTAAATTTTCAAGATACACTCTCGGGTTGTACCGTCTGTTGATTCTCTCTCCGTATGTTGTAGTTTGCCTATCGCATCGGCGTGATTACGCCTTATAAGCAACAGCTGAGTCAGCTCAAGTCACGATTCGAACGACGATTTGGCTCCAAGATTCTTGATGTGGTTGATTTTAACACGGTAGTAAGTGTGAATAGTAGCAGCTCGTGATGTTTCCTGTTTCTAATCTCAATGGTTTCAGGATGGCTTCCAAGGCCAAGAAAAAGATATCATCATCTTTTCGTGTGTGCGTGCCGGTGCAGGTATTTATAGCTCTTCACGTGAGAATATATAGTAGCGTGTGTCTAAAGTCTATTGTTGTAAGATCGTGGCATCGGTTTCTTGGCTGATATACGTCGAATGAACGTTGGTCTTACTCGTGCAAGGAAATCTTTATTTGTCCTTGGTCATGCCGGATCCCTCTATCGAAGCCAATACTGGGGTGATCTCGTTAGAGATGCTACGCAACGCAATCTGCTAATTGATGTGAGTACGATTGACAGATGATTCAAAGAGCTAATGCACTAACCTTTTCCTTAGTGCAAGCACCCATACTTTGATCACAAAATGGTCCGCAATCACGTTCCATCCAATCTTTTTGCAAAAGAAACCGTCGTTATCCCACGCAAAGTCATTGGAGACCATAAACGGAAACATGCAATCGAGTTGCCAAAAACCTCTGAATCTCCACCTGGTATGAATCGCTGAAAGCATTGGCCGAAAAAATTATGTTCTGACTGGTTATTTCTTTACTTGACAGAAACAGCAAATGATGAATCAAAGCCTTCCGAAGCTACTGACAAGGAACCTGATGTGAAGAGGGTCAAAATAGAATCCGATAAGCCATCGGACCAAATCACAGAAACCAAGTTGGCCGTAGGAGAGACATCCGAAGCTAGACCTGATCGTTCTCCAGATGCGAAGCGAACTTTGGAAATCAGCGTCGAGCCTACCGATAAAGAGTGGAGATCCAAAACATCTGAAAGCCATAAGCGCACGAGAGAAACTAGTCATGAGAGTTCCCCGAATGGTCACGGCCCCCCACCGGAGAAAAAACTCACTCTAGCAGAATATCGGGCTTCGCGTGGTTTACCACCGTTGGACGCGAGAGGCAATAAGGGTTCACCTCCGATACCAAGACGATCGAATGGCGCAAGCCTATTTATACCAAAGAAACCAGCACGTCCTACTCATGTAAGTAAACAGCACAGCATAACGATAACAGCCAATCTGACCAGTGGTCACCATCCTGTTAGCGTGCCCCTGAATCATCCGATCGCTACGAAGGTTTAAGCGCGCGAGAACGAGTTACTCTTGAGGTAAAACGAGAATAGCCATCTAATGTTGGTCTCGGTACTTATTTTAGCGTGCACAGCATGAATCTGCACGTCAAGCTTTTCGACAAATGAGGCGAGATGAATATAATGCCCAGCATCGGCCAACACCGTCGGAACCATCTCTTCGATCAGTGGACGATCTGCTAGGCGATATTCGTGGGGAGGGTCCGCACCACTCATAATGAAGCACCCATGTAACCTTAATACATAGAGAGAACAAACATAGTACATAGATTTGCATACTCACATTTTACGTATATACCTCCAATAATCACAGTACAGTATAGATTGCATTGTAAGTACATACAGCATTGTTGAAAGATATCGCTATTATAAACGAACATGACTTGTGCTGTCTGTCTTGAAGCGAATGTGGTGAATGATGAAAAAGAGTTACGCTTTTTTAGGCAGTCGATCACATTCTGCAACTATTTCAAGTCCGTTCCTCTGAGTTGGAAGATGACATCCAGGTTACACCACACTTTTATTAATTCAGAAAACTTCGGGATAATGAAAAAGACAACCGGATCGCTCAAGCTTTTAATGTCAATTTTATTGTTAAAAGACTCAAACTAAGTAATCTGCGACAACAGAGCGAGTTTTCAAGATGATGTATTATTCAGTTGCTCCTTGCATGAGCCAACCAGACCGGCAATGTTCTGTGTTGTGGGACAAGGGACATAATTCTCACGTCCAATACTACGCTAATGATCATCGTACAAACTGGTGAGCCCCAGTGAAGGTTGCTAAAAGCAGTTACATTGGCTACACTGTTGCGATTCTAGATACAATCGAAGTTGACTGGTTAACTTTAATATCAATCGTGATTATGTTATCATTTTCCTATTATTGCCACTATGGCAACTACAATCAGACCTATGGGCAATCACTGTTTTTGCGATATGATGTTGGGCGATTTTCTGTTCAATCATATGTATTCAGATCTTTGCGTCTCAACATTAAGCAATTGTCAGTGCAATTTATTCAGATTGGCATCGAATAAAGTACCCTGCAAGGAAGAAACGAGGATGGTCATGATATGATGGCTCGTTATACAAAATCTGATGTCGACCTGAAAATTTTCCCGGCTTCTTGCTCTATTTTTTGTTTTTTTGTTTTTTAGGAATCAAATAGGCTGCGTCAAACATACTGTTACTAGTCCAAGGATTGACCGGATGAGATTTTATACGCTGAATAGGGCAATATATTTAAGTGAAGTTTCGTCCAAATAACCAGCGGGACCGAAAAATATGGATGTAAAGATCTGTTGATCCGATTCATATACTAATGAACAAAGAAATCCAATGTGTTTGCATTGCACAAAAATTTGGAAGCTTCAAAGTATCCACCGCTGTCGAATGCGGCCTACGGGTGAAGCTGGTGAAGGTGATTGGATTGACTTTTTCATATCTGAGTTACAGGTGAACTCAAAAATGAGATCCAGAAAATGTTACAGGCAGTATCGCATTTCCAAAAATATAAATTTTCGTAGCACATGCTGACGAACTATGCCAAGGACGTTTAATACAGTTTTTATTATACGGTCCGCCGGATCATGGCGATATAAATAAAAAGAACCTAGAAGCTCAATGATTTTTATCGCTTCTCCTTTTTTCATAACATGTCGGACACTCCGTCCCCGAACGGCTTGTCACCAAGTCATACCCTGACTCACATTTGTGTGGACGGGGTATGCCACTGTGATTGGCGAATAGCAATCAATGATTGCCAAGAACACGGGGCAATCACCATCATCAACATCGTGAATATTGCACTGTCAGCCTTTGTTATCGTCGTGGGTAAATAACAACTAACTGCAAAATAGCCAAACGAACTATTGACGAAAACCTCTCAGGATTGGCCCTTTTATTCTATCGCATCGTCATTAAGCATCACGCCGTCTTTGAGTTGAGATCCAAGAAAGGGTTCTTGCGCCCGAAACCTGTGGAGTCGATGCTGTTGCTACTCGTCATCTTCAATATTCGTAAGCCATCGTCCCCGCCGTATTTCTCAAAACGCAACAGATGATTAATTGACTCGTGATTTTCCGATCGATAAAGTTCGACTGCTGACCAGTTTAATTTTGTTGATCGATGTTGCACCAACTAATTTGATCGCTCGGTCTTGTACGCATGTTTCTACTGTCATATGAAAGTCTCTCAAGTCACTTACATTGTACGTAGTCCTCTTTGAAATTTCATGGCAGTTTGGCTATGGTGGATTTGCTCTGTACCTTGTTGGTATAGCACAAGCACTGTCCGAGGTATAAACATGCAATGATGCGTGCTTTGAACTACATAGAAGCTCACTCATCGTCATCTTAGACTCACAAATCCATCGCGACTGGATGGCTTCCATCTCCGCTCTTTGTCGACATCCTAGGCTCCTGGTTCTTCCTGTGGCCTTTTGTGATCAATAATATTTGCTCTATCGTTGCAGGAGCATTAGCTACCACTAATTTGCAGGCAGCCGAAGTCTTCACCCGATTACTGTACGGCTTTTGGTTTTTGCACAATAGCACCATCACCACTGCCGTGCTATATTCTGGATGGCGACTGATCAGTATTCTCAATCGAAACCTCACAAAATTCAAAACATCAGGTGCTCGTTATACATCCATCAAGAAGGGCATTTTCAAGGTAAATATCCGACTACTAAAACTTATAGCATTATTGCAATGACATTAAATATGACTTTACGGTAGATTAAAATGATCATTGCTATTATTGCTGTATGTCTGATGACGTTTGCAACCTTTTTGTTGCTTTATGGAATTTTGCGTAATATGATTATTGTAAATTTCCCGGGAAGCATCTTTTTGGCCGTAATCTGGACCTACTTAGGCCCTGTGACTACCATCTTTGTTGAACTGGCCATCATTATAAAGTATGTCACATCTACTATGCAGAAACCGGGAAGGCTGGTTTTTTACTTACCTTATATCACTTATAGCCCGGTCATCAAGGACAACCCTGCACTTGCATTAAAGAGCTCGGGAGGCGACATTATGTCTGAAGATACTGTAGAAGAAAGCTACGTGACCACGGAAAGCAACAGTACGTTACAAGGCACCATGGACTTAAAAACTTTCGATGACATCAAACACAGTCAAACACAGTACGAGCAGGTCTTTCACAAGCATTCAGCCGGCCCGATGAAATCGTCCTTTGTACAGAAAAACTATGGTCGCCATCAGAACCGACAAACCCGTACGATCGAAAATTGTGATGTTGAAGAATCGTCGCAAATCGAACTCACCAAATCAACCGGTTTCCAATAAACGCGCCGCACAAAACGCGATCCTGTATCGGTCACTCACATATTACCCAAAGGTGCCATACTTTTCAACGTTCATCATATACACATAGCAGCTACGTTGTCATGCAATAGCACATTATATAAATACTAGTAAGATTTTAATGCATTTCAACGGTGCAGCGCATTTTGGAACAATGTATTATCGGCTTGTAAAGCCGACCGGAACCAAGACTGGAACTGTATTTAAGTACCATGAATAAGGTGCAAAGATCCCTACAAGTTGCATACTGGGTTACAAAAAATACACTAGTAAAACTTGCACTGACTACACAGACATTCTAGGTACATCTGTTTGACAATGTACATATCAGAGCAAAACAGGAACGACCTTATCAAATTAATACAGTTCTGTAGATCCTTCCTTTTCTGTAAACATTATCGGTGTCCCATTTACTTTTTACGGTGTAATAAGAAAATTGGTTGACGCCACATGTGTCCTTGATACACATATAATGATAAGAAGACCATCCAATCCCAGCTTCCGATAGAGGTGGCATAATTATCCAATCCTGGAATCGGCAAGATAATCCTTTATATAAATGGGTCGGTATGAGCGCTCTACATGAAATGAAAATACGCTTCAAGTGTACCGCCGTATTCGCATGAGCAATCGGAAGGATTGTGGTCTTGCCAATACGTCCAAACATGTAGATTTTGTACAACGGTTTATCTGTTCAAGTTTGGGCGAAGGCTAAGGAGAGCCAAACTTTGCTACGCCACTGTGATTCAAATGATTTGCCTTAAATGTTTCGTGATAACTTCGAATATTGTATAAAGGATTTACGGATCATTACGGCCACAGCATAATAGAAGTCAAGTAGCGATATAGCAACAGTTAAAATAGAATATCTTATCTCAGAGATAACCTTCTAGCTGTTGGTGAGGCTTTCTGTGTATAAGCTCAGTAATTGGTAGGACTGGCCAGGAACACGGTGTCTTGATAAAGAAAACCGACTGCCAATTATGGAAGCCCGGAGGTTGCGCCAGCCCACATACTGGAACCCCAGAATCTAATCATGTTACACGGCGCAAGTCCTTGCTTGTCATCTTTTTCGGTCCGTTTCGCCAAGGCTGTTAGGACAACCGTATGATCCAGCTACATCCAGTAACCTAGGATATAAATAAAACTAGCCGCGTTGTATCAGTCAAAAATCATGGGACTGCCCACCTTTTTTTTTTGTTCCAAGCAACAATGTGCACACTGGCTTACAGATCTAACTAATAATGTAAAGTAATAAAAGTGCACTGCAAAGTGATGTCCAACTTTGTTTTAGTAGAGATGAGGGTGCGTTCCATGCAGATCCATTCTGGACAAGTTTGTACAGCCCCAATTCGTCAGTTTACTTGTCTTGATCTCCAATCGTTGGCAATACAAGGCTTGGATCAGAGTTACTTTATCAGGCACCTACGATTCTATGCGCACAATCGATGTACATCATTTCTTCGCTTTTTGGAAGGTTGATGTGCGACTTTTTTCCAGCGCCAAGATATGCGCATCGGTGGAAAAAATAACTAAACTAAAACTCATTTGCAAATAATGCATGATAGCAGTACATGGTATTTAAAGATAAACAATGAATCATATAAAGTTAATCAAGTACCTCCTTTCAATTGCACGATGTGGAAGTTGGATCAAGGGAAATTCTGAAGATTTCTGGCACAGCAATATCTGGCGTATCACCATAAAATTACCAGCCATAACCGCAACTGGCAACCACCTGTTGAATTCCCTATTATGTCGTGCAGCGGATTATACAAGTCACTCGGGAACTCTGATGCTTTAATGTTGTGATCCGCTGTGAATGGGTGCATTTAGCTTTCTGTGATGGCCTTTTAGCTTCTGAATGTATGGTATTAAGCCTGACCATCCGCTAACACATTGGATCTGGCTGATTAATAAGTGATAAGGGCGTCAGTCATAATTATTTTATTGCCACTACGAATTCTGGAGCGTGATGTGCGGACTTCATATGCCATTGCACAACCGTGACACAGTGGCTTCGCAGAATCCACATACATATATAATAGCAGAAATGAAACTCTGGATCACGAATCTTTTTTTCTTTTCACAATTTTCCTACATCGTTCATTTCTCAATAATATGGTCAAACTTACGGCTGTACTTGCCTCCACTTTTCTTCTTGCTGCTCCTGCTGTTTTGGCTCAAGGTAATATATTCTACAACGAGTTCCGTAGATATTGGATGCGAGCTCTAATCATTTCATTACAGCACCCACCGCATTCCCAACTGAAATGGCTAACTTGGACCCTGCTGCTATGTCCAGTTTGTCAAGCTACTTAATGAATGGTGGTGCCGAAACCATTTTGGCTCAGGTACGTCGGAAATATTCAACATTAACCATCGAAATCTCGATTAAGGTTTTTGCATAGGCGTCATCTTACATTGAAAACGCCAATATGCCAGCTGATATGAAATCATCCTACCAAAGTGAGGTTGCTCGTGCTTCCTCATCCTTAGCCGCTGCCAAGGGCCATTCTGCAGCATCCATTTATCAACCGCTTACCGCAGCCGCTATCGTCATTGCCGGTGCCTTGACCGCAGGCATGATGCTCTAAGAAGGCAATAACCTCTGTATAATTGTATCCATATTGTTGCTTTTCATCTATAAATAAATCCTTGTATTTCTTGATATTGAACCACACAAACAAACCTACTGACTTGGCAATGCCAATTGTTGACATGACGCAAGTTGAAAGATTTCGACTATTGCTTATCCCTAATTGGAGACGGCGATGATCTTCAAGCATATTTTATGGATAAGGTGCAAATTCGCAAATTTATCGGTTAAACAAATCCTCAGTTGTTGCATATGTTTAGGAAGCATCGCGAAGGGCTTCAGTATTTCCTTGCAGTGTTTTAGAACAGGCAATTCGCGAAACGAGTATTAAGGAGATAAAGCTATTAGATTGCTGTTGTCATGTTGTAATAAAGTTTGGTGGAGAGGATTTACCAGGCGTTATGGATGGTCATGTGTTCGGTGTCGGTAGAAAGTCCTTGCTTGGTAACAATAGAATCAAGAGAAATTTCAAATTTTACCTAGAGAATTTCCTGGCAATAACTTTATGCAAAGATAATGCGATAAAGTACGTCCTGTGCTGTACAACATGCTGTTCGGCCAGCTCCTTGCATCCAACCGTGAATCATTTTTCGTTTACGATGCTGCTGTGTCTGTTGTTTCTTTGGCTACCATTTTGTATTTCTCCACAATTGGTTGCAGCTGATGCGACTGCCACGCAATCTTGCCTTATAAAATGTAGTAAGACCTCTGCTATAAATTTGAAAAAATGCAAATGCAAGAGGAACAGTAATATTCTATTCGCCTGCGGTATAGTCCACTGATCAAATCACTGTAATGAGCAATTTATACTGACAGGAACATATTTAATCTCATATACTCTCATATGTCTTGTAACAAGGTTCGGAATTAGTTCCCCACTGCGGATATGTGATATCTTGGAAATGCTTAGTCACATTTTCATCGAATGATCTTGCGCAAAGTTCGGTGTCACCGGATCGTACTTTTTAGGCAATTTGATTTGTATGTTTTTCTATATCCGCGAGTGTCTAATGACTGATTGGACAACTAGAGGGAACCCCACAAGTTGAGCTTTAAATTCATATGATATAGACTCTATCGTACAAAAAAAATAGTTATACTGGACAACCTTTTTCACCCGCAAAAAAATGGCATTTCAAGGAGGAGCCGATTGCTCGGCAGGAGCCAATCCAATGGCACAAATGCTCAAACAATTTAGTCAGGATCGGTCGCTGCAAAGAGTAAGCTTTGCCTGAACGCTGCAGGTTGCCCCACTGTAACACTCACAATTTATGTTGTCCTCGTAGGATCGTTTCGCAGGGCCTTCGCAAGCCCAAGGACCTTCTACGGTATAGTATTTCAAATAAATTAACGGCTAAAAAATGGAGTACTTATGGGAACTACAGATCCGAACCACACGTCAAGGACCGGCTTTCCACCCGGAGGATAGCATGGTGAATGAGTTCTTTGGTCAGGAGGCCCAGCGACCAGTAGGACCTGCTGGTTCAGTAGCCGGTCCTTTCCAGTTCACCGATTTACAAAGGGAATTGGAAGCCGTACATCAACAAGGGCCCATGACAGGTGGATGGGCCAATGAATTTGACGCCGTTCAGCAAGGTCCTCGATTGTGGGAAGTTAATCCCGAAGAAGAAGCAGCCATGGAGAAAGCATTCCAAGAAAGTAGAATGGCCGCTGGTCCCGTACACGCTGGTTCAGGTAGGCGTTTATTCACCCCAAGTATCTGTGGGATATGTGCTAGGTTTTTGACACTGGAATAATAGCCTGGCAAGAAGAGTTCATCAACCAACCTGATGTGGCCCATATCGATCCTCAACAACATGCAGAGTTTGAACAAGCTTTCCAACAACACTTTGACTGGGCCAATGATTTCGCATTAACGCAAGACAAAGGTAAATCCCGTGAAATGAATGGCGCCAACTGGGAGGAGCAATTCGCCGCTTTCGAACCTCAGGTGGAAACGGAAGAAGCCATGGCCCGAAAATTGGAAGAAGCCGCCGCAGCTCAAGATTTCAGCAGTTTCGATTCCGTGTGGCGCGATGTCACTGATATCCCACGTGGCGAAGAAAACTGGGACGACGAATTCAACGATTTTAATATCAATGGAAATAACTTGATGTACAAGCCAGATCTTGGTGAATACGTATTTGAAGTGGTGAATCCTTTCTTACAGCATGCCAACCCTATGGCGGAAGGAATGCGATTACTGGAGCAAGGTGGTAGCTTGAGTGAAACGGCTTTGGCTTTTGAAGCAGTTGTACAAAAGGACCCGCTCAACTCGGAAGCCTGGATGCACCTTGGTAATGTGCAAGCTCAAAACGAAAAGGAAGAAGCCGCCATTCGTGCTCTTGAAAAAGCCATTGAAGTCGATCCCAGCAATGGCCCTGCATTGATGTCACTTGCCGTCAGTTACACCAATGAATCGTACGATCATGCTGCATACCAAACCCTGGAACGCTGGATCTCCGAAAAATACCCTGAATTGGTGGATAAGTCGTTGCCCACGCCCGCTTCACCTTTTGAACTTCATGGTCGTGTCACCGATCTGTATTTGGCAGCTGCACGGCAGGCTCCGGATGGTCAGCTTATGGATCCTGATGTGCAGGTCGGTCTTGGTGTTTTATTCTATGGCAGTGGCGATCTCGATAAGGCGGTGGATTGTTTCGTGTCCGCCTTGAAAGGCAGACCAGAGGTAAGGCGCTGTCATTTATTGGCATGTGAGTTGAAACATTAAACATGTGCGTGTTTGTCAATATAGGACTATTTGTTATGGAATCGCTTGGGTGCCACACTGGCAAACAACGGCCGATCTGAAGAAGCCATCGATGCGTATCACAAGGCGTTGGAGTTGCGCCCATCCTTTGTACGTGCACGTTACAACCTCGGTGTATCTTGCATCAACATTGGATGTTACAAGGAAGCTGCCGAACATCTTTTGTCAGGTCTAGCGATGCACAAACGAGGCGCCACGGATGCCGAGGAGGGTGTGAATGTGTCCAATAACATGTGGGAGATGCTGAGGAAATCGTTGTTTATGATGGTAAGTGACGAGAAAAGCAATCCAGTATATTATGCGGTAGTTTTGATTTTCTGATGCGTTGATTGTAGGATCGACGAGACCTGGCTGATAAGGCCGTTGCGGGAGCCGATATCAATCAGTTCCGTGGGGAATTTGAGTTTTGAAAATAGAGAAACTGTACAATAATTCTCATAGAAGAGATTGCTGGTAAATCTATACGGAAACATATTTCAGATCAAATACTATGGATAATCTATAAAAAGAGAAACAAGCGACGCAAGTGTTCTTGCTGATCGTTCCATACATAGGAGGGTAGACGGATACTGTTTAGTAGTGTAGCTCATGAATTGAAATGGGCAATAACATAAACAAGCGCTGAAGCTTAGTGTCTTTTATCTCCAATCCAGCTGCAGAATCCAGAAAGCGCATTTTATGTCCTCCTATATGTGTCTATTATGGCTTTATTGCTCTTTATGAAGAATCAAAGCAACATCGGATCTGCTGTGTCGGTTTCTGTCTGGCCAGATATATCTGGGAGACGATGCTCCTCATATTTAAGAATTGAAAGGAATGAGGATGTTCATTTTGGATAGACACACGTCTGCTTCGCCCATTATAATCAAAAAGGTGAGGAAACGTGATGGATCAAACTAATTAATTCGGCATTTTCATTGATAAGTAGTGGACATTTTTGAATTATATGATCCCGTCACAAGTTGATTCTCGACAATTCTGAATCTGCGAGTAAGCGAATAGGATAAAAGGGTCTAGCATTCTTACGACACTTGCTGCGTAGCTGAGTTATTTTGAAACACAATAACATGCTTGATTCTCAAACGCTTGCCAAAATTCACAGAAAACGTACACAAAATAATTTTGAATGCGTAGTTAAGATTATTGCAATTGCCCACTGAAAAGACGCCGGTGGAGATTGGTAGGTGCTGATGGCCAATGAAAACGATACTTGGTGCTGGCCTATATGAAATAGTTGGTGATGTACTGGTGCCAATGAACAAAAAGTTGGTGAATGCTGCTGGCCGCTTTTTTCTTGTGGCTAAATTGAGCATAAGGAGTCCATTTTTTTTTATTGACGCTCGCAAACAATGCGCGCGGCATTTTAATCGTGTGGATCGTGTGACGGTTTCGCTTCCATTATTCAGGACAAGCTGCAACTCATTCATTTTACTTTGGCTCAAGACAATATCCATACTCAATATGGCCCAGTCGTCGCATTCAGTGGATGCATGGCTTTTAATGGCCCTTGTTCACAGAAATCTGGACGATCTGAAATTCCAAAATGCCATGATGCTTTCAGAACGACTGTACGCGATTGATAAAAACAACAACGAATACCGCTATTTATATGCGAAAAGTCTCTACCTCCGTCATGACTACGATGCAAGTTATTCTGTACTCAGCACTGCATTCTCGATACCATGTCTTTACCTGTTTGGACTCAGTTGTCTGGATCTGGGCAAGCGTGGAACGGACAAGGACAATAACCGACGCGTATGGCTTGAAGGCGTCAAGGCAGTAACAGCCGCTTTGGAACAGCACCCCGAACAGTCCACTCATGCACATGCGTGGGGAAATGGTAAGTGGCAAACGATCCAATAACATGTGTCATTACTTGGTAACTGAGCGCTGCCATAGATTTAGCGAGTGTCACCGCCAGAAACCACATGCCGACTCGAGCATCCCTATGCGCCCTGTTGGGAGATCTATACACCAAGTTGGAGAACGTGCGCACGGCTGCCATTTATTTCTCGCAGTGCTTAAAACACGATCCCTTTGATTTATCGGCTTTTCTCAAACTCTGCGAGCTTGCACCGGATGTTTCCGGTATCAACGTTGGCAAACTACCAGACATTGTCTATAAAGAATTTACCAAGGAAACCGACCTATCACGGTCCGACCCCTCTTCACCCTCACCACCACTGCCATCCCTCGTCGGAATTCGGTTCCAAGAAGTCATATCTGAATTATCAAATGACCCCAGGACGCAACTAACCATGCCTATCATGCGAGGAAAATATCACGATTTAACCCTCGAGGAACTGCGAGCCCTGGTACATTATAATCAGAAAGGTCCTAGGCCATTAACTCTAGAAGAACTGAACAGCCGTCAACCACAGCGGTAAGTTATCAAGAAAAAAAAAAGAACATGACTAGCTCATGTCGGAGCATCGACTCATTGTTCATTTGGTAGTGATGAGAGAGAGGAGCAAAAAGACGACGAAATTTCGAAAATCCTTGAAGATATTGCTCAAATGAAAGCGGCGGAAGCCTACAAGAACAAACACGGTCTCCACAAGAAACCTCCCGTAGATAAACAAAAAGAGTTGGAAGTAGGCCTTTTGCCTTCCAACGATGATACCCAATGTGAACCCTTATCCCCTTCAGCATTGGGAGAACCGCCTCGATTGTTCTCTGATGTTCCTTCTCCACACACATCATCGAATGATGTGGAGACTAGGTAAGCTATTTTGTCCATGATTTTGGTTTGAAAGTACTAATGTCCTTGTGTTTTTCAATTCCAGTAAAAGATCGCAACTATTAGGCAAGGTATGGTACTTCCGTCTCAAACGATCAAAGACACCAAAGCTCACCAGCTAGTAGAAACGATCTAATAATGCTGCGAAAGCGAACGGAGAGGTATGATTCCATGACACCAGAACCGGGACATGTACCAACTGATCTTTTCACTGTTAGTCCTCCAGCTCTGTGGCCTATTTCTCCTTATCTGCGAGCAGCAAAAGGTAAGCACAATTTGCTCTACGATGTATGTTGTACGCTTTATTCATCGTTGCGAATATCAGACGGAGAACAAGTGCGGGACAGCAGCTAGTTGATCAAGTAAGAGGCCAAATATAACTTGAAAGATATCACATGTATTAAAGGGGAAAAAAATTTAGGATAATTGCCAACCGATGGGTGATCATGCCAAGGTATTTCGTGTGGATTTGCCTCAGTATGATGACGTTGACTGATTCTATTTTGTATGTAGACTGCGACTGGGTCATTGTATACGATATTCAATATCGACTCTCAATCTTATGCACAGAGTGAAGAGCCTTCCGACGAAATTAGCGGAGGAAAGGCGGTAGTGGTGGACGCGATGAATCGGTTGATATGCTTACTCAAGATCCTCGCCAACGGGTACATGTATCAATCGCTTTATGGTTGCCGTGAAGCGGCACTGGAATTACAGAAACTGGATAACCAACAATACGACACTGCCTGGGTGTTGTCGACGATCGGCAAAGCTTACTATAATTCGAGTGACTATCTTACTGTAAGATGACGCGTGTAGCTTGATATGCATCACGAACTCATTCATCCATTAACAGGCACGTGTCTTCTTTCGACGATCTTTTGCTATTGCGCCTTGGTTCTGTGATGAAATTCCTTTGTATTCCACATGCCTCTGGTATCTGGAAAATTCCACGGAGCTGAACTTGTTAGCCTACAAAGTGAAACACAATATGTCCCATCAGTACGAAGCGTTTATCGCAGCAGGCAACTGGGCCAAGTGCAGCAAAGAAGACATCGAAGCAACAAAATGGTTTCAAAAGGCGGTTGAAGTCGATCCGTCTCGACCTTATGGCCATTGTTTACTGGGATACGAAGATTGGGAAAAAGGCAACTATTTAGGTGCCAAACAGCACTTTGCAGAGTGTATGATAGCAAATCGACGCTCGCACATGGGATGGTAATTGTCACCTTCATTACGGCTGCGCACATCAATAATAACTCAAAACTGGCCAATCTACTAGGTTCGGTATGGCGGTAGCGTACATGAATATGGACGAGCACATGCAAGCACGCAATTTACTGGCGGAAGCTATACGCCTAAATCCACGACATCCTGTTGCCTTGGGGACCATGGCCGAGGTAAAATGTCACAGTCCAAAGAGAATGGCTTTGCTTTGTTTCACTGACACTGAATGATGCACAGGTTCTCTTTGCATTATCGGAATACGATCAGGCACTTCGATTTGCGGAAACAGCCTTGAAAATGCGGAGTATGCCAGGCATTGAAAAATTGAAGAGAAAGATCATTATGCTGCAATCCAAGTGATCCCACTCCGATGCAAGACTTTGGAATATCTATCAAAACTGTAAATAACATCATTGTATCAAGCTCAAACGATCATCATCCAACATTATGTCTCCATTATGAAAATATCTCTGTGAAGCGCGACGACAAGATAATAAAACCGAGAAGAGATGTTTTCAAAAAAAAAAAAAAAAAAAAAAAAAAAAAAAAAAAAAAACACATTTATTCAAAGTTTGAGTGGTTGGGTCATACGCCGCTACAGTACATTAACTCAATATGGGTAGAAAGTAGAGAATAACGATGAATGATGAGTGCTTCCTTCTGCAGACAACTCTGCGAGCACATCTTCCTCCTGGTCTATGTCCCTTCAGCCAACAGATCATTTGTCTGAGACTTGTATGATGCGAATCCATGGTCGACCAACGATCGATCACGCAAACGTCAACACATGAGATTCAACAGTTTGATGCGATTTTCATGGTCTTCCGTTCCCCCGAACTTCCTTGCATAACTCAGTATTTTGTATCCTTGCTTTCAAGTTGCGGATCTGGGTTTGGTAAATTGGGAGGAATTGAACGATCCTCCTGGCGATTTCAGCTAAACTTTCGAAAAATTGAATCAATTGCATTTGGAATTTTTTGAGGCACATATTCATCTCGTCTTACCGAGATACTCTTGCTTCAATACGTATAATGAGCGAATAGAGATCATTGAACTACTGGAAGTACGTTTTCTTTTCGGTTTGCACATCAAGAAGGCAACCTTCTTTGTTAGAGCACATGAAAAGTGCCGAAGCGTGAGTGCACCGTTTGTCCGCCCTGCAACAACAATGCAGTCGTTTCCATTTGATGCAATAGCAAGAGCTATTTTATGCCTTGTTGACGCAATGCAGTAAGGATGCTGTTGAAAAGGAAAGTCTTGCCAGTGCCACCGGGACCGTCAACGAAGAACAATCGGGCTGATGCATTGCTTTCATGCGAGACACTCGTAAACCAGGAACTTACGAAGGTGATGGTTCGAAGGTGTTCGAAGCTCTGTGCTCCCAGGGAAACTATAGAACAACATCCGAAGGTAATACTTCTCTACTTGGCGTGGTGAAACAGCATACAAGCGCCCGATCTCCTTCAAGAAAGCGGAATCTTCTTTCTCAGAAAACCGTATCAAAAGATACTGAATCGTTGGGTTCGAAGTTGGCTACCACATGATTCCGCACCAGTTCATCATATCTGAGGAGGAAGACGGAGCGGATGTTTTTTGCTGCCATCACGTCTCGATTCCACACCGTTCTACAGTTTTTACTTTCTAGAACAGCGTGGAGCTAGGCTCCGTGGTTGTGTTGTCCGGACATTCCCTTTTGTGCTTGGCCACCTGTCTTGTGTCAACAAATCCAGATGTTGAGGCTCCCATCTACGGGATCTGGGATGGTCAACGTATCGTTCTGGAAAATCGGGATAAAGAAGAGTCCGTGTCTGAGGATCGATTCGGTTTCGTGCAAACCAGGCAGTCAACGTTGTTTCGCGCTGGCGATCTGCAACAGTCTGTGGCTTTTCGTCCTCCTGGAACTGTACAATCTGTTCGTTTTAAAGCCGTTAGCCAGGCGTTACGTGCTAGTATATTCGCGATGCATCGTGAAAGAAAAAAGCAGCCGGTGGATGGGCTCGGCAGCTGACGCGTAACGGGCATCGATGAAACGCGTGATTTCGACCAACTTGTTCTTGGACGTTTCTGTCATTATCGGCACGAGACACTGCTGCTGCAGCTTCATTTTTGGAGACATACTTGTACAGGTATTTGACGCCTTCTATTATACGCGACGAAATCACATCTCTGCTGAAGTAAGTCTTGAATTTGACTGGATTTTGGTTAATCCTTAATTGACAAAGGAGTATCGGCTCTGTTGGATCTTCGGGGTAGCATATTTCAATATTGTCCATGTCGTTAAATCAACTTTGACCATTTGACCACATTGGATTTTTATAGGGTTCACAGTAAAACATGCATATAGTCTGTTCTCTGTTGATTTTAATCAGGGCGATATAAAGAAAAGGTTGCTGAAAAGAAGGATGACAAAAAGGAAAAAGATAGACAGCGTCACAAAAAAAAAAACTCTCCTCAAAATGACTCTTCCTGTTTAAACATTTATCAAAGTTTTGGCAGAATGACGGAAAACAAAGCCTTTGAAAATCACTCAAGTACAACCGCATGCTTCAATAATACTAGTCAATTTATTTCGCCTAACTTTTTACTTTTGACAACTGACCACAACTGCTCGATTGGATTTAGTTCAGGGAGAATATGGAAAAACGATATACGAATCTGTATCCTCCTGAATTGATACTGTATATTTACCCAATGTTTGCTACATTGTGAACTAGCAGCGTTATCCATGACAAAGGTAGTTGCTACCTTCATTTCGGGATCGTTGACCCTTTTTCGTCGAGAATAGCCTTTACAAAAATTTGACATGAGAATACAAACTGAGGAATATCATTGCTTCATCTTCTTTACCATATTGACAGTCACATAGAACATATCCTAGGATAAGCACAAAGGAAATGAGTGGCAGATTCAGGTGCCGAAAGACAAAGTGGACAAAAAGGTGAGGTAAAATGAGACGCGATTCCTGCACAAAATTCAAACAAGTCAACAGCCTGCACACACGGCCTGCACAAAAAAAAGGCCAACACGTGGTGTACTTCAATATTCACTCCAAATCCGATGAGCATGATGTGGCGCCAACAAACAATGAATATTGAAGTGCATTGTTTGGTGCCTTCTAAATATCCACTGATCCTAACGCGGAAGACAGAGACCTTCCCCTTTTTTTCTTTTTATTTTCGCTCTTTTTAAACCTTCATTTACTTGACCAACGTCTCTGTCATCTCTGCTGCTATCGAAGCTTTCAATAACCTTGTACAAGTGAATAAAAAGTGATGTATTTGCCATATGTGAATATCATTCCGACGCTGCTGCCGAATACGGACGGAAGTACAACGTCGTACTCCGTGTCAAAGGATTCCAACGACCGTGTAATCTGGTTCAAAAGCAAGCAATACGAAGAACCGCATATTCTTCTACAGGTAAGTGAGCAAAATTTGGATGTGTCGATCACTGTAAACTAATAGTATTCATGGGCAATAGTCTCTGCTGGAAAAGGAAAACCAGTAACTGAGAAATCAGCTTGCTGAAGAAATCAAACGCCAACAAAAATGTCCAGGTGAAACAAGAAACAAGACAAACCGAAGGTGGAAGCATTGAAATGCTGCGTGTGCTTGGTAAACAGCATTGAAGTTGCTCTTACGCCCTGCAACCACTTCGGTAAGCTTTCTTTACTACAGTATGTGTTTGTGAAGCAATTTTGGTAACCCATTTCCTGTTTTCCGTAGCATACTGCCAAAGCTGCGCGGAAAGGTTATACGGATGTGCCCTTTGCCGGACTCCGAAGTTCGGCGTACTGAGGATGTATCTCGGGGTTTGACCGATGACGCCGTCTTTTTATTTTTGGTTCTTTAAAAACAAAAAAAAAAAAACTTTTTGAGAAAATATGTGTCCGATCAGAAACTTTAATTTCACTGCTGAACATCAGCGTAGGAGCCACGCTGCAGCTGTCCTTTGAATATTAAAAAATCCAAATGAAAAGACAGATATAGCCAAACTCATCGCTCAAAAGGGACGTATGATTTCTGTGCTAGTTTCCACCTCCCGGGACATGGAGCTTCACTGTCCGATCCGACAAAAAGAAAGCCAAGGGTGCGCCTCTTATTTGTTTGGTTTGGCCTTTAGTCCAAGAAAGCATTACAGACAAATAGATAAATATTTCGAATGATGAAACTAAATTTTTGTTTATTTGGGGGGCATACAGTGGTCAAATACACGGGATGATATGAATTGAGGATGGAAAAGTACTGTGCCATCGCTTACGATGCAAAATAATAAGAACCGAATGTTTATGCTTTCGGTGGTTCTCCTTCTCCAGCGCCTTCAGCTGGTGGTGCTTCAGCTTCGCCGGCCTCTTCTGCAGCTGGCGGGGGAGCTGCCTTGACTGGTACAATATTAACACCAAAGTGTCTATTCCGGTTGTAAAGGTATTGCCAGGCCAGTGAAATCAGGAAAAGGACAATAGTAACTGCCAACATGGCAATCACCGTACGTGTAATAGTGTAGCGAACGCGGTGCAACGGGTTTCGGTCCAGTATAGAGCGAATCCCCGCCAGATACCCAGTGTGAGCAAGGAAATCAACGCCAAGAATGAAGATGTAGGCGCCTACGAAGGACGTGCTGAATAGAATGACATAGCGTTCGACGAAAAAGGTAATGCAGGCCATAAAAAAGGGCAACGCAACGAGGAAACACGCTCGAGCCACCTCTTGAACGATCAATAAGTTTTCCTTCCAGCAGCAGATGTAAAGAGCCAACGCAAGCCCGCCAAGACCGCCAACGAGGTAAATTGACACGTTCCAAAAGAAGACGTATAAAATGGCGCCCAGCACGCCCAACCCTGCCGGCACAGCAATCAAGGTGATGGGTTCATTGATATATCCATTGGCAGGTTGGCTATTCGCCATTCCAACCCATGTGACGATACCTATTAATGTCTGAGCAAGACATGGTTGAACCATTCGGCCAGTTCATTTGTACTACTTACCAAAAGTGATGAATCCACAAACACCCAACGTGGGACGGAATGCCCGGAACCCAAAGACCATCAAGTAAATGCCCAGGATAATAAAAATAGCTCCAGCAACTCCCATCTGAGGAGTGACCCCACGACCGCCATAGATAACCGCTGGAAAAGAAACGTCAGCAAATACGCTTTGCGGTAAATATAAAGGTTCATGAAACTGTTGATGTGATACCTGGATCGTCTGATGCTGGTAAGCTGGTAGGTGTGCTGTGACTGGTAGGTTTTGCTGTTGCTGTAGCTGTTGGTGTGGTGGTGGTGGTTGTAACGACACAGTCATCGCCACTTTTATCATTGGTTAACATGACCACGTCTCTTTTATTGTTATCATTCTTGTCGCAGGACGGTTTATTCCAATTGCTGACGGGTTCATCTCTTTTGATATTATGATTCACAGGCGTTGCCCGGGCTGCCACACACAGCAGTAAGAAGATCAGGAATATTGATGAATGAACCGTCAATCTCATTGCCGGTATATCTCTTTGAGTAAAAAATAAAATAAAAGATAAATGAATTTACTGTATTGCACTCCAAGGGATGAAGGCCTACAGAGACAACAATAGAAATAGAGAAGAAAATGACGAGGACAACATTTTGCACCTAGGAGGCAAAATATATAGAATGAACATGGATTTGATGAGGCAACCTCATAACAACCCGATTACTGTATTTGTCGATTCGGCATTACTATTCTGGGAAAATGTTTTTTTTTCCCTTCACTTCGATCATCCAACACCATGCGACAACAAGCGAGCTAAAAACAAGCCGTCATTCGGTACAGCTTGATATTTTGGATTTTTTTTTTTTCATTTACGTTTTGTTTGAATAGAAAAATTGGAAGCTATCAGACTGCAGTCCTTTCCGTGTCATGCCCTTGGAATGAAGACAGACGAGATCATCAACTGCTGGAAACCACTCAGAGAGCAAAAGCCAGCACACTTCACTCAAAGGAAAGTCTGCTACGAGTCATCTACTAACTTGGTAAAAGTGTCTAGTTTAAAAAACGTAGAACGGTTATGTACTGCATACAGATCCTGTAGAGTACGGTCACTAGAGAACCTGGGCCTGCCGGGATTACAGCCATATTTATAGCTTTCGTGATCAACTGACTCTTAAAAAAATTTTCCATATCTTCAGTGAGGATCTAGAAAAGAAACGCATTTGCAACACAGCTAAAGTGACCGATCCTATCGCAATAAAAAGAAATACGAGGCCATGCCTTCTTGGCCACTTGAACAGCATAATGCACGCCTAGCAAGTGTTTCTCATTACTTCTCCAGAAGAGGATCATATATTGCAAGGGTACATCATTCGTAATTATACTAAATAACGTTTACAATATCCCTCATTTTTTTGTGCCTGAACAGACAATATAGCGCCGATTCAATGCTGAAAATTTTTTTCGTCGCGCTCTTGACGAGAATCACCAATAATAACCGAGTATTATTTGATTGTTTCTGCTGGTTTCCACGAAACAAAAACTTTGCAAATCAGGTTCTATGCTGGCACTAAACAATTCAACGGAAAATGAAAATACGGTTTTCGATTCACAACACACGATCGACCACACCGTTATTCGAACATGAGCAATTGAGAATCTTGGAATATCCTATGATGAGCACACTATGAGCCTGGATCAGTTATCGATGTCACACGTTGTATTCTTGCAGGTCATGGGGGCGAATACAAATCGGATGATGATCGTTCAGAAAACTGTTCGTGTGACCGACTGTAGAAAACGCAGATACAGATCAAGTCTGGGCGTTTTCCCACATCAAGAGAACCTCGATGGCGTGCTATTTTCGTGGTAGCCACAAGGTAGGAACAGTGACGGAACAAACTGCCGAGGTTATGCTTGCTTCTACTGTTCCACGATCTAGATCAATCCTGCCTAGCAAGGTCCTTTCAAGCCTCGGATAAAAATTAAGTTTGGTGTTCGTTTGATTGTTGCTGTCATTTTTATCAAGTCTCGCAATTCATCATGAGTGATCATTGCTAGATATGCTTTATATAGTTTATGAGATCATTATGTAGGATGGAATAAAGAATACATTTCACAACAGTTCATGTGTTATGTGCAAGGTAAGATGATGAATTAAAAGGTTCTGTAGTTGGGGCATACGATGAAAGAGAGAATTTCCCACAAAAGTTGATCCATAGCGTGTGATTACGGCAATAGACCAACGCACTAACATTACGGGATAGGGTACTACTGAGATTAAATGATACAAAGCTTTGGAATAAATTATTAAAAGTATTAGCGGGTGAACGTTGTGTTGACGGTGGGTATAGCAGGCGTTGATTGGGATATTCTTTCGTCTTGTGCTTTTTCTTCATCCGGCACGGGGGTACTATTATGACGTCTCCAAAATTTCCATGCAGCTGGCCGTGGAGAGACAGGTGGTCGTGTGTACGTCCGACTTTCTGAGATGCCAAAATTTAGCGCCTCATCTTCATCAAGCGCATACAACGGTCGACGCGATGGTGGCGGGGTGGGAAAATATTTGTAGTACGCATTGGAAATGGCGAAAAGAGCATAAATAATAAGGCCGAGTCCTAGAATGACCATAAAAAATTTGCCGCCACTGGCGTTGGCAAGTTTGGAAATCGCGGCCGCGACCATGTTCTGTCTTCCAGATTCATTGCGCTTGGCGAGAGAGTCCCAAAAGAAACCAGACATGGTACCAAACATGATAGCCCGTCCACCAAAGCCAATACGGCCTGACCAATGCACGATAAAGGCTTCCCATTTTCGTGAGCCAGGCTCGGATGTACGTAAATCCGGGATGAAGTTCCCCGTAATAGCATTCACCAGTTGAGTGATACAGGCGATGATAAACGCGATTCCTAGGATTCCGATACCTGCTCTTCCAATTCCGCTCTTTGTCCAGGATGCAGGAAATTCTTTACTGGAAGCAAGTTGCTGCTGTTCGTCCTCGGTTTGATAGATCATCTGCACCACATAGTAAAAGTATGCAGTATAAACGCAACCGCTGACAAAGGGAGACAACCGGTAACGAAAAAAGTTTCCTTTCTTACCGGATGCCGCATCCATTCCTTGTCCAGTGATGGATTCCCACCATCTAGAGAGAAAAAAAAATAAGTCGTAATTTAGTCATTTTGACTCGCCAGGCAAAAGAATTATAAATTTTCCTAATAAAGTAAAAAATAGAGTTCAATACCTCCAAAGGATATAAAACACCAGCCCTACAGCCATCACGACCAAAATCGGACGTCCAATGGCGGGAATTCCACCCAATAGGAGAAAAGCTCCCTACACAATGATTCATATTAATCGTTCTATTTCTTTCGGCAAAAAGGGAAGAGGTTGATCTACCTGAGGTGACTCGTTGCCTGCACTTCCGTTGGGTGTCCAGGTACCACTGACATTCGTGATGGTCAACACACCAATAATTCCGTATACCACACCCTTGGCAATAAAACCGCAGCGACCGATGAATCGTACAAAGCGGCGATGTCGAGGTCGTACTCCGCCTCTGTAGAATGGCAGCTTCTTGAAGGTTTTGGTGACGTTCAGTTCTGTATCCGTCGTGGGCTGTTCGTCGAGTTCCGAAGTATGCAGTTCGAGGGAAATATCATCATTGGCTACTTGGTCGCTTTCATGTTTCGAAGTCTCTGTCATCGGTGGATGTTTATTAAGGCATTGCACGGCGATAACGTCGTTGGTATTGTTGGCTGTCGTTGTATCATTTTTCGACGAGGTATCTGGACTCTGCGTGGGCAAAATATTGTCATCGGATTTCTCATTATGATCTTCAGAAGAAGTAGCTTCAGATGATTTCCCTTTTCCAGGTATCCACTGCCGCCAATTGGTAGCCACATAGTCTGGTATCTTTGTAAACATTGCTTTTGGGGAAACCAACAAATCCCCCAGATCCGATTTTTTTTATATTTACTGAGTTTTCCGGTTTCAGAGTCCGGTTTGCAGAACTTCCGTTGATGTCATGGTTCCAAATCGAGATAAAATATTGGCGGAGATTATGTCTCGGACTGCAACTGGGCAACATGAAATTGGGTCAACCAATGGTTGACGACCAAGTCACTTTTTGTTCCTATTCGACACGGCTGCCTAGCTTTACGGTTGACAGCTTACCATGGAGCGTTCCTTCACGTTCACTGCGCTTCTGCTACTGCTTAATCTATCCTTCTCTTTGGCATTCTACGGAAATCGTGATGCTGTTGTCGAATTGACTCCCAAAAACTTTCGCGAAGTGGTCCTGAAGACCAATGTACGTTTACGAGTTGGTCAAGTTTTAATGTCAGTGATCTTGATGCTTACTCCTGTATCATTCTTATGTAGCAACTGGCCGCTGTTGAATTTTACGCACCTTGGTGTGGACATTGTCAGAGGTAGGGAAGCGGACTCCAAAGTGAAAGCTTAGTGTTTGAACGACTTGATGCTCAAACGGGTTTAGGCTCGCACCTGAATGGAAAAAAGCGGCTAATAATCTCAAGGGACTAGCCACTGTAGCGGCTGTGAATTGTGATGATGAAAAGAATCGTCCCCTCTGTGGTGAATATGGCATACAAGGATTCCCTACGATCAAGATCTTCCGTACCGATCGAAATAAGAAATCGGGGGCTCGGACACGGAAACCCACAGGTGCGGTTTGCATGAAAAATTTCGGAAGAAAGGGGTTTTTAATTTCGGTGGCTGACCTGTGTGTGTATCGTGGGTTAAATAGATTATCAGGGTCCAAGAGACGCTAAAGCCATTGTGGATCACTTATTATCAATTCAGCCATCCAATGTTCGCTTTATCAAGCAGGATGCAAGCAAAGTGAAATCACAACGCAGCATTCATATTGACGATTTTCTCGCAAACCAAGTACGTCATATATAATTTGAGGAAAAACGGACAGATGATTGACCTCGCACAAAAAATCGTAGAATGAAACTTTGCCTAAAGCGCTTCTATTTACCGACAAGTCTACGACGACACCCTTGTACAAAGCTCTATCGGTTGAATTTGGTGACGATCGCATGCTATTCGGTGAAATCAAAAAAACGGAAAAGTCTATTTTAGATACCTATAGCATCAAGGCTTTTCCAACCTTGCTCGTCATCACCTCTCAGAACGAACCCGTCATTTACAAAGGCGCGCTAAAGTATGAAGCATTACGCCAATTTTTGGAGCAACATGCCCTGTCAAAAAAGGATACGAAATCAGCATCCGCAGCTAAAGCAACAGCAGAACAACAACAGGTGACAGGTAAAGCTTCAGAAAAAAAAGTCCACGAATACGTATTTATTTGGCTGCAATATATAGTGCAAGAACTCAACTCTGATAAGGAAATGGAACAGCACTGCAGTAGCTCGGCCAATGTCATCTGCGTGATCGCCGTCGTGCCCACAGACGAAAAGGAAAAAGCCGATACGGTGGAATTATTAAAAGAACTGAGCGCGGCCTCGTCACAGCGCTTTCACTTTGGTTGGATTTTAGAAGACAGATCGGCAAGTGTTGTGGGGAAGCTTGATCTGGTACGCGATTTCCCGACGCTTTTCATCGTCCACACCAACAAACAGCTTTATCGCCCTTACGTCGGTGCTTGGAATAAGCAGAATATCATGCAATGGCTAGATCAAATTGCGTCGGGACGTACGCAGGCGTGGTCCTACCAAGGTTCGCTGAAGATTGATGCGAGCAAACAATGGCGGGATGAATTGTAAAGAGTCTATTGCTCTTTTGTACAATTTACCTGGGAATGACAATAAATCAATGTAACGTTGCAACAAATTTCTATTTCTGGCTTTATTCTATCCGAACTGTGTGTTCATTGGTCCGATCCGTCAACGCATCCATTGAGAAACGACATCATCGCACAATGTGGGTGTAGAACCGACAATGTAAACTTACAGAATATTGTACTATGATCGTTGGATTGCTCAACGAAATATAAGCCGAGTCTTGAACTGGCAAATGGATATCATTAATGGCATAAGCCTTCACATTGGTATATCGACTCCACGTGAACTAAAAAACCTTTCATGCCTTTTAAAAGCGTACCAGGTAAAAAAATAAAAACCTGCAGTGGGGATCGAATTTGGCGCCCTAATGAAGTTTGAAGCCCAGTTGCGGAAGCACATACAACACAGATCAAGAGTAGTATGTACTACAAGTAATGTGCAAAGACGGTACCAATATGATGGTAAACCTAAAATCCCCACTGTTACCGCATCGGTACGCCACCGTACTCCTGTCGTGTTCAAATATAACCGGATCGATCTACTATTACTTTTACGCAAATAAGCTTGCCTTTGTATTCATTTGGGGTTGTCAGTTAGCAATTGCGCATATCATCGTGATCCGATTATCCGCATTTTCAGCCAGTCAAATTTCACCCACCAGCGCCGAATCCAAAAATGATGGCTTCACATGGCAGAGAATTTTAGGAATGCAAAGGTAAAAAAGAGCTCCTCTGAAATGTCAGCATATTATGATTATTGTATATTGGTGTGCCGTCACTGGCTGGCAGATGATAACCAAGCCGATCCCGCGGACTTTGATGGGTTGTTGTTGGGAAGTAAGCTATTATAACTTATGGCGGTCCTCGTACGTTACCATGTTTCTGGCTATCATAGGTTTCCGTTCTCTGCAATGGAGCGTTAGGAGATGATAGGTTATTCTGCTGGCAATCATAATGTCACTATGGTGAAGAGCAACACTGTATCTACTTTCAATGTAGCGTTATTTTTTTCATTACTGCTTCAGCGTGGAGTCTATTGGTGTTAAAAATTAGAATTTAATCCATCTCAAAGGAATGCATAAAAGATGCATGAATACTTCCGCAGCGTATAAAATAACGTCCTATAGGGTCCTGAATTCATAGCCGGATACTTCTATTTTATTCGCCATGAATATTCTTCTTCTGTTAACATACGTGCTTACGACGGCGTCTATAGCATATAGTGTTCATGACAATCGAGGTATGTTGGGCAAACCATCGATTCCTCAGTTGGGCCGTCATGCATCTAATTCTCCGCTTGCAGAGTACTTTGTTCACCCCTCATCCGGTGAGACGTTGAGAATCGGAACGCTGGCGAATGTGGTACTGAATGAATTTCGCGTCACCCTATTGTCAATTGGATTAATCCAGAAAACAAAAATAGACATTCAGCGTCCCTACGGAACCTTCTCAATCCGTGCATATATTCTTTGAAAACAATCGAACCCACTCTCTACAAGGCAAATTTGTAACACCACATACATATTCTTTCATTGTACCGGAAATCGCACTGAGTAGGGAAAATGAGACTTCCACTTTATTAGTGGTGCGTCGAACGGATCATCATCTCGACTCTGTTGACAGCATCCAGCTCAAGATCGTCGGATAACGTCCATTGATCAGCAAAACTTAAATATGTAAATGTCTTACTACAAGTATTAACGACCCTGCTGCCTTTCATATAATTGGCCGTCATCGATAAAACGCTCACGCTGCAGCGTAAAAATCCAAGAATGACTGCCAGTTTAGTTTAGTAGTAACTGTATATCATCTTTCACATATCTGGTTAGTAGGTATTGTTAATGTTGCCATCAAATATATGTATCCGTGCAGCCGGTCGAGATAACACTCGACTTAGTTAATACAATCAATATCCGCAGCAATGCCCATCCATCATTTTGCGAGGAATCTTTGTTGTATGACCTTTATTACAATTTTTTTTTGTACGCAGATTTGTGGATAATATCATGTGAAAAAAAAGAGAGGTGAATAAAGACCAAGGTATCTGCTTAAAAAGGGTTATTCTGTTATTGGCTAATCAGCATCGCTGACAAAAGCATCGGCTACATCACTCAGTTCTTTATCCTCTTCTTCAACGGCATCTCGAATTTTGCTATCCGTTTCCTCCTTGATCATGGCATCTCTCATCTCACGTGTAGGCGGTAATCGTTCGTTTTCAATATCCGAGCGCTTCGCGTCTTCAAATGTGGTGATGGCTAATCGAAATTTCATTATTTGTACTGTCCTAAACATAGTCAACACCCGCAAAACAATTACTTACCTGATTTGATACCCTCTGCACCCAAAGCAAGTGTACCGAGTGGCAGTTTACCGGAGGGTGATAATGATTTCAGTTCCATCACACGTTCCGAATTTTCTCTCAGTACCGAGAAAACACGAGACATCTTGCCGACCGCCAAAATCTTGTTACGGATGACGGTGCGACGTTGTTCAGCTTCATCTGTCGCTGATGCTGGTTTTTCATCCAATGAAAGTCGATGTTCTTCATCAGCGAGTTCTTCTTTGCTGCAAATGTTGAGGATCGCGATCAACATGTCGGTAACTATGCGCAATGTAAGCTGACGCTCGAATGATGTAACCCTCAGACTTACTCTTTTCGCCGACAAAGGGTAAACTCCATGTGAAGACGTCCATAAAGTTGGGTAACCAATAAGGATGAGGTGTACAGTTAAATTGTCGAATGTTCATCACGTTGTTTTCATATTTGAGCACGGCAGCTTTGTTGTTGTAGACATCGAGGTAATTGGGTGCTGAGAAAATGGTCATCACCGCCGGGAACGATGTGGTTCTACTCTTTTTGTACATTCGATATCTTTTTTTATGCACTCATAATAAGTCCACTGATCCACGAGACCTGCGTATATCCGATAGTCTACTTACCCAGCATCCTGAGCCTCATGCGCTCGGATAATAGAGAGAAGGCCATTGCGTTCCAAAAAGGCGCAAGCAGCAGGATAACTGACCAACCAAGTATTAGAATTTTTCAGCCCATTTTTTTGTACCATTTTGCGCCATGATGAAACAATACCTGAAAAAGTAAGAGCAGCCTCTCACATGATTATGGACGAATAATTCGTTACTTGTCTCTTGTCCGAATTCCTCCAAAGGATCAGCCCAAAGAAGATCACACATCAAACCGTGAGTAGGGGGTTCGCGGAAACGATCAAACTGTGTATTTTTTACATGGTTGAGCAATCGTACTAACCATGACACGCGACAAACCCGCAGATACCTTTTTAAAGTCGTCCAATGTGTGTAATTCCGGGGAAAGACCACCGTGAATACACAAGAATTGCTTATTCATGACAGCACCCAGAGGAAGAGCACAAAATGACTCCATACATGCGTCGTAAACTCGCTCGGTATATTTGTGACGACCTAGAAATTCCAAATACCCATCAGTACCCGGAGCCATGCCAAAAACGAAAGCTTGTGCTTACATTCGATCTTGAACGTGAAATAGTCTGTAAGATGGCGACATTCATGGTTGCCGCGCAGTAACGATAGTGTATCAGGATACCACATTTTCAATGCCCACAGATAAAGCACACACTGGGTCATGTTAGCATCACATCATTGGCAATAGAGTAGAAAAAGTGTAACTTGCCTCGATAGAGAAGTAACCGCGATCGACATAATCTCCAAGAAACAGATAGGTTGTATTGGCTGGATCACCTCCCACCTCAAAAAGTTTCATTAAATCGTAGTATTGACCGTGAATATCACCACAAACTAGCCGGACATGAAGAAGCGTGAGCTCAAATGGGATGCTATTCTCACGTATCGCTTTTATCTAACCTGTAATTGGTGCATCCACTTCCAGCAAATTTTCTTCTGTCTTTAGGATTTCGGTTGCTTTTTCGAGAATATACAATGCTTGTTCTTCTGTCAAGCGACCTTCACGATAAAAATGGTCCTTCAAGAAAGCGATATTCGGCAAACCGGGACGTTCTTTGCTCCAGAACTCGTCATCCGTAGGGAAACCCACGGCTGGTGCAGGGACATCTGTAAATACGACGAAAGATAACGTAAGTATGCCCGAAACGGAAGTACCCGACATTCGCCGTTCATCCATGACTTGACTAACCTTTGATGACTCGATCTTTGGTGCTTACAACCGAACCATCATCCATAGTGAAGAGGGAAAAGTCAATACGAGGTACGTCATCCGGTTTATTCCGCAGCCGTCTGATAGCTGGACTCAGTTCTTTACTGATTGAATCGTTAGAGTCCATTACACAATCGCTCAAGGAATAAAAATAGCTAGAACCAAAAGAAGAGGGGCGGAAGCGGGGAAAAAAAAAGTGCACACCTCGGTTCTTCTTTTTTTTTTTTTTTTTCGTCTGGTGAGTGATATTTTTTTTTTTTGATTTCCCGCACCAGATAGATTTTTTTCATTCATTGCACATTGGATAGTAATTTTTTTGGCGTTTTTCCGTTCATTCTAGTCTATTATGCGCTTTATATCCAAACGATAGGTTACAAAAAGTTGTAAATGTAATTTGAAGGTAAACTGAAACAGTAACTTCGGAGACGCGTTCACTGTTAAACGGGATATTTTGAAATAACGGTTGTCCCAGGAACATGTGTCTCACCCAATGCATGGCAGCGATACAACAATTGTGAGCTTGCTGAACAATTGATTCAAACTCCGGTGTTGTTTCTTCTCGTCAATTGTCGTATTCTTTGCCCCAGCAGCCCCATTCGATTGCTTGCGGTTCATAACAAACGACACGCGCGTTGAAACTCCAGTTCTCACAGCAGCAGTTGGTACTTTATTATCTCAACTCAACAGCGACGAGCCTATTTCCTCTTCTCTTTTAGCTTCTGGCTTCGGGTCCATCTGAAACATTCCCAGTTCAACTCGTAAGTCATGGGCATCCCCAATGCTTCCCGTGCCTGCGCATCGACGTCGAAAGCGTTTACACTTAGTTTATTTGTAGTGTTGCCTCAATAGTGAAAGGATGAGCGGAGGAGGCAACATTAAGGTCGTTGTACGATGTCGTCCGCTCAACTCAAGAGGTATCTTTTATCATGTCCGTGATAGAGTGCCACTTTTCTCATTCATACTTTGTCGCATAATGAAGAACTCGCGCGAGGCGCGACATGCTTAATTAGGATGGACGGAAATCAGACGATATTAAGCAGACCTCCAGATATGAAAATCGGGAAAGACACCGAAGATCAGAAAGCATTTACTTTTGACAAATCATATTGGTCCGCCAATAAATCAGATCCCGATTACGCAGATCAGCAAACAGTCTACAGTGACCTGGGCGTGGAGTTACTTAACCATGCATTTGACGGTTATAATTGTTGTATTTTTGCATGTAAGTTTTCTCTTTACTTGGTAAAATGAAACAAACTGACATGCAATTGTGTGATTACAGATGGTCAAACGGGTTCTGGCAAATCCTATTCCATGGTAATCAATATCGCATGACCACGCCAAAGCGACTCATTTTATTAACATGGGTTGTCATAGATGGGTTACGGTGAAGATAAGGGTATTATTCCTCGAACGTGCTCCGAGTTATTCAATCGCATTGCGCAAAATCAAGACCCGAGTGTCACCTACCGCGTCGAAGTATCCTACATCGAAATCTACAACGAGAAAGTTCGCGATCTGCTGAATCCAAAGAATAAGGGAAATCTAAAAGTTCGTGAACATCCGAGCTTGGGTCCCTATGTAGAAGATCTTTCGCGACTTGTGGTGACCTCTTTTGATGATATCAATCACCTCATGGATGAAGGCAACAAGGTACTAGTCTCGTCCTCAACCGCTATATTATTCCGGTTTTCATGACACTTTATATATTTTTAGGCCAGAACCGTCGCTGCTACAAACATGAACGAAACATCTTCGCGATCGCATGCTGTTTTTACATTGTTTCTTACCCAGAAACGTCTTGATGATTTGACCAAGCTCGAGACAGAAAAAGTCGCCAGAATCAGGTAACTTTAGGCTACACATGCTTGCTGAATGGCTATCTATATATATCTAAATGTTTGCAATACATTTAGTTTAGTGGATTTAGCAGGAAGTGAACGCGCTAATAGTACAGGTGCTACAGGTGCGCGGTTGAAAGAAGGAGCTAATATCAATCGCTCCTTGACAACGCTCGGTAAAGTCATTGCTGGTTTGGCCGAGCAATCCATGCAGGAAGGGAAAAAGGGCAAAAAAGCAAAGGACGTATTCATTCCTTATCGTGACTCGGTATGAAACCATGATCTAGTCGGTCATCTGTGATTATGAATCCTTACGCGATTTTCCTTTTCTGCCCCTCAGATCTTGACATGGTTGTTGAAAGACTCCCTCGGTGGCAATTCCAAGACGGCGATGATTGCAGCCATTTCACCGGCAGACTATGACGAAACACTCAGTACACTGCGTTATGCCGATCAGGCTAAAAAGATTAAAAACAAGGCTGTGGTCAATGAAGATCCCAATGCCAAGTTGATTCGGCATTTGAAAGACGAACTTGAGCTTTTGCGCGAACGTTTACGAACCTACGCCCCGGAGGAAGTGGAACAGTTGACCGCGACGAGCGCGTATAAAAGCCCAGGCGCTCACACACCTTCGTCCAGCACGGTTCGGCAGCCAGCCGTAACGACTCAAGATTTCGAATTTACAGATAGTACCGGCAAAACCAAGAAAATGTCCAAGCAAGAGATCGTCGAACAACTGCAGAGTTCTGAAAAGCTGCTTGCCAACTTGAACGAAACCTGGGAAGAAAAACTGAAAAGAACCGAGGAGATCCAGAAGGAGCGTGAAAAAGCGCTCGCCGAATTGGGGATTGCTGTGCACAAGAACAATGTCGGTATTTACGCACCCAAGACTATGCCTCATCTGGTCAACTTGAACGAAGATCCGCTCATGTCCGAATGCCTGATGTATCAAATTAAACAAGGAATTACCCGCGTTGGTCGGCAGGAAAGCCAAGTTCAGGCCGATATTCGTCTCAGTGGCACCAACATTCAGGATAATCATTGCTGGTTCGAAAACATGAACGGCGCCGTCACCCTACATCCCAACACGGAGTCGCTGACCATGGTGAATGGACGGCAGCTTACCGAACCTCGAAGACTGAAAAGCGGTTATCGCATTATTTTGGGTGATCATCACATCTTTCGCTTCAATCACCCTGAAGAAGTTCGCCGAGAACGCGATCTGCAAAAAGTGGCGGTGGAGCGAGCCATGAGCAGTGCATCGTTTTCTGCCGATGATGACGAACGTCCCGATTCGCCCAGTGAACCGGGAACGCCAGTAGAAGTTATGGATTGGAATTACGCTATTTTGGAAGCGATGCGCAATCACTACGCTACGGAAGCCAATATTAGCGGTTTGGAAGACGAAAAGCTTGAAAAGTTGTACGACGAAATCACACGCATCCGTACAGCGCGACGTACGCGATCCGAAAGCAGAACGGATAACGATGACGACGACGTATCCACCAGGGACTCGCTTCGAAATTCATTCTCTGTCACCATGCTTGAAGACGGGGCCGAGAGCGTTTATACCGAAACCACAGCAGCGCACAGTGAACTGGAAGAAAAGCTCAAAGTCGAGAAAGAAAAGCTGCAGAAAAAACTGGATAATCAGAAACGAATCTTTGAGGCACAGATACACCGCATGTCAAGACAATTCTCACAGCATCAGCAACAGGCACCGTCTGGCAAGCACATCTCAGTGTACACGGATGAACAACTCAGTTTGCTGCGGAAAGTATGTCGCCATTGGAAGTATTTACGTTATGCGGCAATGGCCGAAACGATCCTCAAAGATGCCATGATGTTAAAAGAGGCCAACATTATCGCTCGTGAACTGGAAAAGGACGTGCTGTATCAATTTATGGTGATCGAAGATGGGCAGTTTTCAAAACCACTCTCCAACTGGGAACCAACATCGGCTCTGCACGCTTTTGAAACGGACGACGATGCCACATTGTTGGCGACCACGAAGCCTTGTGTCGGTGTTCGTGTCATTGATCGCAAACATGAAGTCATTTATGTATGGTCACTGGAAAAGATGAAGCAACGGCTTTACAAGATGCGCAATCTCTACAACTTTATCGACAGACCCATGTATAGAAAACATTTCAACTGGGAAGACCCCTTTTTCGAAAGCCCATGCCCAAAGTACACGTTTATTGGAAGCGCCGCCATCTGTATGCGGAATTTAGCTTTGCAACAACCGTATGAAAGCAACGTCGATATCATCTGTCGTTCAACGGGGCAAGTAAAAGGCGCCATCCGTGTACTGGTTTCGCCCGTCGCCTGTTCCGTGGCCATCAAAGGGCCAGAAGCAAGGCAGCCATTATCGGACGGTGAATCAGACCAGTCGGCCGATGAATACATCTCCCTGAAAATAGGCCAGCAGCTACTTTTCGAAGTGCGTATACACCAAATTTCGGGTCTCAGTGAAGACCATTATACAGATGTTCACACGCAATTTCGACTGTCTTCGTTGGGCGCTGTTTCCATTGGATCATCAAACGAGCGAGTTTGGGCCACGGAGCCTGTGCGCGGTTTCGGCAAAGGCCCGATTGAACTCGACTACAGCCAAATGATTTCCATAGTGATCACACGCGACGTGCTGGAAGTTTTATTACATGACATGATACGCTTCGAAGTGTACGGCATATCCAAGCCGACAGTTTTAGCGCACTATGAACGATGGGACGATCAGCATGAGCAACCAAAGTTGGGCGATTCCATGCCTGCCAATCAACCGTTGGTCAACGGTTTTGCGAATGACCAAATATCGATTCATTCCAAACAAAGTGGGCAAGGATCTTTAGAGCGACGATCGGAGGAGGAATTTCTGGCTGCTGAGCGCCACGATATTATAGTATGGATCCAGCTTGAAGAATTGGCCTTGAATGGCAATTATACCCCTGTGCAAGCTGTGGTTCATAATCCTTTAGATCGTGGTGTCTTTCCTTTACGGCAAGGGTTGCAACGTCGCATCCGACTCGTATTATCCCATACCTCTGGACATCAACTGGAATGGAGTCGAATATCCAAAATTTCCATTGGCCGTGTGCGACTTTTGGATGGCAAAGGCCGAATTATCGAATCCTCTGCCCAAGAACGTATTCCCATCAAGCTGCTTTCAAATCAACAGGTGGTTTATCATACGGATGGTACCAGCCAGCTATCAACCCAGGGCGCTTGGGACAGCTCGCAACACGAGTGTCCTTTTTTGAATCGAATTACCGAGGCGAACGGTCGCATCTTACTAAATCTAGCATGGTGGGTGGAAACGACGAAATGTGACAAGCCGATGCCGTTTAACATGGATATTGCTGTGCAAATCCACGGTCGTACTACTTCTGGAAAGTTCAGTTTCCGCAAGCTCTTGTATCCCAACAAAAGATTACCCAAATGCACGGGTGTATTCGTGGTGAACCTGCGTCCACCGATGACAAAGCGCCTCAGTCAACTGTGGCGACTCAATACGGCCGGCAAATATGTGCGAGGAGAAGAGTTTTTGGGGTCCTGGCGACCGCGCGGAGTCTCTCTTATCAATGACCATAAACAGCTACAGCAACAACTTGCACGTAAAGAAGACGTGACCGCTACCATACAGGTATTGGCACTCGCCAACACCAACAGTGCCATCATACAGTCCAGTACCAAAGATCCTCAAGCATTAGCACGAAAAACACTGGATCTCTGGACACGCCGTTATGGCATTTCTGATGAGGTAAGAAACTATTTGATCATCTCACAAGTGGCATTGGTACACATGGACCTGTAACGATGTCTTTGTATTACTTGAAAATTGTTTTTATGTACGATTTTTTTTTGGCCTCTACAGATTGTTTTTAGTCAGGATCCTCCGGTAGAAGTGCAAGAGATACCCGTTCGATCAGAATACCAATCGAGTGATAAACTATTGCCTGATGTCAAGTTGGTAACACCAACGTAAGTCTGAGGTCACTTGCAGATTTGATTTTCCATTCTTAGTAATCAGTTTTCTATAGCAACGATGTGTCAAAGAAAGGCTATTTGCTTTATCAAAAGGACGCCCTGGAAGATACCTGGGTTAAACGATGGTTTGTCATACGAAGGTAAATAGAAATGATGAATCCCTCTCTTCTTGCATCCATCAATTGCTTACTCATGCCGAATAGACCCTACATATATATTTATGCGGATGCATCGGAAACCGACAACCAAGGGATTATCAATGTATCGTCGGTACGAATAGATTATAATCGAGCATTAGAGCAAATGATTCAGGTAATTGATAAGACTGAAGGGGAAGGAAAAAGATTGGCGGGGTTTTGAATGTTCATCCTTAAAATTGGTCTCACTGTATTTCTTATTTTGTTGAAAAAAACAAATATTGGTGATGTAGCGCACGCATGTATTTGCACTATATACCAGCAACAACGCATATACTCTTCAGACAAGCTCACGGGAGGATATGATTGGATGGATTTCAAAAATCGATCAAAAGTTCCCCATTGAGCGTCTGTATGAGGAAGAAATGAATTCATGATACCTGAAAATAAAAGAGCACCCTACAATAAAGAAACCATGGAGACCGGATGATAGGGGACATTTTTTTATCTTGCCTGTATACTCTGTCAAGTACAGCGTCTACTTGTGTTGTTTTGGCATGTGGATATTAGTGTGGGAGAGGCACATGAATGAGAAAAAAAATTGAACAGGTGACTTTTGACGAGTTGAGCGTTTTCCGCGTCACAAACAAGGTTGGCGATGCTTCCGCGTGAATTAAATGGTTTTTGATGCAGCTCACCATTTTTCATTCTCACCTTTTTCTGCTTCTTTTTTTTAACTTCTTTTTCTTCTCTTCTTTTTTTTTCACTGTCAACCCAATCCAACTCTCCCCCCCCCCATCTCTGACTGATTTTTCTTCATTAAACTTGTCATGGCATCGCTTAAAAACCAAATCATTGTCGTAGGCGGCGGTCTTTCTGGCCTTGCTGCTGCACACACCGTGTATGAACAAGGAGGCAACGTTTTGTTGCTTGATAAGAATGCCTTTTTCGGGTAAGCTGATCCTGATAATCAATCACTGATTGACATATTGTACCAAAATCCGACATGATAAGAGTTTGGTCCAATCTCTTAAATTTTTTTCATGGCATCTCTTAACATGTATCTTTGTATCACCATAGCGGCAACTCTACAAAGGCTACATCGGGTATCAACGGTGCTCTTACGCGCACTCAGGTCGCACTTGACATCAAGGACTCTGTGGAGCAGTTTTACCAGGACACCTTGAAGTCCGCACGTGACTTGGCTCGTCCTGACTTGATCAAGGTCTTGACTGGTCGATCCTCCTCTGCTGTTGAATGGCTCCAGGACAAATTCGAACTGGATCTGTCCTTGGTCTCCCGTTTGGGTGGTCACTCCTTCCCTCGTACTCACCGTGGTAAGGAACAATTCCCTGGTATGACCATCACCTACGCTCTTATGGAAGGTCTTGAGGAGTTGGCCGTCAAGGAACCCGAGCGTGTCCGTATCGTCAAGAAGGCCAAGGTTGATAAGTTGATCAAGGATAGTGCTAACAACGTCGTTGGCGTGGAATACGTTTTGGTTGGCAAGGGTGCTGATGGCAAGACTTACACTGAACACGGTCCCGTTATCTTGGCTACCGGTGGTTACGCTGCTGACTTCGGTCCAGATTCCTTGCTCAAGAAGCATCGTCCCGAGTACTTTGATCTGTAAGTTGTGAAGAGAAGGAACTCGTGGAATGATCTGCCTTTTGCTTAATTTTTTTCCTAATTTTTTTTTTTTGTCATTAAGCGCTACCACCAACGGCGATCACTGCACTGGTGACGGTATCAAGATGGCTGCCGCTGTCGGTGCCAACACCATCGATCTTGAAAAGGTGCAGGTCCACCCTACTGGTTTGGTCGATCCCAACGAACCCGATGCCAAGGTCAAGTTTTTGGCCGCTGAAGCTCTCCGTGGCTGCGGTGGTATCTTGTTGGATGCTGAGGGTAGCCGTTTCTGTGATGAACTTGGTCACCGTGATTACGTCACTGGAATGATGTGGAAGAACAAGTTCCCTATCCGCCTGGTGTTAAACACTGCTGCTTCCAAGGAAATTGAATGGCATTGCCGTCATTACACCGGCCGTGGTTTGATGAAGCGCTTCGAGAACGGTGAAGCTTTGGCCAAGGAAATTGGTTGCTCCCCTGAAAAGCTCAAGCAGACCTTTGAAACATACAACCGCATTGCTGCCGGCAAGGAGAAAGATCCTTGGGGCAAGCGTTTCTTCCATAACGTCCCTATCAACATGAACGACTACTTTTACGTCGCATTGATGCAACCCGTTTTGCATTACACCATGGTAATTTTGCGGCATTTTATTATTTGTTCTAGTCTTTGCCCGAGAGAATCACATATTCATACCATGGTTTTATAGGGTGGTGTTGAGATCACTCCCGATTCCGAGATCAAGAGCAGCAACGGTACTCCTGTGCCCGGTTTGTTCGCTGCCGGTGAAATGTGCGGTGGTGTCCACGGTGCTAACCGTTTGGGTGGTTCCTCGTTGCTTGGCTGCGTCGTCTTTGGTCGCGTGGCCGGTCAAACTGCTACTCGCTATCTTTACAAACAGCTCGTTAACAACTCGAGCGTTGGTCAAGCTCAGCAACGTTTGGGAGCCATTGCTCAGCACTTGAACGGCGGTGTTGGCATCAGCCTCGTTGTTAACCAGAACGAACCCCGAATCAACTTGGAAATCTCTTGGCCCGGTCAGCAAGGCCAGCAAGTTTCTTCTGTTCCTCAGATCACTGACGCACCTGCCGGCACTTCTGCTGCGGCTCCTGAACAAGTCCAAGCCAAAGAAGAGCCAAAGAAGATGGGCGAATACACCTTGGAAGAGGTTGCCAAGCATAACAAAGCCGATGACTGCTGGGTTATCGTGAACGGTCAAGTTTTGGACGTGACCGATTTCTTGTCAGAGCATCCTGGTAAGCATCCAATCCCCATCACCTGACGGTTCGCCGTTTTTTCTAATTCATTCCATTTTTTACAGGTGGTAAGAAGGCTATTCTTCTTTTCGCTGGTCGTGATGCCACTGAAGAATTCAACATGTTACACAAGCCTGATGTTGTTGAGAAATACGCTCCCGAGTCCATCATTGGCGTCTTGAAGAAATAAGATCATCAACAAACAATCACATGAAAGAAAAACAAAAAAGATTTCCTAAAAATATATGCAAAAATAGGGTTTGATAAGTAAAGTAATTATTACCATTCCACTTCTCATTAAAATATGTAAAGGGTATTCTGTGCAATCCAATTGCCGATAGTAAAGAGAACGTGTGGTGGACGGTTGGCAATTCATGTTTCTTGCATTACCAGCGTCCACATAATAGGAGTATGACGATGAATTATTCAAGCGGCAAACCACCCATTACAGCATAGCATGTGAAAGTGCGTCAAGAATGGCCCAACTAGCAAAAGCGCAGTAGCTGGCTAATAGCTGATTTTCACTTTATGGTTTCTACTGTTGCACGCCAAGAAAAGCTAAACATCACATATGATATGCGTTGTTGTTGTGGGAGCGTTGCATGAATATCTGATAGTGTTACATAGCACGACACATGTATCACTTTGATACCGGACCTACGGCGCCAAACATGAGCGCAGGCGGTACAAATGAGCGGCAACTTTGGGCGGCAGGCAACTATATCGGTTTCTCAAATATAACTCTTGATAAAATGGACAAGCATCCGTATATGAAAGTTCATTGTATAGTCATAGGTAATGCACCCATTCATACGCATGAAAACATAAGAAAGCATATAGAATATTGAGGATGTAAATCTGTGTATCTCCTTACTTATTCTCCTGAGCTTAATTCCATAGAACAATTCTCGGCAGTGGCAAAAAATAAGGTTAACCGTCGTAGAGTTTTGCAGGAAGATACTTTATCAAAAGAAATCAAGAAGGCTGCAAATGTGTTGAGAAAGGTCATTTCAATGGTTTTTGTTCCACATTACTATAAATGCTAGGATAAATGTCGAGATACAAAGCCCATTGTAATGGCCACTTTATTACTGAAAGGCGCAAAGCCCAAAAAAAAAAAAAAAAGTTAACATAATGGGACGAGTGGTGGGGGCCAAAAGTAAAGTAATGGGCCAATCATCTTTCATAGAGCTGCATTTGACTAAAAGGCAGCCTTTTTTCTTTTTTTTTTTTTTGCTTCACTTCGCTTTTCGCCTTCTATCTTTTTTTTTTTCTTTTTTGTTGTCGCCTTTTGAACGCGTCACTGCTTATTTTCTGGTTCCCACTTTATTTTCGCACTTGGCGTAGTCATTCGTTCAATCATTACGAAGAAGGATCAGCTGGGAAAATGTACATTTGTTCTATGCCTTAGTATGTTACTCAAGCGTATGGTGCTGTAAATTATGCTGATAGAATAAATATCGATCAGCTAGTAGTTATGCGGTGATATTTCGGAAATGAGATGTGATATTGTCAAGTACTTGTACTGCTTCTATTTCGGCTTGTCATCCCTTTACGGCTCGTCGTGGGCGCCTTTGCAGCTTTCATGCAAATCGTGACTATGTGGCTAATCAAGGAGATCTTGCTAAGAAAATGTCTGCGATCAAAACACATTTTGGTAAACGGTGTTTTTGTAATAATTCAATTCAATTGGTCTATTAAGAGATGTGTAAGTTTACTGAGAGTACAAAACCTTCTCTATGTTTATAGCGGTCCAAATGCTGCATGAGCGAAAACGCAGCACAGAATAGAGAGAGTTTTTCAATCGTAGATCAAAATAGCAAAAACGCAGATTTGGTCTTATATAGCTTGGTCACCTGTATCACCAAGATATAGTCATTGTTCGTCTGCAAGAAACATAGTGCCATTGAAAAACAGGAAGTGACACGATCGCGTTGTCTTCAAGCACTCAATGTTTTGCTTTTGTCTAAAGCTTTATAATATAAATTGGTTGTCCATCATTTTAAAGCCATACAACTAATTTCCCATACTATCGAGGATATGGTTATTTGGGTATGGAAAGATATTAAAAAAATCAATCCAAACGCCAACTACGGCAGAATCAGCTGGCAAGGATGCTGCGGCAAGATGGCTGACCATTTCATCGTGCAAACCCCATTGGCTCTCTCCATCCAGCATTTTAACTCCGGGACCCGGTTCGGAAAATGTCGTCACAAGCCCCGCCCGCCGCCTTTTCTTGCGGAACCAGCGTGGCTTTGAATTTTTTTTTTATTCTTACGTTTTCTTCTGCACGTCGCAAAGACTAATCAACATGGGAAAGAAGAAAGGTGGCAAAAATAAAAAGGACGATTATTGGTGCGTATTATACTTGCAGTCGTGTGCTTTTTTTATGTGACGCTAATAACGTTCATTTCCTCAGGGACACCGAATTTGCCGAGGATGCTGAATTGACCGGCGCAGCTCCTGTTGAGGACGACGTGGACACCTTGGAACAAAAAGCCGCCAACTTTGCCGCTTTGGCCGATCTTAATGAAGACGAGGATGACGGGTAGGTCACCCCATGGACACGGCATGAAAAGGATCGCTTTAACTGATTTTTCCTAACTTTAGTTTGATGGCCATGGTCAGCAAAGCTGCTAAGAACAAGGTGAAAAACAAGAAGAAGAAGAACAAGACGTCGGTAGAGGAAGAGGAAGAGGAGGAGGCACCTGCTGAGGAAGCGGCGCCGGAACCTGTTGCCGAACCTGCTGCTCAGGATGAAGAAGACGATCTCGATTGGGTCAACGACAATAAGAAGAACAAGAAGAACAAAAAGGCAGCTCCTGCTCCTTCTTCACCTGCTGTCAACGATGATGAAGAAGGCGGTGGACGTTTGCTCACAAAGAAAGAAAAGGAACGTTTAAAGAAGGAGCGTGCAAAGGAAGCCAAGCGCTTGGCTGCTTTGGAAAAGAAGGCACAGCAGGAAGCCGAAGATGCTGAACTCAACAAGGCGCTCGGTTTGGACGGCAAAGAGTCTCAGGAAGGAGGTGAAGGTGGCAAGTCCAAGTCTCAGATGAAGAAAGAAAAGAAAAAGAAGAAACTCGAGGCCGCTGAACAGGCAGCACCCGAACCCGTTGAAGCTCCTGTAGCCGCACCTGCTGGTGGCAAGGGTAAGAAGAAGGGTGCACCCGTTGCTGCCTTGCGTGTAAGTAGATCAGGATTATTTATCCATTTGCTTCTGATCTTGGAGCATGTCGATTAATTTACGTTTATATTTTCCAGAAAATGCTTGAAGCCCAGCGTGCAGCTGAGGAGGAGGCCCGAAAGAAGGCTGAGGAAGAGCGTTTGCGTATCGAGGAAGAGGAGCGCAAGGCGGCTGAGGAAGAAGCTGCTCGCGAAGAAGCTCGTCGTGTCAAGAAAGAAAAAGAGAGGGTATGTACTTAACATCATCTTTTTGTTGCTACGAAAATAAAGATTGACTCATGACGATATATTAGGCACGCAAAGAGCAATTGCGTAAGGAAGGTAAACTCCTTACCAAGGCTCAAAAGGAAGCTCAACGTCTTGCACAACTCCGTCATCAGCAATTGATCGAATCCGGTCAAGTCAAGATCCAAGCCTTCGAAGATTCTGGTGCTAAACCCAAACGACCTGTGTATGGCAAGAAGAAGAAGCCTACAAAGGAAGAATTAGAAAAGAAGAAGCAAGAGGCTGAAGAGAAGAAGCGTAAAGAGGAGGAGGAACGTAAGCGCAAGGAAGAAGAAGCAGCAGCAAAGAAGAAGCAAGAAGAGGAAGAAGAATGTAAGTCAATCTAAAAAATGCATATAATGGCTTATATGAAATTGTATCTAATCTGAGGGTTTCGTATCTAGCTGAGGATGATTGGGAAAAGGCTGCTTTGAGCTCTGAAGACGAAAAGGAAAAGAAGGACGAGGAGGAGGATGTCAAGGATGATTGGGAAGACAGCAGTGAGGAAGAGGAGGAAGAAGCACCCAAGAAACATGCTCCCGCCAAGGCTGACAAGAAGGAAGCCGCTCCCAAGCCTGCTGCTAAAGCTCCTACCAAACAACAAGAAGAATCGTCTGACGAGGAAGATTCAGAGGAAGATTCTGATGAATACAGCTCAGACGAGGATGACAGTTCCGATGAAGATAGCTCGGATGAGGAACTGACTGCCACTCAACGTCTTGCCCTCCAGAAGAAGGAGGAAGCGGCAGCTCGTCGTTTGCAACGTCAGAAAGAAGCCATGGCTGCCCGTTCCAAGGATGATCTTCGTTCTCCTATTTGCTGTATTTTGGGTCACGTCGATACTGGTAAGAAAATCGGTTTTACTTGGAATCAGAGGTAAAATCTCGATGATCTAATGCTTTGGGTTTCTTAGGTAAAACGAAATTGCTCGACAAGATTCGTCAGACCAATGTCCAAGAAGGTGAAGCCGGTGGTATTACCCAGCAGATTGGTGCTACCTACTTCCCTGCTGAAGCCATTGAGAAGAAGACTACTGTTTTGGGCGACAAGCGTGTGGAACAACTCAAGGTGCCTGGTCTGTTGGTCATTGATACACCTGGTCACGAGTCCTTCACCAACTTGAGAAGCAGAGGTAGTTCCCTTTGTAACATTGCTATCTTGGTCGTCGATATCATGCACGGTCTGGAACCTCAAACCCTTGAATCCATTCGATTGCTCCGTGATCGCAAGACGCCTTTCATTGTCGCCTTGAACAAGATTGATCGTCTTTTCGAATGGAACGCTATTCCCGATAACTCTTTCCAAGATTCGCTTGCCAAGCAGAAGAAGTCGGTTCAGCAAGAATTCGAACATCGCCTTCAACAAACCATGGTCGCCTTTGCCGAACAGGGTCTTAACGCCCAAGTTTACTACAAGAACAAGAATTTCGCCAAATACGTTTCTCTTGTGCCCACCTCTGCTCATACTGGTGAAGGTATTCCTGATATGCTCAACTTGCTTGTCAGCTTGACCCAGACCCGTATGAGTGATAAGCTTATGTATATTACTGAGCTTGAATGTACGGTGCTGGAAGTCAAGGTCATTGAAGGTTTGGGTACCACTATCGATGTGGTTCTTGTGAACGGTTGGTTGCACGAAGGTGACAAGATCGTGGTGTGCGGTTTGAACGGTCCCATTGTCACTCAAGTCAGAGCGTTGCTGACTCCTCAACCTCTTCGTGAATTGCGTGTCAAGTCGCAATACGTCCATCATAAATCTGTCAAAGCTGCTCTCGGTATCAAGATCTCAGCTCCTGATCTTGAAAAGGCCATTGCTGGTTCTCGTTTGCTTGTGTGCGGTCCGGATGATGACGAAGATGATCTCAAGGAAGAGGTGATGTCCGATTTGACAAACTTGATGACCTCGATCGATCGCACGGGTCACGGTGTGTGGGTGCAAGCTTCTACTCTGGGTGCTCTCGAAGCTTTGCTCGAGTTTTTGCGTACTTCCAAGATCCCTGTTGCCGGTATCAACATTGGTCCTGTGCACAAGAAGGACGTTGTGAAAGCTAGTGTCATGTTGGAAAAGGCCAAGGAATTCGCTGTCATGTTATGTTTCGATGTCAAGGTGGAAAAGGAAGCCGAAGAACTCGCAGATGAATTGGGTATCAAGGTGTTCACTGCCGACATTATTTACCACTTGTTCGATCGTTTCGTGGAATACAACGCAGCCATGAAGGAAATGAAGCGTAAAGAACAAGCCGGACAAGCTGTATTCCCCTGTGTCTTGAAGATGGTGCGCGGTGCCATTATCAACAAGAAGAATCCCATCATCATTGGTTGTGATGTGATGGAAGGAAGCCTGAGAATCGGCACGCCTATTTGCGTTGTGAAGACGGATCCCGAAACAAAAGAACGAGAAATCCATACACTGGGTACTGTGACGTCTATCGAACAGAATCACAAGCCTGTCGAGATTGTTAAAAAGGGCCAGGCGGGTGCTGGTGTGGCTGTGAAGATCGAATGCGCTGTTCACGAAACCCCCAAGACCTATGGCCGTCATTTTGATGATAATGATGAATTCTACAGTAAAATCTCCCGTCAATCGATTGATATCCTCAAGGAATCCTTTAGAAACGACTTGTCCAAGGAAGAATGGGGTCTCATTCTCAAGCTCAAGAAGATCTTGGGTGTCAACTAAATCATGGTCCAATCTAACGCATGCATGCACTTTCCTCTTTTTCCCCTATTATTCTTTTTTATCTAAAGCAATAAACTTTCTCATTATTTTTTCTTTCATGAATTCTCTATGCCCACGGGAATATCATTGCACACTACATGCGTCACGAATGATAGCGTTTTGCTCAATTGGGCTTCCTTGCCGCTTTCTGCCACGAATTGGAGGGTGAAATGTGGAGTAGGGATTACTTTATTACTTCACTTGCTTGACATTTATGGAGATATTGGACATGAAAGAATAAGTGGGTTGAAATGATTTTACTTTTGTGCTTTGTGATTTATGAGATACCGTGATTGGCGTACGATGCGATGTTCAATTGTCTATGAGGAAAGGGCGAGATTAACGGCACCCAGAACGCAACTGGCGAGATCTTCGTCTTGATATTCCCATCGTATCTGGAGCGTTTCTGGAGCGTCTTCGTGAAAGTTGAGAGTGATGTTTCGCAGAACAAGTTTGGTCGGATACCGTTCAATATAGTCAGGATTACCCAAAGCCTGGATCAAACTGACGTGAATCAAGTCCATGATGCGGCGATGGACGACCTCAGGTTCAGCAGAAGCAGATCTTCCACCTAGGTCCGGTAATAAGGTTCGAGTATTGAACTTTTTTTCGACTTGAAAGAACAGTTGACGACGTGACCCAGCGGACGACTGCGGAGACGCCTCTGAACTGAATAAACGGGACGTTTCCACTAATTCTACCTGAGACCATGATTGCCGCGCATTCTTTTCCGGTGCGCACGTTACTTTGACGGTAGCATGAATAGGTATCGATGACTGCGGCGATGATAGACTGCCCGCATTTTCAGACAGACTGTCGCTCTTGTTGACAAGGTATGACTTTAGTAAATCGGTGCTGATCCTGGCTGGAATGGCTCCACTGGTTTGCATGGTGATGGTGACACCGTTGGCAGGATTATAGCAAGGGATCCCGAATTCCTTCATGATCTTACTTTTGAGATAGTCCATGGTATCCGCTTGTCCATGGACCAACACCACGTTTCGTGGTTCGCAATGACGGATTAATTGCATGATACCTTTGGCGTCCGCGTGTGCACTAAAAGAGAGATTGCGAACCTGAAGGTTCACTTTCACCGACGTATACTTATCCAGCTCGATGGTTTTGAAGCCTTGCAACACTTTATAACCGACGGTTCCCGAGACACAGAACCCTGGCATGACAATCATATTCTTTGGATCGGGCGCCCACTTTTTAAAGATCTCCAACGAAGTACCGACGTTCAACATACCGGGCGTAGCGAAGCAAACCATGGGGCCGGGAATGTCCGCGTTGGCTCGATCCCAAGGCTTGATGTGCTTGAAATCAAACATGTTACGTTCGGCAAAGGTCGATTTAATTTTTTGGTTGGTCCAGTTGATGAACAGTTTATAAAACTGCGTGGCACGTTCGGTTAGGCCGGCTGAGAAGTAGATAGGGACGGTCAGACCCATACGCTCCCAATAAGATTCGATAAGGATACACAGTTCTTGTGCACGGCCGAGAGCGAAAACCGGAATCAGAACCTTTCCACCTTCTTGCACACAGTCGTGTACTTTCTTTAAGAAATCGCGTTCACGGGAGCGTTTCGAATCGCGAATGGTTGTGCCGTAGGTACTTTCGGTAATCAAAACGTCGGGTCGTATTTTATCAATCCAAGCGGATCCAAGGTGACGATCGGGTGTCATGTTATAGTCGCCCGTGTATACCAACGACTCCTGGCCGACACGCAAATAAAACATTGCTGCGCCAATGACATGGCCAGCATAGTAAGCTTTAATTTCCAATTCGTCGTCCACTTGGATCGTTTGGTGGAGGTTGATAGGCACGACTTTTTTCATACAGCGTTTGATCATTTCCGATGTAAAGAAGTTGGTCTCTCCCTTACGATCCACGGTGATTTTTCGATAATCCTCCAATAAAATTGGAGCAATGGCTTTAGTAGGATGGGTCATATAGATCGGACCGTCATAACCGCACATTTCGGTAAAGTAAGGAAGAGCACCACAGTGATCCAGGTGAAAGTGGCTAATGATCACAGCATCGAGAACATCGGTAAACTGGCCCGACTTTGAAATGTAACTGAAATCAGGGAAACGACGCGCATCGCTAAGCAAAGAAAGGAAAGATCCACTTGTTAGCATGAGCTATTATCACTCACAGTCTTATTCACCTACTTGTAACCCATATGAAATCCTATGTGAAAAAATGGGTTATTGATGAGTTTTTGGCACTACCATAATTTCAACTTACCACAGTCAAGCATGACATTCTTGCCACCAATGGTCACCAGAATACAGCTTCTACCGACGTCTTGACCTGTCAAAGGATATATCGGTCAACTGAGAGACGAGGATCTTGAAATCCAACTTACCGGCTCCTAGAGGAACAACACGAATTGGCATTATGGCATAAGAAAAAGGAACAGTAACAAATCAATGATACGCAAAAGAAATGTCTGCCTTTCAAAAAAGAAAAATCGCTGGATATTTTCAAGCTTCTTATGAAAACGAACAATCAGTAGACTGCAAAGATTGCCTTGCATAACTTGGCCACTGACACTTGGATAACAATTATAGACAAGTAATATTAACATGTTTTATGCTACTGTAATCTAATCTTGGGTTTTTCTTTCTGTAAGCATATTTTTGGCTACTTGTATTGAGCATAAGGATCGCGACCTGCAATTTCACGTCGAGCACCGAAACTCATGCCAGACTACAAGACAAATAATATGAGCACACGATGCACTTCAAACATTCACTGAATGTTATCAATCATTTTACCTGATTAGCGCCTTTGTTATATCCATATTGGTAAGTGTTGAAGACAGCATTGCTTGCATTCAGTTGTTCACGACTAAAGTTCTGCTCGTTCTTTTCTGCGAGCTTGGGTCCAAGAAATGTATTGCAAGTGCCAGCTTTGTAGCCATACCGTGATATAGCAAAGATAGCATCGACGACCTTATGTAGAGTCAGTATAAAAAGAATGACGCATACAATGAGCCTCCGGCTTATTACCTGCAGCATGTTCTTCTTCTCGTAAAGATCGACCGTCTGGAATAAGTTATGCTTTGGAACCCCTAACGCCTCAGCGCCAGCAAGGAACTTGGCAATATTTTCCATCTACAGCAATCAAAAATCAGTTGATTGTTCAGTCAGTTATAAGGTGGGGCCACTGCCATTACCTGTATGAAGGGCATGCGGGACTCTTTGTATTTACCCTGACCGGGAACGAGTTTCCCGATCACTCTATTCAAAAGCAGATCAGCTTCCGAGCCTGTCGGCCTACATTGTCTGAATTGCTCTCAATTTACTTGCAAAGAACGACCCCGTCTTTCAAGCTTTCGTGAAAGTCATCGCTGGGCAATGGTTCACCAATGGTGCTTTCTATCCATTCGCGAGCTTCCTGTTCACGTGCTACAGAGTACTTGGAATCAAGTTTCTCTTGAATTTCTACGATGCAATGGAGTTAGTATTTCCGGTTGCTATCAAATGGTGCTTTCGCATAATAACCTTTATCAAGGCCGTATAGAGTGCTCATGGTTTGTCCAAATCGGTCAAAAAATCGACATTCTATCTTTTATTTTCACGGACTTTTTTAATTCCGCAGAAAATGATGCAAGTCGAAACTCACAGGTCTGAATTATACTTACCAGACATCTCACTCAAATGATAATATCATAGGTAGACAACTCCTTGAATAACATACAAGCGTTGAGAGCAGTTACCTCTCCCTTCCCTTTAACCTTTCATATTACCATAGCAACAATGTCTTGTATCATGCATTTGTCATAAATCACAGTTATTCATCATGGAAAATGCAACAATTCATACAACCCTGGCGACCAGGTCATTTCGTTGAAATTCAATAAAACATTCAAGGCATACAAAATGCCCATTCCTTTTTTTCTTCTTTTGCTGCCGTATCCTCCGGTTCATTTGGATAGAGACTTGCTTCAGCAAACTGAAAAATCATGGGTGAAGGAACAATTGAAGAGGGCAAGGGAACTCTGATCAATCTCATCAAAAGCAGAGAAAAGATTTGGCGCGGAAAAACTCGCCAAAAGGCTGTGAAAATGAATGCCATGGTATCTGACAAGGCACCAGCGTTTTCCCTGAAGCATTTTACTTGCCTATCAAGGTCATATTTTTTAGATGAAAAAAAAAAAAAAAAAGACGAGCCAAGATGTCAAGGTTGAACAAATAATTTAAATACTGCGACTTTTCATGCTGAATAGATCATAGAAAAAGAACCAAGCTTCGGGTGAAACGTGAAACACATCATCCTGCTTTCTCCAAAAGTTTATTTCGTCCAAGTTCAGGAACAGCGATACTGCGGGTGAATACAGTGAATGATACGTCTCTTAGAAGATCTAGTCTTATGGACAATCTGTCGTACGCTTCTTCCGGTTGTGTGTGTGTTTCTGTGCCTTTTCGGGGAAAATAAGAACTGTGGATTGGAGTCTCCGTTGTCACACATTTGTGTTCATTGTAGGGGATAAGGGTAAACAAGCCACTTTTTGAATTGATCATGCAGCCAGGCTTCGCTTTCCGCTCCCTTTCTTTCTTCGGTTGCTCTGCTCGAAATAACTCTTTCCATGGTCTCTTTCTCATTTACAACACTCGCTATTTTCGCTGTGGCACAGCTCGCTTTATTAAAAACCATCGCGGCTGCCCTTGATTCCAATGCCAGTCAATGCCAAGGTATAACCGAGATCTCTGGGTGTTCAAAATTGCACTCAACTTTGCGAGATGTTCGATACTGAAAAAATTCGCAAAACTCCATTTAGGCGTCAATATTCTATTCCCAAAGCAAGATAGTGAAGTCAGTATATCCAACCAACAAACCGCCTATCTAGTGCTTGGTAAAGGAAAAAAAATCACACATCTTGTCTCACAAATGATTGGTTCGATTGTCTAATTTTCTTTATTCCAGGGAATACGAACGAAGGTGCCCATTTAAAGCAAGTTGATCTGTTACGGAAAGCTGGAGACAAGACCTTGTCGAAAAAGCTTTGGATCCCCGGTAACGATCAAGAGGAAATACTCAGTAAGGTGACCGCCGTGCAACAGGATCTAAGGAAGCTTGATACATCTTTGCCTGACACTTTCTGGTACCGGTAAGCTCTCGTTTAGCTATTTCTGATTTATAAAAAGAAATTAGATCAAGGGCGGCCTGTGAATCTATTTTAGTGAATGGAGAGTCGCGACTCCATGCCAACCAATCCCCACATTCTAAAATTGGACTTCCATTCCCTATTTTGCATAGGATTCACGTACAACAAGATGGAAAAGAGTGCACCTACGAATCCGACCCATTCAAGATTACGAAATAAACTTACATAGAAATTTATATCCCTGAAGACCTTTGATGACCTTATGCAAATAAAACGTTTACCCTTTATGCCAATAGGGAGTTTTCATTGTCCCTGTAATTCATAGGAAGCCAGTACTGAAACTCAGCATCGATAATCAGAGAGATCGTTGTTTGAGAAAAAAAAACATAAAACAAAAATCATCAATGTTTGTTTGAGCTCTCAAAGGAAACTTTCAAATGAAGGTGGTAAGGTACAATATACTTTAGCCTTTTAAAAGGTTATATGGCGATGGAAAAGTAGCAATACAAGAGCTGGATCATTTATTTATCTGAATTTTAGTCCGGACTCTTCAACCATCGCCAACTACAGATAATAAGAGTTCCCTGTTCGTGTCAGCATTCTTTTGGGGGGGGGTTCCCTAATGAATAGCATCTGATATGATGTATTCCACAATTGATTAAAATTTTACAAGATTTTCTTATGACGGATCGGTAAGAAAATCTGAGTGAAGATGCCGAGTCATAAACTCACCACAAGCCTATTATTTTCTTGAACGCCAGGATATAAGGTTGGTTGGTCTTTGATTCCCCTCGGTTATTTGAAATAGATTAACAAGAAGATTGAGGCCAGTCTCCCCTGACAGATTATTCAAAAAGGTCATAATTTCCGTCGATACTTTTAATGATTTCTACGAAGATTCCAGTGACTCCAATAAATTTTTGCCACGGCAAGTCCATTGCCGGAAGAAAAGCTGCATTTTTTATCCCATTATACTGTCGTTCTGTCCAAACTTTTGACCCTTTGACCAGCTTGGAAAATAAATAAAAAAAATTACAGCTTTCCGGCGCAAAAATACCGTTCCTCGACAAGTCCGGGAAATTTTGGTCAACAAAGGCCGGAAATAGCCGGATTATCACGTGACCGTCCGGGAAATTTTGCTTTTTGAATGACTATCATCTCCAGAATTTCTGGAAAAAAGGGCTTATAGCTCAGCGGTAGAGCGAGGGATTGCAGATCCCTAGGTCCCGTGTTCAAATCACGGTGGGCCCTTCTTTTTTGCAATTTTTCTCTGGGGATTTTTTTCTTTTTTTGTAACGAAGTGGAGTAAAAACTTTTTCTTTTTAACGATGGCTCGCCGTGGTTTATGCATAGCAAAAGATTTTTTGTTACAGAAAATACCACAATTGGTGAAAAAGAGCCAAATAGGGAGCAAAATTTTCTGATTTCTTTTGCTTGGTCGAGATTAAACACTGCCAACTCAGTTCTCCACAAAAGGATAATGAAATGATAAAGTCAAACGATATGGGTTTTATTCTAAGGATGCTGAAAAAAATGGTTTATATACGATTTACATTGAAGGAAGTGGGACATTTTCCTGGAAAAAAACCAAATGAAAGAAAAATAATGAAAAAAAAACTACTACTGAAAACGACTACAACAAAAGGGATGCTTTTGCTTGTTATTCTTTCTTTTTTTTTCTGTTTTTTTACTCTTTGCTGCTCTTCTTCTTTTCTTTCTTCTCCTTCTTCTCCTTCTTTTCCTTTTTCTCCTTCTTGTCCTTCTTTTCCTTCTTTTCGCCAGAGTCGGCGGTTGCTGCGGCTTCGGCCTTCTTGGCCTTCTTCTCCTTCTTTGACTTCTTGGGCTCAGCAGCTTCTTCGGCATCGTCAGCCTTTCGCTTCTTGGATGTCTTTTCTACTGCCACTTCGGTTTGCTCTTCTTCGTCTTCATCGAGATCCAAACCGGCCAACACCTTGTGCATGACATCAATGTTCTTCTCGGGAACAGCACCACTGTCAAAGAAAGCAAGACGTTCTTCCACCTGTGACTTTAAAGCTTGACCAAACTTATCGGTAGGTTTGTCTAATCATAATACACATACCGTCAATCATCACCCTCGAAAAATAAAGGATTCACATAAAAATATCCAAGATTTACGTACCAGAGAAACAATCGATTCTGGAGGCAATACTGCATTTGTTGGCGAGGTAACGAGAGATACGACCTTTGTTCTTGGCGCCAGCACGGCCAATGAAGGACGAGTGGTAGATCAAACCGTACTTGGGTGTGTTTCCTTTGGTCTTCAAGGCACGGAAGAGGGCCTTTTCAGCTCCCAGAATCTGTAAAGTGGAGGCTGGGTATTTGGATAAATTGGTCAACGAACCGGCTTGCGAGATCAATCGAGCACCAACGACTTCACCAATGACAGCGGCAAGGTTAGGTGCAACGTAGTTCATCTTGGTGATCAAGTAAGTGTGCAACTTGTGACGGTAATCGGCCAAGCTGATGACACGGTCAGCAAAGTTTTGAATATTGATCATATCGACGGGAGAAATATCGGTACCCATGGATGCACGAGCAGCATCCAAGATCTGCTTGGCAATCGTTTCATCACCATCGACGACTTCAGCCATGCTGTCGAGTTGTTCTTCAGACAATTCAGCCTTGTTCTTGATGATCTTGACCAATTTGGCGTATTTGTAGTTATCATTGACGATTTTCACAAGTTCAGGGAAATGCCACGAATACCATTCTCTGCAAAAAAATCAAAAACATCAGCCTTTTTTCTAAAGGAAATGAAAATGATGAATCTTTTTTACCTGACACGCATGGAGAATGTGTTGACATCCTTGTCCATTTGATCCAACAAGGCGATGGCTTGAATGATCATGTTATCGGCACGGTTGACGTTGAACTTAACCTTGGCACGCGAGTAGCTGTGACCGAGACCGAGTTGAGCCTTTTCGAGATCACCCTCCTTCAATTGGGAGAGCAACTTATCGGCCCACAAACGGATACCACGGACCAATTCTTGGACCATTTCATCGGAACTGCATTCGTAGCCGAGTTCGCCCTTGATAGCACCAGCCAAATTCTTTTCGGCGACACCGAGAGCGACCTTGCTCTTCTTGCTAGACTTGGGCATGTTCATTTCCAAAAAGGCCTTCAACGAAGGATTGACAATACCTAATGAAACCGATGGGTCAGAACTTTTTTAGTCAGTCACTGTGTCGATTAGCGAACAAGACATGGGTCGAGAGATTTACCTTCAGAGACGTCGTTGGCGTTTTCCAAAGCGTCAGCGGCACTCTTGAAAGGAGCAAAGGACTTGAGTTTGATCATTTTACCAAACTTGGCGAGATCGAGAACGGTATCCTGGACTTCTTGCAACTTGGCACCGATCTCCTCGGACTGAAGACGCTCGAAAAGAGCATAGCCGGAAGCTGTTTCGAACAACACGTAATTAACCTGCAAAAGGAAACATCAAAGGTGAGCATGCCCGTTGCCATTGCCATGGTTCATGATGGTGGTTGTCAAAAAATCTTACCATGGTGAAGTGAAAGGCCGTGAAAGGATCGGATCTTCAAAACTTTTTGTTATTGGAAAAAAAAACTGAAAGCCAATTTTTTGTGGCGCCTTTTTTCGTGACGGCTAATATTGCCCGTGCCAAAAAAAATTAGTTTTCGAGGTTTTTGCGGGAAAGTCAGACATTCGATCACTGGGTGTCGGACAAAATGGTTCACACACCCCGCACAAAGCTCGCGTATAAGTGGAATAAATAGAAGCGACGATTTAATGGTATATGACACTGTTGGCATCAGATAACTGATCATCTCTGTTTTTTTGCAATATTCTTGGTCCTTATTTGTAGTGTTGAGTTTTTGTGGCACCTCAAATCAGTTATCTGAGAGACATGGCTATGCATCGGCCGGCCTGTCTTGCACAGGTTTGACTGAACTGGACTGAACCTGGACCGAGCTGGACGGAATAATTTAGTCCAATGGCCGGTGTCTGAAACTGTATTGGGTTTCGAACAATATGGTGATGAATGGCGGTATTGGGACAGACCGGTGCCGTGTTGTACATACAGTAGTGATGAAGTGAGTGCGTGAGCGAGGTGGATGTGGGCCAGTTGGGATCCGATATAGGGTGGTCTCACAAACATTTTCCCCTCTTTGATGCCAAATGAGCTGCAGGCAACCTTTTGGGTCCAAACGGACAGCGGACTGTGGAATACAAGGAATCCCACTTTTATGTGAAAAAGGGGATCTGCCAATGGGAAGCGATTGATTGATTTTTTTTTTGGGAATGAATGGTAACAACATTCACAGGGTCCACGTGCATATGTATGTTTCTTTTTCCTTTAAAAGGGCAATGTCGTCTTGAACATCCAGTGTAAACAAAAAGTTGTATTGTTAGCAGCTTATTCGCTCTTTGAACACGGTGTGCCGGTTTTTCGAGCGGGTCCTTTTTTTACTTCATTTTTGATATGGATGATGTTTGGACTTGATAATTCACTGCAGTTCTAATTCATGCTTTTGCTTTTGTTCTGACGTAATCGTTGTTGATGGTTTTATTTGGCTGAATAAGGAGACTTGAAAGAAATTCGGTTTTCCCTTCAACTTTTGGGCGTGCGCTTGTTCAATTTTGAAAAAAAAAGAGTTGCTGATCGTCAACCGTTTCCCTACCTTTTTTTTTTTTTTAATTCTCTTTACCTTGCGAAAGATTAGTGTTTTTTCACTTGGCTGTTGCATGGGAAACTTGGTTCTCGTTTAATTTCGGTGCTTGCAAAGAAAAAAAAGGAATCCTCTCATTGTCGGCCTCGCTGTCTATTTTTTTTTCTCTCTCTTTTCTTTTTTGTTATTCTTCCTGTCTGCACTCCGGAAACCCGCTCGTTACCGTGACGCAGAAATATCGTCCTTTTTAATTCTCTACGGACCATGTCTTTTGCAACTAACTCGAAACCACACGGTAAAAAGCAAGAGGTTGGCCAGCCAAAGCAACCTGCAAAGTAAGCAAGTCTTTCTCATTTTTCACAAACAAAAACAATCACCAAATAACGGGTAATCCAGATCGTTTAATGGAAAACAACTTAGCCGTCCAGGCAATAAGAAATGGAGCAATGCCAACACGCCTGGTAACCGCACAGCCTATAACAACAGTAACAACAGTCCCAGTAACCATTTCCCCTCTCCTACCGCAACATCCACCGCTGCCCCTTTGTCACATAAACCAGCCGATGCCTTGAGTGAAGATCACGAAACGGCCAAACATTTGCATGACCGAATGCTATTCCTGCTCAGCAATTTGGTGGTAACGTACTCGTAACTGGGGAAAAAGAGCGGGATGAAAAATGGGAACACGGCATCTAATCCGATGGGATGTTGACATGGGTTTACAGGGAACGGTCGTTCAGGTCACGGTGAAAAATGGTAGCAAATTTGAAGGTGTCTTTCACAGTGCTTCCACCCAAGGCGAGCTTGATATCTGTTTAAAACTGGCTAGAAAGATTCACGATCCTCAGGCACCACCCTTGACCAAGGGTACCACCAATCCCAATCCAATCAAACCCTCCCTGATTATTTTTTCAAAGGACTTGGTGGAAATTAATGCTGCCGATACTGATCTCACGGCGGGTGACATGGTCACAGAGAAAGACAGTAAGTCATGAACGGAATCAAGCACGCACAAAACGACAACAATTTTTCTTGCTGGGTGGGGTGGGGGATTGTTGACAGATAACACACAGAAACCAACTGACATGTGTATGTTTCCTCGGTTTAGCTTTCAAGACCGATACCGATATTTCCGGACGCATGGAGATTAGAGAACGTGAACTTCACAAGTGGAATCCGGAAGGTCATGAGGCTGGAGCATTTGATGCATTGGAAGGCGATTTGGAGTCACCGTCTCAAGGTTCGGGATCATGGGATCAGTTTGCTGCCAATGAGAAACTGTTTGGGTTGAAGACCGATTTCGACGAGGAAATATATACAACCAAGTTGGATCGATCGGCTCCCGATTTCAAGGATCGTGAAAAGAAGGCCATGGAGAAAGCGGCAGAAATTCAAAAGTCGTCCGCTGCCACCACCAATGTTCACTTATTAGAGGAACGCGGCTTGTTGGATGACAGTAACATAGATGAAGAAGACCGTTACGGCGCCGTGGTACGTGACGTGAATCCCAACAGGTACATGCCTCCTGCCCTGCGTAAGCAAATGCAGCAAGCTTCGCCGAGTGGCAAGAAGAAAGACGGGGCCGACGATCATGAACCGACAATGGCCAAGTCGCCATCCACCAATTTGCCACCCAATAGCCCCTTGCATAAACTGATGACCAATTCGCTCCCCAAAATCGGAGCACAGGCCGCCTCTCCTGTGGCCAACTTGGCCAATATCCGTCAAGACACCCGATCACCGAATGCCCAACCTCCCATGGATAAGGTAGGCCTCGACATGAAAAACAAAAGTGACGACTGGAGACTAAAAAAAAAAAAAAAGCTTACCGAAGGAACTCATCCCAAGCGAATCGAGGCTGAAATTGCCACCACCTTTCGACAGTTTGCTTTGCAGGAAAAGGACAAATTGCATGCTAAAAAACAAGCCCTCCAGAAAAAGGAAAAGGACAGTCGTCTAGCTGAATTGATGAAGTTCCATCAGAGCTTCCGACTTGATATGCCGGTGCCACCGGATCTCGCTCCTTTGCTGTCCAAGGGCAAGAGACGTACCAGTCCTACTGAACCGGGAAAATCCACCTCGCCTTCGCCCTCGGAAACCAAGAAACCGGCTGTGGCTTCTTCTCCTTTGACCGGAGTGACCACAGATGAGAATAAGGAAAACGTTGAACCTGCATCCACCAAACCTAAACCATTGTCTGACGCCGATCAGTCTCCTGAACCCAAAGAAAAGCCGACCGAAACCAAACCCGTCAAACCGGCCAATTCTGCATTCAAATTCAATGTCAAAGCTTCCGAGTTTAAACCGAATCCTACCGCACCTGCATTTGTTCCGGTAAGTCGCGCCTCTATTGTTCTATTCTTTTATTGCTTCCATGGGCTGACAAAACGATGTTGTTGGATTTGATCATTAGGGAGGAGGAGCACGATCGACGACTGAAGCCTCGTCGCCGTTCTTTGCTGGTCGCCAGCTGAAAAGAGGAGTCGCAGCTGAACCTTTAGTGATTGCCGAAGCGTTTACCCCATCTTTTAGCAAAGGCAAAGATGTTCCAGCCAATTCAGTTGGTAAGTGTACTTGAATTTCTCTGAACCTCAGGACGCAATGTCCACTGATTCCGAACGGTTGTATTAGGACCCACATGGCCGTTTGGAACCAAACAGTATCGACATCAATTCCATCAATTTGCTCACTATGATGATGATGTCTTTACTGGCTATCCTTCGCCCAATTTCCCTTACGGATATCCTCCGTACCGTTATCCACAGGTAAGTGACGCAAAAAAGTCTCTCTATTCCATCCATGTCCGTGCCTCGAGACTAACTTTCTTCTCCGCAGCAATTTATCCCCGGTATGTCGCCAATTCCTGTGCAACAGCCTAATCACGTTCCATACATGAGCCCTCAGGTAAGAAAAAGCAATGTGGTTCAAACAGAACATTTAAAACTCATCGTTTTATTTTTCTCCTATTCACACTAGTTTGTTCCTAATGTTCCTATCTCGGCCGCACAAATGCCACCGACTGGTGCCCCGCCCGCTGTAGCTTACAGTCCGCAGATGGCCAATGTGTCTCCTCGTAAGTATCGGAGGGCGTCTGTCGGCGGAAAAATTGCGCAATACTCACATTCAAATATTAGATGGATCACCTTTTCCACAAGGGTTCCCATCGCCTCAGCGATCTCCCATGGCACCTCACGGGATGCCGCCTCAAGTTTATCAATACCAAGGAAATGTGCCGCATCAAGGTCCAATGATGATGCGTCACCCTGCCGAGATGATGCCACCAAATCCCGGGCCGGGCGGTCCTGTCATGGTGACAAGACCCATGATGGTCGATGCAAACCACATGCCGTATCCGCCTTCCCAAGAAACGACCTCTCGTAAGTTTAATTGTACTGCACAATCAAGCTAGATACAAATCGTGCTAATGCTGAACTGGTTTAGCTTCGCCAGAGTCCGTGGCTGAACCATCCCCGTCCACCTACTCTTAGCTCTGCTTCCTGATTTAAAATTAGGTTCCTGGCTTCAGAAAAAAAAGAAAAACCTAAAAAAAAAACTAGTGATCCCCTTCTCTACCCTCAATCTTTCTTCTATTAAACTACACTCAAAAAGAGAGAAAGAAAAGACATAGCGCGATAACGAGCTACTTAAACGCGTAGAAAAGTAACGCAAATATTTGCCAAAAAACTAGATGTAGCCGTGGGTTGGCTTATCTGATTGTCTACAGAAGATGATGATGTCAAAAAAAAGGATGGGGGGAAAACCAAAAACCACGTGTAATCTTTGTGCGGAAATGTCTTGGCGACTCCAGGTGATGTATGTTTGAGATCAAGTTTACGTTCTTGGATTGATTGGGCGACATGGGTATGATTGGACAGCGGGGCATTTGGATATCGTTGCCTCGTTTTACAAACTTTTTACTGATTGTCATAATATCACCAAAAGGATAAAATAAATGCAACTAAAAATATATGGCTGTCATCATATTTTTTTTTGTCGATCAGCGTGTAACCCCGCTGTAGCCTGTAATGGTGCCAGTTGCACGTTGTGTATCAAAATTGTTGCACAAAATGGAAGATCTTCAGTTGGTGGGTTCAAGCTGGGAAAACTAGCTCAAATTCCCCGTAGCCATTTTACAGCTGGTCATGGTGAGGATCCATTTCCCGAATTTGATGGCTCGATTCGGTGAGTTGTGGTACCTCTGTGGCTATTCTTGCATTGAGCAGGAGTTCTCATTGCACGATCTCTCCCACGCGACCAACCTATTTTTACGAGACTGGTAAAGCTATTCTTCCTCCGAACCGACAACAAAAAATAGATCTATCAGGGTGGAGTTCTCATCGACGGTCTCACTTTGGATTGACTGACTTTTTTTTTTCTTATTTTCTTATTCACGTCGCGATGGTCCTGTGCAACCTCGCCATCGTTTAGGCCTGGATCGCCCTCTAAGGATAAAAACCGCTGGTAGCTCAGTGTTAGCTCAGGTTTTTTTATTTTTATTTTTTCGCTCGCCTTCGTCATTCGTTTTTTGTTCTAATTATAATAGCCTCCTTTCATTATATATAGTACTCGCTACTTTTCATTCCTTTTTTACTTTACGCGAAAATAACTGTTCTCTTGTTCCTATCATGAGATTAATTTGGGGTGTTGCTATTGCCCTTGTTGCCGGTGTTACGCCTGATGTCTTGGCCGCTCCCAAGCCAAGTCAATCCCCTCAGTTGCAATATACTGTTACTTGTAAAAAGACCTACACCGTTGTTCCCAATGATGTGGTACGTATTTCTCTTGGGTTGATCACGTCCATCAAAATATCACTCACATTTTGATTTTTAATATATTGATTAGTGTTATAAAATTGCGGATGCTTTTGGCATTACTACCAGCCAATTGAAAAAGTGGAACCCTTCCAGTAAGTATTTATGGCACACCAGTGGAGAATAGTGTCGCTTATATGAATCCTTTTATCACAGTTAATCCTGACTGTACCAATTTGTACATTGGACAGTCGCTTTGTTTGAGGTAAATTTCATTAACACTGCCATTAAAAAAGCTCGTGATTTAAAAAAATCTGTTCATTTATGTTTAGTCCACCTGTGACCAATTCGGCTACCATGCCTTCAGGCAGCAAGAGTATCCCAAGCAAACCTGCCAAAACAACCAACGTTCCTATGCCTACCGACTCGGCCAATACTTGCTCTACTAATGACGATTGTCCTGGTGTTTAGTAAGCTTCACGCAGTCCATGAAAAGTTGCTGTGGTTCATGAGTTGACCTTTTTTTTTTTTGTTTCTTATGTTTATTATAGCTGCTGCAACTTGTTCACGAATCAATGTGTGCTTGATCCCAAAGGCAACATTTGTGATATCCAGCCTACGACGCGTGTGACCAGCAAGACCATGAGCAATGGAAAGCCCACGGTGACTCATGTCACTTCCAAGGTGCCCCGTCCTTCCACAACCCCTGCGCCTTCGTATCCAACCGGTTTAACCGTTGCCGTCGAAAGCCAGCAAGATTTCTGCTTGTTTTTGCCCCGTTCGCCCGGTAACAAGGACGACCACGGCGGAAAGGTCGATCCTGATGCTATTGCTGATTCGGAAAAGAATGCTGTTGCCTTCTGTACCCGTCCCAACGTGAATGCTCCTGGCTCTGGCTTGCTTCCTCGCGGTTTCATTAAATCGGCCAAATTCCAGCAGAATACCGCTGCCGGTTTTGTGCAAGTCACGGGTAAAATCGATCGTTCAAAATACTCTCTTTCCAGCCAAGACGGCGGTGGTCAATACGACAATCACGGTGCCGGATCGCCTCCTCACTCGGCTTGCAAGGGCTACCCCTACTACGTCTCCTTGATCGAGCCTGATATTAATGGCTTCTGTATCCGATGGTAAAAACTTTTGATACAATGACGCATGTCTATGGTACTGATCTTATTTTACTCGTTTTTGTAGCTGCCAATCTTACAAGGATTGCAATGCCGGAAGAAGTGCTTACGGTTGCCACCGTGTTGTACCTCCATTGTAATTTTTGTAAATGTATGCCTCCACAAAATTTTATAGCCAATGATAAGGTTCATAATAATGAAAAAAAAATTGCCTTCTTTGGGCGCTTTCAAGCCTTTTTTGGGTTTTTTAATTTTCTGCTTGTTTTTTGCTTGCTTTGCTTTTCTTCATTTTCTGCCAGTCTTCTCATTTTCAGCTTTTTGTGTAATGACAGGTTCAGGAAGTAGCCATCAAGAAATTGTCATTGCTACCGAGACTACACCTCTTGTCAACAATGGCAACGGTGGCTATGCTACCGTTCAGTCGACCGCCACATCGTCCTCATCCCCAGCTCACGCTGATCATGCTGCACGACGCAAAGAAGTCGTGGGATTACTGTTGATGACTTTATCTGCGTTGGGATTCTCGTCCATGTCCTTATTCGTTAAACTAAGTGGTGCTAGTTTTCCGTCCTTCGAGATCGTCTTGGCTCGCTCCATTGTCCAGGCCGTCCTGGGGTTGATTGGCTGCGCCATCTTTAAAGTAAACCCTCTTGGCAAACCCGGGGTGAGAGGCTGGCTGTTTTTCCGGGGTTTAGTAGGCTCCTTAGGTTTGGCTTTATTCTTTTACAGTATCACCCAGTTACCCCTTGCCGACGCCACAGGTAATGGCATATTCAATTTTTATGCCCCACATCCCGTCGTTAAACACACCTATTTTGTATGCTTTAGTTGTGTTCTTCTTGAGTCCCGCTTTCACGGCCATTCTCGCTGCCGTGGTTTTGGGTGAATCTTTCACCTTGTTCGATGGATTATGCTCAGTCATGTGTCTTTTTGGCGTTGTCCTTGTCTCCAAGCCGCAATTTCTTTTTGGAGGCGACGCCAAGTTGCCAAACGGACAAACGGAAGCACAACGTTTAATGGCGATTTTCGCTGCCCTGATTGGTGCCATGATGTCTGCGGTTGCTTATTGTACGGTCCGCAAAATCGGCAAAGGTGCACATTTCATGGTGCATGTGGTCTATTTTGGTGTCATTTCCACCCTTATTAGTCCTATCGGTCTTTTGACGCTGCAAAAATTTGTCATGCCCCACGGATGGTACGAGTACTCAGTCCTCTTCTTGGTAGGCTTGATGGCTTTTGCTGGTCAATGTCTACTTAATCAAGGGTAAGTGAGGAAAAAAGGGAAGGGAGACAGAAGGGCAGCATAACTCATTCTTGGCATGATATCAGTTTGCAACTTGCTCCTGCCGGTCCAGGTAAGCCAGTTTACAAAGAACTCAATACTGGAGTTCGTAAGCGATACTGATCTAAATCGAATGCATGCATATTTTCTAGGAACATTGATGCGTATGAACGACGTTGTTTTCGCCTTTTTGTTTGGTATCTTTATCCTTCATGAATACCCCGACTTTTACAGTATTTTGGGTGCCATTGTCATTGTAGGTATGACCACTGCATTGGGTTTACACAAATGGTTCCTCCATGCTGGCCGATCTGCATTCACTCGAAAGTAGGCCCATTGGGTAATACACATCACTAGAAAGTATGGATCTTCAAGTCATTATCATTTTTGAAAAGAAGTCTCGCAAAAAACATTTTTTACAAGTCGATAATATAATAGATCGTTTTATATAGACAGTACATTATATGCAAAGTTATTGGGTTAGATGAGCATAGTGTGACATGTTAAGTTGGCTAGTTGGCTCAGTAAAATAGAATTGAGTATTGTGATATCGTATATGCCGAGGAAATGTTTCGACTATTACAGTAGGCTGGCAAGAGGAGAGTGGGTTTATTTTTTATTTTCTATTCTTTTTTTTTTTTTTTTGCGCATGGACCGGCCCGGGGTTTTGAGTGATCGTTTTACCAAGAATTCATGCCAAGATCACGGACAGTTTCTCGATTGTGGACTAGAGTGATGATGGTTTGCGATCTGTGAGACAGGTTGAACTTTTGAATCTCGGCATCGGTGATGACGGTATGGCCATTTTTTGCCGTTTGAGGAGAGGTGGTGTAGGATCCATACAGAAAGTCGCTTTCGTAATAATCGCGGGTCAGAGTGACGTGCTTGAGGCTGGGAATAAGCTGTATCAATCGATGAATAAATTGCATCGAGGTGCTCTCCGGAAGACCATGGACGTATAACCAGCGAAGCTCTGGAAACTTGTCGTGCGTGCATATAAGCTCCTGGTTCGAGTAAGAAAGCAACGAACACATCATGTTGAAAGACACTTCCAAACGTTCCAAATGACAGAGTGATATGATCGTTTTCGTCAACGAGGGATATTCTTTGTCAAGCTCTTGGTGATGATGCGCTATATCGAGTGACCGCAGAGTACGATGGCAAGCACTTAGCAGCTTTTCCATAGTCGCACCGGAGCAAGAGGTGTCGTCCAAGCCCAGTAATTGAAGATGAATATTGTACTTTGCTAAAATAAGGAATCCATTCTCGGTTATTTTGCGACACCCGCTCACATCGATCTCTTTGAGTTTGATGGTACGAAATTTCGCCAGAGAATACATAGCAACGTCGGATATACTGGAACAATTGCGCATGGAGATGGACTGTAGTTCGCCCCGGTGAGCCAGAGCTGCCACGCCTTCATCAATGTTACTGGCAATCCCATCGAGCTTCACGTGCTGAAGACAAGGTAATCTGGCGGAGAGAGCACACAATGTCGCGCTGCTGATATTGTCGCAGTAAGATAAATCTAACGTATGCAGATGCCGCAGTTCATAGCGAGGAGGCAGTGAGTTCCGGCATTGGAGAAATGAGGTCCGCGACAACTGTAGTACTTGCAAGTTGGGTGTGTAGCGAAGAAGATATTCAAAGAAATACGAGGGTACTCGTTCGTACAGTGAATCTTCAATGTGGCTGACGTCCAAGTGTTTGATAAGTGCTGCGGTTTCCGGACGAAAATGCGGTAATAAATCCACCCATTTTACCAGCAGATGCAGAGCGTCATGGACATGACCATCGTGGAATGAAGGTTTCTCCAGCAATTGCTGCATGATCATTTGGTGAAAGCTGGTATCGACGGCGGCACATGATTTGTATTCCGCGCAAGAAAGATAAGGAAGGGTATGCTTGAAGGCTAAATACAACTTTTGTCGTTGACTGGCAGTCAGCTGTCTGCGGAAAGGATTGTAATCTGACGGTTCATGGATCGATACATTGGCTGCATGAATGAATGCCATGGCAGTAATTTGACGGTCCCAAGAAAGATGAATAAAAATTATAAAGTCAGTTAAAAAAAAGAGGGGTTTTCTGAACTTTTTGCATTAAAAAAATAGAACGTTTGTTCAATGCAGTCTACTGGGTCACACAAACGACCTGCTCAGCATGGTCCCACCGAGGATGCGGCCTTTCAAAGGCCTAAGCAGCGCAGTCGAGCCAACAAGATGAGTAGCGACGAAATCAAGTTACACAAAGAACTGCGAGAGTGGGACTATCGCCTCGACAGACTTCAACGGTATGAAAAGTACCGTCAAGCAGTACGTGTCACTCACAAAGGACCACCTTTTGTAAACATTCACAAGGCAAGCTCATCATGGCCACATGTAGCAAGGAGAAATGGAATTGGAGAATCTAGTGACAAAATGGCGTGCCATTGCTCAGGTGAGCATCCCCATTTATTCTTGGTTGTCGATTTGTGAAGAGAAGGTTAAACTGTCGCACAGAACGTGGCCGAAGATCTGCTGAGCCTTGCTCGCAACCGAGGGGACATTTCACAGGAAGAAGATGATGACGAGATGGCTCATATGCTGACCTTGTTGCGTGTGGATCTTGATTTGATCCGCTATTCTCGCGAAACAGGAGATTTCTACTAAAAGTAAAAAACACCTGAAGATAAGAATGAGAGGCACCTTATTCCATAGTATAAAAAACCGTATCTAGTCTTTATTCTCGATAATGGATAATCGTCGAAATTGCTCCAATAATTCGTACATGGTTTTTCCTTTTTGTTTTGACTTGGATGATAGGCGGGTGGATGGTGCTAGGGAAGCGTCCTGCTGTTCTTTTTGTGACTCTTCACCTGCAATGATAGACTGCATAATTTGATTCGTCGATAGTTTTGTCATGGCAGGTTGTGACGACGACGATGATGGTGATGATGTCGGCCGAAGGTCTACCAGCATCATATAAACCATATGACGATGGGCATGTGATTTTCGTAGTTTTAGAGAAACTCGCACATGGTCAAAAAGGTTGAAAACAATAGGACGAGGCAAGTCCGCAGAATTGACAGAAATTCGGACCGGTAATTCAACGTCAATGTCGGCATTGGGTATATAATCCTCATCTAATAAATTATATGCAAGTATCAAGGCAACTGGTCAGTCGTAATAATTCGCAGACAAGCACGTTCGTTCTACCTTTGGAGGGCTGACTCGATATCAGAGACAATGGCACCGTCGCCTTGCCATCCTTATCTTTAAGGTACACAGGACCCTTTAATCCGAGGCTGAAACAGAAAAGTAAAAAGGACCAATGAATAGGTAAGCCTCCCAACCATAAAAAAAAAACGGTTGTAACCTTGGTTTACCTCGGCACAAAAACATAAAATCCATTCGATTGAATTTCGCAAATGATTCCGTTTTCGATCAATGGCCCCGTTGTCGTCTGCATCAAAAAGGGAAACATCCAGTTTGAATATCGAAGCGTGTCAAATATCCCAGTATCGAACATTGTCAACAACTTACATGCTGCATCACATAGAGGCTTTGAAACAATTCCGTGGAATCCTGAGGAAAGCATCATCTCAAAATCAGCTGACAGGACGATCCAAATCGTCTAACCATATACTTCCTTACCCGTTGCGCAAATTTGGATTCACGCGATTTCAGGTTCAGATTGTCACATATATCGGAAACTTGCTTATCGGCAAAACTGGTGGATCCTTGCACTTGATCCGAGGTGGCGTAATAGTCTTTGCAGCAGTGTAATAACTGACGATGTGCAAGAACATCGGCATAACGACGAATAGGTGACTGTAGATTTGTGTTATCAAGCGGTGGCGTTGCGTGAGCCAATGATGATTTCTCACTTACGGTAAAATGTGTATAAAAATCCAATGCCAAACCGTAATGGTAATACTGATCTACAGCATAATGACCAGAGGAGATGTACGAGGCCTCGTTCATGGCAACGGTGGCCATCGATTTCATCAACCGCGCAATATTTGGGTCGTCTCGATTAGCTCTTACAATTGTTTCCAATGATTTCGCCAATGCCAAATTGGATGAAAAGTCAATGGTATAACCCTGTTCGTTGGTTTGGGTTGTCAGTAAAGACCATCTTAGCGCTCATGTCCAGTGCTCATTTATGTCGCTTGTACCTTGCTTTCTGCTGCTTTGACTATTTGTGCAAACTGAGATTTGCTAGGCGGTGGATGTCTTCGTAGAATGGCAGCGTCACAGCATCCTTCATAAATACGCTTGCCTACCGCTGCATTTGCCATGATCATTGCTTCAGCTACCAAGCCGTGAATTTCCATGCTATCCTTGGGAAGTAAAAACGATGGTTAAGGATAATCAGTATGCCAAGTGAACGAGATGGCATGGAAAGGCAAAACAAAAAAGGATATTAATATCAGTCACTTGGTGATCGTCTGTCACTTTGAATTTGACTTCGGTGCTCTCGAGTTCCAAAGCACCTTTAGCCAGGCGTCGATTCTATCAAAATGTGGGACAGCATGAGTCCCGCTACCTTGTTTTTGGTTTTTCGAGATGAAACTTGCCCTCATGACGCGCAACACTTCCGCTAGCTTATGTATGGAAGGGCGTAACTTGTTACTCAATTGTTTATCTTTTTTTTTGTTGATGAAACGAATCAGTCAAGAGATTGCATGAACGTGGTTCAGCAGCGGTGGTTGAACTCACCTAGACCGGTCGCAATCGGAGCTCCATCCAGCAGTTGCTGTGCTTGTTCGTATTCCATTTCACAACTGGATCGAATCAATGTGCGTCCAAACCAAATGTCCTTAACATTGAACGATCTATCCAAAGTCCACAGCACAGACACTAGTTTACGTTACACCAACTCGAGTCTTGCATGAAACCGGGATTGCCTCTTTTGGCAGGGCATTGATTTTAGCTTACCTGCAAAGCGGTCGACGTTTCCACGCAAAGAACACACTCTTTCACTGAGGACGGACGGCAACATATCGAATCGACGATCCGCAAGATAGACGGTGGTTCCTCTAATAGATTCAGATATGAAAATCAGCTCATCATTCTCTGGGTTCAATACACATATCACAGAACAATCACCTTGCTCTGGCTTCCAAATCGGTCAATGATCGTTCTTTCACAAAATAGCTGACATCGGCAATGTGAACCCCAAGTTCGACTCGTCCATCTTTCAGTTCCCGAACAGAAAGTGCATCTATCACGAAAATCAGCGTCAGTCAATGATTTCTTTTTTACCGTTCTTGAGCCGCTTATCACATTACCATCGATATCTTGACAATTCGGGGGATCAATGCTAAGTAAAAAAATAAAAAAAAAAATAAACGAAAACCGTGTCAATAAATTTTTTCTCTCTTTACGTCAAAGAGTGTATCATGAGGTGTCAATCTACCTAAAAATGGTAAGATTCCGTAGATCGCGACGTTGTGCGATTTCCTCCTATTGTACACAGAAATGTCATGGGATCAGATGACTGATAATCCGATCAGTTCTTTTCATATGAGATTGTAGGTACCGGTTGAGGATGCCAGGGCGATTGCTCGGTGTCGATGGGCATTTCTTTAAGACAGGCTTCACTGAAGCCTTGCGAAGCTTGCGATACGGAAATCCCATGCTCGACAAGAATGGCCGATATTTCGGTATCCAATTGATGAATGGGACCTAAACCATTTTTGCATTCCGCAATCCATTGGGATTCTTTTTAGTGAGCTTAGCCTGTTTCGGTAAACCGACATTTTTTCAGGGGAGGGGAGAAAGAGAGAGATAGCACTGACCTAGTGACCGTACATAATGTCCGTTTGGATATTGCGATGAAACAGGCCTAGGTAACATGCATGTCAGAAATTATGCAATGGGACATCCGCGGAAAGAAGAAAAGTGTTTTACCAGTTATCGATGCGAACAACAATGCGTTGATTTTGAATCAGCTTCACATCTTGATGTCGAATTCGAATTTTGGGTATAACGGAATCGAGTGGGATCGCCAGATGAAAGGAGCCTCCCCCTGTTTCCGCACTGTCTTCCTGAATGGTAGCGACATAGGAGCGCCAATTCCGGTTCAGGACACCGACGACGCGTCCCGTCGGCTTTTCTGTATCCACAGCCCTGGCAAGTCGTAATTGCTCATATTCTAATTTCCCCATCCCCACCGTCCTCGCATCAGTGATCCACGTGAGAGAATATTGTCATCTCTTTATCTCACCATCTTCCGCGCTGGCACCATTGTATCCGATTTCGTTAGCCGCCTTTGCCCAGTGATTCGCTGACAGCAATTCGACGACCACCATGTCACCGTGCACTAACAGTGGGTGGACATTCACGAAAAAAAAAAAAGAAAAAAAAAGAAAGGGTTTCATGTATCATGAGCCCCCGGTGCGTGAGAACTAAAAGGGATGTGTGCATTCCCCGTGATGTTGCTTACCGGCACGATTTCGGTTCTCATTGCCCACAATCAATATATCGGTTCCCAACTTGTCGCCTCCACGGACGTAGGCTTGATCACGTTGATTAGCTCGACAATGCAAAGTGCCAGAAATATAGCGGGATGATTTGATCCCCACTTCCAATTCGTCGGCCGATTTGTACTGCACAGATGAAAATAAAATCGTTTCACTTGTTCTGATACACATGAAAAAAGAAACTAAGGAAGGACATCCTACCTCGGTGTAGCCTGATACGGCAGTTTCAGTGGATTTGTTGCCACCGACACGGATGCGGATCCGTTCCAGATCGTCCTCCAAAACGACATCAGCGAGGACATGCACTAGGTTTTGCAATAGAGCATGGTCGGACCAGTATTCGTCAATGTATTGCTGCATGGTGTAAATAGAGATTTGTTGCTGATCGAAATCGGAAGCGAGATCGGGGCCGAGATCAGGAGCAGTCTGTGCTTCTGACAGTAGAATGATACGTTTGGATCCTAGATGTTTGTTATACCAAGCCGCCATTTTGCACAAGGCCCGCCAATCACGAGCGGCTGCCTTTTCTCCCGGTAAACGAGGCACTTGGGTTTCCGTAAATACTTCGTTGTAAAATACGACGCTGTGACGGCGAGAATCATCGACGATCTGGCGCAGTTTTCGATACAGTCGAGATTTATCGTGTTGTTGAAGCTGAATCAAATAATCAATGGATGATCAGTCAGTGTCTGACAGAGACAGGATCCCCATCCTATCCAAATTACCGAATTGATCACTGTTTGACTGAGAATCATGCCTGTTATTTCTTCCTGTTCCAGGATTTCGAGGTAACGCATGACGATCTACCGATTTCACATGAGCGCCATGTTTTCACTCACACTGTGGGCATATTGAAGGGCAGCTTTTTCTTTTTTCTCTCCGAGTACATTACCGTCATGTCAGGAATTATATAGTGGTCAGCATCGTCGCGTAACAATGTATACTGGTCATTCGTGTTATTGTGACATTGGTGAGAACACGAAGCGGCCAAGCACGGTACGTCATGGCGAAGGTATTCTGGAGTAATGTCAAAAGACGTTGAAGAGAGAGGGTATCAACCGTTTGAAAAAGGCGCTTACGTTCTCTGACGAGTTTGATAATGCCGTTACTACGTGTTTTTCTATAAAACGCTCGTTCGGTAACAAGCGTCATGGGAACAATGGGACGAGTGGAACACTTGCAGGCCTACCAGAGCACTTTTTTTTATTTTCCTAAAAGAGCGCCCAATTTTTTGGGTCGGCGGGTTATGCTGAGTGGAGGGCGAAAAAAATCAAAAAGGTAAGACACGAAGCAGCGGTATTTATCATGAGAACGGCGCGCCAAAGGTGTACCAAATGGGGGATTGCCTTTTTATCGAGGTGCAGGTGATAATAAACATGGATAAACCTTTTTTTCTCGTATTTATTTCCCGTTTCTTTTAGCGTTACAAACAAGATTGGAGGAATGAAAACCAAAAGCGATAGGGAAGTAAAAAGGCAAGATGGAGAAAAAAATAAAATTACGCCCAAAAAGAGCGATACGAATGACGGTAAGGGAAGGATAGCCTATCGTTGGACACGTGTGGCAATGGACAGGTCATCATTGTAACCTTGTCCACCTCGTCTGGAAATAAGGTTAAATATGGCATCAAATTTGACTTTGGCTTTTCCTCTTCTTTTTATTTTTTCGCTTCCATATCTTCTTCTTTTCATATTGGGATTTTTTTTTCCCTTGACAATATTGCTTAATTCGAAACTTATTGCTCGTTTTCCCCGCTTCTTTTCATTTTTTTCTCAGGCATTTTTTTTTTTTTCAGCAGTACCAAAAAAGAAAATGAAGTTTGCCAAACATCTCGAAAAAGAGAGTATACCCGAATGGAGAAAAGCCTATCTAAATTACAAATCCCTGAAAAAGAGACTTAAATTAGTCGATGAGGTACCTTTGGACCATTTTTCCCCCTGGGTCTTTTTACTCTTTTCGCAGTTCTGACCACATCCTTGTGTTTTTAACTTCTCGCAGCATCGAAAACTCAGTGAACAACAAGCCGCCCTGGAACTGGATCATGCTTTCTACCGACGTCATACCGATTCCTTTGATGCAGGGATGCCTCAACGATGGCCTTCGAATGCAATCTCATATTGGCATACCAACACCGATTGGCCGTTTCCGACCCACAATATCGATGATAAATTATCAAATAAACTCGATCCTCCGCTTTTTGATACATCCAAGGGATTGAATGTCAGACCCACTTCAGGTACACATTGATAAAATATGTCACCGGCACGCACTCATCCACACACCCAAATGATGTAGGCTCATCGCCAGTCGGTTACGGTACCACATCCAACTTAGACGACGTCTTGTTTCATGCCAGTCATTCAGAACGCCTCTTCTTTGATCTGCTCAATAAGGAGCTTGAAAAAGTGGCGCTATTCTACGACGGTATGTAATACAATCGCCTCCTTTGACGGGTTCCGCCACTTATCTGTAAGAATAAATCATATAGAGAAAGAAAACGAAGCCAAGGCTAAACTCGAAGCGTTGAAAATGCAACTTCATCTGATTGCTGATTATGGACGCCATTTCCTGACAGTACGACCATCCCTCCCCCCAAAAAAAGAACCGCCAACTTGGCAATCTCATGTTTAACGCATCATTTTTTTTCTCTTTTTTTTTACATGTTAGCCTGCCCATGACACAGGAACGGATTCCATCTTTGATTGGCTGAAACATCAGCCTCTCTCCGCGGATGTTACCTTCAATGTAACGTTACCCAAGTCAGAGGATCTCATTACCTTTTTCGGATCTCTAACCTTTTTTTTTTTTCATTGTTTTATGGTTTTTTTTTATATATTTTGTATTTTTCTGCAAAATTTCAGGTGGCAAGAAGCCGGCTGAAAAAGGCCCTTACGGAGTTTTATCGAAGCCTTGAATTTCTGCGCTCTTACAAATCACTCAATGAAACCGGATTTCAGAAAATCCTCAAAAAGTTTGACAAGGTAAGCTCTCGTTTGGTCCCGAAATCGGTTCTCGAGAAATATTTTTTTCTGTTAACGGCCCATCGTGATAGACAGCGGGTTGGAAGGCGAGTACGCTTTATAATCCCAAGATAAAGAAATACCACTGGGCAACTTCCACAGAACTTGATACGATTCTCCATGAAACCGAGGTATGGAACCCAAAATGAACAATAAGAAATCCCGCCATTCCCAGGAGTTGAGAAAAGCTGATGACATCAAAAAATAGACGTTATACATTCAAGAATTCACGGACGGTCATCGGGGTCGCGGTATGCGCAAACTGCGTGTACCTGAAAATCAAGGAGACTATTCTGGTGCCACATGGCGTATCGGATTCATGTTGGGAATGGCAGGCTTGTTATTGTTTCAGACGTGTCAACTGGGTAACAAAAACAATCGATTGTATACATTTTCATCGTCCGTTCTTGGTATATTAATGCTTGGCGAGTAGCTATCGACCCGAAAACATTCAAGCAACTCCCGCATCTCGCCACCAACTTGCAGATCTACGCATGTTTCATCCTTCCCATCTTCTTTGCCCTCGGCTTCGCCGTCAATCTTATCGTATGGCATCGTTCCCACATTAATTACAAGTTTATCTTTGAGCTGGATCCTCGCTACAATTTGCATTACCGTCAGTTTGCAGAGGTAATAAAATCGAGCTAAACCTAAAATAGAAAACAAACAAATACTGATATGCCCGATTAAACAGTTACCGTCCATCTTGCTACTACTGTGTGCTTCCATCATGCACGCGGATGTTTCGCAGACCTTTTCTACCTATATACCCTCCGAGCTGTGGCCCCTCATCTTGATCGTTGCATTAGGTGCCGTCTTGTTTTGCCCTTTTAACATCTTTCATCTCGCCGCAAGAAAATGGCTCGGTGTCACTCTGGTAAGTCCCCCCTATTGCCTATGACCCATTCATAGACCCATTCCCTGAATCGAAATTAGTGTCGTATCGCTTTGAGTTATTGCTTTCCGGTCGAATTTCGCGACTTTTTCATCGCCGATGAACTGAACAGTTTGTCCTATACCTTTTGGACTTGCTCCTACTTTTTCTGTGCCTACACTTATTATTGGCAAGATCTGGGTGAGTAATATAGAGTTCCTCTTGGATACTGCATTCTAACTATCCTTCAAAGATACAACATGTCCTATTCCATACCGCTATTCCACCCCAATTCTCGCTTCATTGCCTGCATGGTGGCGTTTCCTGCAATGTTTACGGCGATTCCGGGATTCCGATGAAAAAATTCATTTGGCCAACGCCGCAAAATACACAAGCAGCATTGTTTCTATTTGGATGGCGACATTACAACGGATTTATCGCAAGTATTTATTTTATTGATATCCTAATCACAACGTCCATTAACCTTTTTTTTTTCTGCGATTAGCCTTGCCAAGTGTGGCCACCCTGTGCCTCTGTACTTCTTTGCTCAATTCAACTTACACTTCCGCATGGGATCTCAAAATGGATTGGGGCTTGCTGCAGCCGCATGCCGCCTCATTTCTCCTGCGTGACGAATTGGTGTTTCACCGCTGGGTAAAATGACAACATCATCACACCTGATCTTGACGAATTTTTTTTTAAACTTTTTCTAAACCTTTTTTTTCTGTTTTAGGTTTATTACGTAGCGATACCTATCAATGTGTTCCTAAGGTTTTCATGGATGTGGTCATTGTTCTTACCAAAATGGATCCCATCTCAATGCCTTGGTTTTGCTATTGCCTTGCTGGAAGTGCTGCGACGGTTGCAATGGAATATTTTCCGCCTTGAAAACGAGCATCTCAATAACTGTGGTCAGTATCGAGCCATCAAGGAGATTCCTCTACCGTTTGCTTTGACAGACGTGAAACTGCTCGATCATGATGAAGAAAGCATCGGATCCATACCTCACCCGGTCTCAGAAGGTTATCGAACAGAAGGTTTGCCCATCACACGTCAATCCTCGTTTGCGAGAGAATCCGTCTATGGCTCTTTCTATGGCCGTCGCGATTTTGAAAATAAGCAAGACGACCACCTCCTGTCTTCTCGAGATCCCTCCATTTTCCGTGAAAGACTTTACAGCAGCCGACCCGCATCTATCATTGATAATGTGGTCGAACGTATCCGCAGCTTTGGTCATTCCAGTATCGCCAGTTACCATGACGATGATGACGACGACGACGATTACGACGATGAGGCGTCGGCAAAAAACTTTATTTCACTAAAATAGACCGGAGGTCAGACTTTAGATTGTTAGGGAAGGGAAAAAGCTAGATTTTCAGACCAAAAACTGGACTGTCGTTTCTTCTATGAATATGGAAGGCTATATTTATACGTTTTCTATGCACTACTATTCTACTGCGTTCCACCATCGCCAGTGGTGGCGTAGTCACGCACGCCTCTTTATTTTACCAGATTAGATGATGTAAAAAAACCGCAACCCGAGAAAAAATTCGCGCCGACAGAAAAGTGTTTGGTCAAGCATTATGATTGTATTTTATTAAAAGCGTGCTGGCGTTCTTCTTGATGCTTTGCTTCTATAAAAATTCAGAAAACGTCTTAAAACCTGTAAGTTGTATTTGGAATTCTTTTGCTCATTAGAAACACCCAGGTATTGCTTTGTTAGGGTTGGGAGAAAGGCTTTTATTCTTTTTAATTCAACTAAGGTCACGCTCCACTCACCAAATCCCTCCGTCGTGGGACCAGGGTCTTATTAAAGTTGGACCGCCAGCAATTGCTGCGAGCGCCCGAAAGAGAGAGAAACGTTCAAGTGCTCATTCACAAGAAAATAAGGATTGTTGATCGCCTTAAGAAACCTAGTTACCCGGATTTTGAGCGCAAAATAGCCACTTTGAATTTTCATTTCACCCATTTCACCATTTCATTTTGTGACTTTCCCACTCTACTTTTTAGTAAATGGCCATGATATGGTCCTTACAAAACAGTGAAGTACCGACACCGGTATTTGCTATGTAGCGTCATCGTAATACCTTACGACAGATGCTTTTAAACCATATAAATTTACCAAACAGCATTGTGAATCAATAAACGCCATAACCTAAAGCATTCATCATCACTTACATCTTGTAAACATCCCTAAATTGGAATGCTGTAAGTCACCAAAATTAAAAGAAAAATGTCTGTCCAAAATATGGCATTCACTATTTTGCGGTCAAAATCCGGTCTTCTGTTCGCAGCTCTTTCGTCCGATCGTACCGCAGCCAAGCAATCACAACAGATGGAGCACTGTGTTCTCCAAATTCTTTTTTTCTTAATGATGTCATTTAAATTGCAAAAGCCGGCTACATTATGTGTAATCAAAACCTGCACTTTTTTGCACTGCTGAATATGCAGTTTTCTTACACCAGGTTCTTGATTCCGTGACATGCTCCAGAGTAATGATGACTACTCTCTAGCTCGCTTTCTTGTGACTTTCTTGGGTTTATATCGGTCAGTTGGTCAAAGCATCGCTACAACGCGGCTTGATCGAACAAAAGATGACGAACGGGTCATGGCAGCTGAAGGATTTTGGAAGGCTGTTTCACCACCTCGCTTGCGAACAGGTATGATGGACTAGGTGGCTACCCTTGCCTCGACAAACTCCAAGGTCTGTGCGGTGGTATATTTTACGGTTGCCTTTCTAAGGACGCCCATCGAGTTGGTATTGTCTCCATTCACCTTCTGACCAAAGGTTATTCATGCAATCGTTTACTAGATAAGTGTTTACATTTTTGGTTAGCAATGTTTTGATTGTTGATTCATTAACATGCTCCAAAGCAATAGGGACAAGCTTTTTGGCCTATTTCCTTACTATGTGAGATCAATTCAAGCAATACTTTTACAACGAACAAGCACGATGTACACCTTAGAATAATATTTTGTCCGATTCCATGTATCTCTCAATCCTTTCATCATTTTATAGTAAGCAGAGAGCTACCTATCATGGTTAATGCATTTTTGTTGCTGCCAGACTATTGGCTTATTCTTAAATATGCTTTTATGAGACGCGATGAATGCTTTGGGTAAAAAAGTTATCAGTGAAACCGCTAGATATCTATCGTTTTAGTTGATGACATAATGATCTAAAATGACCTTCAAGCTGCAATCTCGTTTAACAGACCATACACCTGATGCCGCCTGCTGCTGGAGTGACGTTCATCAGACAAAGTGTAACGCAATAACGAATAACCTTAGCGAGATTCTTGACGGAACTTTGGTATATTAATGTCAATTCTCTGGTATACCGTATGTACTGTATGTACAGTACCGTCATGATTTCCGAACATGGACACAGCAGCACTTATTGACCCCCTCCCTTCCTTCCCGCTCAGGCTTTGATAGATCTAGAATGATGTTGTCGAGACCAAGTTGCTGCAAATGTTCGCCCATTGGCTATATCATACTCTACAACTGATGAAACTTCCATTGTTATTTCTTTTCTATCTCATACCCTATGTAACCGCATGTTGTTCCAAATAAACATCTCACTGTGTTACACTGCTTTACGTTTGAAATTCAAAAGTCGGGGTCATGAATACAATTGTCACTATTCGCAATACGAATTCTGGTAGCTTAGTAAAATCTTTGGGCTTTTGACACAAATATTGGTCTAGCAGTACAACTTTGGACCTGGCAATACAAGCAACAGCGTATAGTCCAATGCAGAATGAAGTAACCGCTAATTATGGAGAAGTTTGTTCAAGATGGTACTCATATCGCTGTTTTGAACATCATTGCAAGAAACATAGTATTGTTTTGATTGCTTTAATTTGAAAATGGCTAATCTGGTCTATTAGATATCTGTGATCTTCTTATATTACGCACAGCTTTACGTACTCAAATTGATTTATATAGTTGTACAATGCATGTTAGCAGATCGCCGATGATGGTTATATAATAGTAAATCAGCATGATGAGAAAAAACGCTTTCTAGGTCTTTTGGCGCTTGTTGGTGGACTGTGTCAAGTGATATGATGCATACCGCAGCCATTCGATTGGTGGATTGTGTGTTGGGGTTTTTCCTTTCGCTTTCTCCATTAAACGTTCTTTAGTGCGTGCGACTGTGCCTATGATGATCTCCTACTGTTATATTAGTGAATATGGTTGAGATATAAACCGGGTAGTATCTTTTACCTTGAGCTGCAATAAATTACAAATTATTTTTAGCACTAAACCCACGTCTTCCAACGACTTGAAGATGGTAACCCGGCTTAATTCAATCATCAAGTATGTACTGGGATATGCTAGCTCCATTTTAAAAGTTGCCGAAGTAAAACCTGAAATCAGTACGCCCCCAACTATAGGTGTATCGACCCCTTCATTAACAAGCTTGTTAATCATCCACTGCATTTCTAGACCAAGCTTCACAGTGTCAGACATCGGGAAACTGGAGGTGCGGCCTGGAGGTTTCGCTTCAGCACATGCTATATCAGCCCGGTGCGTTCATTGTGAGTGGAAGATGACGAAATCGGGTTTGAAAGCAGTTCCATCAAATGACCTTTTTCCGCTTTGCCAACCATTTGCCCTAGAAATGTATTACCTAATACCATGGTCCATAAAAACAATAATATGTATCGCACAAACCATGCAGCATGTATTTCGGGTTCCGGTTGGAAGACATTATCGAACAAGTTGGAAATGAAATTATGGATGAAGCTATCCTCGAGAGGGTGCTCACGGACACGGTTGACCATTGCCAAATGATCTCCGCCATAATGTGTTAAAAATTGTTTCTTCTAAGCACAGCTTACACTATCTACTTACGCGCGATGAAGGATATTAGCGACAATCATATCCGTGGGGTGTTCATCTTTATGCTCCAAGGCCTCATTCAACATAGGAATAGTAATTTTCTGAATGGTATACCAATCACAATCTCAAGCCTGTAAATATTTGTACATTAATGAGATGTTCATAGATCGCAATATATACGGTTCATACCATTGAAAGCTTGCAGCTCCACAACATAGCTCTGTCGCTGATAAAATAGTCTTATCAGTGTATAATTGCCTGACGATCTTGTCGCTTATGGGACGGGAGTACAATGAATATTAGAGCATATTTCTAATTGCCGATGCAATTTCTTACCGAAATTCCTCTTGTATACAGGTAACAATACTCTTGGCGCGATCGATCGTGAAGAGATAAATGTGATTAAGAGCCCTGTTAAGTGTATCGTCAATTCTCTTGAAGGTTTTGGATATTGGCTTGGATACTCACAAATAGTCGCAGGTCGCAGAGTGATTTCGGTGATGGTAACAGTTTCGATATTTGGCGAAAGGAATTTAATTCCTCTAGCACGTCGCAAAACTTGGCTCCAGTCTCATCGTCCAAGACACGATCCAGCGAAGCGCTTTATCCGATGGTTCGGGTGTTGGCGATGCTTCTCGAAATTGATACGTGTCACTCTGTCCATTCGGATGGTAATCTGCTGTAAGATTACTGGCGCATATTCGGGATTGAAAGTGACGTTCCACAAGATAAGTAAGAGGCCTAATGTCAGGCACTGCACTGACGCAAAATTAGAGGGGAATACTGGCATAGCTATTAAAAACAAATGGCGTATTATTCTGTCGTTTTATGCCTTTTTGAATACAATGACAACTACGTTTATTCATGAAGATGGTCATGGCAACCATGGTCGACAACCAAGGTGATGCAGTCGCATTTGTCAGAAATGGATGTTGATTTTGGAACCTACGCACTTGATTCCGTTAACAACTTCAACGAATACGGTGTCCATGAAACCACCCGAGAAACCTGAGAGGAAGTTAAAACGGTCGTTAGGAAAAACGGAAGGCGAAAAAAGAGGCTACAACGGCTGCAAGCATGATATACTGATGCATTAAGAGCGTCTGTTTTTCGTGGTGTATGAATGAAGCAAGCCCGCTAGAGAGGCAGTCATTGAGCTCAAAATTGCGCCACGCACTGCCTAAGATGAATGAAAGAGACAACCCTGATCCTGATGCTGGATTACCTACCCAGGTGAAAGAGCTCACGTCCTGTTTGGAAGACCTTCCAAGTTTGGAGAAAAACATGCAACATATTTGACCGATCTAATCGATGAGAATCCTTCCCTTGCTTTTGATCAAATGATGGAGAGCTTAACATCACAGTTTTCAGGGCTAGAAGTTTCGAAAACTGCCCTATATAACATTACGACCGAGAAGTAAGAATAATCTTCAAGACTGCACATTTCCATCCCACCGAAAGGAATTCTCCTGCTACGATAAGATTGAGGCAAGATTCAACTGGGTGACGCTTTGGTTGGAGACTGGTATGGATTTTTGCAGCAACTGTGTTTTCATTGGTGAATCAGCATTTCACATTAATTTGAAACGGAAGCTCTGCATGTTCAACTAAAGGAACACGAGCAACAGGAGGCGAGAGAGCAAAAACTACCACGATAAAATAAGCATACTGCGGATATGTCTTGCCATTCCTGCGGAAGTACACCCAGGCTCGATCCGTCAAATCCCCCAACAGTATCGATATCTGTTGGGCAAATCACCATAGTAATGGCCACCGCTGTTTAGCGACAAAGTATGGTCCAGAATTCTGACGATTGTAAGACTTGGGTGAGTAGCCTAGGTACCGCAAGGCAAATGAAAGATTCTCGTTAATTTATTGGGGCATTAAGAAAGGGTTTCAATCCTTTTAGATGAAATTCTATTAGTTTCTTTTTCAAAAAAAAGGTCTATAAGGGGGCGACATAATAAGAGTAAAAGGGTAGACTTGCTGAAGCACCGTGATAAGGCGCAGGCTTTTTATACAATTATTCAGCAAGAAAAGGGGGAGTCAAAAAAATAGAGAATTATCTACAAGAAATTCTTTAGGAAGATTCCCAGAGCGAGTTGCTTCGGGAGGGAAAAGAAGGCGCAGGAAGTGACACCATGATACTTCGCGATCCGTCGTACGTGGCGGCTTCCGGTTTCACCATGTGAGAGTAGGAAGGGTACGTGGTCGGCATCATGGAATATCCCATTGGATTGAATAGAGATCCCGGCGTAGCAGGCTTATTGCTGCCCGTCCCGTCAAACATGATTTGCCCAAACAAAGCACTGTCGCACAAGAATTCGGAACTGTTGAAATCGATTTGTCCATTACCAGATGGATCAGGGAACGATTCCGCCAGCAGCGACAGCGGTGCCGCCTGTTGCGTCGCTGTCAACGAAGGTTGGGATGATGAAGACACCATACTATTGCCTGCAATCGATGGGCCGCTGATAAAGCTTGAGTACAGATATCCATTCGGAACGTTGCTGTCGAGTAAAGAGGCAATCGATGATGATGATCCTCCAGTGCCGGTGGTTTGTGAATGCGGGGGCTGGGATGGTTGATGATGAAGAGATGATAAGTGGGAGGACGGTTTTCCGTTGGACGATCCAAACTTGTGGAATGGTAATCCTTCATTTTTCGTCGCAGGGTTATCGTAGGCGTAATCCGGCCGGGATTGACCGGCATACAGACGGTTGTGAGTGGCCAACAATTCACCCGTGGTCACGGCTAATCGCTCACACATTAACCAATACGGTCGCAAGCACTAGGAAATAAAAATCCGCATCGTCATTATCAAAAAAAGGGTTCTTCTTAATAGAAAAAAGGAAAAAACCAATGTTTCGGATCGGTTATCCCTTACCTCGATCATGCCGTACAGAATTGCTAATCCATCCCCGCTCTTTTTGCGCGACTCTTCATCTTTGGAGAAGGTCGATGTCATGAGGACGGTGGCGAAAATGTAAGATGAGTAACCCATGTACGGGAGGGTGTTGAAACTGCACAGATCACGCATCGCTTTGAAGATGGGCATCACGGTATCCACACACGACTTGCATGCTTCGATACTGGACTGGATGTTGGTATAAGTCGTTTTAGGTACATCCGATAGATTCACATCGGCATAAGCGAGACTGCCGCGATGCAATGCCATCATGGTCGTGCACCACAGGACGTGGGCTGTCAGCCAATAATTAATATAGTTCTGACTCGCGTGTTCTTGATGATGGCGCAAGTTGGCGGGAGTGTAGTGAAATGCGTCGGGAAGGTTGTCTTTCCAAGCTCGTACCATTGCATCGAGTCGACTAAATTCGGCTACGGGAGGCCACACGATGGACGATTGATTGGTTTCCACTCGTGCCATGAATTTGTTGACTTCGCCAAACACTTGGATCATTCGTAGGTAGTAGCGTGGAATATCAATGAGTGTATCTGTGGTGATGGTGCGGTTATCGACGGTAATGCTTTGAAAAGTGTCGCGTAATATCAGGCTCTCTGATACCGCCGGTGGATTAGCGTCGCATTCAATTCGATCGAAACATTGAGGTCGGCTCGTCCCCGCCGTGGTAAAACTAAAAAGATGAATGAGTCAGACTTTTTTTTTGGATCCCAGAATAAAAAACTTTCGGATTTCATTGACAGTCTGTGAGGAGAGCCATTTCACTTACACGTCCAAGCACTTGGAACTCCAAAACATGCGACGTCGCAATGCCATGGCAATTGCATCGATGGTACCATCTTCTTTGAGGATGGGAGTAATGAGCGTTTCTTCTTTATGTAAACCAAGGTCTTGACATATCCTATGGTGACACCAAAATGAACGAGTGTGGGGGTTGAGGAATGGTGCGGTCTCTTTTTTATTTTATTTTATAGTTTGGGAAGCCATTTTCAATATTACCTGATAGCGATGCCACCGTACATCCATGCTTTTGATCCATTGGCTCGACCGTATTCCAAGGATGCCATGACTCCCCAGAATTGTAAATTCGGAAGGGTCGGTTCAAGTAATTCGGCATCGATGAGTGACCTGGCTTTGAGGGCAAATCGCTCACTCGCCCAATACCGAGGCTCGGCCTTGATCATTGGATGATCTGAGAACCTGAAATATTATTTTAGTGTGAGTTGAAGGGATCAATTCCAAAAGAAAGTCAAACGAAGAGAGAGAGGTATACCTTGCACCAATGGCCATGACGGCCCACAGCAATGGTTTGTGCACCGTACCGTCGGTAATGGATTGTTTCAATGTGGCACGATGAACAAGTGGAAAGACGACGTTGAGATACTTGAAAAACAGATCGACCAAGTGCATGACTATTTCATTCGGTGGGCATTCGTCATCCGCGGACGATGAAACGTTGGCGGCATCTGCAACATGAAAGAACATCCAATGAGCATGCACATACCCATCAAGTCTGGAAAATGTCGTGGCATGGGACCATTACCTTTGGTATGATCCAGAAAACTGGAACCCGTCGATGGTTGTGCAAGACTCTCTGGAGAAAGTTCATCGACGGATCCTGTGAGTCGGCGTTCAAGTTGAACAAGGCGATCTTCCAAGAGTTGAACGTAGCCTTTGCGTGGTCCTCGCTTTTTACATTCGGTGTATTCGCAGTGAAGGTTGGCTTCTTGACAGTGCAAACATTCTGGTTTGGTACCGTCGCATTTGATCTACAGTGCACACAAAACGGGTTAGAATGACATGGAAACGGAAAGAAGAAGTGTGTATAGAAGGACTCCAGTTACGAAAGGCTGAAGGTGGAAAGAAAAAAAGAAACGGACCTTTTTCTTTCGACATAATATGCAGGCTTGTGTTGCTCGTACTCGCTTTTTGCCGGGTAGTTTTTGATGGTAGTCTTCCCCTTCCATCGTTTGCATAAAATAATGGGGAAAAAGGAAAAGAACTTGACCAGCGAAATCCAAAGACCGACTTTTTCTTTCCGGATTTATGTATCACAAGCCACCCGACGGGAAAATTAACATCCGGATTTGGGTTCCTTGACGGACGAAAATTTTTCCATTTTCTATACTCGACCCCCACACGTGGCAATAACGTCAGTTTTCTCTCACCTCCGAGGCCCAAAAGTGTCTGTGCGTTCCAGATTTTGGCCTTTCTATTTTTCTTTTTCTTTTTTATTTACTTGTTTATACATAAGCAGAAATGCGACCTTTTTTTTTCATTGAAATGAGAACTAAGATGGATCATGATTAGAGAGGGAAACCAAAAAATTATGAGGTTTACGGTTTGGTTGAAATGATAGATAAGAAAAATGAGAACTTTTTTTTTTTGGTTTGTTTGTTATCGGTCGATGGAGGAGCGCTTAACATTCCGATTATCCTCAGCGTCATCTTCTTGTGAGGAAGGAAAATCCAATTGCCAAAAACCTGGCGGGGTTCTAGGCCGTTTAAACCGGTCTCTGTGCCTTGAAAACAATTGTATTCGATCGGCAGCCGTATACTCTGATCTGGACGCATCATGTCCTGGTAATGTTCCTACCGCTTCATAAAACTTCAAAAAGGTTACCCCATATCAGTATTTTTTTGCTATTGGATCAACTTGTTGACAGATCATGAATAACATACTTTGGCACAACAGCTACATGTGGATCCGTGCAATCTCGACCGTTCCTGTCGGTTACGTACAACATCAACATAAGGGTAATGGGTAGAGCCGCTTTCACTGTTTGGATTCATATTAATAATGCAAAATAAAATTTCCTTGAAAATTCTTTTTTCCTTTTTTGTTTTTTTTTCTGGTACCTTTGATTCCGATGGGGTGAAACTGGCGAGAGCTGGATAACGTTAGGGTATTTCTCAGGAAGACGGTCCGTGGATGGTTCAGCAGCCGATGTTGCTACCGTCAGTTTTCCCTTGGTTGAATCGATTAATGACAGCGACGACGGTGTGCTTTGTGAACGGCGTGGTTGAGATAGATTACTGATGGTTTGTAATGGTTTAGGGGTATGATTTCTATCAGTGAGATCAACGGTGGGAGGAGTCACGGGTGGTTGGCTCGATAAAATTTCCTTCAACGCGTGTCGGCCAAGGTGAAGCGCTATGCTGTTGTGATACGTGTAAGATTAGTTTGTTTTGAGTCCGCAGTTGACCCCGTACAGATAGAAAGAACGTACGATTTGCTTAAGCGAGCAATGAGCTCATCTTTTTCTTCAAGTTGTGATTCGTAATCTATCCAAGATCTAACGATTTAGTGATTCAAGGCCCGGGAAGGTTCGCGTAGTCTTTTGCTTGGGGTTTACCTGCAATGACCTGATCTTGCAAACGTTTCGTCCGCCGTAGATCAGCATACTTTTTCTGCAATGCTATTGAGCAAAGAATTAGCGAGGCATGAACGGGTTATATGCGTTAGCAGTGAGGGACCATACTGGTATATCGCTGTTCCATATAAGATGGCGAGTGACTGAGACGAGGACACGGACACGGAATGAAAGGTTGGTATTCTGGATTTCAAATTCAAAAAAAAGTAAAAAAAAAGGACGTTTGCCGCTTTGGCATTTTACAATGTCCCCCGATTTTTTTGCCCAGCAAGGAAATGCCAAATGCCCATACGTCATTATTTCATTATTCTTCTGGATCTGAGAATGCCTTTTTCTCTAAAAGGGACAAAATAATACCACTCTCAGCATTTGACTGTTTTGTGATATTAGGTGATTTTGTTGAATTACGCCATGATATCAATATTTACTATCATCCCATGCGACCAACACACGTGCTTGACCAGAAATTAAACCAGTTAAATCATGTTTCCTGCTTAAGATTGATCTTAGTATCAGTAAAGCATCGTGTTCAAACATGACCTGCGAATCGCGCACTTCGTGGTCCTTCATCACTTGACACGGGGTCGACTGAATGAACTACTTTTTGTGGCTCCGAAAACAATCGTGCCAAAAAGATCCTTCAAATTGAAAAACAGAATATTCGCCACAAAATTATTGTTCATGACAAACCGTAAACAACTGCAAAATCGAAAATGTAGCTGGTGTTCTTCCATGCTGGAAAAAAGGGAAAAAGAAAGTCCATAAAATTTGTAATTACTAAGGCCAGATAACCCCAACCAAAACGATAAGTTGGATCCTTTCCCCTTCCCTACGAAGCGTAAAAATATTCCTCGGGATAGCTATGACTACAGCAGGGAAATAGTTGGTCTTTGATGAATACACACCTGGATTCGAAAAAGAACTGCACAAGCAAATAAAACGGGGATTCACCATATGAATTTGCAGCGTCGCTGCAAGCAATTATTTGACTTGCGATTTCACAAACTCTTGCGGTTGCCAATGCTGTAAGTACTTTGTCGCCAACTCCACACATACGCTTCGTCGGAAATCGTTCATCATGCGGCTAGCTATCACTGAGCAACGCGTACAAAAAAAATGCATTGCTAAACTACTCGTACTCGGCATCTTACGAAAGAAAAAAACTACACATACGGTCATCTTGGAAGATCAAGCCACAAGACTTTTAGTGCGCTACTTTTCTATATGATTACGAGACTGGTATTAAACGGACAGTTCCTCGAAGAGCTTGTTCATAGGTTTCAAACCCAAGTTCCTGTATGCCCTAAGCTTGTATGAAATTGTGACGCTGAAAGAACTCAATTGTTCTTTTTATATTATTGATGTAAACTCGAAAGCATCTCGTTTTCTTGCTATTATTACATGGAAAATTGCTGAAGACACTCTTTTCCGGTTCAGCAGCTTTTGCGGACGAATCTCTCTCGATAACAACCCTATAGAGTTTACGTTTCTGGCTCAGTTATGCATTAGCATGCTCCTCCGTCATGGGGATCTTTTCTGGCCTTTCTTTTCCTCAACCTTCTTCATTACAGCTGTTAACCTTTCGATAATTTTCACTAAAGGCCAGATAATAAAGTGTCATTCTCAAAACACTATGACTGATTATTTATTCGCGATTGCAATGTGTATTGCCCAGTGTTGCAGATGAAAAGGATAATATTTCTATTTTGGAAGCATCGATGCATCATCTTATTGACCATCACGCGGTTTCTGGCATTGCGAGTAATTTGTGAAATATATAACTGTGCGAATATTGAAAGCGGAAGGCAACCTGATCATCTTGGCTACCCATAAAATATCAATGCTTTCCTCAGGTGATTCTGTTCGTTCTTTGTTGTAATTAGTTTCAGACTTGGGAAAATTGTCTGCAATAGACTAAAAGCTTAAATACGATTGTCGACCGATCAGAATATGAAAGGCCATCCATATTCCGAAAGGAGTACATTCCGTACGAATTAGTTGACATAACTTTGTTCAAGCACTTGTGCTTCGACTCTTTTTTCCTTTCCAGTTTTCATCAAGGGATCTCTCTTCCATCATGTAATAGACTTCTATGGTACCTCAATCTTATTTCTTTGGTCCAAATTAGTCTTTTTGCCACAAAAAGTCATGGGCTCTGCTGACGTTCCTCATCATGAGCTGGTCGGATCGCAAATTTTGGATGCGAGACGCATTTGGTGCGATACAACTCCGACGTGCAGCATAGAGGATGCAGGAATCAGCGGCGGCACTGTCTTTCAGACATTGCGGCAGTCAATGGTGAATAGGGATCAGAGTTATTGCCATGACAAGAAGAGAAAAATAATCATTTGTGTTGACATAACAACTTGATGTTGACCATGCCTTCCCCTAAGAATTGCTACGAAGGTTGCTTCCCATGTCGCCCCCTCCTGATCCGCAGCACATGCTGGCCAAGGTAATGTTTTGCCCAGCCAGCCCCTTCCATAAATGGTTTAGTCGGTGATAACGAAAGCGCTGACTTCGTTTCCGTCAAGAGATTATGACTTGCTGGTTTGCTTCTCTTCGCCCGTCTTTGCCAACTTTTTACTGTTCGTCGTTCCTGGTAAGTTTCGAAAAGCTTCTCCAATGTCAATCCCATCTACAATGCTAATTCTGCACACACGACTGAACTAGTCTTGCTGCTTTGGTGCTCTTTCGGAGGTCGTCGTCTTTTTCCTGGTGGTCGTTGGCAAGTTTCGAAAAGTGTCTGTGTCAATCCATCCACAAACGCTAACTCTTTCAACCACTGAACTGACCTTGCCGATTTGCTTTCTCCATTTTTCATCGGCCTTTTACTGGCCGGCGTGCTTGGTAAGTATCGAAAAGTTCACCAATATCAATTTATCCAGAAACGCTAACTTCAAACACAACCAAACTCGTCTGCTACGCCGCCAAGGCGGTGTTTTACTGGTAATCGTTCTTGGTAAGTTTCGAAAAAGCTTTTCCAGTGTGAATCCGTACACAAAATGCTAACTCTGCACGTTTTGTATACCCAATCCGCCGCCTCCTCTTTCTGCGTTGATTAGCCGTTTTGCCCTACATCCTGTATGGATTTTTGCCTCATGGTTGTCCTCCAACACTGTCGTCTTTCATCGGGTCGCTACCTTTGATTGCAAGTGGGCTGTACTATTGTCACAGGTTGCGCGTGGGTCGGTGACTATTCGCCGGGGCTTGATGGAGCTGACCGCCTGTTTTATGGAGGGGATGACGCCAACATGGGTAAAGGCTTACCCTAATACAGCCAAAGAGTTGTCATAGGGACCGAAGACTGTTCATGACCAAGTGGAGTCATCTACACGAGGCAGTCGCTCCCGGTGGTTCGACTGATGGTTCCCATAATCATCAAGTGGTGATCTGCCAGTGTTGGCGGGACGATGCGTTCGAGTTCTCTCACGCTGACTGCTCTCTGGTTGCACTTGCATTAGATGTTGCGACTTTCTGCTCCGGCAGAATGGTGTATACGGTGTACTTGGCGTGCTTGAGTTGGCTTGGCGCGCGTAATAATTAGCAGTCCTTGTTTGAGCAGCACCGGTTCCTGCGACGATGCACTGCCTGCTGTTATTCCACTGAACCAGTGTAGAGGTGATTCTTTGGCACAGGAAGAGTAATCATCGGACGCGGTGGTTGTTCGCTCGGTGAACTTTGTTGACAATAGCTGTAATGAGCATATGGGCAAACCGATATCGGTTATGTTTCATTCTCAGCCGGGGGATGGTCTGGCACGCCATGGACGGAGTCATCGCCCTGCTGAGCGGTCTTGTTGGATTGCGATGATGTACTTGTCCGCGAAAGTGAGTGGTCTCCTTGACTACGATGATTAAATTGGACCTGGCGATCAAGCTTTTGTCATTTTGAAAATTGTCTTTGTGCATGTAAACATTTTCAATATCTTGGGAGGGGGAAGATGAAGTCGGTGTAGTGACGGCATGTCGTAGGACGGAGTAATCGACCTTGTTGAACTTGGCGATCAAGCTCTTGTCACTAGATTTGTATTTGTGCATGTATACATATCTAGTAACTTGTTGGGTGGATTCCATTGTGAACTCCCTTTTGCTGGAATAACAATGACAGAAATAATTGCCTTGCTGAGCGGTTCGCTGATGATATTCCTCCATTGTTCAACCTTGTCTTATGGACTACGATGGTTGAGGAGGACTTGGCGATAAATCTCTCTTATTGTATGATATCCTTTTTTTATGATCGAAATGTTCGCCCTGCTGAGCGGTTCGCTGCAATGATGATATTCCTCCGTAATTCAACCTTGTTCTTATGGACTATGATGGTTGCGGAGGACTTGGCGATGAAAATATGTTATTGTCTTATACGTCTTTTTGATACAATTTTCGCCCTGCTGAGTGGTTATCTTCAATGATGATTTGCGTCCGTAATTCAACATCGTGATTAATGATTACGATGGTTGCACTGGACTTACCGATTTTTTTTTCTTTTTTTTTTTTCATTTAATCAAAGATTCTTTTCTTAATGTACCCATATATCCATACATTGTCTGGAGGTGCGTCACAGTAATATGGTTAGTTGAGTCGTTTCAATCTTTTTTGCACGTTGAAAAACCCGTTGCGCTTCATTTTGCTAAGAATGGCTCCTACTTTTGATTTTACTGTAATCCGATAGAACCGATCCACCCTTATTTGATTGCAGCGATCCGAATTGAAAACTTTCGAAGCCGACCTTGTTCTTTGTGGCTCATGCTTAATCAATTCAGATTTGGCTCGCCGAAATAGAGAGACATATCTATTCTCCAAACCATGTGTAAGAAGTCAAAGGGAAATGGCGATGAATCCAGTGCTTGCAAGATTGATTATATGAATTGTTTTGCATAGAATATACTCTTCTTCTTTCGGCATATGGATTACCTTCCACATCTTATTCGCGATGAACAATCGTATTGAAGCTTTCAACCTATTGCAGGTAATTTTTCCAAGTATTCATCCATCAAATTCAATCAAAATCACCTTAGAGAAGCATTTTATAGTTTACGGATAGCCGAGGACGGAGTAGCGAAGGGACAAGACGAAATAAGTGAAACAACACCTGGGATAAAAGAGGAAACAAGAAGGGAAATACGACAGACTGAATCACAAAGATAACGATCATCGCCAGGACACCGTAACCCCAGAAAGCGACAAAGCGGAAAGCATCAGCTGGGAGAGGGGAGAACAGCTGGTGAAGGAATATCGTAAGCTAAATTGCGATAGAGAACGATGCCCAGCTAAGGACTGCCTGGCAACGAAAAAGCATCAAAAGGACGACACAGAAAGAGCGCCAAAGAGAAACCAACAAATAGCGTCATGCCTCAGGTTCCCATGATCCACTCCCGCTCTCAAACATTGGGGCACAGCATGAAAGCCAGAAACCGGTGCCAAATTGGGGTGAATTGAACGATGACCGTATCGCGGAGATCCAAACTTAACCTGTTTTACTGTAATGAGTCAAAATTCCTGAGCATTTTATTTCGTTGGATCTGTAAAGTTATGCTTGATAAAGATCGATAGTACATACCCGAATAGATAAACTACATAGTTGGCAGCTGATGTGAATCATCTAAAACGAAAGCTTAATTCTCCTCCAGTTTATGCTTTAAAAATTGAACCATGATTCCGCTGTCCAAAAAGGAATCAAAAAAAGCGTAATTATTACTGCTGCTGCAATTTATGAACTTCAGAAAAAAAAAGTTCCTCGTTTCTTTTCCTTTTTTTATTGCCCTCCATTGAATAACTCATGCTGAAAGAGTCGTTCATGAATTCAGCACCTGAGTTCACAGCGTCACCTTCACCGTCGTCCTCATCTTCGACTCAGCGACTACGTAAAAGAGACCAACTGCGTGCATTTGCTCGATCGACCATGAACAAGTATTATGCTGGCGACTATTTGAATGCATCATCACGAGACATGACCGAATCCTCGCCACAGAATACCACTGTTAAGCGTTCCGAGACGGAAGAAATGGATGCGATTATTAATACACCGGAAGTCGTCCAGCCCCAGTGTATGCTATTCCCAAGTTATGCCTCCAAAGTATTGGACGCCGAACACCATATCGCCAAATGGAAAGTACGATTAAGAGGCTGGACTTTTGCTAAACCAGGCTCGTCCCGTTTGGAGAAATGGATCCTCGGTAAGTGAGCCCGAGAAAACCTAAAAAATAGAGCCTCTCGGATGATCGGAAAATCCCAGTTCATGAACACTCAATGAAACGCCTTCGATTTATGCTGCTCTTTTTTTTTTTTTCGTTTCGCGTAGCCGCTGGACGGATGTATGGTGGTCTATTAGCCAATTCAGACGAGGATGCGCATTTTGTCAACTTGCTGAATCAGTTTCGCTGTCAAACCATGAAAGATATTATTGTGAATGTACGACTCGTTGAAGATACATACCATAGATTTTGCGCCGCCATCAGTTCCGGCCCCAATGGTCGCTTTGAGCATGTCTTTATGGTCGATCAGGACGAATGTATGCGACAATATAACCAGAAAATGCTGCAATTTGAAGCACTTTTTGATGGTATTGGTAGGGGACCATTCACCAACTGGTTTTCATTCCCCCATGATAAGCTTACGGGTCATTAGATACCACTCATGTGGGATACGTGGACATGATCGAACCTGTTGGCATCTCTGTGATCTCGGTATATTATCCCAGTCAAATGAAATCATTCGTACACAACACTGATGCTGATGCTGAAAAATGAAAAACAGGATATCGACGATACCATTAAAGTGACAGATATTCTCGGAGGAAAAGACGTGATTCTTCAGAATACCTTTTTCAGCAAAGCCAAAGAAGTACCAGGAATGGCCGAAGTGTACCGTGCATGGGCAGCCGAAAAGATGCCTATACACTACGTTTCCAATTCGCCCTGGCAAGTATACCCAGCCATTAGTGATTTCATCGAACAGTATCAATTTCCCAAGGGTAGCATGCACTTGCGTGTGATCAGCACCACCGGATTAATACGAGGCAAACCTGGCCGACACAAAATGGACGTGATTACACAAATTTTGGAGGTAAAACGATCGTACGTACGCCGGCCTTACTCTAGTCAACTGATGACCGTTGGGGACATGCTCGTGATAGGACTTTCCAATGCGCAAATTCATCTTGGTCGGAGACTCGGGAGAGATTGATCCTGAAATGTAAGTGGAATATGGTCTGCTAGCGCCACTATCGGGGCTAAATGATATCCCTTTTTCAGCTATCACGATATCTATCACTTGTACCCTCATCAAATTATCAAGATATTCATCCATGATGTCAGCAGCGAGCGAGCCGTTCAATTTGATCGGCGTGTACGCAAACGATCGGATTCTTATTACGAGAGTATACGAAAGTTCATCACTCGTGATAACAATGCACGCCGACGTACAGGCACGTCCACTCAAACTGCCATGGATGCCATGGTCGACACTGAAGTGCCTCAAGAGCAGCAAATGATTATGGATGCCAATGTGCCTTTACAGACAAAGTTGGAAGAATTTGAGGCACGGATGAAGCGCGTATCAAGCAGCTTGCCCGACAATGTCTTTTCCGTCTTCAATTTGGCCTCTCAGTTACTGCTGGTAGGATTGAGGAGTTGGAAAACTGATCACCCTAATGAAGAGACTGATCATGGAGCAAAATTTGTATAGGATCCTGTGGTGGCAGAACAGGTGGCGGCATACAAAGAGAATGGCATGATGGATTAATTTATTTTATTTACACAAAGAAAAAAGATCAGTCGTTCACCATGGTTTTGCAAAACAACTTTAAGCGAAACGCATCCGTTCCATTTAGATAATACCGATAGAGACGTTTATCTCTGATAAACCCAATCCGCTCATACAGACTTAGAGCTCCCTGATTTGTATATTCCGTTTCTAAAACAATCTAAATTCCCCTCACTGTCAGATGGATCGTCGTTCAATTAAAAGAAGACATTGTCTTGGCTTCTTTACCTCATCTGCATCGTTTTCCTTCATTGTCTTGATAGCCAACTCGACGAGGGTCGATCCAATGGCTCGTTTTCGATACTCTTTGGCTACAGCGAGCATGGCAATATAGCCCCGTAGCCGATCTTTGTGAGCATCCAACTTGCAAATAATCACACCCACACATTCATTGCCGTCCATGGCCTAAGAGCAAAAAACGTTAATATGGCAACGGCAACTCGATTGTAGAAAGCGGTTTACCAAGAGGCAGAGGTGCGGCCAGTTGTGAATAAAGTAACGATAGGTATATACAGAATACGGTTCAGAGAGATCGTTCTCAATGAGTCGAATAATGGCGGGCAGCTGCAGTTCTGATTCATAAGCTACATATTTGATAGGTGCAAGCTCCGACATTGAGAAGGCCAAGTCCACATGAACTGATCGTATTAAGGCCAAAAGGGGGACAACTGTTGGATGGCTCGCCGAAGTGACCAGCAGCCCGCCTTTCAAATTTTTGAATTCCCGGCCCGACGAAATCTGTTCGTTTTCTACTGCAGGTCCAAAGAGAGCGACATCCATTTTCCCATGTCACACGAATTCCATTTCTGAAAGTATGGTAATTTATTTTATTTGACCAGAAATGAGGTTTTTATTCATCGTTTTTTTTTTTTTTTTTCTACATTTCTTCCATAGCTTTATTGAATTTATTTTTTTCTTCAGAGTGTGCGGCGACTTGATGGCTTTAGTATCTGGCTTTCATGACACTTTACATTACAATAGCCACTTGCCATATCAATATGGGGAAGCGACGCCACCTTATTTTTACAACCAGGAAAACGACGATGCGTATCCAATAAAAGAGAATGCCTATGTTCTGTCGGAATATGACCAGGACATCGCATCTTGCTCTCCAGTTTCGTCGGGCACGGTTTCCGACACAGAGACCTGGACCACTGATACCGCCAGTTCGGCCAGCACCATACTGAATGTAGAAACGAAAAACGTGACGCATACTTCATTCACTCGTCAGACTGACCCCGAACCTTGCACTTTGCGTAACCCACAAACCGGTCGTTTGATAAATGCCATTCATCGATTGCAAGCCCGACACGCCAATACGCAATCCGTTTTACGGCAAAGCCAACGTGCCCAGCGTCGGTTGCAAAAAAACAATGAAAGAAAGGAAAACATCATCAGACGATTCAAGAGACAATACCTCGAGGACATGGATCAACTGCGGCAACAAACCCAGGATATCGAGGAACTCATCGCTTCCCGGATTCAATTAGCACGTCAAGTGTGGCAAAAAGAGTTGCAAGAAACCAAGGATACGCTGCAACATGCCAACGATCAACTGCAGTCGAAATTGATGAACTGCCAGGAAGAAAAAGACGAAATTGAACAGACGCTGGACGTTGTTCAAAATGAAATGAAAACAATGATGGAAGAGATGAATGAACAAAAACAGGATATCGCACGTTATCAAACCGAGATTGAACAACTGCAAGATATTCTTGACAAAACCAAGCTAAACAATCACGATGATACTTCTGTTTTAAAGTTAATCCAACAACATGCAAGTCAGCAAACCAACAATACACAGCACGCAAATGAGCGATTGACGGCCAAAATTCAGGACTTGGAAAATAGTTTGCGAACGGCCCAAGAAAAATATCAGGACATGGTCCACCAACATCGAAAACAGAAACGTGAGGTCATCAAAGTCGCTGAACTCGAGCAACAAATCAGCGGATACAGAAAAGCCCATGAAGAGGCCCTGAAACGGTCCCATGAAGCAGAGACGAAAGCAGCGGAAAGCGAATTACGTACAGAAGTCGCCAAAGCCATGGCGAAACGTCAACTGGTGGAAGTTCAACAGCAAATGGCGACGCTGCAATCCAAAGTAGACACCAAAACTTTGCAAAGCGCACCCACTCCTAATCACCGGGCGTCTTCTGATATGGAATCCGTTTTGCAACGCACACTGGCGCAACGTGATGCTGAAATAGCGCGTTTACGCAAAACCATGGATCAGAACGAGCGACATGCAGCCAGTCGAGAGGCTGCACGTCAGGAACAGCTCAAGAGACAGCAAAGGACTGTGGAGCAGGAGGTGACGGAAAGAATGCAGCATCAGTTCCGTCAAGAGAGTGACATTTACGAACTGCAGCGATCGAGAGAATTGCGTCAACTCGCCTGCACCGTGGTCGAATTAGAAACCGAGTTGGAAATTGCAACCCAGCGTCATGCGGAATACATGGCCCATATTCGTACCTTAGAAAAAAATCAGACAAAAGCAGAAGCCACGCTACAACAACATCAAATGAAATGGAAAGCATCCGAAAAAGAACTTCGCAATCAAATTCTCCAGATGGAACGCAAAATCATTGGTTTGGAAGAAGACGCGATGCGATTATACGGAAAAAACCTCGATCTAGCTCATCAGCTTGGGAAATGGGCACCCTAAAATAGACAACCAGACACAATAATGACATTCTATAAATCTAGATAGATTACGTATACCCTTCATTCACCGCAAGTATTTCACCCATCGATCGATCCATGGTCCATCGGATACATAAATTACAACTATAGCATAGAAACTCTTTTCATCAGAGAACGAGGGCTCACGCCACGACTAGGCAAATAAATAATTTTTGTAATCATTATCATATTCATTAAAAAAGGTTTGTATGAAAATAAGATGAGATTTCCTTAAAATTGGATTGCGTATTAATCAAAGGCAATAGGGGATATGCCACCGTTTCGATCTTTTTGTTCCTGCTCATGTTGTGATGCCGATTTTCGAAGCACACAATATATCGATGCGTTTACCTGATGGACGGTGGTTATTTGAGGAGATCAATATCCAATTAGAACGTGGGGATGTCCTTGCCCTTCGAGGGCCTAGTGGGGTCGGGTCGGTATACACGGCATTTAATATTTTCATACGACCAAAAGACAGCTCATATTGATCCTAGGAAAACAACACTGCTAAAATGCCTTGCTGAACTGATTCCTTACAATGAAGGATATTCTGTGTTGCATGGAAAAAAGCCGGCCGAGTATGGCATACCGGAATGGAGATCACGGGTGATGTATGTTCCTCAAAGGCCAGCCACGCATCCAGGTTGCCCCATGGATCTCTTCAAAGCGGTGAAAAAGTTTTCCAGCCAAAAACATAAAGCCAAACTAGGCAATCCGGTAATACGAACCCTGCCGTTGTTAATTTATTTACTGGTTTATTGAATCCTGTTTTTTTTTAGATTACAATTGGCATGAATTGGGAATTATCTGAATCGCATTTTTATGAAAAGTGGAGCAACCTATCTGGTGGTGAAATGCAACGGTGCTCTTTAGCTATTGCCATTGCATTGGCTCCAGATATTCTTTTACTGGATGGTGAGTCTGTAAAGTTCGTGAAAAATTTGAGCTATTGGCACTGATGAGACGAGATGTAGAGCCGACGTCTGCTCTTGATCCACAAGCCGTTTCTTTGGTGGAAAAAACGTTAAAAGGCAAAACATGTATTTGGATTACACATGATCCTCAACAGGAACAACGTGTTGCGACACGGACATTGAAAATGACTCGACAACGGGCCCCTACGCCATTGGATTCCGATGAGGAGAGCCAGGGTATTCAAGAACAAGACGACCGTCCAATTAGCATCACCATGGATGTCTGATGCAGCTAGGAGATAGTTACAACAAACACAATAGTTTTTTCGATGGATTGAACAAATATGGTCATTCCGAATCAATGCAAGGAGCATAGAATATGTAAGGCTAAAATCAATGCTGGACAAATAAACAAGATAGGAAAAAAAAGACTCAGGGGTCTAAAATTTGATCCATCATCAGCAAATGATAATGGTTTGACTATACCAATAGACAATGGTCTAGCCACCCCTTTTTCTTTTTCTTTTCCGTATCCATATCATCAGTTGCCATGACCAGCGCGAAAAATAAAAAAGAAAAGTGGTGAAGGCTAAGGTGCATGATATTTGATATTTTTGGTTTTTACTTTTTTGATTTTGTGATTGATAACAAGCCGTACACCCGCTGTGCAATGGATGCCACCTGCTACTGGATGCCGCACTCTTACATTGAGCGACATTCGTCAGACAAAAGCCTAACGCAATACGGCATAACCTGGGCGAGACTCTTGATGGAACTTTGGTATATTAATGTCAATACTCTGGCATACCATGAAACACTTTTAATGAACAAAGCAGCACTTATTGACCCCCTCCGTTCTGTCCCGCCCAAGGTTATGATAGATCTACAAAGATGTGTGGGAATGTTGGGTATTTAAAAAAAATGAGTTAGTAAGCTCTTTGGTTGATTCAAATTTCGTTGAGATATTTTACCTTTGATGTTTGATGCAGCAGATACCGAGGGCTTCCCGACCGAAATAAAGAAAGGATACAAATATAAAAAAAAAAAGTAAATACAATAGGTGCGTCTGTAAAAACCCCCTAAAAACCCTGTGGGAAAAAAAAGGAGGAAAAGACTGCAAGAAGACTATTCACTAAAATACAAAATACATACTACAACTACAAAATAAAATGGTCGGGAAGAAATATTGAAGGCGATACCACGGGCAGCAATCCATATGAGAGGAACCTGGGGAGGACGCGTCAGCGTTTCCCGATGAGATGCAAAACTAAAGAAGAAGAAAAAATTCGGACAAAAATATGTGATTTTCCATGGATGAAACAATAGTCACCTCACTGATGCATGAATGATGAGCTACACAGATCGAAGCATATCTGCTCCATGTATCATTCGATTACTGAAGAGAATGAAAGGGCATATACAGTATAACTGACAGATAACCCAAATTAAATGATGCTACAAAACACCAGACGTCGTATCGTCAATCACCTTTCTTCAAAAAAGAGCTCCAGTCACATTTTATGTGAACGGCGACGATGCTCTGTTTGACCACAACTGGTGCAAACGGCATCTTGCTGCTGATTGTTTCGCCTATTATCGTGAAAGTGGGCAGCGAGGCATGGTTGAAAGATGAAAAAAAGGTTTAACAGGTCTTGATAACTTAGTGTAGATCATGTGATTTACAAAATCGCTAATTTTTCAAAGATTTTAATTATATAGATAAACAGAAAGTGAATGAACAGGATGAACCCCTGCTTTTCACCCTTTTGTCGGGTACAAAAGCTTGACTTTGACCGAAAGAAAGGAGCGAGGGGGCAGGGGAGGAGTTTTTTTTTTTTCTTTGGAAGCCGTGACATGGAGGTGCTTCGGACGCAATTATTCCGCGATCGGTTTTAGCATGTACCTGGAGGAAAAAATCAAACCAAAGGGGAAAAAAACACCAAAAAAAGACACGAAGCATGAGAAAAAAACCAATGAACTTTTTTGCAAGACATGAATAGTAGATCTTACATTCTCACCGCGAATAATCCAGCGGGCAAACCTCGCTGAATGCCTTCTTTTACCACTTCCAAACCTGCTTCCTTGAAAATTTTCTTGAACGCCGTATTGGGTCTGTCATTCATGAAGACAATCAAAATTCCATAATCCTATTTTGGTCGTGTTGAGATGTCGCGGTTACCTGGTGACGCTGCTGTCCTCTTCATCCAGCAAATAGCCTTTGCTGGAATTGTTTTCTTTCACGCCAATAAGACCGTTGGGTTTCAGTCCTTTGATGCATCGTTTGAAAAACGCCACCAAATGCTCTAAATGAAAATGAGACGTTGAGTTTCTGATCTCGCAGCCATTGAAGGGACTCTATTTACCATCTGTCAAGTGACCGAGCACCCATTGACACCATATCAGATCGTATTTGCCTTGTTCAGGAACAAAATCCTGCAAGCCCTGAGAATAGATTTCGCCAATCAAGCCTTGTTTGATTTCGGCAGCCAAATACTCGTCCTTGGCCTGCTGTACAAAATTGGGCGCTTGTTCTACAAGATCGACTTTCTGGAAAGGTACTTTGAGCAAGAAGTTTTTCGTGACGCGACCGATGCCTGCACCGCAATCGCACGCATAACCGTTGGTGATAACCGGTGGTTTAAGCACTGTGCCGTGGCGTCCTCCGTGGACAAATTCATTGACAAAACTGAGGGATCCCTTCACATCGATGGGATCGACCGACTCAAAGCCTCCCAAAACCCCGTCGACGGTGGCGTCCACGTTTGTCCAATATTTTTGTGCATTGTTGTACCAGTCGGGTTCGTTCATGCTCGGAACAACAGACGTATCGTTGGCATCCTAAAAATACGGGTTGACAGGAGAAGCCATTTCGTCATGAGCAAAGTTGAGCTGAGATGTCATTTACGGGAAAAGAGAGACATACGTTGGACATTGTAAAAAAGTTGGAATGGTCAGAAAACAGAAGGTCGGATTCTTTTCTGTGAAATTTTTCAGTGAGATTCTTCTCCTTGGGAAACAGGACTGCTTCCTGCTGGATTTCCTTACCGCATTATTGTTTCCCTTTTTCTTATGTTAACCAAAGTCATTCTTCCTGCCGATGTATACCATGTCATGCTTTCACACGCATTCACCACTGAAAAAGTAACTTTTTGTATCTGCAAAGATGAGCTCTTGAGTGTTTTGTTTTGCTCATGTTCGGTTTTTTCGTTGATTCAAGGAAGAAATCATCGGCATGCTGATTGGCAGCTGGCAGGTTGGATAAAAAAAAGCAGCGATTAACAAAAAGACGTTCAACTTGGATCCAGGGCACTCACCTTTGAATTATTAGGTTTTACCGAATACAAATCCATTCTGTAAAACACGTTCACTGGCCTACGTTGAGGCGATTTCTATATTGAAAAGATCTGATAAACGAAAAGATCGGGTGGAAATTGCGCCAGAACAATTGCATTTGGCCGCACTACGGGCAGAGGTGAGTTTTTCTGTTTCCCATCTTTTTCCATGGACATATATAATTAACTAAAAATATGGCAGGAACTTTGCTCCAAAACCAATCGGTCTCTCTCTGTTATTGGCTGGGTAAGCATACATAACGCTCACAAGGAAACAAACATCAACTAATCGATCGGCAATGGATCATTCGATCGTAGTACCACAGTCATCCTCATATCACTGTTTTTCCATCTCACATTGACCTAAGAACCCAACTTTCCTATCAAGCCATGGACTCGCAATTTTTTGGTATCATTCTATCCTGCTTCAATAGAACGGCCGATGATGTGTGTGTGTGCCTTGCTCGTTCATCACACAGAGCCAAGTTTCTAATTTCATGCAACCTTTTCTAGGCCAATCGAGTACAGATCACCTGTTTTCAATCGGAGCAAAAACAAGATCAAAGGTAAATCACGTTTTTGCCTTCATTTGAGATGACGGCAAACGCTTACATTGGTTCGAAAAGTGTAACGCAGTTGAACATTGCGCTGGAAATCCGTCCTTCCATCACACCCACGTTGGGTGCAAGGGACACTTTTCTGGAAATTCCAAAATACTTGTACGAAGAACAAAGAGATGAATATGCGCGCAGTATTGATCGAATACAATATGGCCATCGAACTCATATGCGAACAGATAACGACACCGCACCAGAGGAAGAGTATGTCATTGCTGTGGTTGTAAGGATGTCAAGCCGACTGATGTGATCGACATTTTTGGTTTTTGTTGTAGTCATTTGGCTAGTAATATGGTGAAATTGCATAATGCCGGGATTTACGGACAAGCGTTAACACGACTAGTGGATGGTATTGTATTTCCAGCGACTCATTTGCTGGAACTTCGATCACTAGCGATCGACGAAGAGGTAGGGTAACAGTTGAACGGCATGAGTTGTAAACAGGGTACTAACGTTGGTGATAAAAAGATGGCTGAACTGGAAAAAGAAAAAGAAGCCTTGTTAAACCGGCCGGACAAGCCAGTGATCTATATTTCGGATGACGAAGACGAACATCAACGTCTGGAAGATACCGAATCCTTTCTCATTGACCTCTGATGGACACTGAGACACCCATGCTGTAAATAAAGTCTCAAACAAGTTGATATTCAGCTCCTTTCCCCAGACACCTTTTTCCTTTTTTTCTTCCCCAGTTTTGCATTTTTCTCTTGTTCATTACTCCTCCCTCATGGACTTTAATCTAATACCTGAACAAGATCGGCACATAATAAAAACAATTTGGTGATGTGACAACTGTGAAAAAATGATGCTGATGCTTTTGTTCTCGATGTTAACAGAGGATCATTGCAGGCACGCGGCGGCTTTTGGCATGTCGAGATCGAGATTGAAAAAACTATCCCGCCGAGAAATTACATCGATGGATCTTGTCAAGCCATGGTACCTTTAGGCTTCTTGCATTTTTTTTTCTTAAGGAAGAACCACTGATGATTTTGGCGCGATGCATGCAGTCATTTGCTGTTGGCAACCCACGAGCAACTTCGTTTACGCAATATGGCACGGTTTATTGCGGGCTTGACAAAAGTGTTCATGCAACAGTGTCGATATACATACGGTAAATCGAATCCCTTGGCCACCTTTCAGAAGCGTTTCCTAACCCGTGGCAAAGATGATGTTTTGCTTTTGCGAGCCAAACTACGACGAGAACTGACTTGGAATTCATCGTTTCAGAGTGTGACGATGCCGAATGCCACTGCAAAGTGAGTCTGTTTTGTCCGCCATGCATACCCGTTGTTGTCATCACTAATAGAGCAATTAGGTATAGTACCATTACTTTTACCGATACCGATCCTTGGCTTGGCGGTTACGATCTACATCTAGCGACCTCGAACAATGTCTTTGGTGACTTGGTAAAGGACATGTGATTCTATGTTTCGATAGAGAAACTGATTTTGCGATAGTTCAGTGAAGGCGTTGTTCTAGCAGCCGACGCTGACGACTTGCTGCAACTGCAAGCTCACGAAGCTCCTACTGTAATGCAAGACTCGCCTTTATGGATTGATGAATCCCAGGATGTAGAGTTGATGACGCAGGATTTCATGCCTCTTATTGACATCAATGCAGGGGCTCCAAACTATGATTACGCTGCACGCTTGGACACAGAAGCAGATTGGGCATGGTTTGCAAATGCACCACACGCCGGGGAAGGGTCCCAAAGAACCGACCCGTATTCAGACCGTGAGCGATCTCACAGTCGGTAGGATTCCCTTTTTTCATAATCAAACGACGTGTTGCTGATAAATAGAATAGAACGAGAAGTTTAACAAGGGAACTACCTGACCAGACCATGTACATTCCAGAAATTGATGGTGTGTTGTCAGATATGGCTACCGATTTACGACCCATGGTAAATTAAAAAAATCTTTTCGCCTTACCTTTGTATCAGTCATGGGACTCGTGGTGTTACTCACTGATTTGGTTGGTTGTAGGAAAGACCGCACCATCGTCGACTACTTTCGTCAAGCGAGGACCCTTTATCGCCGTTTACAGAGTACGATGCCTATTCGTTGGCTAGCTGGGGAACGGCCAGTGTCCGTACCGAAGATTTGTCGGCTCTTGTCCCCTTGCTAGACACACAAGAACCACAGGAACAGGAACAGCAACAGCTACTGCCAAGACCTCGACGCCCATCACGCAACATGTTCAGTAGCGATTCCACCACGCAGCCGATTGCGTTTTACAGAAACAGGGAAGCCTTAGTCACCACGGAGGAAGCACAACGTGGCCGAGCCGCTCGTCAATCCGCGACCAATATAAAGGTAAGCTTTATTCATGGGAACGGCGGATGCCTAGAAAGCAATGAAAATTTTGACATGATCGTTACTATAGAACATGGCGCAGCGATTAAGGCAACCTTATATTACATGTAAATAGCACTGGTTCTTTTTTAAAGCTGTTCCATACCTAATTAGGTATTGATTAGTGGGTCAAAGCGCGTTACAAACAATGTGGCAATACAGCGTAACTGCTCACACAAATGGCGTGAACCTGATTGGAAATCGCGTGGTGGTAAGCTTAATAATGAGCATTGGCCACTTGATGGACGCGCGCTCTAAACGATATTTCTGACAGGAATATGGACGGGATATCGAACAAGCACGACGAATTCAAAGAGAGCCTTCCGCTCTTTTTAGCGATGAGTTCCCTCTGCATCAATTTGATGCGAGACATCATCAAGACACGGTAACAGGTAAATGGGACAACAAGAGCCTCTCACAGGGAAACAAACAATTTAACACTGACATGGTGGCAATACAGATACCAGTTCCCAATCAGGATTACACATCGATTCGGAGGATGACAGGCACGTTTTCCTCTCTCTCTCTCTCACTGTAATGGTCGACATTGGATTTTTAACACAGGCACGTTTTATAGTAGACGGAGTGTACCAAGCAGTCGTCGCGCCTCCTTTGATCGATGGCTACCCGCCCTGGATGCGGAAGAAATCGATGAAACATGGATGGCAGACTTTGGTAAGGCAATATCACTCCATTTGTTAAACATGCTTATAATGACGACGACCCTGAATTATAGACGAAAACTTACACGGATACATCGCCAGTCATGACAGTGAACAAGAGATGGAGAATTTTCTAAAGTAAGCACATTACTAGGGTAACACGAACCCCTTGAGCCTTCAAGGAAAAATTAAAGCTCGGTAAACGTTCTTCCAGTTACGCTCGGTTACTCGTAAAAGGAGATGAACGGAAAGTTGCATTTGACGCTTTACTCTCGTTGACGAACAATGCAGTTCGATCCGAGGCAGCAAGCACCTTTTATCGCGTTCTCGGTAAGTGATATCATCATGTGGGATATAAACGAATGTGAGCTTATTAATCATTGACAAATAGTGCTTGCATCTCGTGGTCATGTAAAACCGGTTCAATCACCTCAGGGATCCATTGATATCTGGTTTCCCGAAAACGATACACAATATCCAGTCAATTGACAGTGACAAATATTCAACATCCCTTTTTTTTATTGGAATAATCCGTGAATCATTATGCAATGCGAACAGAAAACAAACAAAGAAAACAATGGAAAAAAAAGATGGAACATAAAACATAAAATATTAGTATCATCATGCGAATTAAAAAAAAAAAGAAAAAAAAACAAATGAATATAAATATAATGGCTGCTTTCTGCATATAGTAAAGCTCATATAAAATATAAAGAGACAAAAAAAGAGGATTGGCTGCAAATTGAAATAGGATAAAAAAAAAAGATGAGGCGTAGAAAGAAAAAAAAAATGAAGGGAAGATGGGAATAAGAGGATCTGCTCCACAGATCGTCAATGGGGATGTTCAGGGGAAAAAAAGAGATCCCGTCGAGGTCAAGAGTGGGGTCGCATTCATCGGTGTTGGGTTTTCTCTGAAATCAGCAGGTGGATGAATTTTGGTTTGGCTGATGGGCGGTGATGGTTGGGATAAGACATGGTTTCTTTTTTTTTTTGGGAGTAGGATGTTTTTTTTTGTTTTGTTTGTGATGGTGGAAAGACGACTCATAATCACACAGACGTAGAGAAGGGAAAAAGAGAAAAAAAAAAAAGACGGGATGATGCGAAAAATAGAGGCACGTCAAAGATTCTTGTAACGTCGTTTACCAGCACATTTCATGGCTTGCACCTGGGGACTCAGGCGACAGGCGTCTTCCATACGCAAGTGTCGCTTGAGGGCATCGGTACGCGCAAATGCTTTTTCACAGCTGGGGCATGCATAGGGTTTGGCGCCGGTATGGACGCGAATATGGCGCTGTAAATCATGTTTACGCGCAAACGCTCGGGTGCATAGGAAGCATGGGAAAGGTCGAACATCAGAAGAAGGCGAGATAACGGATGCATCAGTTTGAACCATAAGCGAACGTTGATTTCGTGTGGGGCAGCATAGGTATGGTGAATAATCAGGGGATGATTCAGACGGATGCAGTGTCGGTGCATAGGGCATTGGATCTTGAAGTGTAGGATACGCAGGTGGGTCGAACATGGCCCGGTTATCACACGATGGCTTGTGCAACGTCGAGGATGGGCATCGGGTAGGTTCCGACCATGTCATTGGTATATACGACTGATAAGGATAGCCATCGAATCCATCCACGGGGGTGACAGGCGATGATAAATCGACATAGTAAGGACTACTGTGAGCGGTCTGAGTGGTAGACGAGGGCGTTGACGCGGTGACGGCAGTATTCAATGCGGCCATCGGAGTCGCGTTCACGGTCGTATGGGCGGTAGAATGACTAGTGCTGCTGCAGCTACTGTAGGGCGATGTCGGCAACAGCCCTTGAAAATCTTCCAGTTCCGGGGAAGGTAAGGACGTAACGGTGGCCTCATTACCACAATAGGAAGACAGGCCATGTTTCCAAGACATCGCTGTGTGATGGAGAATCGGTTGCACCGGTGACAATGTCGCCGATGGTTTGGTCGATTGGTAACTGTTTCCAAAATATAGAGGATCCTGGGAAACCGTAGGTGATTCCATCTTGATAGGAGTATAAGCATGTCCATCAGGCATATAGTAAGGCATAGTAGACCAGTACGATGAGTTTCGTTGTTGTTGTGCTGACATTGGATGCTGTGGCCGCTGCTTTTGATACATTATTATGTGGAACTTGCTAAGAAAACAAATTGTCAAGTGGAAAGGAGAGTGAGGTAAAAAGTTTAATTGGCCTTTTATATCAACGTTTTCGTTATTTTTTTTTTCGCTTTGGGGGAGGGGGGAAGGAGGAACGATGACTTTGTTACTGTAACTTGACTCTAATAACCCTGAGATTAACCCCTTTTTGTTATCCCAAATTCTGGCACCCTTTCAAACACCTCCTCTCCGTAATACAAAAAAAAAAAACGAAAAAGATATCCCCTTAAACCCCCCCTCCCCTTTTTCTCCTTCCAGCTTTAGATACGATAAAAACAGACTTACACAAGGCATACACACAGCTAATTCACACCACATCGATGAACGGGGCAGTCACATCCCTCCATTCCATATGGATGGACTCACACGGACTTCCACGAGCCTAAAATAGCCACCCTCGTTCACACACAGGTAGATGCACCCGCAGAGCAAGAGAAAGGGTCAGGGAGATACACGGCATGTCAATTATCAGCGATTGAGAGGTAGAAAAGATCGAAGATCTGTTCAAATTCTCAACTGATACGTTTGACCTGTTGATGATACCTTTTAACTTTTCATTGACCGAGGAAAAAAGAAAATCCCATTACCCGGCTGCCCCTTGGGCTTTGAATTAGGGTGAGGGCCAATCGTACGAAAACAGAGAAGAACCCAATTTCACAAGCAACGCAAACTTGTAGCACCAATTTACTCAATATGTCAAAAGTTTAATCTTTTATTCTTGTCACCATGCCGATCCATAATATTTGCTTCCATGCCTTTCCTTTTCTTCTTGCGGTAGAGAATTGACCAATTCCTTTTTTTTTTCCTTGCTCCGTAAGATGAGTGATATCATCTGTTGCGAGTTTTAGACTAGGGTCGTATTGAGTGTTTCTGTGTGGCGAATTTACGCGTCATGGAATGATGACCAATGATGGTGAGCTGGGGCAGTCGTTGTCATTGAGGAGACTGCTTTAAAAATTTAAGCTTCAATCGTCAGTTCGTCAGGAGTCAATCGAAAAAAAAAAATCTTTCTCGTCCAGGCATCTTTATGGCAAGCTTATTTTTAGCCTGCATGCAAAGCAGAGTGATCATCAAGAAGTTAGGAGCGTTTATACCGTTGGTTTTTCCTTGGTTTGCAATTTTTTTTTATGGCAAGGGCTTAATTTCTTTTGTATAATCGAACCATCGTTGCCCATTGAAACTCAGGATGGCCCCGGCGTCTCTATGGCTCCCACTGCAAGTCGAGGGTTGCTTTCGGACTATCCATTTCGTTTTCTTCTCCGGTGAACGCGGCTTTGAATCTCTCCCTTTCTCCTCTTCACTTTCATATGACACGGGTCCTTGATTGTATCTGCCGCATTGCACCTTTCTTTAACGATGGGAAACTTTTGGAAGGATCGTGTTACCCTTGTTTAGCCTCTGTTTTTCTTAATACAGTGATGCCAAGTGGTAATGTATGATGAAAGAATGGGGGGGGGGAAGGCAGAGTGTTATCTCAAATAGAATGTCATAGGAGCTGGATGGAAAAAAAAAATATCAACCACTCCCTTTTTGAAATGAAAATCCGATCCATCTGTGACATGTCGGTGTAGCCGTTTTTTTTTTGTTTACTTTATTTATTTAGGTGTCTCATTGGACATACAAAAAGGTAAAAAGCGTTACTCCTCAATTTGCAGAGTATGCAAATAGCGTAAAAATGTACACGTAATATCTCAATTCCTTCATTGCTCCCTTTTGATCGTCCTCTTCGCGCGAAACAACCATCTCCTAAAAAAAAGTTTGCTTGGTCATTGAAAGATGCTTCGGTTCTACCAATTCCGCACACTTGCGCAGATAAGTCTCCGTGCCACAGTGACCAATCGTTGCTTTGTACAGATGTTTGACAGACCGTCCTACTTGCAAGTCATTTACCGGCGGCTGTTATCATGCAGCATCAAAAACTCCTTACAACTCGCCCTCTACTGTCGTCTGTCATTTATCCGGGAAGAACATAATGCGAAAGGGGAAGCATCGATAGATTAGTAATGTAAATTCTGGACTCAATCTCATCTCAACCAAGGGTGAAGGATGATGTCTGTGCTGCTGTTTTTTTTTCTTCCCTTTCAACATGCATTTTTCTTGCTTGAGGATCCTCTATCCTTTGTGAGCCTAGACGCTTTCAAAAAAAAGGACTGAGGCAGGAGATGGGCAAAAAAAAAGACTGACTATTCAGTAGCAGACTAACGTGGAATGTTCTGAAAATACCGTTGCAACAACCCCCCTCAAAGACGAAAATGTCATTATCCGAATAACAGGGCTGCTTGCGATTCGACAACTCTATTATTTTGAATACAGTAGTATGTAACGCCGTACGACGTGCCGGTGACAGTCGGGCTATCGATCCAACTTGTCATTCTTGCGCCCATCGTCAATCTTTCCAGTTTCCAGATTTGACAATGTAAACAATGAAATACTAACAAAACCATGGTCGGGAGAGTGTTTTTTTTTCTTCTGGTGTCTATTGAAAGGATTTTGTTGGAAAACATAATAAAAGAAAGAGAAAAAAAATACAAGCAGAAAGAAACGATGTATAGCTATTGAGTGGAATTTTTTACGACTAACGAAAAAGAAACAGTAAATTCATGACATGATAGTGAAGCTTTTTTGAATTTTTTTTTCAGAGGGGTTTTCTTTTTTCTATCGTGTTGGTAGGCTTAAGCAGCCGCTCTTTCTAATTCATCGTCGACTTCCTTTCCTTGTACCCATACTTTGGAGCATTTAGCCATGGTGCTGGAGGCGCGAGAAATGACATCGGTCTGGTAAAAGTTCTTGATCACTGAAGTCAGTGCTTCACCAGAGCTGCTGACATTGGACTTCTTGAGCGATGAGAGACCGAGCTGGGCCACGGATGGCTTCTCAATCACATCGTATCGGGTAAGTGCAGGACTGATCTCGGATAAACGTGCACGAACCGAAGCAAGGTCATCGTAAGGTAAGGTCTGGCCAGCCACTTCTGATAAAGCACGAATGATTTGCCAATCTTCACGAGCAGCAGCAGGAGGATTGACACCGGCACGGGTGATCTGCGTACGACCTTCAGTGTTGACAAACGTGGCATTCTTTTCCGTGAAAGCCGAACCAGGAAGGATCACATCCGCAAACTGGGCACCAACATCACCATGGTGACCTTGGTACACAACAAACGCATCCTTGGGGATCTCCGCCGCCGTCACTTCATCCGCATTCAACAAGTACAAGAACTTGGCAGGTGTAGCACTTGCGTTTTCAGAGCTAGGCACGAAACCCACTTCATAAGCAGCGGTACGACCAGCAGCCTAATCGAATAAGAAAAAAAAGAAATTGGTCTTCACATCAGTCTCCTGTATTGAACACCCTCCTAAAGCTACACCAAAAAAGCGAATTTAACTTACTCTTTGCAAGACATTGTAACCGGTCCATTCTTCCTGGAAGACGGTGTCCTTGTGCTTTTCGGCCAATTCGGCGACCTTGGAAAGGATGTATTCGCTGTCCTTTGCATTTTCAATCACACCGGAACCGACAAGGATCAATGGCTTCTTGGCTTCGGCCAATCGCTTGGCGAAGGGATGCGAACCGTCCAAAAGGGCATCCAAAGCCTTGGCATCTTGACCAATGTGGGCATAGTCGTAGGTGAGATCCACGGGTTCACCAATCACACCAAAGTCCTGACCGTTGTGAAGGTACGATTTGCGGAATCGAGTGTTAAGAATAGGGGCTTCGTGACGAGGGTTGGAACCGATCAAAAGGACGACATCGGCTTCTTCGGCACCTGCAAGGGTCGAGTTCAAGGTATAGTTGGATCGGAAATCGGCGTTCACAGCCAATGGCTTGTTACCATTGGGGGCATCAATCGTCAAGTTCTCGGAACCAAGACGGTTAAACAAATCCTTCAGAGCGACCATCGATTCAGCGTCGGCCAAGTGACCGGCCACCGCCTTGGCGCTGTTGCCTTCGACCTTGTTCAATTCAGTGGCCACACGTTGAAGAGCATTTTCCCAGGTAGCAGGAACGAATCGATCGCCATCTCGGACAAGAGGGGTAGTAAGACGTTGCACCTTCAAACCATCATAGAAGAACCGGGTCTTATCGGAAATCCATTCTTCGTTGACTTCATCATTCACTCGGGGAAGAATACGCATCACTTCAACACCACGTGTGTCCAAACGGATGTTGCTGCCAACGGCATCGGAAACATCGATCGTTTCATATTTTTTCAATTCCCAAGGACGCGACGTCATTTGGTACGGCTTGGAGGTCAAGGCACCGACAGGGCACAAATCAATGACGTTACCGGACATTTCACTTTCAATGGTCTTTTCGATGTAGGTGCTAATCTGCATATCATTGCCTCGACCGCTGGTACCCAATTCGGGAGCACCGGCCACTTCGTTGGCGAAACGAACACAACGGGTACACTGGATACAACGGGTCATTTCCGTCTTGATCAAGGGACCAAAGTTTTTATCTTCGACGGCACGCTTGCCACGAGGTTCAAAGAAGCGACCACGATCGCTACCGTAACGCATGCTCTGATCTTGAAGATCGCACTCACCACCCTGATCGCAAATAGGGCAATCCAAGGGATGGTTGTACAACAAAAATTCCATCACACCTTCACGGGCTTTGTGAACCATGGGCGAGTTCGTCTTGACCTTCATGCCAGGCATCACAGGATACGCACATGAAGCCACCGGTTTAGGTGCTCGTTCGACTTCGACAAGACACATACGGCAATTACCAGCCACCGAAAGACGCTCTAAATTAGAAAAAAAAAAAGAGGAAGAAGAATATAAACACCGCGTCCATGGAGAAATTATGTTTGTCACTGAGAAATGGGTCGTCGAACGTTACCATGATAACAGAAACGAGGAATCTGTAGATTATATTAAACAATGTTTTAGTTTGATGGAATGGAGGAGGTATGGCGCGCATGGGTCACTTACGTCCACGCCGGCTTTTTCGCAAGCTTGAATCAAGGCGGAACCTTGTTCAATCATGACGGATTTTCCGTCAATGAACACTTCGACTTCTTCCTTTCGGGTGGTAGACGCATGCAAGCTTCGTGCTGTGTAGGAAAAAAAAAAAGAAAAAATTCGAGATTAGTTATTGTTGATTCTTTAAAGGCCCAATTCTCGGGCCTGTTGAAGTTGTTATTGTTGTTTGTTTTTTTGTTTTGTTTTCAAGGTGGGGAAATCATCGTACCTCCAGCCGTAAGAATTGCTGGTGCTCTGCGCACCACACCAGCTTTATTGATGACGCGCAACATGATGCTATAGGAGTGGGGGAGAGAGGGGGGAGTGGGAGTTGGGTCGTGCGGTAATTGCTAAAGAACGAGAACAAATTTTAATTTGTATGCTGTTGAAAAAAAAAAGGGAGCCCCAGGGTGGGCCGAGGGTGACGAAAGCAAAACACAATTCAATCCCCGCATTCGTTATATTACGCTTTTTCTATTTTTTTTTGGGTTTCCCGTTACTCTTGCTTGGAGGTTCATTGGCGGCACAAAAAAAAAACGCTTTATACATTACAATTAAGCAAACAAAAAGAAGAATAAGAAAAGGAAGAAACAGAGAGCAGAAAGGAAACAAAATAACGTTCACAAGTGAACAGAAGATGACAGTGCCTGTTCGTGTTGTGTTTTTTTTTGTGCGCGCGTAAGTATTTGTTGCGTGCGTTGCATGCGTGTGTTCGAGTTGTGTGAGTGTAGGATGGGTGGGTGTTTGATACGTGTGCAGATGGGAATATCGATCGTTGGGTTGCGAGTCACCAAGCGGGGGACATCAAGTAAATCAATAAAAAGAAAACTGATAAACAAGAAACCACGCCCTTTTTCTAGTTATTTCTTTTGCTTGTTGTTCTTGTTCAGTTTCTCTTTAGCCAGCGGATGATCGGCCGGCGTTAAAAGTTCAAAACTGCAAAGTAATTCTTCGCTCACGCTCATGATGGCTCCAAAATTGTCAAATTCACCGCAGTAATTGGGAGCCGAGAAAACAGTGACCAACGTACGATCATTGAAGAATTCGTACCCATCTTCGACAACCATGTGCGCACGACACACTAGATCCAAGTCGAACTTTGCCAAGAACTCGTTAATCACCTTTTTGCCGAAACAATACGATACACCACGTTCGTTGTCCTCCCAATCCACCGTCACTTCTGAAGGATCCGACCACAGCAAATCGTTCAGCAAACCGTAATCGGGAACGTCGGTAGGTCGTTGAATGTTGCGAATTTCGTCCATGTTGTGAAGTGACGGCGACAATCCACCGTGCACGCAGAAGATCTTGCCGGCGACCAACGCGGCAATAGGTAACGTGTTGAAGACATCCACAAATGTTCGCCACATCTTTGGACTCAGCCGTCGCTTGCACTCATCGTAAAAACCGTAAACTACAATACCATGAACCGGGATCCAATGAGCCATTTTACTTTTACCTGGATTCATGCTAATAAAAGTTGAATGGATGGACTTACCTTTGGTCACGTTGGCACTTTCATGATTGCCCCGCAACAAAAAGAAATTTTCGGGATATTTGATCTTGTAACACAAAAGAAGCAACATGGTTTCTAGACTCTGTTTTCCGCGATCGACGTAATCTCCTAAAAATAGATAGTTGCTGCTGGGTGGAAATCCGCCCATCTCAAAAAGTCGGATCAGGTCAGAGTATTGTCCGTGAGTATCACCGACAATCTTGACAGGTGGTGAAAGCTCTAGCAAGGACTACACAAAACGGAAAAAAGGGAAAAATGAGATACACTTCATGGAATCTAAGCTGTATATGGGAATGGTCAATGTGTTTTCTCGACAAAAAAATGTATCTTTGGCATGTGCACCCATTCATGCTTTGGGTTAATTTGCCACACATTACATTCATTCCGCCAATATAAGGGAAAACAAAAACAGAAACAAAAAAAAATCCAATACAGGTCCCAATTCAAAGCGAGCAACGTAATTAAAAGGGGAAAAACGGGTGCGCGCCAAGACGATGAAGACGATGGACTTACCGGTTGACTGAGAAAGATCTCCATGGCGGCACGACAGATCGCATTGACTTCGGAACTCTTGAGACACAGTTGCTTGGAAACCTTGGAAGTATAGCCTGCTTCCAGTAATCGATGGATAAATTCGTCAATGTTGGTAGTTGTATTTATACTGTTCATGGAATTAACAGTCAATTGATTGTTGATCGAGTTCACCGTCAACTGGTTCATGGACCCGACCGTTAATTGATTAGCGTCGGCATCCAATAGTTGTTTATCTTGTCCTTGCGGTGGCCAAAAATCCGAAGTGGCCAGTAATTTATGTTGTTGCAAATTTTCCACTTTGCCTTGGAACGGGTCCGAGGCGTGGATGGTATCTTGTTGTTCGTCTGTATCGCTCGCCGACGGCGGCGACGGTTTACTACCGACGGGGTAATCCGGATTCAACCGAGCTAATGCCGAATCACCGTGAGTCGTGGGTCGGGCAGGTAACGAATTACGATGTTGTGAGTTCATGAGAATCGAGCTAACGGAATGGGTCGTATTGGTACTCTTGTCATTCTCTGGTAATTCCAAACGAGGGGGTGGAGGCATACTCTTGCTCTTTGCTCTCTTATCTTTACGTCCATGTTTTTTCGAGACAGTATTACCCATACTTTTACAGTGCAGACAAAGAAAAAGAAGAAAAAAAGTAAAAATAAAAAAAGCTGAAAAAAAAACCTTATCCCTTTGGGAAATAGATGCGCACAAAAAAAAATAAGGAAGGGAAACCGAAAAACAAGAAAACCGCGAAAATCCGCCCCGTCTTTAGAGTTGCTGCACGTGACTTTCAGTCATCCATCGACAACCATCATCATTGTTTCAAAAAAAAAGGGGGGGGGGAAGAGGAAACGAACCTAAAAGCACCAAAAGCGCCAATATGCTGAAAAATACGGTTGGGTGGCTTATTTATTAGGCAATATTTGTAGTGTATTGTCATCGAATTCATTCAAACAATATTTCCTTGACATGACAAAGCATCATTTTGTTGAAACAGGTCCAAGACATCGTTGTTATTTTTGATGTCATTCGATAAAGAAACAATGAGATCAAAAAAAATTATTATTGCTACTGGGTTAAGAAAAACATAAAATCGAAACCAGAAACCAAAAAAAAGTAAAAGCGACATATTACAAATAAAAGCAAAAAACGTGTAGATAGTAAAAATTATTTTTGATAGAAACTTAAAGGCATATCGTCATCCGACAGCGGAGTGGTTGCACGTGTTCCATCGTTCACCGTATCATGATGCGCTGTATCTTTAGACACGCTTTCCAAACCGTGGAATGTCTTCGGGCGCTCCTTGTTGTTATTGACACCGGGAGAGTGTTTCCCTTGCTTTTTGGAAGATTTCACAGCGCCAGAATCCGAGTGGCGGTTGATGGGTGGATGAGGACGTGTCGTTGAGGTGAAAGAGGCAGCAGGGGTCCCGGCGGAATTGATGGATTGCATTTTATGCGCCAGATCCTTGGATCCTTTTTTGGCAGAAGACAGCATTCGACTCATTCGATTATGTCCTTTCTTGGCCGTATGGGTTTCCGAAGGAGATGGCGATGAATTTGGTGGTTGCTCAAAATGAATATGCTTGGTCGAAGTATTGGATGGTGAACTTTTTCGCGACGATGATTTTGACGCTTTTTTCGGTGTGGACGGACGTGGAGGGCGATCTTCGTCTTCACGCCAAGGATTCGTAGAAGTGAGTTGCTGCGTTTCTTGCTGTACATCGATAATGGAGAGATACCAGAACATGAGATTGGAAATGAGGACTTGATGAAGTAACGGGCGACGAGGATCGGCTAATTTGACATGAGATAAACGGTATATGGCGCGTTCAACGTGGATAGGTAAACGATAGCTGTGAAGGAAAAGTGGCGTGGAAGGGAGTGTCGGTTGCGGTGGCTGATTAGTGTGATGCAGTTTTTTCGACGGCGGATGGGCACCAATCTTTGATAGTACTTTGGAATGCGGCTTCAAGTTGAGTGACCGGGAGATAAAGGAAGCGAATCCGGGTTTCTTTGATGAAGCCACCGCAACATTTGAGGCGGATTCAACGCGTGCTAATGCAGGTCGAGGTTCTTCAATTGGCGTATCCTCACGCTGCATCGGTGGTCTTTTCGCTTTCTCATGATCCACCTTTCGCAAAGCATGGCGTGATTTCTTTTCCTTATCACTGAAAAACCCGCCAAACCAGGAAGATCGCTTATCTTGCTTGTTCGTCTTTTCAGGTTTCATCGTTCGAACAATCCCCTCTGACGCTGAACGTTGAAGCGAAGGACGTCCCGTCAACCCTGGTCGAGCCGGTGCGGCGCTTTCTTTCGTTGTCGGTTCGCTCAGTTCTTCATCAATAGTATCCAGAATATTTGCACTTGTCGGTTCGACATCTTCTGCATGCGCTTTTTCAGAGACCGGCTGAATGTCATCAATGATAGGCTCGGCAATGACTTTTTGCTCCACGATTGGTGAAGGTATCGCTTCTTTTTGATCTTGTTCCTCCTCATCTTCTCCTACTCCGGTGGCGGTTGCCGGTGGTACTTCTTCTCCTTGATCCGCCGCCGTGGGTTCGTTGGTTTCCAAAAAATGGGAGTATACTTGAGATTCCGCATCCTGGACCCGTGAAAGAATACCATTTCGAGAATCGTTGGACTGAAGACTAGCTGAACCCAAATCGATCCATTCACGCATACTGACAGGGCGATCGTACAACGTAATGCCTTCATGCGGAGTAGAAGCAATTGATGTTTGATCGACTGAGCCATGACGTTGCCGTACCGACTTTGACCGTCGCATTTGGCCTCGCATCACCAGTTTATTGCTGCTTCCTTTTCGATCTCTCTCTCGTGCTGACAAAGCTGACCTTCGAAGCAGTGGGCGTTTGCTCTTTGGAACCGCTCCATGCGAATTATCCACACAGGAAGGATATCGATCAAATACGTATTTTTCCCAACTTCGATTTGCTTAAGAGGATACCGGAATTAGTTTTTCCGTTTCTTTTTCTCGTCTTGCATTCTTTTTCCCCTGTGCAACAGGGATAAAACAAGAAATATTGAAGTAAAAAATAAAATAGTTACCCTTGAGATCGCTTATGGTCCATTGGGGCAACTCATTATCAACGGTGGTGGACGAAGAAGGCTCTGACTCTGCTGATTCTGCTGTTTCAACTGAGCCTGAACTTTCCTCTGTTGTACTTTCGTCCGGTGGTGCTCCGGTATGTTCATCGTCGTCCATTGAAGTGTGTGATTGCGACAAGACCGAATTCTTGCGACGGACCATAGATGCCCGACGAGCCGTAGCTACACCATGTGTTTGAATCCAGGTCGCGAACTCGCTGGGTGCAATTTCGGGATGCTTATTCGCAGGAACCCTACCATGGTCGAAAAAAAAATTGGTTAGAGCCATTGTTGCACAAGCGCCGAAAAAAAACAATGCATCATCGGACCATCATTTCGATAGTGCTTGAGAAAAAAGAAAAGTATTCATGCCAAGGTGAACAATTCTACATACCATAGAATCGGTGATGCTTCGTCCATTGAATCCAATCTGTCGTCTTCGTCCTTTTCAACCTCCTCAACAAGGTGTCGACTAATAGGGAAATCGTCATCCGCAGAAGCAGCCGGGTCGGCCAGTGAGCCACCGTCGACCGGCTGAGTTGGATCACTGTTATTATCTGTTGGAGCTTGTTGTTCGTTTAGATAGCCAGATAACATCATGGCATAATAAATATCGTCATCGGCTTCTGGGGAATGCCCGTCAGGGATGCTAGGAGACCGAGCTTGCTTGGGTTGCGATGGGGAGATGGAATCATCGTGAGGTAACGGTTGGTCAGCCGCTGAGCAGCTCATGATAGAAAAAGAAGAATTAAACAAAGGTCGACTTCTGGTATGAACTGCTGCTTCGTTTTTACACAGAGAGGCAGAGGACCACAGACGGAGTGAAGAAAATACCAAAAAGAAAAAAAAGCAAAAAAAAAGGGTCTTGCCTTCACCGAGAATTGGGAAGTTGTGACTGCATCCAATCGACAAGTTTTGGAAATCGTTTCAATGTCCGCAAGACATCTTGATGCCACACAGACCCGTTATATGATGCCATGGAAAAAGACCCCAACTTTAAACTTTCAATCACCAATTAACAAGCTGTTGGTATATCCTTTTGCCGATTTATACATTCTTTTTAGCCAGTTATCTTTTAGTCCTCGTTGGTTTTGGATCAATTACAATGAAGCCATCACAATACTCGCCTTCGACTATCGAAGTTGGAAGGGAATTTCCAAGACCAGCATACTACAATTTTATGTGTATGATAGCACTTTTTATCCGCGGGCTAACTTTGCTTCCACCAACGATTACCGTACATTTACAAAGTAATGTTCGATTGGTTTCTAAACATTTTGGGAAACAAAAAAAAGTTCCTGAATGATTCATAAAAAGTGTCATTGCGATCGGAATGACGATCACCAAATACTATTTAAGGATTCTCGTTTCAGATTGAACTCTCCAGGAATCAAGGGGGGGACCGTTATCAATTCTCGTAAGCCTTCTTGATTCGAATTTGATCGAAACTCACACATCCGCTGCAAGAGGGTCCATCTATCTTGCTCCTCATAGCAGAGAGAACAGACCGGCTAGCCTTTATATTGCCGGCTTTGCCGTTTTAAAAACATCACTCGTACGGTTTGAGTATGTTCTCAACATCCAGCAAATCAGAGACGAATCAGCGTATAGTTCAGGGTGACACAGTGGGTAGATCACGACCTCTCTTAGATCCTGAAATGCCATCAAGCTCAACCAACTTACAAGCAATTTAAGCAACACGGTAATGGTTGAATAAGTACCGGACCGCCACGACATAAAGGGATCCCAAACAAGTCCTTACCCTTGTCACTAAAGCAAAAAGCATGCCCTGGCAAAAAATAGACCCCGTAGTGGATCTCGGGAAAGGTTATCAAAATATACTCCATATTCAACAATATAAAAGAGAAACGACATATAAAATAGATAAAAATAGAAGATTTATTGCATATTCAAAAGGATAAAAAGTCTAAGGAGAGACGAGTCATACCTAGGAAACTGTAAAGAATTGGTTAGCTTCATATTCAAAAGAAATACGAGGTTTCCAAAGAAAAAAATGTTTGCTCCATAACTAAGAAGACAACCATTTGGGTGATTGCAAGCAACCACTGATTGCCTTCAACTCACGTTGAAGCGATATCATCTCAGTCGTGTCCATCTAGAACAGACAGTGCACAGTCGAGACGATGGTTATTATTCCACTGGTTTAACAGAGAATCATCATTGTAGTTGAGCCACAAAGACTCGACGATCCACCTGACTTGAACCTGTGGTTTTGTAGAGAAAACAAAAATACATAAAATAGAAAAGTTTTCTTTACCTTTTTTATCCGGGAACATGTGTACATCGATTAAGCGAGCAAGTACTGTGAACAAGCGCATGGTGGGGCTTTTATATCTAAACCGGTGCGAAAAAAAATTTTCTCGTCCAATTTGCCAAGTCACTGGCGGACTGTTTATTTGAACACCTCCGCCGTATCTTTGATCTTTTCAAACTCCGTACCTCGGCACCATCAGTTGCGGATTTGGCCAACCGATGGTTCAGGCATCAATGTGTGTGTGGTAAATTCCCAAGGATCCAAATGTATGCAAAGCCGTGCGCATGCAGGAAATGAGCAAGAAAGTTCTATTCAACGTTGATCAATTTTTCTATGAATTTTTGACGTGTATTCATTGTCTATGTTTTTCTTTCTTCGTCCGAGTTCTATATGCTTTAATTGGATGAAGTGGGAGTAAATTTGGATACAAAGGCGACCAGCTCATTGCGGCTTGGAGCATTGCTGGGCACAACGTGGCTGGAAGAAAAAGATCCGGTAATTAGTATGCAAGAAAAAAAAACAACTGCCATTGCCCCCTTTTATGATGACTTACCCTCCTGCATGCTTCAGAATGGCCGGGTTCTCAAAAGCTTCGGCCAGAAGAATCGCCCGTTCAGGTGTGATCAGAGTATCTTGTTCGCCGAGCATATGCAAACTGGGTGTCTTGATCTTCTCAGAAAATACTTTCTGGGTGGCCTCTTGCGTCAAAGGCTTGAATCCTGCACAGATAATGGCAAATCGGAAAGGCGGGTGCGCAAAGTCAGGAGACATGAGCTCCGGCATCACCGCCTTGTTCTCTAATAGCTCGGTCACTATAGCAGCCAAACAGGCACCTAGGCAATGGCAAGTGTTAGTTATTCTCTCACTTGATTCCACTGAAATCCATGATCTTTACCTTGCGAGAAACCAAATATAGCATCAAATGGGCCCTATCAAATTACATCATTTAGAACCGGAATGGATCAATGAAAAACAAGGCGCAATTACATCTTTGATCAATATGTTTTTGACATGCTGGAGTGATTCTTTAAATCCCTGATAGTAGCCATCGGGGGTCAATACATTATCGGATGTAGGCTGCCACCAGCCAAAAGGTTTCGACTCTGTGTATTAGCCGAATCAAAGGACATACAAACGATCTATCAGCTTTCAAACTCGCCAGCGCGGACTGACCCTTTTTTGTAACTTACCTTCAGGTGCATTGGCGTCAGCTGCCGCCTCACGCATGGCTTCCGAGGTATATCGAGGATCGACAATTAAGTGAGGAGCAGTGACATAAACTAGAAATGCTCAGGTTGAGTGGTAATGGTCATGTCACCACAGTAATAGTTTCAATGTGTACCTAACTCGGCAATGGCATCCAGCTTCTTGCGAATGACTGCCGTCTTTTTTCGGAAAACGGTCGCATTTTGAACCATGCCGTGAAGGCAGAGAATGCGTAATTTTCTTGGAACGCTCATAATGTTCGTATAGTGTTTAATGACAAGGTCACTTGAAAGCACTGGAACTAATTTGGTCCATCAAAGCTGAAACCGAATCGGATCAGATGTGCCGACCGAAAAGCGTCCAATAATCGCAGGATTAAAGTGATTGGTGGCTTAGACACTATAATGCAATATGATTCGGCGCTTGAACAGGGATAGTTACACATCATGCCTGTGTACAGCCAAGAATTTCTCGATCTGATTCAGTCCGCAAAGCGGTTTATTTGCAATGCAGAGGGCTTATTGCTGCTTTTCAATACAGACCACAACTAGGACGCCCTACATTGTCTATCAATAACACCCGCTTACAGCAAGTACCATTGAACGATATGATACAAACGTACTCTGTCCGGTGAAGCAAATTAGTATGCAACATTGTTATCAATGAGAAAAAAAAATACTATATTGAAAGAGCGTAAGTATGGAAAGTTACCGTCTTCCAAGGTGCTATTTTTATGAATCGAGTACAGTATTTTGTTCTTCATTCTTCTACTTCACCCTTGAACCAAATGCGACAATTTCAAGAATTTCAAGTTATTATCATACACTCTTTTGTCATATCAGTTTCATATCACATAAGGTTTAAACCGGTAGATCGTTATCGCACACAATTGAGACATACACTGGACAGCATCCAAGGGAATGACACAAGAGACTTCCATGCAACAGCTGCAATCAAATATGGAGCGCCGAATGTCTAGTGCCACAAATATACCTTTTATGGCAAGACATCATAAGGATGAATGGGGTAGGATGCTCTTTTTCTGGGGCAAGGAAGGTTAAAAATATACAACGTTGCCTCCTACTGCAGCGATTCACGATGCGCATCAACGTCTGTGTTATTTTTCTCCAAGTACACAGGGCCAAGGGCTGAAATGAGCCCAGTTTCATTGGTCAGAGGCATACGAAATAAATTTCTGCTAGCTACTCACGAACACCAAGTGGCAAAGTTACCAAAAGAAAAGCCTAAATGTTGTGGCTGGGACCTGACAACGGCATAGAATAAGGTTTCAGACGAGTTGCGGGTAAGTTAAGGCGATTATTTGTAAATACATGATCTTTTCAGTCTCCATGGCATTCAGCGTGAACTTTTCTGGTAGCCATCATCGACATGTTGCTGTCTTTCCTTAGATCCAAAATATCAACTCATATTCTTTGTTATTGTTACACTTGATACACAAATCATTGAATGCTGAGCAGATCCAGGAAATCTATCAAGGCAACAGCCACTTGCGCCTACGCTGTACCCGGCTCTCCATATCAGTCGCCAATTTGAACGGCTCGATTCTTGTTTAAAAATTCTGTAAAATATAAATCAAGGAGTTAACTACCACTTGAGATAGGTGAGTAAATTATCAACCAGGAAAAATAAAACTGGTTTCAAAACATGAGCTCAAAAGGGCACATTTTCTCCAGTGACTAAATCTGGTAGGCTGCGCCAAGACTAGCTGTTGCTGTGTCACCAGCATGGATGGATTTACCGGGGATTCCTCCATAAAAAAAAGCATTCACGTCGAAAGTTTGTCTCTCATTTTTCGTCTTTTTGTCTTTGTGCAGTACTTTTACGTCATGGATGATGGTTACGCCGACCCTACCGCGCTTTTGGCGATCAACAATGTTCGACTGGGGATTATGGCGGTGGTCGGTATTACGGCCCTGATCCTGGCCTTCAAACGCAAATCAATTCAACCCTATGCAAACATCATCATTACCTGTGCATGTAATATTGCATCAGTAGTGATTGTGGTCTTGAAAGACTTCGAGGTCACCGAAGAATGGGCAGGCGTCCTTCAAGTGTTGTCTACCTTTGGTCTCTGCTACAGCTGGCTTGTCTTTTTCGAATCCGCGCGGCAGTTGACTCGATGGCTGCACATCACTGGCCGTAAACGCTCGGCAATGACCCTGTATGTCGTCTACAGCGGATATCTGTGGGCGGTACTATTGACCGCGTCATCCGTCACTTACGCTGCTATTTTAGCAAGAATGGCTTATGATTTTTCAGGAGACTACTACTATGGGCCGCTGAATGGTCTCCTAAGTTTCTGCATCTACGGGCTGATCTACTTTCCCGTATCTGCCATCTGTCTCTTGCTCATGCTAAAGGACCATATTCTCCATCTCAAGGCTTTGTGTGGCTATGTCTGCTTGTTAGGCTCCTACGTAATCGTCTTGATGGTCATTTCTTCTCCTGACGTCGCACACGAACTATATTGGAATTGGGACGCATGGGCGGCGATCAATGTCGTCTTTGGCACCGTTTTCGTAGCGTCCGCATTATGTATTTTCCTTTGGATCGGACCGGCTTCCAATCTTGTCTTCGATTCCCAAGTTGGTCCTAAAGATGGATTACCAACACAAGCCATACACCAGAATAATAATTTTGGACAGATCAACAACACCGGTGCAGGTGCCTTTAACAACGGCTTCAACTGCAATGCCAATCCTAATATGCCCCCGTTCAATAATCCAGCATTCGTTAACGCCGCATCCAACAACAAGGCCCCATTCTCTAACAACGGCTTGAACCAGAACGCCACTCCAGGTTCCAACGGCAACAGCAGTACGATGCCTTACCATAATAATGGCATGCCCTTCTTTTCCAACGGGGTCTGGTTTGACAGTGCCGGTGTGCCTCTCAATAGTCATCTTTACAATAACACACAAGCATTTAATGGTAATGCATTTGGCAACGGCAACGACAGTAACAGCGGACCGGCTATCCCCATGGCGACTCGCAGCGGACAAAATGAGGAGGCTGGAAGCTGTAAAATCATGATCCATGGATCTCCGAACATATCTTCTGCTGCTGGCCCGTCTTAACAGCAAGCAATCCTGAGTGATATAGCTTGCTGGATGAACAGATTATTTTTAGATTTTAGCAAACTAATTTCTCCATGCTACGATTATGTTTTTCTTCCTCAGTAGTTATACTGTTAATGAATAAAGTGACCATTCGATTTAGGAGTACTTGATTTAAGAATCGCTTTTGTTGCAGATTGGTGAATCATTCCCACTTGAAACCAAACTCATTTGTTCGCTCGGTACATTGATGATTAAAAGAGGGGCCCTCTGTAAACTATATTTTTGAAGAATCAGCCATGCTCCGATATTTGTAATCATTTGTGGACACGATCTCACATTCAAGGTCACTATATTGTTATGGATAATGCACCCATTCATACACATGAGAACATAAAGAAGTATACGAGTATCGAGGTTATAAACATCTATACTTCCTACTTACTCTCCAGATTGAAAATCTTCGGCAGTGGCAAAGGGCAAGGTTAAGCGCCATAAGTTTTTGCAGGAAGACACTCTGTCAAAAAGGATTATGGAAGCCTGCAACAGTGTAAAGAAAAGTCACTTCAAAGGTTTCGTTCGCATTATTACAAGTGTTGGGATAAATGCCGAGACAGAGAGTCCATGTAATGGTCAAAACGACTCCATCCCATCCAACAGCTAAAATGCAGCAATAAAGAACCAGGTAAACTACCAAAAAAAAAAGAAAAAAAAAACGCTGCACCATTAGGAAAATCCTTTGAGCAGTCAAGTTCGGCAAGCATCGTAACAGCTGCTTTATTTTGCTTGAGTATCATACGTAATATCCGTAGTACCCATAGTATTTTTGTGTTGGCTATTTATTGAAGGTGCTTTTTGACACGGTTACTGAAAAAGGAACGAAAGAGTTTCACCATTTGCGAATCGCTTGCACAAGCTTTTTTGGAGGGCTTTTTGCAAACTGTTTGCAAGAAGCCTCTCAGGACACATATAATATTGCTTAGCCCATTTGTATGCTATTCGAACGTGAATACCCAATTGCTTCGCTGCAGCTGTACTTTTGGCTGTTTCGGAATGACGGTTTTTGCATTGGTTGCGTGCCAACCAATGAAAATCCGCTATTGAAAAACAACCAAAAGTACAGCTCGAGCTTGGCAATTTCGGCTCTTGCAACCTTATCTCGCTATAAACAAGTACTTTCGGTCTGTATTGGTACCGACGCTACCTCATCTCGCTATAAAGAAAACAGGGTTGAGCAATGAAAAAATCAAACATCGTGCACTTTTGGTTTTTAGAGAAGCCACCATTGAAAAATACCAAAAGTACAGAAGTTTAAACAAAGTGTTTTTGTTGTCGATTTTTTAAGTACTTTTGGTTTTTTTGAACCGGCCACTCTTCATAAGAGCAAAAGTACACGATGTTTGATTTTTTCATTGCTCAGACCGAACCCTGTTTTCTTTATAGCGAGATGAGGTAGCGTCGGTACCAAAACAGACCGAAAGTACTTGTTTATAGCGAGATTAGATTGCGAGAATGCCGAAATAGTCAAGCTCGAGCTGCATTTTGTTTTTATGAAAAGCCGTCCATTAAAAAAACCGAAAGTACACGATGTTTTGTTTTTTCGTTGCTCAGACCAAACGCTATTTTCTTTATAGCGAGATGAGGTAGCGCTGGTACCAAAGCAGACCGAAAGTTTTTGTTTATAGCGAAATAATATCACTTCTATGTAACAGCTGCGTTCAAATATGGAGCGCCGAATGTCTAATGCCACAAATATACCTTTTACGGCAAGGCTTCATGAAGGTGAATAGTGCACAAGGGAAAAAAATTTTCTGCTCCTTTCCCGGGCAAGGAAGGACACAATTTTCTGTACTCTATCCCAAAACCAAGCATTCATGAAATCAAGCGGTGGCTATATCGTATTCAATAAAAGTACAGCTCTTGAGGAGCAAAAACAAACGTACAATTATGATCCTGATATGCCAAAGGAGTGAATGAGTGTACGCATAAGCAAATAAGAAAATAGTACTTGAACTGTCGTCTTGGCTCATAAGGTAGGAAGAAATTGGCTGCCGATTTCTTTTAATATCAAAAATTGAAAGGGCGAAGCATTGTGGTATACCAGGCCGCTGAACTGCGTTTGAAAGAGGCGTCTTTTAATTCGGTATGTGGCTGCACTGGCGCGGAAATCCAAAAATGCTATTGGTCAGTGCAGCAGTCACCTTACCAGATCAGAAAAAAAAAAAAAAAGAAAGAAACGAACAAAAAAATAGGCCCCAATTTTTCTCGGGAAACAAACAAACACTTCTTTCTTTTTTTTTTTTTTCTCGGCAGGCGTAATGGAGAAACAAGTGGGTGATTACGAACCGCAGTTGTTGGCCGAGGATTGCAGTCAAACGACCCTTGCCACTGGCCACAAACTAATGTCCTGGCATACCGTTCGCAACTACTTCCCGAAATATGCTCTCAAGCGATCAGGTAAGGCTGTTTGACAATAGGCCGCAATTGCCTCGGGGCATACTAACGCCTGGTGAATTTTATCAAGGTGTCATTTACATTGACGAAAGACCGCCTGTCATTCACTGCTTCTTCATGGCCATTCAGCACGTCTTGGCCATGTTCGGTTCCACCGTACTAGGTAAGTAAACAATCACTCAAAACTTTATTCTCGTATCTTTGTTGACATAGCATTTAATTAGCTCCCCTCATGATGGGCATGGATACCAACAGTAAGTCGTTTGATACTCGCTGGTCGGTAGCGTATCCATAGTATTTACCGTCTGATTAGCGGCTCTTTTCTTCTCTGGCATTGGTACCATCATTTTCTACATTGCCACCGGTGGTAGAGGTAGGACGCAATTTCGTTCAAAGTTTAAAACAATCATATTCTGATGCTTTCGTGTAAATAGTGCCTTCCTATGTCGGATCTTCTTTTGGATTCATTGGCGTGGTCGTTTCTGCTACGGGATATTCGTATTCGCCTACGTCTGGACGCAATGAGCATGTGGATGTCGCTGCAGGTGGTATTCTTATCTGCGGTGTGGTATACGGCTGTATCGGTCTTTTAGTGTTGTTCCTCGGTCACAAGTGGATTGAATTTGTAATGCCTCCCGTGGTTACCGGTGCAGTCGTCATGACCATCGGTATTCATTTGTCATCCTCGGCTTTCGCCAATGCGACACAGACATCCTTTGATGGTTGGATGGCCTTCACGACTGTCATGGTGATTGCTCTCACCAGTATTTACGCGCCCGGTATGATGAAACGTATTCCTATTTTAATCGGCATGATCATCGGCTATCTTATCAACTTTGGATGCGGTTACACGGGCGCCGGTCCCGCTATCGATTACACCGAAGTGTACGAAGCGAAATGGTTTGCCGCACCTACGTTTGTTCATCCCAAATTCGAGGGCAACGCCATCAGTATCATTGTGCCTGTGTGTGTTGTGCTGGTCGCTGAGAATCTCGGTCACATCAAAGCGGTCGGTGCAATGGCCGAACAGCCTTTGGACAAGTATCTTGGTCGTGCGATTCTGGGCGATGCCGTCGCTACGATTGTGGCCGCTTCTGGCGGTGGACCTGGCACCACGACGTATTCTGAAAACATCGGTGTGATGGCCGTCACTCAGATTTTCTCCACGTTGATCTTTTTAATTGCGGCCGTTGTTGCTATCTTCCTGGGCTTTATCCAGAAATTCGGAGCTGCTATTCACACGATTCCTCAGGGTGTGTTTGGTGGCTTGTCCATTATTTTATTCGGTCTGATCACAGTGTCCGGTGCTCGTATCTGGGTTGAAAACCAGGTCGACTTCAAGGATTCACGCAACTTGCTGGTGGCCGGTATCCCTGTCGTGATTGGCGCTGCCATGCAGACCACGCTGCAGTGGGGCAACTTCCAATTGGACGGTATTGGTTTGCCTACTTACTGTGCGATCCTTTTGTATCAGTTGTTGCGTGGATACGATGGCATCCAGGAACTCTTCCGCCGCCGCCGTAATAACAAGGATTCCCAAGAGACACCAATCCATCTGAAAGAAGAAGAGGAACGTGTCTAATGGTTCGAACGACTCATTTTTTCCAGAGCTCGTTTTTTTCTTCTTTTTTTTAAATTTAACTCTTTCTATATACTGTAAATACTTGGGTTCATACCTGCCAGCAGCTGTGGATATGGAACCAGTTCATTAGGACAAAGCATCGTCATCCAGAACTCCTATATTCATTTTATCTTATTCATCAATCAATAATCATCATACTGCAAAATTACACATTATTTTTCATCACGCATTGTTTTTGTCTCATTCTCCATTTATTATTCCCCCTTTTGCATTGCTTATCTTACCTTTTTATGTTTGTTACGCTTGAAATAAACGACTTGCATGAATTCTGTATCCAGTTTAGCAATTACTTGCTCGCCCCACTCACTGAATCATGTTTCTGTGACGGCTCCATTTTGATAAGGCATGAATACAAACGCTTTTAGGCTCGCCGCTACGGAAAAATGACATTGGCCACAAAACGCTACTTTAGGGATGACAAAGCGTGTTTGCGGATCTACATTTCATCTTCAATACTACACCCATTTGCAATGCAGTCCATCGCTCACGTGTTGGTGCGGCATGATCCTGTGTAACGGTATGAGATTTCCTACATGTCCGTCCTCAGTTTCCTCACACCATGAGACTTTAGTCTGCCACGGACCGAAAAATTTACATGTTACTGCTTTTGTAAGCGTTGCCTTGCATTACAAGACATCAAGCAAGAAACAGTTGATGACCCGTTTACGAATTGTCATCAAGATCAGAGAAAAACGGATATAGACGAGTTCTTGAATGCTGTTATGTCCGCCAAAGCCCACCTTTTTGGGGGACAAAAATCTTTTACAGTATGGATATTTCTTTTAACCTTGTCCTTTCAAAAGCGAAGTAAATATGCCTTATGAGGATGGAAGTATATACAAAGAGAGAGGGAGAGGGAGATAGAGGAAGAATGTATACTCAAATTTCTACAGACATTGAGCGTGGATGGCTTGACTGACGACATAGGCGATACCGGCGGTGGCCACCATGGCAATAACATTGGACGGCGATATTATATGATCCTTTATCCATGTCCAACCTCTCTCGCGCTGTTTCCGTTTCACGCTGAAAGAATGATATCGATGATCAACCACGTAATTTGAAGGCGTTACGGGTGCTTCCACAGGTACATCGGATTCGTTGAATGGTTCATCAGCCGTTTCCAATAAAGGATACCGTTGACGTGTCAGTTCCACGTTTTGCACATTGCCAAAGAAATCGGTCACTTTCACCTAAAAGTCCACGCGCGAAATACCGCCTCCATTTAATACCCACAATAAAATCTCCTCCACACTGCTCAATACTGACCTTATCCAAGGGGCGGCGGAATAGATCGGAGCGAATCCCAGGATGAGACGCGATTTTTACAGGATCGTAGGTATCAAACTAAGCATACGAGTTAGATCTCTTGGGAGAGGAAAGAACATAACGAACAACGTACCAAGTCTTGCAATGTTTTGTTGCTTGTCATATCAATGTCTTCCAGGAATTCCAAGTTATAGTAAGTATAACTGTCGATTACCGCCACTCCAATCTCGTAATCTGTGTGATGCTATTATTTTTCGGTTGAACCTATCGATTAATCCAATGTGCACAACCATTGATGCTTCAAATAACTTTTTACCGAATATGAACTTTCGCCAAGTTTGCTACTGCCGGTGGCCAGAATGTTGGGCGAATCGATCTTGCTGTACATAGTATTGGCTTGGCAGGTGTCGATCATGAAGAAGATTTCATTGTACCTTGAGAGAAAGTTCATTTAATACCACGACAAATAGCAAAAAGTGACCAACGTACCTGTCTTTTTCATACATCTGTTTGAATGCATCGGCGAGATCGTAAGCACTGATTTCCTCGGCATCCTGGAATTTCAAGAATTCATCCCCACCGTGGCCCGTCATGTAGACAAAGATGTTGGACCGATCGTCGGAAAGTAACCGTTTCGAACGCGGGGTATCGGGCGAGACACGACCTACATTGAAATGAAGTCTCAGCAAAAAGAAAACGAGGGTGTCGGCGAATGTTATGGGCCGACATGTACCTGTGAGCATACGAATAAAGTTCTCCACCGTCACTTCATAACCTCTATAATCGACTTCGACATTGTCACCATAGAGATCCAGCAATCGGGCGGCATTGTTGTAAACCGTGGCTGGATATTTGTTTCTAGGATTGCACGATACATCATCGGCCAGCATCAAGATGATATTGGAATCAGGTATGCCCAACCGTTTCACCGTACGATACATGGACAAAGTATTGGCAATGTGACGATAATTGAACCAAAAGCGTGACGTGCATACCTAGGATAAAAAGGAATGTGAGAATAAAGCCTTGGTACAAAAGAAAAGAGACACTACCAGCACAGCCCAATTGTTGGTGTGTCCGCTTTGGCTAAAAAAGCCTTCCACTTGGCCTTCATCGGCCGCCGTCAGGCCGTAAACACTCTCTAATGAAAGCAACCCAAGACCGAGAATCCAGCTTATCAGCAAGACGTAATAAGAGAACAGTCTTGCCATGGCTCGTATAGATGACTGTTGGTCACAAGAAGGGAAAGGGAAGTAGTTTGATTTATCAGCCAAAGGTCTGGTTGCTCAATTATCGCCGAGCCAATCAGATTGCAGGAAACCATTTTGGGAACCGATGAGAGAGCAAAAGAGTATTTATCTAATCATCGCCAGCAAGTTCACGGACCATGCTTTTCATTCACTGCCCTCAAATGCCACAGATTTGCGCGGAACAAACAATCCAAAAGTACTGATAATTAGCTAAAAAGCTTCTGAACGACAGTGACATTCCAATACAGAAAACAGAAGGAATTCTTCTGTCACGGGGTTATGTGCCTCGATTTCCAAGGAAAAAATAATTGCAAACAACACAGATGTAGACAATAATATGTTTGATAGAGATTTTAAAAGGTTTTTGGCATTACTTAGATTTATTGCGTATCCGTTAAGTTGGTTTTTTTTTAGCTTTTCAGAAAGCTCTTGAATGATGAATAGACTTTTTAGTCATGGGCATTCTTGAAGCTGTTGACGTTGCCACCTTCATGTTCAATGATGATGCGATCGCGATGGCCAGCGATGTTGTCGCCCTGGTTAAAGTCGCGTCCTTTTCCATCGTTTCCCTGACGACCATTATGCCCACCATCGTGACCACCACCGTTGTGGCCGCCATCGTGATCGTCGTCACCAAACAAAGCGTCCATCTTATCGTGGAGATCTTCCCCTGAAAAAGTTTAAGAGGATGGTTCATTTGTCAGTTATTGATATTTATTGATCACTTTATTGTGGAAATCATTTGCTTACTGCGCTTTGCGAAACGGGTGTTTCGATTAGCCACGCGACCCGGATGACCACGGTGACCGTTCCATCCGGGGTGCTTTTCTCCGTTCCACTTGGGACCATCCCACTTGCCGTCAGCTTGGGCCTTCACATGGTTATCAGTGCTGTGAGGTTCGGTCTCGGCAAGATCGGCGCGCACCACCACGGTCAAAACAGCCAAAGTAGCGATGGAAAGGGTAACAAAAGAGAAATGCATGATGAATTTGCGTTTTTCACTTACATTCCATCACGGCAAGGCTTTTATAGTTTTTTTTGAGATCACATTTCTTTTTTAAATCTAGCCAAATCCATTTTGCAATTGGCATCCAAGCCGTTTGATCTGCGAAATGGTAGAAAAAAATTATCACTGGCCTTGGACCGATTTCATTCTTGACAACGAATAATCTCTAGAAGTATGCATCATTTAATCGAAGGTTTATAAGGGGAATCCAACCATGGAAACAATAAAGCAAAAATGGTAAAATAGGCCACCCAATCGTTAGGATTCTAATTTTTTTTTTCTTTTTGCATTCTAACAAAAAAAAGCTAGAAAGACCATCCTTTCTTATTTTTATTATTCTTGACATGCTTTTTAAATAAAACGATCTAAGAAAAAAAAAGGTGCATATGGTACATTAAAAAAAAAGAGGGACATCTAGTTTTTTTTTTTTTTTAGCCCAATTTTGGATCGATGTGGGACAATGGAAAGTGATCAAAATAAATGAATCGTTGGAGCGATGGAGTGGGAAATTTAATCGACTTCTTCGATGGAAGGACCGTCGTTGTCACCCGAAGCGGGAGCGGCACCAGCACCAGCACCAGGGAAACCACCAGGAGCAGCACCAGGAGCGGCGCCGGGCATACCACCAGGAGCACCACCGTTGGCTTGGTAGAACTTCATCATGATGGGGTTAGCAACTTCCTCAAGTTCCTTCTGCTTGGACTCGTATTCTTCCTTGGAAGCTTCCTGGGACTCATCGAGCCACTTGATAGCCTCATCAACAGCAGCGTTGAGCTTCTCCTTATCCTCAGCGGGGAGAGCACCACCGACCTTCTCGTCTTGGAGGGTGTTGCGCAAGTTGTAAGAGTAAGATTCAAGACCGTTCTTGGCGCTGATACGGGCAGCAGCAGCCTCATCTTCGGCCTTGTACTTCTCGGCATCGTTGACCATACGTTCAATATCTTCCTTGGACAAACGACCCTTATCGTTGGTGATGGTGATCTTGTTGGACTTGCCGGTGGTCTTGTCAAGAGCGTTGACGTTCAAGATACCGTTGGCATCAACATCGAAAGTGACTTCGATTTGGGGAACACCACGGGGAGCAGGGGGGATACCGGAAAGTTCGAACTTGCCCAACAAGTTGTTATCCTTGGTGCGAGCACGCTCACCTTCAAAGACCTGGATCAACACACCGGGCTGGTTGTCAGCGTAGGTGGAGAAGATTTCGGACTTCTTGGTGGGGACGGTGGTGTTACGCTTGATAAGGGCGGTCATGACACCACCAGCGGTTTCAATACCGAGCGAAAGAGGAGCAACATCCAACAACAACAAATCCTGAGTCTTCTCAGAGGTGTCACCGGAAAGAATGGCGGCCTGGACAGCAGCACCGTAGGCAACGGCTTCATCGGGGTTGATGGATTTGTTGGGTTCCTTACCGTTGAAGAAGTCAGAGACGAGCTTCTGGACCTTGGGGATACGGGTGGAACCACCGACAAGGACAATATCGTGGACGGAACCCTTGTCAATCTTGGCATCACGGAGAACCTTCTCAACGGGGTCCATGGTGGAACGGAAAAGATCCTGGCAAAGTTCTTCGAAACGGGCACGGGTCAAAGAAGTGTAGAAATCAACACCTTCAAAGAGAGAGTCAATTTCAATGGAGGTCTGAGCGGCCGAAGAAAGAGTACGCTTAGCACGTTCACAAGCAGTACGAAGACGACGGACGGCACGAGCGTTGCCAGAGATGTCCTTCTTGAACTTGCGCTTGAATTCTTGCATAAAGTGGTTGACGAGACGGTTATCGAAATCTTCACCACCCAAGTGAGTATCACCAGCAGTAGCCTTGACTTCGAAAATACCATCTTCGATGGTCAACAAGGACACATCAAAGGTACCACCACCCAAATCGAAGATGAGGACGTTGCGCTCACCCTCGGTCTTCTTATCCAAACCGTAAGCAATAGCAGCAGCGGTAGGTTCGTTGATGATACGCTGAACGTTCAAACCGGCAATGAGACCGGCGTCCTTGGTAGCCTGACGCTGGGAATCGTTGAAGTAGGCGGGAACGGTGACGACAGCGTTCTTGACTTCAGTGCCAAGGTAAGCTTCGGCGGTTTCACGCATCTTGAGGAGGACCATGGAAGAGATTTCTTCAGGGGTGAAGGTCTTGGTCTCTCCCTTGTATTCGACCTGGATGATGGGCTTGCTCTCACGGTCGATGACCTTGAAAGACCAGTGCTTCATATCCGACTGGACTTCAGCATCGGCGAAACGACGACCGATAAGACGCTTGGCATCGAACACGGTGTTGTAAGGGTTCATGGCGACCTGGTTCTTGGCGGCATCACCAATCAAACGTTCGGAATCGGTGAAACCGACATACGAAGGAGTGGTGCGGTTACCTTGGTCGTTGGCAATAATTTCGACACGGTCGTTTTGCCAGACACCAACACAAGAGTAGCTAAAATAAAACCAAAAAAAAGAATTGACGTCAGCCCTCCAATCTGTTCCCCGTGCGTCATTTTATTTTTAGTTTCTTTTCATGAGGACCTCCATCTACGGCCGCTCCCAACGCGTCGAGATGCGAGATGCGAAATGTCCCCAAAAAAGATGATGATGTTTACTTACGTTGTACCCAAATCAATACCAACTGCATGTCGAGAAAAAAAACAAACAATCGAAACGAAAGAAGTCAGTTCACATATTCTTAAAGGCCCACATCGAATACACATTTCATACCAGATTTTCCCGCAGTCATGGTTAAATCAAAGTGGAAAAAAAGGAGAAAAAGAAGAAGTCGTTTTTACGCTACGTCTTTTATACCTCGCGCAAAAAAATAAAAAAAATAAACAGCGCCCTCTTTGTCCCGAATAAAAGTGGCCAAAAAAAAAGGGGACAATCGTTGATACTATACGTGGCTTGTGACGAGTTTGGAAGGATGAAGAAAATTTTGGAAAGAAAATTAAATCACCGCTAGCGCGGATTGGCCAACCCTCTTTTTGCTCCTCGACGAGCTTTCAAGTGGGGGAATCTAATACCACCTTGCAACCGGAGATACAAATCACTCGCCCGAAAAAGGTATACAATGACGCGAAAAAAAAAGAAAGATAGATGAAAAAGATGTTCTACAGGTACAACGGGAACAGAACAGGAATTTAAAGAAGTTATGTTACTCTCTGTCAGTAATGGGAAAACGAACACCGAACAAAGATGACTGATAATGCTCACAACGCCTTATAGTAGTAATATCTTGGCATCTTCCACGGATGACTCCCCAAAGACACTCAGGGGCCCCATTCAGTTTCTGTCGCCACCTGTAAGAACAGTCCATTATCAGCAATGGTGTCGCTGCTATTCCAAGTGTATTAAAAATGCACCATTATCTTTCTTTCAATGTCTGAAAATATCGCACAAGACTGTTTATTGACCAGTTGGGTCATGTACTCGCCTGTGAACGCCACTGTCCAAAGAGACAGTATGAAAGTCATCCTAATAAGATTAATCAAAGATACCGAAATTTAACGAGCATGACGGATAACCCGGCATCTGTCTTGCAATAGGTGAGATGGGACAAATACATTGCAGAAATGAAAGAGCGAATGCTTCCTTCCAGATGCTTACATCTTGGCTCCATCTTGTTGTGCCACATGTACCAGAGTTTTGTTTCTAGTGAGGGTCAGTTGGGCATCTCTGAGCAATTATATAACAAGGTTCATCGGCCCCCAGTATTAAACATATCTGTGAAAGTGCTTGCTTTCGCTACCGAGCTTATCACATAGAAAACAAGGTGCAATCGCAGTCAGATTTCCATCCAGTGAAGCTGATCTTTTACAAGTATACATACGGAGAAAATGGATTGTTTGAGAGAGACAAAAAATACAAGGCTCAGTAACCTGTTACTTTACTCCCGTTGACCAGCAGTGTGTGCGACAAAGTAATTTGCAGGTATCTGCAGCACGGATCGGCGCGAGATTCATGCATTGTGCGGGTCACTCGAGCTGAAAAAAGCTGGGATCGATTGTCATCTCGATTCATAAACGCACACATTTCCGAATGTTTACATTGGTGGTTTGACGGTTGTAAGTGTCAAGGAGGATAACCCGACGGCCGAGGTACCATGACCAACACGTGACACGTCAAGTTTCCTTTTTTTTTGACAGCCAGTGGATGACTGATTGGATCGACAGGTCAAAGTTGGCTTTCGGATGCATGTGCCTAGATAATAGATCGACACGTAAGATGGTGGAAATAATCCATATTTTTGCATCATTATCCACTGGCAGCCGCTTTGATTAGCGTCACCGCGAGTATACAAGTATACCGAAGTACCAAGTGTTATTCTGTGACATGTTTATGTAAAGCTTCTCTAATGGTATCTGCAAAATAAGAAGAAGATGTGGCGAAATTGAAGTTGTTTTCTGCATGTCCAAACATAGAAAATAAAAAAAAAGACATGAGGCTGCCGTGAACCCAAATACAGAATACCATGGCCGGTTCAAAAGAAAAAAGGGTGTCTTCCTGGAACTGAGGAGCGCCAAAATCAAAAAATAAGCTTGTTCTACCAAACAAAAATCGTATCGAACCATGGAAAAACATGTGTAAACTTGAATCTAGTAAATATTCGGAGCAAAGGAAAAAAAGGGGGTGATTCAAAAAAAGCTTAAAAACTTTAATGTCAAAAAAAAACCTTGATACCGATAGATATTTTTATTTTTGGATAACCATCATTGACAACTAGATGTCATCGGATCCTTCAGAAAATGTTGTCTTGATTGTTAGAAACACAAAAGTCATTCGTAACTACACGAATGCATAATGTGAGAACCAAAAAAAGTATGGCCAAACCAAACGAATGAGTGTGTTCTCTTTTTGGGCACTCTAGCCAATTGATACATGCACTATGTTGAGTCGAGACGGCAATCGTTGGAATCATAATGAAGCGCTGCTGCAGAAAAAAAATAATGAGCTGATTTTTTGGTCCTTCAAAAAAGTGGGGATCGCTAAGTCTGCATAAATCCTGATTGTGATATCTCGTTTTTCCGGTTCCCAATCCCATCTCAAAAGAACAGCCCAGTGTTCCTAGAGCAATGTTTTTTCTACATCTTGCATAACCTACTTCATCAATGTGATGTCATATTAAAGCTTCTTGGTTCAGGAGGTTTAGAATAGCAAAGAATAGAACAGAAGCACGGAACAGTAGTGCGTAGTAAAGCTTTTTTTTTATCAATGAACTTTTTGCTTTCTTCTTTTTTATTTTATTTGAAAGTTGTAATTATGATGTATCGATACATGAAATAGAAAGTATGATGATGGACATAATGAAAGAGAATAACGAATTTTTCAGCCTTTTGAATGCGATAAATGTTTGCATGATGAAGAAAAAAAAATTTACAGCCAGAAAAGAAAGAGATACATAAGATGGGGGTTGCCAATAGCCGTGAATAATAACAAAGAAAATAAAAGAAACAAAATGAATGCGCAAAATATGGAGAAAATCAAGAAATGAATGACACGAGATGATAATATCAGCGAAAAGAAAAGAAGATGTACAGCTTGCTTTTTCCAGTGTAGATCATGGTGGTGGGGGATCCGAGTCGTGTATCTTGATACATTTTTACATCCAGTACTTTTTGGTGGTTGGTGTGGTATATTATTCTTGTTGTGCGGTTCTTTTTTTTTAGGGCTTTTTACTTTTTGGTCAATGAGCTTTTTGATCGTTCTTTTTTTTGGAGGATTTTTTTTTTTTTTTGCTTTGAGATTGGTTGATTCGAAGATGCAAGCGGAAAGAGAGAGAGAGAGAGAGAGAGAGAGAGCGAGAACGGACTTATTTCAATAATGGACAGCTTGGTCTCTTATGACCGTACTTGCCACACCAAGCACTATAAAAGGGAAAATGAGGATCAGCGAATTCCGTTCTATCGTCTGGTTAGGCGGGTACAAATGGAACTTACCATTGACCACCTTCAAGGTTTAAAGGTCGGATAGTGTAAGTCATATTAGGTTCCATAGCAGTATAGCAATTGGGATATACTGTAGTGTGATTTTTTCGACTTGGGTTGACCAAAATGTGGTTGTGGAAGAAAAAAACCATTTGCGACGGATCAAAATAATCAAGGTTCTTATATAATTTCAGACCAAGACAAAGACCTCACCCTGGACCTGTCAGTTAAAGCGTTATTTTAAGCGTAAGGGGGTTTAAGTGTACGACACGGACTCGGGACGAAAGCACCACAGCGCGTGTCAATGCCAAGTATTTTCTTGTTTTGTTTTTTTTTCTTTCTTTCGGATGGTTGGTGGTGTTTTTTTTAGTCCCCCAAATTCCTTCTTGTCAGCACACCAGAATGTTTTCTACGATGAGTGCGGTGTAGAAATGATGGATGAAATGCTTCCATCGTTCCCCTCCTTGTCCCCCAAAAAGCTCTATTTTACTTTTTTCTTTTGCAGCTATCCCAAAAAAAAGCCCCTTTTGAGTATGTCATGGGAAAAGTTTTTATTTCCCCTGGCACACAGACGCCATTCTAACAAAAGTAAAGTCTGGAACTTTTTGCTTCTATTCTTATCGATCCAACGATGGCAATCAATCCCTCACTTTTTTTTTTTCAATCATCTTGCAATCTCCGTCCGTTGCCCCTTCTTTTTTATTGGGACTCCACGAGAACACATGTAGAATCGGACGCATGTCGAAGCAGAAACAACAAGAAAACACCCCATTAGCATGGCGGAGTGAGCAATGGATCGACAGTTGTTGCATCGGTAACCGCACCCTGATCTCTTTTCTTTTCTTTTGTATGAGAAGGAACAAAAAATTGCAATTCACTGACAAGAAAGACTCGCTCCGCTCCTGCTCAATGTCAGTCCACTTTTTCGCTTTTCTCCCTTCTGATACCATTATATAACACTCGTGTGAAGGGATAACAAAAGGAAGAAAAAAACGTAGTCATGGTTTGCTATGCTGTGGAAAAATAGCGCGTGTAATAACATCATCGTACTATAGCGCCTCATCGATTTTCATTCTTCCAGACTCTACATTACTCATGCGACATGTGCATTATACAGTTTCATCGTAGGCTGCCGAAAAAAAAAAACACGCATATACATTTAAACCCCCTTCATCATAATGAAAGAGTCTGTAGATCCATGGATCCCCAACCTTTCAAATCTTAACTTTATCATCATTGTTACAGGAATAATCCAATTCAAGGTAGACCTGTCCAACCATTTATTTATTTTTGGGACTGCTTTGAAGCAACCCAATTATTCATCGGCAGCAGTAAGAAAAAATAAACCCCCAAGGGCACCATGTCCCCTTGTGGATGGCGGTAGCAGCAAAAAAAAAAAAAAAAAAAAAAAAAAAAAACGACTACATAGGCAGCATCAATCTTTCGGTTATTTGTTTCCCCAAAAAGAAACTCACATACTGAACCCCACCATGGCCTCCTCGCCCTTGGTTTCCCCCACCGAAGGAAGAAGAAAATAGAAATCTTTTCTCTTCGCGGCTCTCCCCTTGTTAACTTTTTTTTTTTTAGTTTCCCTCTCTCTTCCTTGCTGCCTATTCCCCACCCCCAATCCCTGCTTTTCCTGCGTAAGCTATCGCCTATACGGCGCTGGCAACAAGATATGCCGTGACAATGAAACGGAAAAAATAAAAGCTGCATGCATGTGCTTTGTCTAGATCACCAAGCTAACTCATGGTAAACGTCATAATGACATACAATCATCTTCTATAAAATGGATGGAACCAAATGAGATAAACGCGCATGTTATCTTCATGGATCAAATACATTGCATTGATGGGATCAAGAATTTCCCAAATTCCAGAATTACGTGAACAGAATTTCGTAAAACAATTAAATCTTTGGGAAATTAGCGATTTGTTGCACCTTTTTTTTATTTTTATCTTTCAACCATTGCCTCGCTGCCCACTTCCACGGTAATAGGCGAAACAATCAGCAGCAAGATGCCGTTTGCGCCAGTTATGGTCAAACAGAGCATCGTCGTCGTCCAAATAAATGTGGGTAGAGCTCCTTTTTGAAGAAAGGCTGTTGTCGATGTCGATCTGGGTGTTCTGTAGCATAATTTAGTTTGGTTTTCTGTCAGTTATACTGTATATCATATGCCCTTTGATTCTCTTCAATTTTTGGTGATCGAGTGATACATGGCGAGATATGCTTCGATCTATGAATTCATGCATCAGTGGGGTGGCTATCGTTTCATCCATGGGAAATCCACATATTTTTGTCTTCAATTTTTTCTTTGTCTCTGATTTACCTCTCTCTGGAGTAAGGCTTTCCCATGTAGCTGATCTGACGATATTGCTCAGCATTCATGCATCGGTGGGTGACTATTGTTTCATCCATGGGAAATCCACATATATTTTGTCTTCGTTTTTTTCTTTTTTTCTTTGGTTTTCTCCTCTATCTTCTGTTTACCTGAATAACTCTCACTATCATTGCATCCCCTCGCATCCATCATCCATCATTCATCATCCAGACTATGGTTTACCCGCGTGTATCTGTAACCGGTCAAGTCGATTAAATATCAAAAACGTACGTTCTGTGTGATGTGACTATCCGTTTTTCGACAAGGAAAAACTCACGTTCTTTCTCTATTCTTTCTTTAGCTTTTGGTTTCTCTCCGGTTTTCTTTTCGCCCTGACAAACCATCCATCCCTCCAAATCTTTCTACTTTGTTCGCGCCAAATGTGGCCAATCCGGTTTTTGTCGTCAAAGGGCATCGTCGGTGGTGACTCTCTTTTTTCATCGGAAAATGCTTAGGCGTCCTCCTCAGGTTCCTCTTCTTTGGATTACTTCCCGTGGTATTGTCTTCGATATTTCTTCCCGACCATTTTACTTTGTAGTTTGTAGTATATACTTTGTATTTTATTCGATAGACCTTCTTGCAGTCTTTTTCCTCCTTTTTTTTTCCCACAGGGATTTTAGGGGTTTTTTACAGACGCACCTATTGTTTTGCTTTCTTTTTTATATTTGTATCGTTTTTTTTTCTTTCAGTCGGGAAGCTCCGGATATCTGTTGGCTCACGTAACAAAGGTAAAATATCTTGACGGCATTTGAATCAATCAAAGAGCGTACTAACTCATTTTTTTACTACCCAACATTCCCACGCATCATTCTAGATCTATCATAACCTTGGGCGGGACGGGACTGAGGGGGTCAATAAGTGCTGCTGCACTTTGGAAATCATGACTGTACGGTATGCCAGAGTATTGACATTGATAGACTAAAGTTCCATCAAGGGTCTCGCCCAGGTTATGCCGTATCGCGTTAGGCTTTTCTCTGACGAATGTCAATCAATGTAAGGGAGTGACCTCCAGTAGCAGGTGGCATCCATTGCACAGCGGGTGTACGACTTGTTAAAATGGTAAATTGGTAAAATTCTCATCAAATTCCCAAATGAGACTGGTCTTATCCAGGCCTTTTTACATTTTTTAGTATTTTATTTTTTTGTTCCTTCTTCTTTTTTCTTTTGGTTCTCTTGGGGTCATCATTATGCTACATCGGTGGTTGTTTGCCATCACGATGAAGAAGCGGGCGTTTCATAGGAACGATAAGAGTGAAGTGGACTTGCAGACTCATCGAGATGCAGATGCTTGGCCACAGGTGATAGCGGCGCATTGTCTTCGCGCATGCGTTTACGCGGCCAAAGGACATGAGGAGAAGTTAATGACTGCCCTGCAAGAAATGAAGCAAGTGAATATACGTTTTGAATGGTGGAAGAGCCATAATTGTCGGTATCGTCGATGCTTGTGAGATCGAATCTGCTCAGACGTTCAAAGGGCGGATCGTCCAGAGTGAGCAAAGGTAGCGAAGTCTGCAGTTTATGGAGTGATTGATGACCTAAATAATTAGTGGCTTCCAGGGCCTGGGTATGTTCCGTGGGGTCCACGGCGTATTGTCGGAAGGTGATGGGAATACGATTGGTGTGTTGCAGCATGGCCAGGTTCCCGGCGAAAATACAAAGATGGAAGGTGAGTTCTGACAATACTTTGACGGGGGCGCGGATCTGGATCGTGTCGACCGAATGTGCAAACTGATCAAAGATCCAGAAATAGCCTTGCCAAGTGAGCGGCAAGTCCACCATCCGCAGTTCCTGGATTCCGTAGTGTCGAGTAATCTGCGGCACCGTGCGCTTGATAAAGGTATCAGTAATCGACTTATCCCCGGGAGGGAAAAGGACCTCACTCGACCAGATCTCTGGGTGCCCGAAAACAAAGGTCCGAAGAGCTGGGTCAACCTGTCCGAGCGTCAGTATATCTTTGAATGAAAGAAGTCCAATCAATCTGATCAGGATCGAGTCCGGCAGGTTGGTGAGCGTCATCCAAAAGGTAGTCAAGTCGAGAAAATAAGGGGTTCTTCAAATGATGCACGAGTCAAAAAAAACCCTTGGAAGCAACAAAAGAAAAAAGAAAAGTACCGAGAGTGTGAAAAAGTGAAAAAGTGAAAGTGAGAAAAAAAATAAAAAGTCAAATTGGGGTCGCATCACTTTTGTCTCTGCAAACTCTAAAAAGTCGAACCCGAGTGAGGGATACAGACCGTCCAAATTGAACCTCAGCTATCGCTTGTTCGCCCTTGCTCCATGTCGCTCGCTTTCATCATTACCACCTTTCAACTTGCCCATTTTTCAGTCTTTTCTAGGGATCCAACGCATAGCATCAATATTCATTCTGTGCATACATGTTATTTAATAAATGGGGGACGACAAGGTAAAAGAAGGAAAAAGCTCAATCTTCTCCTGTGTCGTTATCATAGAAATGGGGATTCCGAATCCGTTTTTGAAAAAGCACCCATTGGAACCAGGTATATTAATGAACCAAGCGAATTCTAAACTTTTGTAATACAGAAGATACCTGTTCAAGCACTGAAAATCTCAGTCCAAACAAGCATGCCCGATTGCTGTGAGCGCTTGCCGGCAGTCAAGGGTTACTGTAAAGAAGATCGGCATCTCGGCTGCCAACAAAAAGGGTATGGTTAGGTTATGCATGCAATCCTTCCATCTTAGCTCAACAGACAATAATCTAATATCGATGCGGATCCTTTTTTTTTTTCACACCCGACCCAAAAAGAACTTAGACCATTGCCTAAAAGGCGATGCTTATTGTTTATTACAGGAGTTGGTTGAGTTGATTGCGGTTAGCTCCATCTGTCGCCTACGGCTGTATGCAAAGCATCACTGAGCCCATTTCGTAGTTTGTCGGCATGACGTTCTTGAGCATAATGGTCTATATCCAATTAGAGTTAAATGGTCCCGTCACGGCTCAAGCCATAATAAGACTGCATGCTGTAACTGCTCGTCCAAAAAAAACAGTCTAAGCTTATTTTGTTAGTCACCACCATGATCCATGCGTCTCCTTTGAAAGAGAAAGAAAAAAAAAGGCCGCCCATATCATGGTAATGATTTTTCTGGGGGAATGAGCGGATCGGTCAACATTGTTTGATAATTGGGTGTCGTAGATGCCAATCAAGTGTACACGATTCCTTATTCGTTTTTTTGGGTCGGATCATGTTCCGATTATCATTCTTGAATCGATGGGAATTTTTGCCTGAAATGAAGTGTCTGTGACACGGGTAAATAAATTTGCCCGAGAAAAAAAAATTGGAATGAGTCCCCTCTTTTGCCATACGTGAGGCACGCGAGAATGCAGAGTCCGTCAGTCCATGTTCCTTTTTTCCAACCATTTCAATCCAGTCGTTTCGTCGCATTGAGACCATGACCCAACTTCATCGCGACTCTATTCACGCAACGTGTCGTTGTCGAATCGAACATCTCCTTCACCGTGACGATCACTACATCTTTATCACCAGCGCTCGTCAACATTCCGGCGGACACACAGGAAAAGCATTTGTCGTCTATCAGATTCGCATTGGTGTAAATAGTGTATTTCGCTGTATACAGACTATCGCCCCAACCGAGCATTCATAACCAACCGCTGCTTGACTTAGGGCATGGAGACTTATCGACGTTACAGCGAGTTCGAAGCTTTGCGGAACGCTTTGACCAGGCTCTACCCCGCTATCATTATTCCGCCCATCCCCGAAAAACACTCCATAGGTAAACCGTAAAACGAGCCACTTTTTCTACAACTTTTTTGTTCACTCACGCAATACTAGTGGACTACTCGCTGCTCCAAACGAGGATGAAAAAGGATGCCGATGTGGTAGAAAAACGCAAACGGATGCTGCAGGCATTTCTGAATAGACTGGCCCGCCATCCTGAGCTCGGTCACAATCACACATTTCATCAATTTCTCGACAGTGATGTTGTTTGGGTAACAGAAAGACAAAATCGGTGAACCATGGGTCCGATACAAAACTATTCATACTTGTTGCCGGCACATGGTAGGCAGATATTCTACGGTCACCGCCTCTTTCCGTACTTCCAAGGAACCCATTACAAATGGTCCTTCACAAACGTCCCGACGTGCCCATCCATGCGTACAATGCGATTCTGACCAATCAACATATTCCTCTACCAACTAACAAGCAGGTCTCCTCGGCGCAAGCTCCGCATATCGACGCATGGAAACAGACAGCTTTCCGCTCAGCAAGCTACATGGGCCATCAAGTCGACAAGAGTCAACGAAAACTCATGCGACGCTTGGAAGGTAAGCCTCAAAGCCAACTGTTCGAGCTTGAAAACGAAGCGAGGAAAATGGTGGGATTCACCAGTTTCCATTATAGATTTATCGCACGATTATGCGGAATTGGGCGCCGTTTATAACGGTTTGAGTTTGAACGAGAAAACCGGGGTGGCGGAGGTCATGGACAAAGTGGGGCAAGCGATGGACGCATCTCGCCATGATATAGAACACATGGTAAATGACAAAGACATTTGTGTACAATACTCGGGGACGCGGTTTGTTAAAAAAAACATTAATGCATTCTAGGTGACTTGTCTGGAAGGCGAAGTCATTGAACCGGTACAGGAACAGGCTCGATTTGCGCAGGCCATTCAGCACGTTTTGGATTTTTATCACAAAAAACAAGCACAAGCAGATCTGATTGAAATGTGTCTTGCCAACAAACAAGCCGCGCTTGCCAGCTTGCTGAGAATGGAGAAAAAGTCACAACATTTGACTGGATTCATGACAGAACAAGTATCCGCATCGGTGGACCCCTGCAGCGATGCGACCACAGCCCGTGAGTCTCTGAGTATCGCGCCTCAACCTTCAGAAAGGGAGATGGAGGAAGACCCTGCTGCGATTGCCAAACGATCTCCAGGGTATTGGTCAAACGGTCCATCGAGAATGTGGAGTGCTGTGGGTCACACCCTTCAAGGGATCGTTGACGCCGACCCTCAAGCCTTGCGACATCAACAATTGAATAAAACCAAAGACGCCGTCTCCGTGGTAAGCCTATTTCCGTAGATCCATTGCCAAAGAAAAACCAAGCTCATTACAAGAGTATTATTTCTACCTTTCTTTTTCATGTTAGATAAGTGAAGCGAGAGATATTGTTCAGCATGATTTTTCAAGCATAAATTCAAGTCTATCCGCCCAATTGGGTCAATTCCAGCAGGATAAAGAACGCGATTTGAGAGATATACTACTTGCGTTTGCCAAAATCCATGCTCGACACTGCCAAAAGGTAGGTCTATGACATATACGGAGAATGGTCTACAGTAAGCTTATTATACGTTGATAGAATCTGGAATCATGGCAAGAAACGCAAATACAAGTGAATAAAATGCTTTCTCCGTGATGGTTCTAAATTTTTATCTTTGTGGGTCTAAAATTTATATGATTATTCATGCCATGACTGTTGAAAGCGCTTTTCATTTTCAATCTGTCGTTCTATAAAGTCAACAACGGCTGATGGAAATGGTTAGATATGCCTAAACGGAGGGAGAGATTTCTGAGAGCAATGGAGGGGCTTACCATGTCCGTAAGTTTGTCGGAGGTCGGCATCGGCTGGTAAGGCATCGTGAGCTCGCGCTTCATCCCTATTCATGCATACTGTATTGAAATAGCTCAGAGGTTTGCTTCGATCCCATCGTACAAACGCCAATCTGTCTTGAGGGCCAGACAACACGCTCTTCTCATGCCACATCTCGTGCAGGATATATTCGACGTCGCGTACATCCAATTCGCATGATCTATGCAAACGGGTCAGTTGCAATGGAACCCGACCATCGTGCCAAGAACAAAGAATGGTTGTCTTTACCTGTTGCCATAGACTTTGTTTTCTCTCGTAGCGAGTTCATTCTGAATACGGACATAGGTGCCTTCGCGGATCTTCATGGGTGGCAATTTATAGGCAGTAAAGTTGGCTAATTGCAAGATCACATACGTGGCAATTGCCATACCAAACATGCTTGCAATAGGTCCAAGCGTGGGTAAATTTCGCATTGGAAAATCTTCCATACGTTTGCCTAATCTTCAACAGTCAGCATACCCAAATCAGATTGGTGATGCCACGTCCATCATTACCTTGAGAATGTCCGTGAATGTGGTATGCTTGCTCAATCGAATGAACGACAGCCACTTCTCTATCCACGCCCAATTTTCGAAGACGCCTTCTGATAGAAGTCATCAATGGATCATCTATGAAACCAGAAAATCATATTTAATACCATGGTTTTCCACATGACCGATGTACAAGGGCGAATAGATTACCAAATGTGTCACTGATATCACAGATCTGAATTCTAGTTGGATCCGCTTTGGCGCCCGGCGAGGAAGTCGTCATGACATTAATTTGACGATCGCGACAGTATTTGATGAGTTGAACTTTGAATCTTGCGTCGTCCAGAGCATCCACGACGAAATCCGGATTGCCTAGGTTGAGCAATGAATATTTGAGAGACTTTTTTGTCCTGTGGTGACGCTCATATACCTGACAGCAGCTCTTCAGCATTGGCCAGAGTGAATGCCTCGGTTCGACTGTCGACCTTGACAAAAGGAGCGATTTGATTAAAGTGCTTTTTGAGCGTCATGGCTTTGGAGGTTCCGACGTCCTCGAGCGTGGCTGTGGCGTGCCGTGTGAGAGTGCCAAGGGTGACTTGCTCGGGATCGACAATACGGATATTTTGTACACCTGAACGAATCAACATCAATGCTGCCCACGACCCGATGCTGCCTGCGCCCATGACAACCACAAACGACTGGCGCACTTTGTTCACGCCGTCTTCACCGAGAAAAGCAATGTTACGTGCCAATTGTTCTTCAATCAATGATTCGTCATATTGAACGTCTTTCAAAGTGTTACTGTCGACATTGGCTAGCGAAGGTTCCACAGTCCCCAATGGAGTGAGTTTGGTTTGTTGCAAATGAGCGGCGTGGAGTTCTTCCTTTAGCGATCGCGTGCGCAATTTTCGACGAGATGCTTGAACGCTCAGAATGGCTGCTGCCGTCAGAGCCGATGCTGCGACCGCGGTCAACGTCAGCTTGGCAGCATGTTGATGTCGTTCCAAAAACGCCACTGTTTGTTCTGCGTAGCTCGGCATGTCGAAATCGAGAAACCCAATAAGAAAAAATAAGTGGCCAAAGAAGGGGGAAAAAATGAAGAGGCCCAAAGAATTAAAAAAAAATGCAAAATCTGGCAATCCGAAAATCTCAGTCATGCCACAGCTTAAAAAGAAAAGAGTAGTCGCCGAAACGTCCAAATACCATCTTGATCAGCAAGGTTGTTGTTTTCTTTTTCCATTTTCCATCATGAAATCACAGAACTGTCAATGATATCATGAAATTTGGATCCAATTGCTTTTAAAGGAAATGCGACAAATGAACGCATGGGTGTATGATTTCAATATTTGCAGTTGCAGAGTATCATGCAAAAGGATCGTGATCTCACTCTGAACGAGGCCATGGTCAGTGCTCACAGATCCACATTTTCTCTCACACAGTCAATGCTCACCGTATACTGACATCTACTTTAGCCAATAGGTACTATACTATCCCCTAGTGGCCGTCGCTGGCGAACTTGGGGTCAATATGATTCCCCAGTATTACCTACCTCTGCTCGATGTGATATGTTGTTCAAACAATGACCAAAGCCCTCTCACCAACAAATATCAATGGATCATCGTGCTTCTTAAAAGATCATCATGACGTTGGGTATGGCATAACCCTTTTGGATTCAATGGATCACTCCAGTTTTCGCCAGGGTCAACATAGGCAAACTAGGTAATGGTGAGTTGTTTAGAGGATGTTGCTTGTGGTATTTTGTTGTTTTATTCTATCCGCTGCGCCGATAGATACAGTAACCGAATGCTGCGTATTTGTATGCAAGTGCAGATTGCAAAGGATTGAAAGATTCGAGGCTTACAACAAGATTGAGTATGCAATCATATGCATGTTGTTTGCCAAACAACTCTGTGTACAGCTGATGCCAAAAGCCCGTTCTGAAATCACAACAACAAAGTTTGCTTCGCCACCAAACGTAGTTTGAAGTACCAGAACTTTTTCTCCGGTCTCCATCATTAAAAAGAAGAAGTAGCCCAAAAGCTCAAGCTAGCGTAACGCGTACCTTCAGCATGGTTGAATGTAGCAAACTATCAGTGAATAGCATTTAATATAACGGATCTTTTTTCCTTTTTTTCCCTTTTCCGCATGATTTCATTTTGTGCAAGGGATCATCATGTGCGAAACTCACACTTTGGTGGCTGATGTTGCACGATGATTCTCCAAACTCGCTCTTTTTATTTTATAACCCTTCTTTCACCGCAAATACGTCGTCTTCTATGCTTTATTGCTGCTTATGTCAATAGCCACCCTTGCTCCTAATCTTGCGTTACCGTCGAATAACGACATTCCGTCCCTGGTGGTGGGGGAGTCACGGTCTTACTATTTCTATGAAAAACTTAGCATTTCAAATACCTCATCTTCGACCAAATACCAGCATCGTAATAAGCCAATTATACCCTCCATTCCTCGTGAACGCATGTAGGTAATCCCTCAGAGTGCGTCTGATGTTATCTTTACTAATCTTGCAATAACTCAGTAAGGCACCTGTCAATTCGCCTTTATCCCCTATTCGAAGTTCCAAAGTCCCATCGTCGTCGTCGTCGTCGTCGTCGGCTGCTCCACCATGCACCGGCTTAAGTCCGCCTCAACGGCCATACCCTCTTCTGTCCGCCACGTCCTTGCCCACGGTGCTTCAGATACCGACAAACAAGAAACGGGGTCGAAAAGTTAGTTTTAACGAACAGGTGGTTGTTGTGTGTACCGTATTCGACAGTGAAGAGGATGAAGGGGAAGAACATGATCCAGAGTCGGAAACAGGTCAGCGGCAGTGGTTCCGTCGATGGTCGACTGGGTCGACTCCTCAGCAAGAGGATGATGAAACAGGAGCACGTCAATCATTCAGCAAAGTCACCACTTCATTGAAACGCCTTAGTCAGCGTTTGTTGCCATCGTCCGAACTGTTTACAACGAACCAGTAACTGGTGGCGTTCAACACATTCCTCACGGTAAACAAAAGTAACTGTCAATGTTCATCTCCTAGCTAAATTTATTTCATCAAGTCGACCCCTTTTGGGCTTCCAAACGGGCATTTCATTTTCCTGTGGTCTTTGTCCGGCCCAAAAAAAATTCGGTTTAAAGCATTTTTAAAATACATAGTGCATTTGGCATAACGTCATTCCCTTGATGTCTTTTGTTATTGAATTTTTACTGTCGATAGAATCATCCAAAAAAAAAGAGGTGGAAGCAAAAGAGGAACAGGGTCTTGGAACAAGACCCAGCAGTCCAAATACTGCATTGACCACACCCACACGGTTGCAGTGTTTATAAAACGTTCAATTTCGTCAGTGTTACCGTTTTTGCTTCTTTTCAATCTTCCATTCACTTCATTTCGTTTCCACATTGATGGACGCTATTCATCAATCATTCGCTAAAGAAGCTACCCATATTTTGGAAACCGGCATTGGTGCAAGGATAGCTAGAATCCAGCGTGTGATTGAAGACCATCCAATCGAAGCCTCGGCTTCATCGACCAACAGTAATAAGCGACGGATGTTGAACACCGGGGAAATCGTACGCGTGACCAATAATCCATCCATGGAGGAATTAATGACAGCGGTTCGCGAAGAAGCAGGTTATTTACTGATGTACTCCAAAACAGGTATTTTTGATGATACCGTCGTAATCATTTTTGGGAAGGAAGCTTCCTAAATCAGGCTAGTGAAAGGATGGTGTCGAAGTCAGACGATTCACAAGGCAAATGACTCGCAAAACGAATCCTCCTTTTCCACCGTGGCGCGTGATGCACCAACATCCAAGGAAGCCATGGAACTTGAGGAGATATGGTGTAAAGGTAACGCCAAATCTTGAAGTGTTTGCCAGAAGCTAAAAGAGTAGAGTGATAGTGATCAACAAAGGCACCATTGACGCCGAAAAATATGCCTCCAACATACTAGACAACTTGAAGCACTATCTTCAGGATAAAGACGGGCAGAATAGGTTGACATCCTTTCTTTTTTCTGTATCAGGAGAATAATATAAACTGATAGTGAATTAGGAACCAAGTCGATTGTGAAGCGCCATGGTAGGCTTGATTTTCTGGAAACCCCGCGATGTCTGATACTAAAGTATTTTGTAGTCCTTCAATGTCGTCCTCCATCGATGATATTATCATTATCCAATGGTGCGCCCAACTGCGAGAAATGTGCAGTCTCTGTAAGCAGATCTCTCCATGAAGCAATATTCGACATAGACTGCAGCTGATGATAATGTGGTAGATATGACTTATTGGCATTCGGGTCTTCTTTTGCATAAAGCCCATAAGAATTAATGGGTCTTTCTCGGGTGTCCATTCTCATATTTGATCAACGAACTTTCCCAAGCGACCATTCAATGTGTGAAGAACAACCCAACCACACTGCTGCAAAATGATAATCAAAAACAAGATATGCTCTGTACATGAAAAGTTTATTACTTGCATAAAAATGGCCAATCGCAAACGCAAGTCAGCTTTTTTTTTTTTTTGATCCATGGGGATCGGTGGAAGGAAGGCTTTTTTTTTTTTGGTGGCGTTCAATTATTTTTTTCCTGGCCGAATTTCAAGTCACACACAGTCGACTTTTTTTTTTCTCAGCAGCAAGAGACCGAAAAATTTTTTTCCAACAAAAAGTCAGCCGGGGCCGGCGTCAATACAGGTTCTTTCTCTTCTTCTGTGGTATTAAACTATGACTGGCGCCTCCAGAAACTGTAAATATCGCAAGCGATAAACAACGAAAAAGAATAGAATCCAAGTATATTAATACTGTTTTTGTTTTGCGATGAAAAAAAAAAGACTCCAAGACCTACAAGGTCCCTAAGCGTCCTTTCGAATCCGCCCGCCTCGATGCTGAATTGAAGCTCGTCGGTGAATACGGTCTCAAGAACAAGAAGGAAGTGTGGCGTGTCGGTTTGACCCTCTCCAAGATCCGTCGTGCTGCTCGTGAGCTTTTGACCTTGGATGAAAAGGACCCCCGTCGTCTTTTCGAGGGTAATGCCTTGATTCGTCGTCTTGTTCGCATCGGTGTGTTGGACGAAACCCGCATGAAGCTCGATTACGTCTTGGGTCTTAAGATTGAGGACTTCTTGGAGCGCCGTCTCCAGACTCAGGTCTTCAAGCTCGGTCTTGCCAAGTCCATTCACCACGCTCGTGTCTTGATCCGTCAACGTCACATTCGCGTTGGTAAGCAGATTGTCAATGTGCCCTCCTTCATCGTCCGCTTGGTAAGTTTTTTCTTTGCGCTTCCATCAGCCACTGCAGCTGCCCAAACTTTTTTCTTGACTCCATATTGAAATTTGGTGGCTGATTTTGCTTCTTTCATCTTTTTAGGAATCCCAAAAGCACATCGATTTCGCCTTGACCTCTCCCTATGGTGGCGGTCGTGCTGGTCGTGTTAAGAGAAAGAGAGCCGCTGCTGCTGCCGGTGGCAACGACGAGGAGGATGAGGAGTAAATCCTTTCTTTTTGTAATCCAGTCTTTTCTCATTAAAAAACAATGGCCTAGTAAAAATATGTGGCTGAATTTTGTCTACACATTGTCAACTCTGGAAATGCCATGTAATATGTTTATTGATGGAGAAAAAAGAGGCGAAAGTGGCATGTCGTAATTGATTGAGCTCAGTTTCTTTCATCTTTTCCACTCTCAAATTGATCTTTAATCTGTTCTTGGATATTATATTTTAATGAATCGAGTGCTTTTTGTTTCTATCAACGTGGTGCAAAGCCGCCAATTGGCATTTTTGCAATAACATGTTGGGTGTACCACACGATGCGGTTGCCACTCGAGCACGTCTGTTATGGTGGTGTAATGCATTCTCTCTTTGTGACGCATGGACATCGTTAGCTGCTGTGCTGTACACGCGCACCCGCCTACTTTGCCAGACGTCAAGAAGTGCGCAACTGTCCTTTTTGAGGCATGTCAAAAACTCACGTGGTTTGGGGTTATTCCTTTTTGGGCAGCGCTTCCAACATTATCGTCATCGTCTCTTTTTCATTTTTTCCCCGCTGCCTCTTTACCAACCATGGATCCAGAAGACACAAGCTACCTTGCAATGATCAATAACCCTGCCATTAACCCAGCATCGTCGAATGACGATGCATCGCCTTCAAATTCCAAGTCATCCATCACAACCCAATCGGCTACCTTTGACGAGGCGGTAGCGGCGCGGCAGCAGCTAGACAAGGTGGCTTCGGACCTTTGTCTTGTATCCGAAACGGATGCCTCCTTTGAACCGTTCAGTGTACCTTGGTCCAAACCATCACTGCCTACATCGGAAGAACTCGTCAATATCGGCCTGGTCGAACAGGGCTCGCCATGTGACATGCGGCCATTAGATGAATTTTTCGGACCTTACACCGATCCCAAGGATGCGTACGGACAAGCGACTGGGTTCAGTACGTTGCAGAATACGCTGGAGATGCTTTTTGGTGCTGACCAAGTCAAGGTGTACCTTTGCGGTGAAGTCACTGTAACCGTGATTATTGTGGGAGTCGTGAACTCCAGGGACAAGAACGAAACCGCGTTGGTGGGGCTTAAAAGTACGCTGGTGGAAACCTAAACAATATGCGGATCGACATCCAGTGGAACCAAAGTGGTTTATCCCATGAGGAATACAAACATTTGAAAAAAAAAAAAGCCAAAATATGATGCACGGCGTTCTATATGTACAAATACATAAACAGCCACATGCATACAGACACAGCTTGAAATACACACGCAACCACTCAATTTTTTTTTTCCTCCACTTTAATTCAAAAGAACCTTTTTTCCCTTTTTTCCTTTGATTTCCCCTCTTTCTCTATTTCTTTTCAATAAACCTACTTCTTTTCAACCATGCCCAAAGAAAAGACCAAGAAGACCTGTGAGTTCATGCTACTCCATCCAGTCCCATTCTCTTTTTAACATCCCACTGATATTATTTCTTTCTCAGCTCGTGCCATGTCGCCCTATAACCAGTACATGAAGGTAAAGTCGCTGAAATGGAAAGATGGGCAACTTTTTTTTATGTTCTTCCTTCTGACTCTTGATGGTGTCTTCCTAGACGGAACTGGCCAAGATCAAATCAGAAAACCCTGGCATGGAACATAAGGCTGTAAGTACCACGCGCTGTTGACGGTCATGTTATTATCATGGATGGACGCGACAACTCAACCGTGTCATTTACTGTATCATTGTAGGCATTCAAAATGGCGGTAGGTTAAACAAGGAGAAAAAAGAACATAAAGAAATCCCACTGTATTCTCATCCAGTTTAAAATAGGCTAAAAACTGGGCTACTGCAAAAGAAAATCCAAAGCGAAAAGATGCCAAATAATCGGCTCCCGTGTCATTGCAAAAAGAAAAAACAACATACGAAACAGTATAACCTCACTTGTATGCGCACTCAACCGATCCTTTGCACATCACGATGGCCAAGCTTCCGCCCGTGTCACATCCATCATACCTATAATACACGCTCCAATAAAAAAAACACTTGAAAATTGATAATCCATGACTCTGTCTCGTCCATCTCTTTCCTTCTTGCCACACTTTACTCGCTAGATGACATGAGCAAAGGTCGCTCTGCGGTATCCTCGGTACTATAAAACCAAGGGCAGCTTCACAGCCCAAGTTCTTGTGTTGAGTGGCAAAAACATTTGCTCATATTACTAAATACCGCGTTCAAGGAGAAATTTTAGTTACCAATCAGATGCAACAATCCTATTTAATCACTATGTCAACTTGTCTCCTCGTGTTCAACAATGCAAAGGAATTTGCTATACTGACTAGTCCTTCCCACCCAAGGATCGTTGCACCACGACAGATAAATCCAAAAGAAAAACGTACACTTGTCATTCAAACTGTCTCACTCTAGTACGATGGAGTCATTAAGCGGAAACAAAGCCTGGCCCACGTATGGATCCACGTGAAACTTAAGGCACAACAACCATAAAAATACGCTACATTACTACACCACCAAATTCTTCATTCTGGAAAATCGTACTTTCTGCAGTCACTAATGTAAGGTAACTTTTGGATGATCCTCAGGCTGTACGAAGAAATAATTCTAGTTCATCGTGTTCATTTGAATTTAACTACAGTATAATCGTCAGGGTTAAGTATCAAGGGTGATCCACAGCATGCAAGGTAAAAAAATTTTTAACTGGGGTCCAATGTTCCCAAATAAGTGTTGCGAACCTAATTGAACCGCCACATACATCTGCTGCTTTTAGTAATGTGCAGCCTATACTGCAATAAATCATTTCCATGCGCGAGTTACCGCCTTTTTTATTTTTTACAAAAGGTCTATCGCGTATACGTGTGTTCAGTATACGAGCGGAGCACTGAGTACACAACAGAATGTCTGATAAAACCATCATGCCTGTTGGTCCATGGCAACAACTGGTACACTCCTGTGAAACAAATAAGAAGAAAAACAAGCATATGTATCAATCCATGTGAACTATGGTCATTCAAACACCACTGCAGTACTGAACATCTTTTTAAAATCATGGATATATACATGCTCAGAGAGAAGCATGGAACGGATTATCCATACTCAACCAGTAAGTCAGTATTATTTGGGGAACCTGCAGAGCAAGAAGCCAAATATGATACAGGGGGAATATGATTATATTTCAAGCGCATCGTCAGAGCAATATGACTTGACCCATTCACTGTTCCTTCATCGCCACAGAAAATGCTGGAACCATTGGTATAGCGATCCACGACGGAGGTGATTTGTTTGTTATACCATTGGTGCTTCATAGAATGTTCAGAGCAAAAAGTGTAGAAAATGATCATCATACATTAGGATCTATTGCAAGAAACAATGATCAATAGAAAATAATGACTGGTCCGTCTTTGAGACTTGTGTTATCGCGATAAAATACAATCATCAAACGCGTTGCACGACGATGCCTGTGGGTCCTAAAAGCGGATCCAACGGACTCTCTCTGTTTTTATTGTACCCTACCATTCGAAATTATGCAGCTATAAGAAAACTTGTTCGAGGCATAGCAGACTACAAGAGATACAACGATTCTCATGAAGCGCTTTTACACACCAACTCACGGACCTTGAAACATGTCTCTTATTGTTGGGCCCTGAACAAGATCTACCGACCACCGAACAAGGGTAGTAGTATGGTATGCTTCATTACAAGTTATTGAATCGTCAAGAATGCTTACAATTGGAAACTGGGGATAAACTAGGTTTTCTGATCTAATAAACGTCAAAGGTGCCAACAACAGCGAATGGGTTCCAAACAAAGGGGTCTCTTGCTAATACAATCGTGGAACCTTGAAGATAGATAAGGACCATCCATAGTAAAATTGTAAGCACCTTTGTATCATCATATTAGAAAAGTATGTTTATGACAAGGCAACTTAATAATGGTAGGTATCGCGAGAGAATTCAGGGTCTTGAATGAAGGCTGCCAAGACTTTGCTTCCCGTTTGAAGTAGAGGATGACCGGCCACGCTGCAAGGTCGTGGATGAGAATTGAAGCTTCATTCTTTCTGTTACCAAGACTTACATTTGCAGGAATCTTTCAAGGCCTTCTCTGCGCTGTTCAATGACTTCGTCTGAAAAGCGATTGGTAAATACCTTTCCAGGGAGCGGGGGTATATTGACACGCGCCGATTCGCGTTCCAGTTGGTCCTTGAACCATTCAAAGTCTCTATACCGTCGACGAACCGATGATTGTTTCAACTTGAATGCAGGAATATTGGTCTGTTTCGACGGTTCAAAATCCATATAAACCAAAAAAAAAAATAAAAAAAAAACCACAGTAAGTATGCAGCGAAAAAATTAGCCCATGGCACGTATGACTTTTCTTACCCGACACACGATCTCATAATCAGTATACATTTTTCGGCCAAATCCTAGGCATGACCAATGAGAATGAGTGTCCCCGAAAAAAGACCTGTTATCGCTTCCCTTCTTACCATGTGTTTGTGCATTCTTAACATCGATTTCCAAAAAGTTTTCGGGAATTCCATAACGTTCTTCAATGGTCTGTTCGCGAGTACTAGCCGAGGCCATGCTCTCAAAGGCCCGGAACCGAGGACTCGGTGAGTGCACGGAATCAGTCATGGACAAAGAGATCACCAAGTAGATGAAACGCAAATACTAGCTTGCTCAGCAAAAAACTGGCCCATTATCAGTAACGTGTGACGTTACAGTGTCGCTTTTGGAAATCTGCAATTTCGACACCAAGCGGTTGCTCCCAAAATTCCTATATGATATAAAATCCACTTTCTAACTCATCGTATAGTGAGGCATGAACACGGAACAAAAGAGCAGTAGGATAGTAAGGAAACTGTGGAAAGTAATTTAATCATCATGCTGTAGGTATATGTCTCTTTAGCCGCCAAATATGCTGTAAACGCGTGGCCGCCTTTTTTTCTCTTTCCAAGGTCTTTCATTTTGAGTAAGCTGTATCCAATCATCTTTGGCTTTAAATCAGCTGTTCGTATTTATCTTGTTGCTATTGTGCGGGTAAGGCGTATTAGCTCGATTCAACCTTATCTGGTAGTGCACTGATCAACCATGCGGCATGAAGCGCCAACCCGCACCGACCTTCTAAGCCACGTTATCAGCCATCCATCGTTGGGACTTTTTTTTGTCTTCCGTCTTTCCTGGCAGGCTCTTTGAAATGGCTCGGTACGTCATATCGATTCGAGCAGATTAACGTCGTTTCAAAACCCCCCAAAAAATTGGCGCAAAGGTTAATGCGGGCAGCAGATTGCCAACCAGCTGCCGGAGTCTAAATTCAATGATATCATAAGCTGGAAAGGCTTCTGCACCCCGATGGACATCGTTTCTTTTTTCGCTTTTGGATGGATAGGCGGGCCTTGATAGTGGTGGAATTGGTTCGTCAATATGACATTATCAAGAAATCCTAAAAATTTATACTTCTTAGTTCAAACTGTCGTTGTGGAACGTTGTTCAGAACCAAAATTCACAACTAGATCCCTTGTCAATTCCCGTCCCTTGATATTCTGTGGACCAGAGCGCGCAAAAAGAGAGCCCGGGATTTTTTTGGATCGGGAAGGGCAAGTGGCATCATTTTCCTTTTTATTTTTGGGAACAATGAGATAGCGGAGTGGTTGTTAAAAAGCCTACAGATGATGGCATGCATAACCAATGCATGGTCGCGAACCGTATCATTGGCAAGCCTTAATTCAAACCCCGTACAACGCCACAACTGGCCTTTGTTCCTCCATAGCAATACATCACAAAATACAGAGCCGCAAACGAAAAGCAAGCCTTTTTTCTTTGCCAGCCACTTCTCTTAGTATTTTGACACCTTTCAAATGAACACGAGTTGACAGGCTGCTTCTCGGATGCACGGTATGAAACATAGCAATAAAGAAGCATGAAACGGAGCCAAAAATAATCCATGATTTCAGTACGCCCTTTCAAATTTACGTAATTGTCTGTTAGCTCAGACAGTGAAACAAGGTCATGGCGGGATTTTGGGTTTCATTAAACGTATATATAAAGTGATCCTCATGGGCAAAATAAGTCGCATTAATCACTAAATAGTTCGCAACCATGTCCTCTGAAACTCCCACTCGCACTCCCACTGTACAAACTCCCGCTGCACAGACTCCCTCGGAAAACGTGGTTGTCAATCCTCCCAGCGAGGACAACGATACCACTCATTTGGCCCAGCAATTCGCTAACCGTCTTCACACCGACTCTCCCAGAGACAAGCAGAATTCTTCTTCTGTCCAGAAGGATTGGGCCTTATTGCGTGATCCCGTTCTTCACACTGAACGTTTGGATGCTATCCGCTCCAAGAAGGGTTACGTTATTGATATGGATGGTGTTATTTACCACGTAAGTTAGTGAATTAGGGTATAGTGACGGGTACATTTAATTTGGCGGCGATGCTAATGAATTGGGGGTTTTTCTCTATAGGGTACCAAACTTTTGCCTGGTGCCAAGGAGCTTGTTGATTTCTTGAACCGAAATAACAAGAAGTATCTCTTCTTGACCAACAACTCGGCTCCTACTCCCCGTGAATTGCAGCAGAAGCTCAGCCGATTAGGCATTGAGGTCACTGAAGACCACTTCTTCACTGCCGGTCAGGCTACCGCTTACTTCCTCAAGTCACAGATGCCCGAGGTATGAATCACCTTCCTTTTCTAACTGAGCCGTATACATACAGATAAGCTGACGTTCTTTTTTGTATTAGGGTGGTACCGTCTACGTGATTGGTGAACCTGGTCTTGCCTATGCTTTGTACGATATGGGTTTCTTCATGAACGACCACAACCCTGACTATGTTATTCTTGGTGAAGGTCCTTCTTACAACTATGAAAAGTTGACCAAGGCTGTTCAGCTCGTCCAGCAGGGTGCCAAGTTGATTGCTACCAACTTGGATGTTGAAAACTTGGATTCCAAGGGCAACAAGATCCCCTCTTGCGGTGCTTTCACTGCTTCCGTGGAATTGGTTACCAAGACCAAGGCTTTCTTCTGTGGTAAGCCTTCCGCTTTGATCATGCGTTACGCTCAGCGCGTGCTTGGTTTGAGCCGTCTTGAAACCTGTATTATTGGTGACCGCATGGATACTGAGTAAGTGAAACATGCATGAGTTGAGTCGCATCGCATGGGTTGCTAATTCTTGTCATTTTAGTATTGTTGCCGGTGTGAACTCTGAAATTGACCCTGTGTTGGTGTTGTCTGGTGTTACTGCTATGGAAGATCTTTCCACCTTTGCTTACCGTCCCTATCTCATTTTGGGTGGTGTGTATGAAATTCCCAACGAAGATGAAAAGCACAACATCTCCGAAACTGACATGGAAGAAGCTGCACGACGTGCCTCTTTCCTGTAAACTCTTCACAACCTACATTCCTTTTAAACCTCTTTGTAAAATAAGTTGTTACATAGAACCACACATGTGAAAAATATATAATTTTTTTTGTACAGTTAAAAAACCCTCGTATTGCTTTTTGGCTTTATCGATAAATTCCCACCGTGTGTGTCCTTGATGTAATTATGATGACTGACACGAAAGACAGCTTACTGGAGAAGCGGAACTTCTATCCTGACCCTGGCGACTGGGCTTTCTGTCGAGATTGAGCGAATTCTTTTGTACCTTCACGAAAATTTTGCTTTACCCAAATTTTACAAAGCGGCGAGCTTTTTTTCAGTTAAGGAACCTCAAATAAAACGCTAGCAAAAGTGGAGGTCGATGCAATTCGTAATCTGAGGGTCGGTCATGATATGAAGGTTAATAAGCAATAAGGTGGCACAAAAGAGGATGTCGAGGGCAAAAAGTGGTGAAGGGATGCGGCGCATGAGAGCGGACAATGAAAGATTGTATAAAGAAAAAAAAGTCTAAACGTCCAAAAAAATAATGCTGGGCGAATTGACTGGGCTTGATCGGGGAACAATCAGTTGAAATTTTTTTGGTGATATGAGTTCTTTATGGCACAGACAACCATGGGATAAGCAATCCAGTCGTCCATCCTCCCCGCTCGAACCACACGAATCCACTTACGTTCCTGTCGGTCGCATATCTCGTCAAGATCTCCTCCAACGCTTCCAAGACTCACTCAAGCTCATCGAACAGAAAATGACCACTTCGGTCAACGCAAACACATTACCATCCACGCCCTCGCATGCGTGGCGCATTTATGACGGCATGCCCGATACACAGGTTCAACACAGTTTAACCCCATCATCGTCCCCGACTATCACCCTCAAGCGATGTGCCGAATTCTCTTTATACGATAACCCTATCAACCCTAAACGATCCAAAACCCCCTTGTCACCAGACGCACTGCCAACGGTGTCACTTAATATCAGCGAAACCATTCAGCGCTACAAATCAACTCTGGAATTCATCAGAAGAAATCGTAATCAGCCATTATCCTTTCTCTTGACACCACCATACCATGTTCCCCCGGCAGAATCTTCTTCTACGCGGACCCGCGACGCACCCGACACCACGATTGCCGATAGTAACCTCTCACATACCACCCGCCACACTCATACCACTGTCACCGACGCACCTCAAGAGCTCCGTGCCGCTTCAGAAAGCTCACAACACAAACAGCAAACAGTCAACACGCGCCCGGTTCATGGCATGGCCTCGAGATGTGGAACCGAAGATATTCTTGAAGAATTATTAAGTGGCAATGTTCTTGAGGAACTATCTGGTGACAACGTGCCGCAGAGTCCAGCTAAAGGAAGGATTCATTCTGTGCAAGAAGAAGCGGCTGTGGATCCCTCTGAATCCACTACTTTCGTTCATCCTCCTACGTCAACCGAGCCACCTCTTGCTGCTACCACCATCCCGTCGAATCCAATGGCTGTCGGTGTCTCTGCACCTGCAACGAAAGATCCGATTCCTGTGTTTGCAACCGATGTTGAAGAACCTGTGGCCGAAGCATCGGAAGCCCAGTGGAGTTCAGAAACGTCTACGCCTGAAAGGATTCCTGTTACCGTTGCCGAAGTTGAGGAATTTTTGGTCGAGGTACCGGAACCTGAGCCAAGTGCGGCAACCTCAATGACAGATACTACCGATGTTGGATCTGCGGCTAAAGGGGCGGAAACCCAACCGAATGCTTCTGCCACCATCGTAGTCACTCTTCCTGTTGCTATTCCAGAAGCACAATTGTGGCCGCATCAAATGGTGCCCGTCTATCCTACTGCCGACCAAATGAAATTCTGTGCACAACTGAGTGATCTGGCCGATCCAGATGTGCACGCGTCTCTGAGGGCCTCTCTAGTCGCCATGCTTGACGTGCTTAATCATCCCGAAACGTCTGCCCTCGAAGGAGCGGTGTTTGAGACCGACGATCGCTGGGAGATGTCAGGCAAGACCATCTTTATCAGACGACTCGTTGATACTCTGATCAGTGAAAATAAGGCAAGTTCAACCGTCTGGGTCATTGAATTGGATCATTGATGTGTTGAGGCTCTTCCCCTTACAGGCTGTCAATGTCGCTATTATTACCTATGACGTGAACATGGAAACGCTGCTTTACAGTATGTTCCGTCAAGCCTCTTTTGCATGCCAACGCATCAATGCCATCATTGATGATTGGGATCGAGAGTACGGTATCATCATCCGAACTGTGAAAGCCGACACCCCCGTGTCCCCAGTAAGTAAAATAATTAGGATTTACAATAGCAACAACTTTTCTAAAAATCCACGGGATCGATCCAGGCTATTTATTACTCGGAAGGTATTCATTTGAGTATTGCATGCGATATGCGAATTGGTCCCGACAACGCCGTCTTTGAAAAGATTCACGGCAACATCGGTCGTCCTTTTCCGTCCCTTTTTCTCGTCAGCGTTGGCAGTGTGGAACAGCGGGTTTGGGGACATGAAGATCAGTTGTTGAACCCAGAAAAGACATGGGTAAGCGACATCTCTACTTTCAAGCAATTGGTGAAGCAACCCACCACATGGACGGCGTCTCGTCAAAACGATATTGCGATGGTCGACAAGTCATTGGACGCGATTGTTAAATGGATTTCCTCCGCCTCTCACGCTCGTCTGCAGTTCCATCTTGTTCCAGCTACACAAGCTCAAGTTGCGCAACAGGAAGATACCGCTACCCAGACGACTCTGGCTGTAGAACCTGCGGTTCCTGAAGTGTCTCGAGCAATCGATGCTGTGGCAGATAGGCAAGCGCAAACCACGGCGGAAGCCCAACCAGTGACTGAACAACCAGCAGCAGTCGATCCACAAACGATGCAAGACCCAAGCGCCAAAGAAGGAACGGTTCCAGCTGATAATCAGGTGGCCATTCCGGAAGCATCAGAAGCAGTGGTTCAGCAAGAAACAGTTTCAGTGGCGCCGGTAGAAGAAGGAGGTGCCTCGGCTGTGACCGACGTGTCTGTCCCAGAAGATGAGACATTGACACTGAGTGGATTGTCTCTGCAAGATGTAGCAAAGAAAAAATATGAACGTTCGGTCACCGAGCTTACGGGAGAGATGGATATGGAGATCTCTGATGGGGAAACTCCTCCCTCATTTGAGCTCCCACCAAGGAACTTGACCATCAATGTATCCGATCATCAGCCTTTTGCCGCTCAGCCCTCGCTGTCCAAACCTTCTTCGCCAATGGACGGCGGATCTCCGTTTTCATTGACTTTTGAACTGGACCAACAAAAGAAGCTGCAAACCAAGTGGAGAAAATACATTGAAGAGGTAATAATCCTGTTTTGTACACCGACAAGTCAAATAACAAAAAGAAAAATAACCGATTCGTTACAGTTATTTGTCGGTTACGGGTATCCATTTTCTCGAAGACAACGATCCAAGGAGTCGAGCGTAAAACGAGTTACTACTTCTGCAGAAACACAGGTAGCCACGACGACGACGGGGGGTTGCACCGGAGAAAGCGGACCATCCTCTGACGAAGAATCGTCGTACTACTCTGCAAACGAGTCTGAATCTGACCTTGAAGGCTCACCGTCAAAAGAGCCCAAAGGCACAGAGGAAGACCGAAAATCCGCCGCATTATCCAAGCTGCTTGCATTCCAAGACTCGCCTATAAGTAAGTATTCATTTCGTGACACTTGATGCCCAACACTCTGATCGATTTTATTTATTCATATCTAGGTTTATCGGACCAACAAAAGCAAGCATTACTTAGTATTCGTCTAGAATATGAAGGTGAAGTACAGAGAGAAGTGGAAAAATTGATGAAATCAATCCAGCAGCGATATGTCGAGCGAGCATTGCAAGACGTCACGGCCACCCAACTGCCTCTAAAGAAGCGCGGTGCGGTGAAAAGCCATCCCACCTTGAGCGAATAATCATCCAAAAATGTATATAGTCATCCCTCGTTTCACGGTTGCCCTATTCTAAAATGTGTACATGCTTTATAATCCTTCTACTTTTCTATGACCAAACAAATGCAATGAGAACCCTCGCGGTACCCGACCGGTAGTTGACCGGTGTTTGGTTGGTGCATGGTTTCCTAAACATTCATATTGGGTGTGGTGTGCTTCCATGTTTTTTATGCCCATAGTTTTGGAAAAGCGTTATTGTTCAGAGATTATGATTATTGGCAAGTTGATACTAAGGTATTGAACACTCCCAACCACCGTAATCAAGCGCAATGCGCATCGTGGGCCATGGGTGGAGCGGGTGTGACTTGATTTTCAAAGACAGAATTCCCCATTGAGAGAGGAGTCTCTGGCGCCAAAAAGAGGGCGAAAGCCAGTGGAAAGGGTTTTGTTCAACTGCAACATGTACATTGCAACGTGGGATGAATTTCAGAAAGCCGTCGAGGAACTGTATACGGCTTCTCCAGAACAAGTAATATATGCGAACCTTTGAATGCTGCTATTGGCATCTATCCACCCGCTCACATGTGTGCTTCTTTCATCAGACCCGCTACGTTCAAACCTATCGTCACGCTCAAGAAGAGTTAGTTCTCAAAGTCACCAATGACCGTACGGTGAGTGTTGTGTCTCCAAAATATCGTGACATGACCCACAAGAAGTACATCTGAATTAACCATGCGAACCTTCAGCTTTTGCAATACAAAACAAATCAAGCTTCTGACCTGAAAAAGTTCATTAATCTCAACATGCGACTCATGTGCCAAATGCAAAATCAGGCGATATCAGGTAACTTTATTTTCTCTACACGCTCAAAGGAAAAACAATGCGGAAGGAAGTGGGTGGTTAAAACGTCTTTGTAGAAGCGGAAGATACCGAAATGCGACAAACCACAGCGGCTCCCGTCCCTTCAGGCCCTCAGATACCCGAAGTGGTGGCAAGCAAACCTGCCTCAGGTGGCAAAAAGAATCGGAAAAGAAAGCATTGAAACGAGTGATGTGAAAACAAAGGGAAGAAAAGAAAAAGAAAAAGAGACAGCAATTCGTTTAGGGGATAACCATGGCATTTTTCTGATCATAGATCCTTGCATCCTTTTTTTTATATACAAAAAAACACAACCAAACCCAACCCCAATGGTGTTTATACAAATATGACAAGTGGACTCGAAAGAGTTGTTTGGGTTTTCTTTCTTTCTTTTATTCACAAGTATGATGAATGAATTGTTTGTTGGACTTTTTTACTTTTGGTAAGACCAGACATTCTTCAAGTAACCATCCTGAGTGGCGAGACGGTTGATGGAGTCATCAGCTTCGGCTTCCTTGCGAACGAAACCGCAGAGAGCGTAGGTGGAGAAAGAGTTGGTGTAGCGACCCTCGGCATCGACATCACCAACGTTGAGCTGGATGGAAGCGTGGTCCTTGGCATTGATGAGACGGTTGGTAGCCGAACTATAAAAATTGAAAGCTCAAGAATTAGTGCTTCTTTTTTCCTTCTTTCACAAGAGTATAGAGGTGGAACTGTGTATATTGATATTTACCACTTGCGGGGAATGTAAAGATCAACGAGTCTGCCTTCAGAGTTCTCCATGGTTAACTTTGAGCGAAATAGAAAAAGGGCGAGCTCGAGCACCACCGCTGAGCTTCCAAGAAAAGGATGAACAAATTTTTTTTTGGGCAATCGATGCTAAGCCACTCGTTTTCCAGCCGCTCCGGCTTGGGAAAGTCGAGTTCTTTTCTGACATCATTTGCTGAATGTCGGCGATTCAATCGGGGACATCCTCATTCGAGATGGCGGAATGGCTTTTGGAGGTGGGCCTACCTGGAGCTTTCCTTGAACGCTGACTGCACCTCTTGTTTCCATTAAACCTCAACACTACACCATGGTATATACGTTTGCAATACTTTGTTGCATTCGGCATTTATATAGAGTTAATGCAGCGAGCCATTAAGCGTTTAATGTTGTTAGGATGAGCAATATGAAAGCGCGCTTGACTTGATGCGCCGACTGCCGCCTCAGAATATTGAAGAGAATATGGGCAAGCTCATGGATTTGGTGCATCCAGACTTGGTGGAAGAATTACTGTCGGCTATTGACCAACCCCTCAAAGTGCGTCGTTGCGAAAAGACTGGCAGGGACTATCTTATCTGTGATTATAACAGAGACGGCGATTCATATCGGTGAGACGTCTTTTCATTAAACAAACTGGTGATGATGACCTGGATGCTGAATAATGGTCCTGTAGTTCGCCATGGAGCAACGAGTATGATCCCGAGTTGCCAGACGGCACATTACCTTCGCCGAGTCTCCGCAAACTGGAAGTCGCCGCGAACGACGCTTTCGATACCTACCGTGAGCTTTACTATGCAGGCGGCGTTTCATCCGTATACACATTCGACATTGACGATAAATTTGCCGTCGTTGTCTTGATCAAAAAAGGTAATTTTCTTCATTTACAAAAATGATTCGGCCGTGACTCAGCCATTTCGTTTTCCAACAGTGGGCGACGGTGTGCGTCGCATGAAAGGCGCTTGGGATTCCATCCACGTATTCGAAGTCCAGGAACGCGGACGTAATGCACATTACAAACTGACATCGACCGTCATGTTATATATGATTACCAACAACGACGATCTTGGCAATATGAACTTGAGCGGCAGTATGACACGACAAGTACGTTTTTTCTGATGTTGCATTAATGCTATCCGTAACTGTGTTTATCTTTTTTTTTTTTGCATGGGTGATTTTTCTGACTTGTTTGTTCGTACCTTGTAATGCGTACGATGTCTCTCTTTTATTTAGTCTGAGCAAGATTATCCTGTAGACGACCCCTCTGCCCACGTGGCCAATATCGGACGTATGGTGGAAGACATGGAAAGCAAAATGCGCAACTCCTTGCGGGAAGTGTATTTCGGAAAGACAAAGGACATTGTCAATGATTTACGTAGTTTAAGTTCGATTGCTGAAAGTAAGCGACAAGCCAAGATCCAGCAAGAACTTGTAGGTCGATTGATGGAACGAAGCACTTGATGATGATGATAAAAGAAAAGACAAAACCAAAACCGTCATCCATATATATCATATATATTGTACATCTGTTGACCCTCTATTTCGGGTGACAAAACTTTCTCTGTTACTGGCATCCTGAGAGAAATGATTATGAAAAATGGGATGATGTTAGAATCAAACAAATGACTATGCTTGCAAAACAATGCATGCAACAAGGATGGTCGATGAAAAAACCAGATCATACAGGGAAATAAATACTTCTTTATCCGAAAAACTGAATCCCTCCTCCAAAAAAAAGTTAAAAAGAATAAACCTTTTTTGATATCGTCAAAGCCCCACAGCAAAAAGGGGTTTTCTTGGATGCTTATTAGACCGCGTTCCCGTTCCGTGGGCGGGAATTCAAATCCAAGCAGGGCTTAATTTGGCCCAACGTAAAAGGTGGAGTTCCTTTTCCGCTCGCGTGTCGCTTTTTTATTGGTATTGAAGGCTCACTTTTGTTGGCAGAGACTATGCGTTTTCTATCTGCCATCCTTTTAGCGGCTACGGCCGTCACATCGTTCATATGTGCCGAGGCACAACTGCCGATGCGCACCCATTCCATCGCCATGCCTTATATTGGTACCGTATTCGTTGGCCTTTATGGACTTTTTTCTTTTCACTGACCCGGAGTCATTGTAACAATCATCATCATCTTAGACGATGACCTCCAAAATCATTGGTTTGATTTCGGTGGCGATACCATCATTAACACCAATCGTCAAATTCGTTTAACTAGCAATCAGCAGTCGCAAGTCGGTTTCCTGTGGTCTCGTTTGGTAAGTTTTCCAACAAAGTGTCGCTTTGGCTCGGACAAGGAACAACAAATGATTAAATCAATCCTTCATTTTTTTACAGCCTATTGTCGACGACAACTTTGAAGTAGAGTTTGAGTTCCGTGTGCACGGGTCCTCGGGCCATTTGTATGGTGACGGATTTGCGAGTAAGTCGGGGTTGCCCGCCTTGTTTTTCCTTGCCTTCATCAATCCACGCGCTTTCAATTTACTGAAATCATTGCTTTACACAGTGTGGCTCGTCAAGGAAAGATTGGGTACTGGAGATGTCTTTGGCGCAACGAATCGATTTGATGGATTGGGCATTTTCTTTGATACCTATGATAATGAACGTGCTCATGTATGGAAAATCATTTCACATTCTCTCCCCAACCTCGGTACTGGTTTCTAACGATGCTTTTGTTGTAGCGCCATACTTTCCCTTACATCACCAGCATGCTGGGCAATGGGATGGCAGTGTACGAGAACGACAAGGATGGACGCACCACCGAACTGGTAGAAGGCTGTGAAGCCGATTTCCGTATGAAGGAATTCCCCACTCGCGGCAAATTGACCTTTTACAGAAACAATTACCTGCAATTGGACGTGATGTGGAAAGAAGAAGACGTATGGACTCAATGCTTCAAGGTAACGTGCTGTACAAAAAGGGAATAGAAAACAAGTTCAAAGCGTTGCATGCTAAAAGAAACCGTTTAACTTTTTTTTTGTGATCTACCAGGCTTACAAAGTCCAATTACCGGAAAGAATGTATCTCGGATTCACAGCACACACAGGCGAAGTCACCGGTAATAATAATAAGAAAATGCTGGCATCAACCGATGGTGCAGTGGTGGCTGATTTGATATCTCTGTAGATAACCACGACATTGTGAGCGTGGAAGCGAAATCGTTGACTGCTAAACCCATCGAAGCAGCACCTGTACGTATTTCTTCGTGAATGAAATGTAACTGTCCCCGCTAATGTTGTTAAATTTATTTTAGGTGGTGAACGTTCCCAAGCCGAAGCGCAGCTCAGGAGGATTCTTCTCGTTTATATTTAAATTGTTGGTGGCCGCGGGTCTCGTTGCTGTCCTGTTTGTCGGTTACCGTCTCTATGAAAACAAAAATAGAATGAAGCGTTTCTAATTGAATCGCTATCCACAAGAAAGAAAGAAAAAAAGAGAGAAAAAGTTTGATTTTGATTTTGCACCTTTACTGTTCTCGCATGTCAACTGGAGATACACACTATTTCTAGAGGAAAACTATGAAGACCTTTTGAAGGGATCGCTCCTTTCTTGATCGGATAAAGAACACATGGAGAATCGGTCTGCGAAAATCACGGTCACACAAAAAATGGTTTCCAGTCATGGAGTGATTTCACTGCAGCATGACGAGTTTTTGCGCCCAATGGCAGTTTTTGGACCCTAACTTTTAATAAGACCGCTGCACAATACATGCATGTTTTGAAAACACGGCCCCATTGCTTGACGTGAACTCTCTCTTTATTTCGGAACGGCATCACGCATAACAACTGAGAAAATAAATCACCAAGAATAACTCAGCTTGACGCTGTTTATTAACATCATATCATCGACTGTATCGGTTTGTATTTTGCTGTGATTTGCTTGACTCAACGACGTGAAAAGGTGGCACGTCCAATGAGGCAAGCTACTTCTTCATCGTCAGGCGTGTCAATAACGGCTTTGACGGTGTATCGACCCTATGACAAATGGAAGGGAAAAAAATTAGAACGCACACGTTTCCCGGTGAGAATCAACGTCGCTGTAACACTTACGGGAGCTGTTGAATAAAGTAGCAAGGAAAATAGGTGAGAATAAAGTAAGCAATTAGTTATAGTGTATTTGATGTATCGCCCATTTTTCTGTTTTTCTTTGTGGAAAACTTACGAATTTGGGAGGGTAAAGTGACTTGTTTGGTAAAGACCAATTCACCCTTGGGAATGGGGCAATGTTCTTCGAGGTTCTCGATTTCATGGCAAAGATCGAAATCTTTTCTCAGAAGACTGATACGACCGAATTTGACCTCCACATGAGCTACGGTACCCTCCGGCACCTCTTTACTTAAGGTGCCCTTGAAGTCAATCGTCAAGTTCTGGCCTCTCATTGGTGGATCGGGGTCAAGTGTGATGTAGTCAATCCTACGTTAAAAACCAACCCGGTTATTTTCCTGCGTTATCATTTATGACATTCCAAGTAGCTTACTCCAAAATATCATCGGGATCGCCACAATTTTCAATGAGGTCGGTCGATTTCTTGAAAGGCTGAACTCCATCTTGAATGATAAAGTTGGGAGTGAATGCACGCACCAGCGTGGCTAGTAAGGCAGTGAGCAAAAGAGACGTAAACACTTTCATTTTTTCGAAGAAAACGAGAAAGCGGGAAGCCAGACGAAACCGTTGTGGTCGCGTTTTCCTTTTATACAAAGACAGCCATATTTTTCAATGACCGTCCACATGACCCAATGACGACGATTTTTCCTATTCTGGAAACTCCCTTCGTTTCTCATGATAGGTTTCTCGGCCAATCCGGTGATTTCTTACACTTTTTCTACGTCTCATCGTACCCCAAACGGTTCAACGTGGATGGATCAAACGTTACAACAAGTAATTTTTCATATGAGCTTGCATTGCGAAACCTCGAAATCGTTTCATGAGGCTTGCTCAAATTTGAGGGAATTTTTGGTACAGTTTGAACCAGCACAAAAAGGTCGCGGTTGTTGTCAAGCTAAACCATGAAATTCTTGTGGGATGCTGCTCACCAACAAGCGCCATGATCTGATAAATATAGGGTGTTATGAGAACCTTTTGACAGATCTAAGAGGTGCTATTCTGTTTGATCTCTGATTTCTCAACTGATAACCCAGAGATATACGAGCGCAAAAAGAGCTTGAGTGTTCTCTCAAATTCACATCATTTTACACCTACACCCGTGGCTTTTTCCAAACACCGAATAACGATATTTAGATGGGCAATTATTGCTCTTGTCTTTTATTCTCAATGCATTCCAGTATTCTTACCCCATGTATGCATAAACCACAAACCTTGACTGCGAAGATCCACATATATTCTCAGCTCGGGATTCATCACGTACATCCATTACCGAACCATAACATATCATACGTCCAAGTAAATAACCACCGAGACGGTGCATACGCTCGAAATAGTTTACTAGTATGCGTTGGTTCACTTGTTTCTTTGGATCAGGTTGAATTCGGCCGATCATCTATGGCGGAAATCTAATGATTGTCTATCCGACTTTTTGTTCAGTCGGTGGCTCGGAACATTCGCCCCGGTAAAGTATTCAGTCCGTACGATGGTTCGATCAATCTTGTCCGTAGAAAAGGTCAAAGAAAGAGAAGAAGAAAAGGGCCTTCTCACAGAGATCGTTAACAGAAATGGAAACCTTGCCTATGTTACACGTGACCGTGGAAAACGAATCTATCCTGCGCTTGGTTGGGACTATTCAATGATTATAAAAATGTCCGCGGAAAAGGTTCGATGCCAAGTTCAATTGACATCTTTCTCTTACTTCTTCTAGCTCTGTTTCAATTGAACCATGTCTCCTGCTCACACTCCCAAAGACTCGCTCAAGACTACTCTTTGCTTCTCCATCACTGACAAGGTCGGTGCATTGGATGACTGCCTTTCTGCCATCAAATCCATGGAAATCTCGTTGACCCGCATTGAATCGTAAGTAGCTTCTGAAAGCAAAGATCATCAGCCCAAACGCTTTTGCAAATCAATAAATGAATGAATCGACTAACCGATGGTTTGCTTTTTCTCTCCTCTTATTCGACTTTTTGGTCTTTTTGATGACCTGTCAGCCGTCCGAGCAAGACCAAGGATTGGGATTATGATTTCTTTGTGGATTTCGATGCCGTGGATGCTAAGCAAGTGCAAAACGTGGTCGAGTCGCTTCGCAAGCATACAAAGGAAGTGTGTGTGATTGGGTCGGATTCCAAGGGAGGTAAGTGTCTTTTTTTGTTGAGGAAGCACCAAAAACGAATTAGACACGTTGTTGACCATTGTGAGAAAAATTTCAAAGATAGCGTACCTTGGTTCCCACGCAAATTGACAGATCTGGATACATTTGCAGAGAAGGTCCTGGAAATGGGCGAAGAACTCAGTATGTCACTTTTTTTTTCAAAATTCCCACACTTGTTTGCCGCCAAGGTTCCACCAGCTGAACGCTTTTTCTTTTTCTTTTTTACAAGGTTCGGATCATCCTGGTGCGCATGATCCGGTCTACCGTGCTCGTCGTGCGGAAATCACCCGGATTGCCAAAACCTACCGCACCGGACAAACGGTCCCAGAAGTCGACTACACGGAAGAGGAGAATGAGACGTGGGGTAAAGTGTATCGCCACTTGACCTCCATGTACCCTACGCATGCTTGCCGTGAACACCAGTACGTTTTCCCTTTGCTGGTACAAAACTGTGGTTACAGTGACAAGCGAATTCCGCAACTCGAACACATCTCTCGTTTCCTCAAAGACTGCACCGGGTTCACTTTGCGTCCAGTCATGGGGCTGCTGTCCAGCAGAGACTTTCTAAATGCATTTGCTTTCCGTGTCTTCTATTCTACCCAGTACATCCGTCATTCTTCCAAACCCTTCTACACACCCGAGCCTGACTGCTGTCACGAGTTACTAGGCCATGTTCCTCTGGTATGTATCTCTCTCTCTGCTGGTAAAAATGATTTTTGCTTACTAACCACCTCATACTCTTTTGTATAGTTTGCCGATCCTGACTTTGCCGATTTCTCACAGGAAATTGGTTTGGCATCACTGGGGGCTTCCGATGAAGATATTGAAAAACTGGCCACCATTTTTTGGTTCACGGTAGAATTCGGATTATGTCGACAGGATGGTGAGCTCAGAGCCTACGGTGCGGGTTTGCTGAGTTCGTTTGGTGAACTCGAATACTGTTTGTCCGACAAACCCGAATTACGACCCTTTGATCCTTCCAAAACCGCCCTTCAGAAATACCCTATTACCGAATTCCAACCTGTAAGTGTTGCTTCATTCTCCTCTTGATATGTGGAGTGACGGATCTACTCATCGTTCATTTTCTGTAAAGGTGTACTTTGTTGCCGAATCATTTAAAGACGCGCAAGAAAAGGTGCGTGAATTCGCCGCCAACATGAATCGCCCTTTCTCGGTCCGCTACAATGCATTGACCCAAACCATTGAAGTACTGGATAACAAGGTACAAAATAAGTGGAAAATGACATTTTATCCGGTGCCGTTGACTCACGTGGATTGTAACTTTATTTAGGAAAAGATTCTACGATTTGCAAAGAACATTCGTGACGATATGAAAACATTGACTGATGTGTTGGCCTCGTTATCTTGAGTGTCACATTCACATTACAACGGCGCAGTCTAGTATCGTGCAACCTGAACTTAGAATAAATAAAAAACATTGTCATGCTCGATGATTAAGATGTTGATTAGGGTATGAAGGAAGAATATACATGATGGAATTTTTTGGTAGCAATAAAGAATAGCACTGACGCAAAATTTGATATTTTTTTTTTCTCACGGCCGGTATCGTTCGTTTATGAGTTGTGTGTTACTCACGGTGACATGCGTGGATACAGACACGGAAGAACTACAGGGCTATCCAGACTGTGAACATGCCTAAAAAGACTGCCAGGGAAACCGTGATATGTGATGTCGCTGATCCTACCGTGTCAGTTAACCAACGACAGCAATCAATACAAGTGCGTTGGGACTTACCAGCGTGGCTGACTTTGCATTGGCCTGATTGGCATTGCTTATTTTTGCCGCAAGGTGACCCGTCGATCAGGAAATCGTTAAATACCATGCATCCGGATCCGGCCGCATTGGCGCACGTGAGATGGCATTCGTCGTCGGTGGCTGGACACGCCGGCGCCGGATCAATATAAAAGCCACGCGCTTTGCACTGCTCATGACGTGATGTGCAATAGCCAGAGGCACATTGCAGTCCTGGGCCGCATTCCGTCAAGTTTTCTACATATCGGTCGGTCGGGCACGCCGATGAATTACCCGTACAATATTCGGCCACATCACAGGGGCCAATGGCAGGTCGACATTCGTAAGAACTCGGCTGTAATCGACATGCAGAACAGCACGCATCATTGATATCTCTACTCACAAATCATACATTTAGTTGGCCCTCGAACTACATATACCGAGGGTGTACCATATCGTGAAAAATGACTTACTCGCACACGGCATTCTCACGGAATTTACACGTCAATGGATCGCAGCAAGGGGTATCTCGGCCAGCCGCGTCACAATCTTCACCATCCTCCTTGATCCCGTTTCCGCAGCTTCCCAACGATTGGATTTTTTGGTGAGCGTCATCCACATCTATTGTTCATATTATAAATAAAATATGCTTGGGTGATCATTCCATGGATTCGATGGACACATTGATTTTTACCTTTTAAGCAGCTTCCTTGTTCGGCTATATTGCGACATATACTCTGTTGCGAACATGGGCTGAAATTACTGGACGTTACATTATTTTTCGGATTCATCATATACATGCCATCGGCGTCGCAGATGGTTTGACTCAACGGACAACAACCGCAAGATGATCCCGAACATGGACAATAATCGCTCGTACAATCATGCACTGCACCTGGGTTAATGCAACGGTGTTCAAGTCAACTTTCTTTTCTCGTGAGTGTCATCAAAAGCGCATCGACTTACCAAAGCCGTGCCCAATTTCATGGGCAACTGTTTTCCACTCGGCAATACCTGAAAGAGCATGGAATGGTTGGTTCACGGCAACGGCCGAGGCGAAAGATACTGGAAATTGACTTACCAGCTGATGAGACGCCTGTGCCTGAAACATATCTCATCACTCCATCGTCTTCTGTTTGAGCGACAGCATCCGCATTACACAGTTGTTTCAACCATGCGATACCGATATCTAATCCCATGCTACGGTTTTATCATTAGATCTTTTCGTTCCTTCGCGACGCACAGATAGTACTCACGGGCAATTTGTCATCAAGTGCCAGAGTCCGGCGTCTCTTTCTGTTACATAAGACCGCCAGAGACTAAAGTCACTGAGCCGATCCTTGATGGAGTAATTCGGGGAACAGGCGCGATTCCACAGCGGTCCAGCCAATGGGTCCTCAGGACAAGACTGGGACATCACCGTGATATTGACAAGCGCAATCTGAATGTTAAATGTACGCTCATACAATCCAGAGACGCTGTTCCAGTTATTGATGATTTGTCGGCGCACGTTCTCCGGTGACTTGTAGGCGGCAGTATATGTACAATCAGCAGCTACAGGATTCGCATCCATGTTGAACAAGACTTGCGTTATGCTTTCGAACAATAGTATTTGGCGATCGTTACTTACCAGCGCCCATGTAAAGCACTACGTTTATGTCAGATAAGAAAGAGGGTATCAGCAACTTGTCTGCTAGGGAATGGGGTCATCACAAGTTTCTTACCTTTTCTTGTCGAAGGGCATCCAGAAGCAGCATTGGTTGACCGAAGGTTGGATAAATCAACGTTATTTTTGACCCTGTCGGCGTCGAGCGAAGGGCTGCCGTACTGCGAATTCGAAATGGCGGGCGGAGCGAAAGAGTTTAGGATATCTTGATTGTATTGAAGTCCATCGATCCCGCATGTTGGGTAAAATGGTTCACTGCGCGGCGTGAGAAACGGTGTGGAGTGTCGATAAATCATCATGCGGATTTCGGTATCGGAGCGCGGTTCCAGCTTCTTGGAACGCTGTACGATCTTACCGTCGTCTACAGCTATTACTTCAAATACTTCGTTGTGTACGCTAAATGTGCCTTCAAAGATCGGATACGAAAGCTTGTCACGGCTGATAAGGAATATTAGGCACCAGTAGACCGTAATGGACGGTTCGTATATATTTCACGGACTTACTGTGTGAGATCGTCTCGAACAACAATGCGCGACCAACCGAGAATGGAGTTTTGATACTCCGAATTGAACACTGAGGGAAATTTGTCCAATGGGGCCGTGGTCAAGATAGGGGTCGTTTCATCCTGCCTATTCGTGACATAACCGCGGTAGATGCGAAAATCTGAGTGGCGAAGTGGCTCAGTTGTGTCTTCCGTGGCAGTGACAGCATCTGGATGAAATAGATCGAGATTGGGGTAGAGATGCAAGACAACTGTCTGATTAAAGCTGTGGATGGTAAACTGAAGATGATCGTCATGTTGAATGGCGGCAATGGGTTCATCTCGGGTAGATTCCCAGGAAGGCACGCGTTTCTCGTGAGGCACTGTGTGTGGGCGAACGATGGCCCAGTCTAATAAAGAAACAGGTTCGGCGGTGGACGCTACAGCTTCAGTGAAAGGGTGTGCTACAAACTCAACGGGTTAGATGCTTTAAACGCATGGGCCAGTTGGGTGCGCTAGTGGTACCAAATGCAGGGGCCAAAATCGTCAAAACGTAGCCCAAATGGATGACATTGAGCAACTGAACAAGAAATCGTAACATGAGTGAAAAAAATAAGGCCGCCAATGGAGAGGAAATCGGCTCTCGGAAGAAGAATGGAACAAAAGACTACTGTGCCCGCCACAGATTGGTGAATCTACCACGTTTTTGCATTGAAGCTTAAGATGGCAGGGACAAAAAGAAACATAAAAAAAAGTTTAATAGAGAATACAGAGATGACAAGTTTCAAATTCAGATAATCTAAAAACAGCATCTGCTACAACATTCATTATTATAAGCGCCAAACTTACGCAGCCAAGGGAAAAGCAGAAACACATTTAGCATCATCTGGATACATCGAGGTCAGATGCATGTGCAAACTTACACATCAGTTTGTTCATGTATTTAGTCAGTATTTCATGACACAGAAATGACCTTTTTTGTTTTACCAGATTGGAAGACAGTAATTTGTATTGAAATTACCACTGATTCCCATGAATAGATTCTTTGTGCCACCGAATGGCTCAAAAAAACAGCCATTCCCCGGTATTCCCAATGAAGGCTTGGTTGATTGATTTCCAGGCACACTAACCACTTACTTTTGTTGGTTGCTTTGAGCTTTTTCCATTATTGTTCAACAAGGTAGAAAGAAAATTCACCGAACAAAAAGCCGTTTTGCAAGGGTGATAAGATATCTTCTGAGCCGAGTAGCCAATACTCTTTGAATCCATCACTCGGTCTCTTTATTGTTTACACTAAACATTGTTTCATATCTATTCATTGTGTTAAAAGAGCCTTGGGAGGTAGATCACATACAATGACAGCTAAAAAAAAACAATGTAAATAAAATCCTGTAGATCATCACCTACAACTCTTTTATGACGTTGCTGATGTGTTTGTTTTTATTCATCATTTCAATAGTGACAATATGATTTAATGGATTCTGAGCTTGTCCACGTATCGTAAGCTTAGAGAATCACTGCCTACATAATAAATGAATGACTACATAGCACTAAAGGTATAGCATCCAGTGACTTGCTCACAAATTTTTTAGGGCATCCCCAACATTAGTGTCGATGTAAGCTGCACAATTACAGGTGTCAACATAAACGGATAGAAATGGCGCAAAAGGGACATGTCTTCTAGAGTCCATGGAGTTATAAATAGGTACAAGTGGGAAAAGTCATGGTGATGGTCTTGGCATACTAGATGCCAGCCAACTTTTTAGATTTTGGATATGCCAATTAAAATGACGGTGATACATGCACTTGCGGGCAGCATCATACCGGTTCCCAAAAACTGTCTCACAGGTGAATGAGCTTTATGCTTGTCAATGTCATATTGAGAGACAACCAGTATCATGATCACGGTCAATGCATCTGTATTTTTGCTTTGCCAAAAAACATTCGTTAAACAATGATCGCACCATGGCAGTGTATGGCCGTGTTTTTTACACAGGTAGAATAAAAGTCATTTTCTTGACTGCACAAATGCAGCAGTTCACTGCATGTAACTAGAGTGACACTTGTCTCACCAGCCTTCTCTCTTTGTGTCGCGCTCCAAATTTTCCCGTGCCGGTGCCATATAATTGATGATTTTCCCTTTCAGGTAGTGACCATTTATTTTCTTTGATCAATGTCGCCAATGTTCCCTTGAAGATTTCGGGATGGGATACAGACGGCAATAACTGTAGGGAACCGCTCCTCGATAAATATAAACATGATTATTTTTGCATGATCCGGCATTAAATGGGATTTCTTTTTTAATTGGGGCAGTTAGTCTAGTAAATAATGAATCCTCGCGGTCATTGATCAAAGCAATAAACCTCTGATGCCTAGTGGCAGTTATCACTTGTGCTAATTGAAAAATTTAGTAATGATGCAGCTCATCAAGTTTTGACCCTTTGACGCATACACAAGTGTCCAGAAGAGAATGGCTTAATGAACATGGTTAAAGTGCCAAAAATATATAATATCATATGAAATCGATGAGTTCGAATGATTGACGCTCTCAAGTAGCATGATGCGATGTGTCCCCAGCAAAAATAATCATGCTCTATTCTTGGTGATTATGCATCTTGTCCTGTCAAATGATGAAAAAACTTGACCGAGGAATGTGAGGGACCCAGGAAAGCCAACAAGTGCTTCCAACACCATAAGCATCTGGTATTAGAATTTATCCTGGATTAAAAAAAAAAAAAAAAAAGGATATTGCCGCGCGCTTTTCCGTCAAATGGTTGCTTACCCGGGGCGCCGTTTGCGTCATGCTTTTTTGTGCAGAGTTCTCCTATTTTCGTTCAGGATAGGGTAAAAACCATCATCAGCCAAAATCAACCAATCAGAAAGCGGATACTTCTCGTTCTGCAGGTTTTTATCGGGATCTTTTTCGTTTTTTGCAGACGATGTTTTCATCGGTCTTTTTCGTTCTGCAGGCGTTTTATCAGGATTTTTTGATAAAATACCTAAAGGACGGACTAGGTCGTCAAACATAAACAAACCTTCCAAAAAATAGCCAACCGAAAGTGCTTAAACGAAAAAACTTCCTCCCAAAAAGCACCCAATCAAAGAGTGCCTGATGCGAAATCGAACCGAAAATTCAATCCCGCTCAAAGAACATGCTGAAGCGAAAAACACCCCTTGAACCGGGAACAGTTCCTGCACCAGAACGCCGTTTATCGTTACCACACAGTTTCCTTCTTTCTTTTTCACACGCAACCTTCCAGTGCAAAATGACGAGAAGTTGCGGCATTATCGTATTCAAAAGAAAAGATGCAGCGCGATGGCGGTCTGCAGATCCGCCCATTATGCACCGAATGCAACATGGAGCTAATGGAGCTCTTGAACTCCCACGAATCTACCGGAAATACTTCGCATATGTTGTTTAGAGGTCGCTACAATAAAGATATTTTTATTTCACCGTGTTTACTATACCGGCAAGGAAGAAAAACGGGGAAATATACGCTTCTTCTTGTTTGTGGATTGATTGAAAAAAATGGTCCAAACCGACCGCTTATAAAATAAAATGGTGAATGCAATGCGATGAGTTGCAAATGCGATCACCGGGATTTCGCAACAATGTAGACAAGGGAATGTACTTTTAGGTTTGGACTATTTTTTCAGCAGCCACTGTATCGAGTACATTATACAGTATCAACTAAGTGCAAAAATTGCTAAACATTCTATTATGATAGGAAGCGGCTAATCCTGACTTTGGTATCAAGACAATTCCACTTCGAGAGTACAGGCACAGCTTTACAATTTTTTCGCCCGCGCCTACAACACCATCGCTTTACAAAACACCAGATCACAAGCCTCGATGCTACAGTCCACTTTCGAGCCAACAGAGTAGCGATGAAAACGATCAGGAGGACCAAGACCTTCTTCAAGCTGCTATTCAAGAAAGTCGTCAGCACCCACGAAGACATATAGGCTCTGATAGATCTTTAGCAGTGCAGGCGCCCCCACAACATATACAGATCATAATTTTCCCTCACCAACCTCGACCGTCTAGCATTACAGACCAGCAATCAAAGAAACACCAGTGGTCCTTGATATCAGCGGCAAAGCTTGTTCGCCAGAAGAAGATAAAAAAGCAACAACGCAGCCTACGGAAGTTCAGCTCAACTGGACAAGAAGGGGGCTTGGATGTTTGTCGGTGGCGTGAATGCCATTCTAATAAACACCGTTGAACCATACAGCCGCGACTCTCAGCATGAAACAATTTGCTACCCATTTGGACTGGCATAACTGGAAACTGAAAATGGTTGAAGCTGGACACTTGGATAAAGTGAATTGTCTCACTTTAACCGGTGGCTGCCAAACACTCCTTCGTCATGCCCCGTTCCCTCCAGCCTATATGGCTTTACCAACATTTGCTTGCATCCCATCAGTGATAGCAAAACGGTTGTTCTTGGTACCAGAATGTGCAACATATTGGTCACCTTAAGCATACGTTTGGATACCCGATCAGTCAACCTCGGTCTTTCTACGACCCATTTCGTGCCTTGCCCAAACAGCGCGTGTTCCTGGACAACGAGCAATCGACACAGTGAGGGTTATGCTGAACGGCGAGAATCTGGTACCCGCGCAGGTTATTTCGGTTACTATATTAACTAGGGCAACTGAGGTCCAAGTTTGACGGCTTGTCAACCTACAGCTAATGCCGTGCATCATCGTCGCGATCTTCGCCCTTGGAATTTCAGCCGGCAAGCATTAGGACGCTCTCTGGTCAAGATACCCCCCCCCAATCCAATCCCTTCCAAGAAAAAGCGGGGTCGGTGCTGTTTCGTCCCAAAGCTATGGCTGTCATGCGTCAGGATGAAGAAGCTCTTTATTCACACGTAGAAGTCAAAGCGGGGTGGCGTAAATGGCCGAAAATTCCGTAGTCGGGAGACCTCCTTACTAGGCATCCCTAAGCTTTATCCCGTCTTGGGAAATTTTTATCTGTTGTATTCAACGTGATCAATTACATACCCGACTCAAATATTACCAATCCGACCTCTTCTTTGGCAAGGAATATTCATCTTCATATAAATTTGTATATTCTTTCCGGCATGCCGCTTTGTCGATAAGAGATCTCAAGGGCATAAAAACACGCAAAATAAAACTGTCAGCGTTAATAAAACCTGAATACAAATCGTTCTAATCATAAACTCACCTTTAAAGAGATAATTAGTCATTTTGCGCGATTGAACGCTGATGCATAGGAAATGCAAACCACAAAAGGTGATTTAAAAAGTGACATAAGTTTTTTGCGTCGTCGACTGCAAAATGGAACAAAAAAAACACACGCATGGTAAATGTGCGTTACGAGTACTGGAATGGCGGAATCATAATCGTAACATGTGCGACTTGTGAAAGAACAATAGAAACGCAAATAATCATCTCGCACTGGCATCATGAACGAAAACATTTGGGCAGGACCTTATTGCTCTCTTTTATTGACTTTGCTTGCAATGTATGCGTTGAATTTTATTGATATGATTTTGGGATCTCAAAGGAAAAATTTCAGTTATGACTTTTGACGACTATGCACCTGATTGAAGTGGTTTTCATTTTCCGTAGAAGGCTTCAGTGATAAGCATGAGCTTCTTCTTGTTTTCCTTGGCATTACCCGCAAAGACAATGGCGGCAATTCGGACAGTTTAGCGTTTAAACGCTGGTTCCTAATTATAGGAACATTAAGGTTCTCCTCAAAGACATCCATGATGCTAAGTAGGAGCCTTCGTACTGCTGTATCCTTTGATAGTTCGATCATCGCCG